GTACATCACCCGCAGCCACCATACTACGCATACCCACCCCATCCACAGTTGAATGGCACATGAATCAGGCTCTTGCTGTTGATATGTATACCTAACAATATGGAGAAATAGCTGGTGGCTCTTGTCAGCTCTCGGATGATTTTTGTTCTTGTTTTTTTGCTCCCCTTTCTGGTCGTGCTAGGCAGGTAATTACCGTAGGTAGGTACGAGAGTTTTGTCTGTACTCTGTTTACGACACGGGCCACGAATTGATGTTCGAAGCATTTCATCTCATCTCGACGACGTCGTCTTTCCACGCCTCAGTCTACGTGGCTACCTACGAATACAACCACACGCATACGCACACCCATGGAAGCTCAGTCGTGCTACAGACAGAGGAGGGATTCCGTACAAGCAAAGTCAAGTCTGTGGGTCCTCTGTACACCACCCAACACAGTAGACGTCTCTTGTTTCGCGTCTCCCTCCACCAGCCCCGGTTACCTTATCAAGCCTGGCCTGTGCGAGAGTTATTCCCAACTTTGCTTGCTTGCTCTTCAGCTCCCCTCCCTCTTTCCCCTAGGTACACGTAAAATAAGATGGAATATAGGAAGGAAGAGTGAGAGTGAGAGAGGGAGGGAGAAACAGGGGGGAGAGAGAGAGAGAGAGAGAAAAAGAAAGAAAAAGAGAAAGACAAAAACCACGGTAAAGCAAACAGGCCTGTCCATGCAAAGAGGCCCTCGCACGTACCACACTCTCCCACACGCCCCCTCCCTCAATCCAATCAGTAAGCTTCAATCATCGACCACACCTTCCCCAACCTGAACATTCTGAACATCCTCACTTGGTGCATTTGGTGGGACAGGCGCCACACCTCCCTCTCCTTCTCTCCCAACTCGGGCCATTGACAGTACGTGTGGACAAGATCCCTTTTTTTTCTCACTCTATCCGTACCTTCTCCTTTTTTTACCCTCTTTTCTTCTTTCCCTCTCTTCCAGTTCCACGTATGTAATAGTATCTCTTATTGCATACTCTACACGGTACTGCCCTGCACCTCGGCCACGTTCCTCCACTACGAAGCTCTCTCTCTCTCTTTCTCTTTCTCTCTCTTTTACTCGCCCTGTTTCTTTCTCTCACATATCCGCTGCACAAAGTCTGTACTAACTGCCTGACTCCCCGACCAACTGGCTACACACCTGTGCGGTTTGATGTCACTGCCGCTGTTGTTGTACCTGGCATCATAAAACCAACGGCTGACAATCAGAAGCTGAATCGAATTGAACACTGCCACTCATTATCCTATCTGCCCCCTTCTCCTCTCAGATCCCGCCGACTATCGATCGGCTCGAGCCACTTTAAACCTTCGCCGGTAGCACCCCCCTGTCCTCCCCCATTCGTCATATTTCCGCCCACCTTGACCTTCTATGGCCCTTCTTCTTCTTTTCGAACTATAGAACTTCAACCATTCCAACTCACTTGCATCCACTTTCGCTCCCCCTCCTCCCTCCCGCTTGTGAAAGCGCCGCCACCACCTCTTTATTAGGCCGACGACACACCTCGGACCTGTCCATTCGACCAAGACGAATTCCACCTTGGCTGGTCCCCTCCCACTTGGCACTCAATCGGAAGCTACAAGCCTGTCAGCAACTGGAACAAATACCTACCCATCCACCCTTTGCCTGTCGAATCCCCTCGACGCCTGGACGTCCCAAATTCCAACCCCCGTTCACCCGCTCGCGCCTGTCTTCTTCAATCAGCCGTCGCCGTTGCTTCTCCTTCCAAACTCTTTACCCTCGCTCGACGGCCGAACCCACTCGCCGCACCGCCATCATTCTGCAAAGTCATGAGGTGAGACAGGTTCCTCGGCCCTTTTGCCCTAAAACCTCTGCTGCCACGCCTGCTGGTTGCCCTGGCCGCCCTAGCTCACTCTTCTGCCTTCTCTGCTTGTTCCCAACCCGCATTCCCCTTCCCGAGTCCTTGCGCCCGTGTCTTGAGAGCTAACCCGTGCTTTGGCGCCGTATAGAGGTGATGGCCACAGTGACTGAGAGTCCTCAGAGAGTTCCTCTGCCTGCCGACGGCCATGCCGATCTGACATCGAACCGTATCGTACCCATCCCGACCCCGACCATCCAAATGTCCGCTCCATCTCCCGGCGACCCTATGGAGATTACCTCCCCCAAAGCCAGTAGCACGTCGCCCTCGAGCAAAATGAACGATACAGACGCCAACGGCACCTCCAAGCACGCTTCGCCCACCGATCACTCTGCCCACAGCTCTGTCACCATGCCTGCCGCCCCCGCTGCCGCTGCCGCCGCTGTTCATCAGCCCAAGATTGTGCAGACGGCCTTCATACACAAGCTGTACAGGTACGCTGCAGCGCAGCCAATCGCCTGCGACGACGGATAGCTAACTCGGCGCAGCATGCTCGAGGATCCCAGCATTCAGCATCTGATATCTTGGTCGGCCAGTGCCGAGAGCTTCGTCATGTCTCCGTCGGCCGATTTCTCAAAGGTTCTCGCGTACGTGGAAATCAATAGCCAATCGCGTTGGTCGCCCGCTAACCGCCAGCAGACAATACTTCAAGCATACCAACATCTCTTCCTTCGTCCGACAGCTGAACATGTACGGCTTTCACAAAGGTTGGATCCATGTCTTTGCCCGGTCACCTCCACCAGTAGCTAACCGAGGGTGACAGTAAGCGACGTGTTCCACACCACGAGTCCCGAGACCGCGCTGTGGGAGTTCAAACACGGAAATGGCAACTTCAAGAGAGGCGACCTAGTTGGGCTCCGCGAAATCAAACGCCGCGCATCCCGTCACGCTCTCGTTCATCGGGAATACCCAAACACCAAGCCGAGCCCGTCACAGCCTGGGACACCCGCCGAGCCAATGCCGCCCCCTAACGATGGCTCGGATCCGCGCATGTCTGGAATCGAACACACTCTGTACGACCTCAGCATGCGACTGCAGAGGAGCGAAGAGAACGCTCACTACATGCACATCAAGCAACAGGCTGTCATGGAAACCATGTCGCGGCTCCTTCAATTCAACCAGGAGCTGTCAAGAACGGTTCTCAACTTGGTCCCGAGTCCCGACCATCCAGTGCATCGAGATGGTGAGTTTCAACCGGGCCCCGCCAAAGCAGCTTGGAGGCTAACAGACATGGAATCAGTTCTGAACTTGCAGGGGGAGATGGCAAGACAGGCAGATATGCTCCGAACTATTGACGACCCCCAGGAATCTCCGTTTGCAAATAGCCGTGCGTACTTTTCGAATGTGGAGAACGCACCCGTTTCACCCCGGCAGTTACCCCAGGACGATCCGAGGCGAAATGCGAACCTTGCAGTCCCTCAGCCCAGGGGACAAAATTTCTACCGCCCGCCCGTACCCTCGAATCTTTCCATCAGCACCCGGCGGCCATATGGCTCAATTGGAGGTGGCCCGGCGGCGCCACAGGCTTCGTCTCCCTTACGGGCGGCGCCGCCTCCACCGCCCCCAGGACCGCATCCCTTGGCTCAAGTTGAGGCACCTCCCGGAAGTCTCGCAAGACGTCATACATCTGCCGATATTCGAGCACACGGCTGGCAGCCGAGCGCCCCGCCACCTTTTGCTTCGGGGCCCCCGTCTGGGCCACCCTCGGGACCATGGCCCTCTTCGCCTAGTCGGCTTGCACCGGAAGATCAGCGCCTCAGGGAGTCCCTCTCCACTTATTCTTTGCAAAACGCATCCCACCCGCGGTCCATCTCGAGACCTACGACGCCGCCAGGTGTGCCCTACTCGAACGGCGGCAGCGGCGGCAGTGGCGGCAGTGGCGGCGGGGACGCCTTTGGGAATTGGTCGTGGAACTCTGCGAACCGGGATAATAAGAACCTGGCCATCAGAGACGGCTCCGGGCCGCCTACCCGCCGTGGCAGCATGGCGCATATCCTCAACCCAACAGATACGGCCGAGCGGGACGATGAAGACGAGGACCCCCGGGGCGACGATGACCGGAAGCGCAAGCGGATGCAATGAGCAAGACGCCTGCCTCGGTAACGGTTGCATGCTGCGGCCCAACATATGGCACATCCGGCAAAGGTTGTGCCCGTACATTTCTGTGACAAATATCCAATGATTATCGTAATCGGTTTCTTGTATAGAAGAGTAAGGAAGAGCTGGCCTCGGGCAGACACATGGTTTGCACAGACGCCTCTCGGCGACCGAAGAGCAAGAGCGAGACCGAAACATACACAAGCCGACGGCCACTACATAATGCGACCATTTCACTGGTCGGTCCCTCTCCCTACGCTGGACGGGCCTTCTGGATTTCTTACTAAAAGTTCAATATCCTTTGTCGATTTTATGCATCATTTCATGGGATCGACGACCGGCTCGCGTGAAGCAGGACATGCGGGACGACAATCAGTCCTTAGTAATTCAGTGTCTTCACGACGATTCAAACACCGAAAAGTAGAACGGGCTGAGGATTTCGTCTCACACTTTTCCCCTTCTCGGATTGAGACTGTATGTTGCGGTCGGAGCTCAGGCAAAGGGATACCCAACGGACAAAGGGCGGCTGGGCTTGTCAGGACTCGTTGTAATGGTGTCCGTGCGCGCGTGGGGGCGGGAAGTATGATTGCGACAATTGCATTTTGGATGCGAGAGGAATGGTGTTGTTTGGGGCATATTCCTATCTATCTAACTGGTCTACGGTGCTCGGCTGTGAGCAGCAGACATGTGTGGCTTGCAAATGGCCTGATGGCAGACGCTTGGCGAGCCTTGGCCGAACCTAGCGTGAAGGGTTAATATGAAAAGTATTGTCACGCCAAAACCAGGTTTGCCAACGCAATGTTTCCACCATCGTCTGTGAGCCTTTCAAGGGATGCGGATAACGTTCTTGGTGAGATTAGGTCCCAGTCGGTCGGGTCGAGGGAGACGCTTCGCATGTCGATCTACGCCCAACCCGCTCTCGAGTCCTGCGGACGGACCTACGATGCGCCATCTTTAGATCTCCGCCGGGATGGAGGGGCGGGGGTAATATTATCATTAGTTATCTTCTTTCGTTCCAGCCGCCGCAGCCTTAGCCGCAGCCTTGTTCTGCTTGTTCCTGTTCTTCTTCCGTCTCTTCTTAGAGGTCTCGCCCGTCTCGGGCCGGTTGTCGGGTCCGGCGGGGCCCACGGGCGCAGCATCAGCAGCAGCGTCCTTGGCCGAGGCGGCAGAGCTGCTCTCCTCCCCCTTTTCCGTGTCGGCGGTCTCGCGCATCGCAACGTCTGCACTTTCACTTTCGTCCTCTGCCGCATTGGGTTCGGGTTCGGGTGCGGGCGCGAGCGTGGTCGTCGGCGCCGCCGTCGGAGATGGCTCCGCCTCGGGAGTCTCCTGCCCGACCCGCCTCTTCTTGCTCCGTCCCAGGCCGCTGCGACCTTCCTCCTCCTCGCTCTCGTCGTCTTGAAGCCTGCGCTTGGCGAGTGCGGCGGCGGCGGCCTTGGGGTCGTCGGCGCGACCCCGCTTTCCACCCAGCAGGCGGCGGCTCAGGTCGCGGGTGGCGGCCGAGGCGGCGTGTTCGGACTTGGGGGCGGCGTAACCCAGCCCCGTGTTGGGGTTCTCGAGGCGAATTTCGTCATCTCGGGGTCCTCGGGGGGTTACGGCGGGGTCGCGGGAGTCGGGGGACGGGTCGGGTTTCGTAAGGGAGGAGAAGGTGCCGTTCGAGGAGGCGGCGGCGGCGGTGGAGGAGGAGGAGGAGGCAGCGGGCGCCGGCCGCGCGAGGGAGGGGTACTTTGAGCGCATCGAGGCGAGGAAGCTCGCCTGCTTGGCGGAGGCGAGGGAGATGCGGTTGTAGATGGCGTTGAAGTCGGCCGAGGCGGGGAGCCTGGGGGCCTCGGGGGCGGGCGCCATTGTTTTGCGCGGGCTTCCTGGCGGGCGGCGGACGAGTCGGTTCGGGGGGGGCGTGAGTTTGGTTGTTTGCGCGAGAGGCGTGACGCTTGTGTGTGCGTGTGTGTGTGTGTGTGTGTGTGGTCGTGGAGTCTTTGCGACACTGCGGTTGTGTTTTGCGATCGGCAGGATTTCTTTTCTTTCTTTTTTTTTTCCTATACGTAGGATGCGGATTGGAGCTCCAAAAAAATATTTGGAAACTGGAGCCTGGCTCGTGCATGCAAAGAGGGACCTTATCGAGCCTGCTGCCCACCTATGGTCGTTCTGTCACCTTATCTTAGCGCGGTTCGGTTGCACGCGGGCTGAAGCCGAGGAAAGGGGAAGGATGGAAGCAGGGGGAAGGGTTTTAGTGTAGGTAGTCTTCTCCCGCAGCGGCTCAGTGTGACCTTCTCCGCATTCAGGCACGGAAGGATCGACACTCCTTACCTATTCCGCTCCGTGTGTGGGTTCCCTTTCGGCCCCGCTTCAGGGCCGGGCCGAGGACGGAGGGGATCTCGGAAGGAAAAGGTGCTTTAGAAGAGCTCGCGGGGGGTGAGTAGAGGTTTTTGTTCTTGATGTGATGGGGGGTGCTTTGATATGTGCTTTTTTTGTGGAAATGCTCAAGGACTTGGGATTTAGAATGGGTGCGTGCGACAAGGTTGGGCAGTAAACTGGTGACGAGACAAATCAAGCTTTTTGACTTTTTCTTGCCATTTTTTCTTCCTTCGATGCGACAGGACAGTCTTTTCGTTCTGAGTGCAGTGTATGGTGCAAAAGGTCTTGTTCGACTCTCGACAGTTTAGAAGACGGTAGGATCATGGTGGTTGAGATAATGCATTGTGTGCCTCCATGGGCTACGACAACATGGGCCGAATCGAAAAAGAAAAAAAAAACGGTGCAAAAAAGAGTGACCGATAGGGGTTTCGAACCACAACCCTCCAGAGTTTGACCTCAAGAGCTTCCGCTTTGGTGGTCAAGTCCGGCCGACGGCTAGAACACCAACGTTTGTTGCTCACCATACGTAAACAAAACAAAACGGCCCTGCAAAAAGATTGGAATAGAATATCTAATCGAGAATCGTCAGAAAGAAAAATGGGGGGAAAAAGTAGATTCGAAAAGGCAAAATGGTAAACTATTGCGATATATCGCGCTGCGCAGGGAAGCCAGGCTGCTACAGTCTGTAAATAGTAATTGCTTCCATACAGGAGCAGCCACACTCTGACCACTCGGCCAAGTGTACTTACTCCCGTACCCCGTCAGACAATGTGAGTCTGTTGGGTTATGAAGTATAGTCGTGGCGGGCTGCGCCCTTGGTGTGTGGGCGGCGGGGCGGTTGCCTGGTGACGGTACCGGATGTGAGGTGAAGGTAAAGTCTGGCTGGTGGGGGCTATGAATACCTAGAGACGGATCTTGAGGCCGTACCTTTTTTCCGTCTTCGATAACGCCTTCTTGCTTCCTTCCTGCATTTGGTTAGACAGTATATCGTTGGCGTTCAGAAATGTTGTTGCTCATGACATGAGCTTCTTCAAGCAGATCACGAGGCGATGTGACAGGTTATGTCCAAGTGACAAAGCTGTGTTTGAAGATGAACCATGAATTCAGTGTTGATGTGGCATCCTTGACCTGCGGGAGAGCGCCATCGAGGAAGAAGCTCCAGAGCGGGAAGGTGCCTTCCTCACCAACTCCTGCCTTCTCCTGCGACTTTCATAGGTTCCCCTGACTGAACGATTAAGAACTAAACTTTTGGTCTCTTTATTGATGACTTTTCCGGCCGCTATTGTACCCTGTTTCTTGAAAAATTTATTACAATGGTGCGCCAGGGGATCCTGCCTAGTTCACGTACTGTTTTGGTGAACAGCCCTCATAAACGTGAACTCATTTGAGATATGAGTGAGGCCGGGGTGCGGACGCCTCACAAACTCATCACAGCGGATTAGTACGCGCTCAGGCATCACTCGAATTTATCATTGGCCTGGTGAGGATGAAAACTCACGCTGCACTTCTTCCACATGAGACAGGGATGAGAATTCGAAATGGAATTCGACTTGTCCTACCAGTGGCAGATTACCTTATAGCTAGAGCCAGCCCCTCGGTCGGGATGCTACGTCGCATCGGCCAACGCACCGATCGATCTATGATATCTGGTACCACGATCCACGATTCCATTGGTATCGTCTGGAGGTCCTTCGACGAATCACGAACCTTTCCACCGCTGCGGGCCCATCATGCAACATCACCTTCACCTCACCACTCATCGTCCCGACTACCCATCAGCTTCCAACACGCATCTTTTGCCATCTTTCTCAAGACCACAGGCACCTGGAACCCCCTGAACACGCACACAATGTCGCCAGGTGTATCATCTCCAGGCGAGCAACGCCTAGATGCCTCGCTTTGCCTCTATCTCTCGATCTCTAACATCCCGCGGTCTCGACGGTGCCAGTCGGCGATGCCCTCTTTCACCCGGCCTTGGGCCCCAGCCGATGGTCCATTATGCACGCTCCACCTAAGAGTCCGGGTCAGCCAAGGGTCCTCGACCTCGAACCCTGGGACGAAGCGCTTGGACAAACTGCAGTTGACTGCCTCGTCGCCGCTGTCGTCCAGGCTAAGGAACCCAAACACACGACAGTTAAGGGCTCATAAGCGAATGCGCACTCAACCAGGTTGATGGTACTGAATGCAAGTCATATGTCCTCGTCATACGGGCCAAGCCACGAGAACATAAGCTCTACGGCGGAGTAGATCTGGCGCATCTGCCTCTGCCTCTCTCACAACTTTGATATGGCAGTCTGCGCCGGTCTGTTCGATCTGCTTTCCGAAAGGACTTGTGATAAGTTCAATCGATACCATTTTGCACATCGACAGATTACAGATGTAAACACTGGGCTAACAGGGCGCGTCGTGCCGGTGCCCATCCTATTACGGTTAGCTAGCGGAGGGAAAGCAGGGAACAAGGAATCGTGATGTTTGAACACCGACCGCTTGCAACTGATGACAGGGCATCCCATTGGATGCACATGCCACTTGTGCGCCTGCCACAGGGCGGCACCGCCCGAGATCACTCTCCACTGCCCATTACCGGGTCTCCCCCATAACGCTCGAAACTCAATTCTGGACCTTTCTTCCAACTACATACCACGACCACTGCTAAACGATAAGTCCACGTTCATGACCAGTACCGCAGCGCGACGAATTGTTACCAGAAGCTGCCCAAATCTCTTCAAGTGCAAATAATGCGATGATAAGTTGGTTGGTTGGACGGACAAGAAACGGTATGGATCTGTTCCTACATCTCCCTCCCTAGCTAAAGCCCAGAAGCGCTCATGATTGGTCAAGCAGGCTGCAGACACATTGCGCCATAACGGTCATGAGATTCGCCGCCGATCTCCTTAACCGTTGTACTAGTCACATGTCAGGCGTCAAAAAAAGCCGCAAAGATGGCCTCGAGGCATTCGAGAAGAAGCATAGCGGGCTCGGTGTGCCCCGGACGTGGCCGACCCCTGAGCCTTACCAACGGCCAGGACATACATGCATGACATGACCAAATACCTCGGTCAGGGAATGCCAGCCGGGTGCTTCATCACCATAGACCTGCCGACGACACCCAGTCAGGTCACCCGTCGCGTAGAGCTCATGATGTATCACCGAGGAACGAGCGATGGACCGGGGTGCAGCGGAGACCATCCTGGTCGGCCGATGCATCTCTCAGGGTATTGGGGTTGCCTCAGTGATGATACCAGCTCGACGACCCAAGCTAAGGATGCTCGCAACATGTCAAATCAGAAGACGGGGAAAAAAGAGCCCAGCCTAACTGTGGCTGGGCGCCTTTCCAATCTGCCTTCATGCAGGCGGCCACCCAACCAGACAGGGGCACACTAGCCACACCTCGCAGGACGGCTTTTCACCCTCCTTGGCAGCGTTCCGGGCACCAGCCACAAGTCACCCCGAGGATACTGAACGGCCTCTCCGCGACCGTCCTGGCTTCAGTCCGAGAAAAGACCTCACTCTGCAGACGACTGGCAAGCGGGCTGCCTCTTTGACCGCTCATGCAACGTTCTAGAGCCTCGGCGGCCTCTAAGAAGCAGGCACGGCGGCCTTGAGAGATACTCTTCCGACATGCTTGTGGCTGGTACTATGCATATCAGACGGAATCCGGCCAGTCTCATCACACTTCCGGAACTTATGTTTCCCAGTCGACACGCACGAGCTTCTCTTAAAGGAAGGTGTGGAAGAGGCAGAGAATCATTGGAAGACTTCGCCGGGAAATAAAAGGACTGCCTCGGGCGTTGCCCCGAAGAGTATAGTGCCGTGAGTGGTTTAGATGAACCCTCCCCTTGACTTGCCACAAACCGGGTCCTTGGGTCGTTGTATGGAGTCTCGCGGGCCGTAGCCTCATGAGCAGGCCCGTTTGGAGACATGATGACCAGGGGGGAGGTGAGATGTGACAAATTTCTGTTCATCTCTCGTCCCGAGGGCAGATCACCGGCCGGCCGTGGGATAGCGGGCAGAGCCAAGTCGAGAGTGCGAACGACTGGCGGCCCAGAAATGACATCTTGAACGTCTTATCCTAGAAGCGTTCGACCTAGGCCCTTCTTGACACGTTCTCCGCAGTCTCAGAGATACCTCTAATGCTGATTGTTGCTTTCCCCTGTACTGACCGCCATCCTCGACCTCCTCGGCCGCATATATGCACGAGCAGGAGAACAGGAGGACGTCAGGGGAATCACTTATAAGACACTCAGACTTACAATGCCACGCCGCCCATATTGCCAACTTCATTACCACGCCATCAAGACTGATGCGTTGCACCGAGACACCTACTGATCAGTCAACAACACCTGACGATGTCGTCCTCTGGTCAAAAACTCGAGGAGCAAGAGTAAGTAGCCAGGTTTCCTGCCCCTTGGCTGTATCATAAGACGGTGCTGGATTCTGGCCTTTACTAACACTAACAGGAGCCCTGACTCTCCTCGAACCAACCCCCTTGACGCCTACATCCCTATTCAGTCTCAACTCGTCCGTTTCCAGCAGGAACACCCAAGAGACGGCAACGCGCTCGTACTTCTGTCCAACCGTACAAGGGGCGTGAGGTCGTCCATCGAGTACCACACGGCCCGTGCTGCCCACGCCATCGAGTCGTTTCAGCAAAGGTTCGCGGGCAAGCCACTCTCTGGCCCACTGATATCCGCCGCCGGGGAACCCAAGCCTCCCCCGGAGCCCGAAAGACATTGAAGATTAGATGAAGAACCGTCCATGCTTGGGCTAGAGACGTCGACTCGTTCCAGAAGCATACGACACGTGCTGGAAATTGTATGGGAAGGCTGCGGGATAAAGGGCATTACTTAGCGAACCCTTCCACGCCCAGTAGAACCGTCATAATACGGTCCTTGCGGTGGCAGAATCCGGCAAACATAGTCGCTTGGTCCTAGAACAACTCAACTTGTTTGAACTTGGAATCGTCACCGGATCATGATACACTCGATCTTATTATATCTAACTGTTTGCACATCAAGAAAGTTTCAATACTTTGCGCAAGAATTACAGCCGCGATGACCCCATTGGACCCTTGAAGCCCGCAGATCACTAACTCAACTGGGTGAAAAGCGCAAGGCTGGGTTTCGCGGCCGCAGCGCTTTTCCACGTAGGGTATCGTGACAACCGCCAAGCATGGGACCAGACGTCTAACGCATAATCGCTAGGCCCAAAGACACCACCTGACTTGAAACGTTTTCCAAGGAAGTCAAGCCTGCATATGTGGGAACGAGACAACGGGCATAGATTTACCCAATTGAGCTGTGAACGAAGTATGCAAGGAACCAGCAAGCGGGGTTGCCAGCGCTTGCAGGCTTGGGTATGATGATAAGCAGGCATCTGGGCACAACAGCCTGCGCAATGCGTGTTTAAGTGCCGTTTTCCCTCATTGGAATTTCTTGTCTCTACTCAGGTGTCGCCTGGCGAAACGGGAATTGGCCGTCTCGACACCATGACAGAGAAGATCGAGCATTACGAGACTGGCGTACGATTCTGCCACGGTGGAGAGGTGAAGATGGTGCCTCGTCTGTACGCGGCGCTAGGGTGAGTGGAGTTGCGTGAAGCAAACATTGAAGTATCCACGTGCCACGGTATGCCTGTGGATTCGCAGTTTATCAAAATCCATGTTCGCCCGGAACGTCCCAAAGAATAGCCCCGGTCAACTTGCATATGCAAGTGAGGTGATAAATGCGGAATCGGCCCAATCACAGCATGACGGTCCGCAGCTCCTTGCTCCAACAAACATTCAGCAACACGCGGGCGAGAAGACATGGAGACATGGGTCAACATAACGAGGAATCTTCCTGTTTTGGAAGGACCTTGAAGAAGCACACTTTAAAAAGGACGGGTTTCCCCTCATCTGGGGGTTCTCATCGGAAATCCAGATAGTTCTCTCTTTCATCGAGACAATTGTAGACAGCAACTCGCCAAGATGGCCACGCAGACGCAACAACCAGAGGGAGAGGTATTGCCCGCCGACCAGACGCAGCAGCCAGAGGAAGAGGTATTTCTTATAATGCACTCATGGCGTACTACGCTGGCGATCTCAAGCTGACTCCTGCAATAGGATCCTTGGGGCGATGATGGTGTTGACGTCGGCGACTCCGTGAGTGACTTACAGCTCCACGCCGACTAACACACAATGAAGCTGACAGTCCCAAGGCGGACGACGGGTCAGTGGCTTCCGTTAGATCCAGTATCATGGATTACCGCCGAGAGAACGGACGGACGTACCACCGGCACAAAGACGGAAGTAAGTAAAATTTTGAGTTGGCGCGAGGCTCATATGCTAACTAGGTCTCGTCATCTAACAGAATATGTCATGCCGAATGACGAGGTATTGGCTCATGGTTTATTTGAATACGAGACGCTTTCTAACACGGTCACCTAAGAGAGAGCAGGATCGGCTGGGTAAGTACTACTGTGCCACTGGTCAATGTTGAACCGAGCTCACACTTCTACAGATTTAGCGCATAACCTTTGGTTGTTGACTTGGGACGACAAGCTTTGCAACTGTCCCAAGGTCAACGGTGCCAAACGAGTTCTGGATGTCGGTACTGGTACAGGAATTTGGGCCATGGATTATGGTAAGTAAGCCATTATGGTGGAATGTACGCTATGACTGACTTGGATGCAGCGGATGAACACCCCGAAGCATCAGTGAGATGAATACACAGTATTTCCGGCTCCAGAGAACCAAGTGACTGATTTGGCGAAAGGTTATCGGAGTGGACCTGAGTCCAATTCAATCCAACTAGTTAGTACCTACTAAATACACCATGGGGTTGTTTAGCTCACTGAAAGGAATCACGCAGTGTACCTCCCAATTGCTCATTTCAAATCGACGATATTGAGGAAGACTGGACTTGGTCGCAGCCATTTGACTTCATATTCTTCAGGTCGATGACGGCATCTTTCGCCGACTGGCCAGACACGATTGCCCAAGCTTACGAGTGAGTATATTTGACGCAGCAGTGTATACATGTATCGATTGTCGTAATAGCACTGACCAATCTCTTTCTTTATTGCTAGAAACCTTGAGCCAGGTGGCTACATTGAACTGCAGGATACCATGTTTCCACTTAAATGCCAAGACGGCCCAATGCCAGACGACTGGGCACCCAATAAGTGGTCTAACCTACTTGTTGAAGCGAGCGTTAAAGGCGGGCGGCCAAACAATACTGCTGCAAGCTTCAAGAAAATGCTTGAGGATGCAGGCTTTGTTGACGTTGTGGAGCGGAAGGCCATATGGCCTTTCAACCCATGGCCTAAGGACAAGAAGCTCAACGAACTGGGTTTATGGTGTCAGCATAATGCGTTCATGGGAATTGAGGCTGCATCGATGGCAGTCTTCACTCGAGTGCTTGGCTGGACCGCAGAAGAGACGACTGTGTTTTGTGCTGAAGTCAGAAATGAGCACAAAAAGATAGGAGTTCAGGCCTATTATGATATGTAAGTCAAAACATTTCATCTATGTGATAAGGAAATGGCTAACTAATGGACCAGATACTCGGTATGGGGGCGTAAGCCTGAGAAGGAAGATGAGACGGATGAGGCGTAACAGCTCAGCGAGGGTTCGCTGGTGGTGGCCTTGCGTAGGGCCATGAAGCTCATCCCGAAGTATCTCACGCCAGATGCGTCATCGTTGGCAAGTGACCAGGTGGATTTACGGTTTCCTGGTATAATGCGACTGCATTTCGAGATGCTAAACGTCTATGACAAGTACGCAGTATCAGTTTGTTATTGATTTTCAAATACTCTCCCCAACGAGGCCTGATGGCCTGTTGAAACGAATATCTTCAGTGACGAACGTAACACATGCTTTTGAACTGGTCAGTACCCTGCTGTGGTAGCAGGTCACCTCGACCATCAACCATCGCCAACCCAACTGCCTAACAAAGATACGAGCGAAGGCCTCCCAATATTCGCTCCCGACTACCAAGTCTGGTGTGCTCTGTGGCATCTGGTACTGTAGCCAGCACCACCCGGAAACCTGAGAAGGGCTCAACAGGCAGAGGGCACACGGGTGGGGAGTCACTGTATCTCTCTGCGTCGAACGGATTAACCCCTCAATTGAAACCAGATGTTTTCTCATATTTCAGGGCATGTACAACAGATCCCATAGCTTCCGCGGGGTTCTTGTTTGGTTAGTTCCCAAGGTGCCAAGGGAGCCCCGAACCCTGCATGCTCCGACTTTTCTGCACCCGGAGATGCGCTCTATTGCGGCAATATCGTCCGGGGAATACACTTAGCCGGATGCTGAACCCGTTCTCGCCTATGCAGACCCATAATGACAAAGTTATCGCAGACCAATCAACTTGTCATGAGTTGCGTGAGTGTAACTGGGTGAACCAACAGACACGGCATACAAGCGGGGGCGGTCGCGCATATGGATGGAGACATCAACAAGGGGGCGTTCCCCTTATTGGAAGGACACAGCATGGGACTCATCAGATTGCTTTCCCCTCATCTGGTTCTTCACTTGACCTCGGCTCTACACACTCCATTTATAACTGCAAGAAAACCGATCCCCAGTACAGCAGAACTCCATGGCCGATAATACGCAACAGCCGGCAGCTGAGGTGAGCTTATCAGAGCCCTGCATGGTTGTATGCTTTGTCGTAGTAACCACGGAGCTGATATCAACAACACAGGGCTCTCACGATGACGATGCGTCCTCCCTCGGTGGCTAAGTTAGTTGCCCCTCTTGGACTGGGTTGTGGATCTTGTGGCTCAAATCACATTAGTCCTTCGACAATTCGCTAGCCTCTTTGCACTCTAGCATTCTCGAATATCGTCGAGAGAACGGCCGGACTTACCATCGTCTCAGCGATGGAAGTGAGTGGTTCTCATGTTGATATCGAGTGCGGATACTGAGGCAACCTTCGTGCGTAGAATAGATGACTTCTAATGATGAGGTATGCCTTGGCGGCTCACCCCCGTACGAGGCTGTCTCTGATGTAATAGGATTCTATAGAGGGAGTAAGACCGCCTGGGTACGTGTCTTTTCAGAAGAGCTTTGCCAACAGGTACTGTCTTTTTTTACAGACCTAAACCACCATCTCTGGATTCTGACCTGGGACAATAATCTGTGTCTCAGCCCGAAGAATAACGGTGCCAAAAGGGTTCTAGACGTCGGCACAGGCACCGGAATCTGGGCTCAGGATTACGGTAAGCGATTTCTCCACACTGGGTTCTGCGCATACTGACCTTTGTGACAGCCGATCAGCATCCTGGAGCAGCGGTCTGTCCTGTCAAGTTACAGCTCAGGCCCAAGAGAGAAATGACTGGTGTGTAGGTTATTGGCGTTGATCTGAGCTCAGTCCAGTCCGATTTGTAGGTGACTCTTCAATAGATAGACTCTTATAAACCCATCTGATAAGCATCTTTAGCGTGTCTCCTAATTGCAGTTTTGAGGTTGATGACAATGAAAAAGAGTAGACTTGGGGGGTGCCTTTTGACTTCATCTTCATCAGGAACATGTGTGGGAGCTTCTCCAACTGGCCAGATGTGATTGCGCAGGCGTACGAGTAAGTGGATGTCATGATACTGATATAGTTTTGACTGCGCTGACTTCTATGGCGGGAAACAGAAACCTTGAGCCGGGCGGCTACCTTGAGCTTCATGACAATATGTTCCCACAGACGTGTGACGATGACACCATGACTGAGGACTTTGTGCCCTTGAAATGGACAAAGTGTATTGTCGAGGCTACTGATAAGATAGGCCGCGTAATGACTGCTGCTGCTAGCTTCAAGAGTATGCTAGAGAATGCTGGCTTTGTGGATGTCGTTGAGAAGAAAGCAAAGTGGCCTTTCAACCCGTGGGCCAAGGACGAGAAACATAAGGAGCTTGGGTATTGGGCTCAAGAATCTGCCCTGAAGGGAATCGAAGCCATCTCGATGGCAGCGTTCACTCGTGTCCTCAATTGGAGCCCCGAAGAGGCGAGAGTCTTCTGCGCCGAGGTCAGGAACGAGCACAAGAAGATTGGAATTCACGCGTACTACGAAGTGTGAGTATATAGCAGCGAATACACTGCTCACTGAACTGAGATGACTAACCAGTGGATTAGTTATGTCGTCTGGGGCCGGAAGCCTGAGGAGACGGAAGAGAAGGAGGCGAGCCATCCCTAGGTTAGGACGATGACGTCTTACACAGAATCCACGGACTCCGTATTTGGTCTGTTCTTGTTACTGCAATAGAGACGTTTGATAAAACGTGTATGTCTGAGATGACAAGGCTGGAACGTTCAGACGTCCTCGAGGGGGTTCGGCACCTTCGAGCTATAGCTAGGTTTCATGTTCAGTAACAATGATCATGCGTCTTTTGGCAGAAGGTTCCATTGCAAGTGAGAATCTCTCAGGCATTATGATGGGTGTTGAAGGCTGCAGGTTTTTGTGTGAAGTGTGTTCGTCGATATCTCATACATACCTTGAAGGCTTTCCCAGTATGAAGCCGAATGCTTTTCGACCGTCCAAATTCCCCCCATTAGTCTTCATACCAGTTGAAAAATATCCACTCTCTACTTAACTCTCACTATACCTCCGACGCGATCTCTCTAAGGCGGTTCGATGAAGCTCCCAATCATGGCAGAGGCCAGTTGCAGATATGCCCACACCACTCCGTGTGCGGCTGTAAGTACGTCACCACGTGATGCTGAGAAAAAGTTCGAGTACTCGAGTTGCAACGTTCGAAGCGCGTGTATTTTTCATAGAGTCTGTTCCCTTTTAGAACCAAAAAGCAGTTGTATGAGGGCCTCGGTCCTTCGCTGACGACTGGGCGAAACACTGTCGTAAAAGCAGGCACTCATTTTGCCGGCACAACGACCCGAGACGGACCATGTGGACTGCGGGAGGCGCATGTCAGCGCCGCCATGTGGGACAATCAACTGTAAGTGGTTTCCAAGGCAGCCCGCCTCCCCGCCGCCAGTCTTTCGTCCACCTACCCGGGCACTCGAATGTGAAAGAGTGCGACCTGAGCTATCCTCATACAGCCGAGCATGTGTAGGCATCTCTCCGTCGTTGCGGCTCCGCTTCCAGCCTCTGTCCTCGAGTAACAACCATAAACCCTGCGGCGGGTAGGGAAAAAGCAATGAGCACCCACGGCTCCGTCATTCGCCCTCCTATCCCTGGTCTGCCCAATACCCTTGCATATCAATTTGAAGCATGTACCATCCGTACATGTACACGTGTATTTGCAAGAGCGTGCAATCAGGTACCTACCTAGTTGCCCGTTCCAGACAAGGCACCTTCAAGACCGGTGGGCTTGTCTTCTTGCACCACAATCTTAGACAGGCCAGGCCCTTGGTTGTGTACATCCATTATATTTGCAATGCAACTGCATCTGACACCCATCAGGTACTTTTTATTTTACTTTTCAGCGTTGTATCAATGAGGTAGCCATTACTGTGTCTATGCATGGACACATCACTCAACTACATAAGCAACCTAAGGTCGAACGTTGGGGCGGAGGCTGTCAAAAAGACCAGAGGTATCATGTCCTAAATCGGGTTCTTACGCAAAACATGATATTCTCCAATAAATAATAAATAACATTGGTCACCTGCATGGGTAACGAGCTGGCTGCGTGTGTGTGCGCGCTTGTCCGGCTGCTGCTGAGTGCTGGTGCCACTCGTGGTGATGTCGTCCCCCCTGTCGGACATTGGTCAACACCATGGTCCATCCCCCCTTGTCGGTCCACCCCCGCCCTGGGAGGGAGGTGATAGGACAGAGAAGCTAGGACATAAGACTCCCAAACGGTGTGTGCGCGCTCGGAGGCGGGCGGACGGGAGTCCCTTGGTGTTTCCCATTGGTCAGCCATCAGGCAGGCATTGGTGGCAGACAAGCGGTAGAACAGTCGCCTTATGGAAAACGGCCAACGGGAGGGTATACGGGACAAGGATATGGATACTATGTGCAGAGTCCAAGGTAAGCCAGCATCTCAGAATATAAAGTCTTTTGCTATCCTACCGATTCATCTTGACTATGGATTGCTTGTGCCATCCTTAGATACCCTTTCTTCCAGAGTTTGACCTAAATCCAGCACTCTATTCCTTCAAATCCGAACTTTAGCATATACAACAGCGGGTGATCCTCCCCAGTGAACAGCCATGGACACAACTTCAAACACGTCCATCGTCAACGGGTATGAGACCCCCGACTTTTCTTTTCCTTTTTTTTCCCTTTTTGTTTTCTTTAAAAACACTCGACGTTATTTTCTTAGCTAACCTGTTATTCCCCTAGTGACGCCTCCTCAAGCCGCGCCGCCGACCCCAACGAGACCCGGCGCCTCCAGGACCAACGCTTGCAACTCTTCCTCGGGGATGATGAATCCCCTAACCCTATGCTGCCTCGCACGACGACCTCCGACGAGCAGCACAAGAAGGAAATGTCCGAAAAAATCAACAAGACCATGTCCAAGGCCCAGAAACGAGTGACCTGATTTGCTTTCGCTTTTAATACTTGGGTGACGAAAGTACCCGCGCATCATCGAGACTGAAACAGTGAGTACTCGACATGCTTTACGGGTGGAAAAAAAAGTGGCTTACACGGGTGATTGACTATGCAGACCCCAAAGCCCCAAAATGTCACCTCCCCTGTGGTGCACGGCGCGGCGGCAGCGCGAGTCCGGCACGGCCCCACTCCGCCGTACCCGTCGTTGTGGACCCGGACCCGAAACTCTAATACACCTGGGAGAAGAGGCGTGAACGTCTTCTCGGAACACTTGATGCGGACGTAAAATGGGTACCGCAGACGTCGTGCATGGCTAATGCGACATCCAAGTACCTTCGAGGTCAGCCAGCGCCATTGGCTACCGACTGCCGACCACAGCGTGCGATCACAGTGATAGGCGCTCTGCACACAGGCAACCCACAGTGTTGGAACCAAAATCCCCCAACAGTACGGAGTACTCCCCAACCCATATCCCCTAACCCATATGCCCCCAAACATATCCGTACAGTGACATGTAACAAGTTTGGGCTCACCACACAATGTGCCACCTTGAATAGGTAAGCCCAGACTTATTACATGTCACTGTACCCTTCCACCCCGTCCCCTCCAAACACAATCGTTTCGATTCGACACCCACGCGCAAGCCACACTCTTCGGAAAATCCCCGCCCCCAAGCGCAGGAGGCTTGCACATAAGCTCAAATCTCTAGCCGGCGCCAGAAGCCACCCGTGAGGCCGTGGCAACTCACGACGATTGCCTTTGGGAACGAGGCCCTTGTCAAAGCGCGCCTTCGCCCCCCCAACGGCGCGCCGCAAGGACGCATGATGCAATCTCCCGTCCCGCAGCCCAAACAACGTTGGATCGGGACGAGTGCAGATGTCACGGTCGCATAGCCGAGCGTTCGTTGGGCGGCTTCTGAGCAGGGAATCATCACAGCTGGGCGGTAGGACCTTCTCCGAGAATACGGCTGTGTTTGTATACGTGTGCCTATTTGCAATTCAACAATTATATAATACGACAAAAAATGGGAGCCCTCCTTCGAAGCCCCCCTTCTCCCAAACTCCGTGGATATCATGCAGTGCCCATAGTCGTTCAATCGTGATGTTTTTTTTTGTTCTTTTTGTAATTGGTTGTTTCCAAGCTCAGCTAGTCCTGGTTTCCCGCAGTGAGAGGATATAAGGCAAGTCTGTCGAGTCTGTCCGCGTTGCTAAGCGGATGACGGAGCCCGAGGTAGAGCTGCCTGATGCCCTCGATCTCAGACTGGCGTTTGATGAGAATTGATGGGGGCCGTATGCCTGCCGAGTCTGGGCGAAGCTGTTCAAGCTCGAGGACCTCGATATTGCCCCGGCTAATGTGCCCAACGGGGTTGCGGGCGCGGTACGATACTGAGCCCATGTATTGGCCGACGAGTTGCGCGCATTCAATGCCGGCCCTCTCCTTTTGTAGGACCCTTGCGTGCTCTGCGTTGCAGACCGAGATAAGCTGCGTGGAGTGGTAGGGTTGGTGGCCATGGGCGCATCGTTGTCAATGTCGCTGTCCGAGACCTCGCCAGGCTCGTCCATAGGCCCCAGGACCGCGGGATCTAGAGGTCGCATGCCGCGTAGTATTGCAGCAAACAAATGCATGACTTCGCGGAACTGAGCATTCGATATCGGCCGTGTCGAGAAGCGCGCATATTCGTATGTGGAGAGAAAGTCCGCGGTCGTTGCATTAAGCGAGATGACGCCCAACTCAGCCAGATGACTGAGATAATCGCGCAGACTCATGGGTAAAGGCCGCTGCAGTAGAGCCACGGCATCGGCATCTAGCATCGGTGGGTGGGCGTGAGAGGAAGGGTCGGGAGGCGCCAGCGTCAGGGCTTTCGCTTCGATTAGGTTCGGTAGTTCGGAGAGGACGGTGCTGTATTGCAGATCCGGTAGGTCGATCGAGTTTGGGGATGCCCACCCGTAGTGTTCGATTTCGCCCCAAACAGGTCGTCTCGGTGGTAGCGCGATGCCGGTTTCTTTCTCCGTTGTTGCCGGCTTTTTCAATGTCGGGAGCTGGAACCGCTTCCTGGCCGCACTACCACCAGAGTTCTGCTTCTCCGCCAGCACGTCTCCCATGTCGCTACCCAACAAACTCGTTTCGATCCGCGGCCGCGCGTCGTAGGCGATGGCTGCGCTGCGCTTCAGGTCGGCCGTGATCATCTCGTGAACCTTTTTGTTCACGTCGCCCTTCTCGATGGGAACCCATGATTTCGGTATTGATGCGAGGATCGTCTTGTTGAGATACAGCCGCGTCGCATAGATGAAGGAGACGATGAGGAGGGTGAGGACCAGAGTAGCGGCAATGATCCATATATTATATGGCTGGTTGTTCGAGTAGGCCTGGTAGATGGTGTCGCCCGGGGTGATGAGGAGGAGTAGAGTAAGTAGGAAGCAAAGGACAAAGTAGAAACTACCGTATATGAAACGGAATATCGCCCGTGGAGAAAACATCGGGAAGAATTTCGAGGGAGGGGAAGGCTCCCAGCGTTGAGGACTCAACCCGGGAAGCGACGAGTTTTCAGGTTGGGGATCATGGGCGGGCGAGCCAATGCATGAGAAAGTAGCACAGACAGTAAAAGCATGGCTGGGTGGAAAAAGAGCCGGTTCGAATAGCGTGAAGCGCAAAGTGACCAAGCTAAGAGGAGGGGTCGATGTTAGACATTACATAGAGAGAGAAAAAAGAGGGTATAGTATGGTTGAGAGAGGGAGGAAATGGGGGTTGGTAAACAAGATTAAAAAGGGCGGGTTGAAGGTGATGACGAGCAGGACGGGACGGGGGAGGTTGGCTGGGGTCGTTCATTTTGTTTGATTTCGCTAATGGGCTCAGCCATAGCACCTGCTTGACCTTCCACAAAGCTCAAGTGGGGGTACCACATCCCATGCGGACCCTTGTAGCTCACAGGCTTTCCTTGCCGTCTTCCGGTTCGGAATGCAGCCTAGCGGCAACGGGCACTAACTTTTCGGATTCCAGGCGCTCATAGACAACCATCACAATGGGATGGACGGGCTGGGAAGGAGAATGGGCCTTCGGCATAATGAAAGATCGATTCATTTTGTCCCATCCTGCTGGCTTGGGCGGAGGCATGAGCCCATCGTTAGCGTCCACTGTCTCACACGCATGGTCGTGCCCAATCGCCGGCATCCAATCGTCTCATGTCCTTCCTCTCTGCCGGCCGACTTGCGCAGAAAAGGCATGGCTTGTGCACCTTGATCGCATGTGACAAGAGGAAACTTGCGGTCACGGATTATCAGATGCAGTCTGGACTGTGTTTTACCGACATTCCTTCTATGATACACGTTATGCATGTGCCCTTTTGCCCGCCCAACGCCCTCACAATCCACGCTGGTAATATTGCCTTACTACATATGACACAAACCGCTCCTAGCGTGTCTGCTGCATCTCGGGAAGTCGAGGCTTGTCCTCTCTCAGGGAGACCTGTTGGCCTGCGGCCTCCTTCGCCAGTCTCATGTCCGTGCGAGTCAACCTCAGGTCACTGCTGTAAGGTTCAAACTCGGCAATCACCTGGGTCAAGCCTGTCTTCAAGGCTGAAATCAGAGCATCCACCTCCGGCGCGGCTCTGTTCTGCTCGATATCGGTCCAATGGACTGGAAAGTTGGCCTTGAACGCCTCAATCTTGCTGATGACTGTGGTGAAAGTCCTGATGATGGTAGGAATGTCCTTGTGGACCTTGCCGAACGTATCCTCCATAAGGCTGTGTACAGCCAACAGGCTGAGCACATCGGCCGCATTGACGTATTGGCTCAGCTCTGAGTAGGGTGTTCCGAGCACAACGGCGGTGAGTCGGTTCCGGAACTCTTGGCGGAAAACCCAGCCGACGTACTCGTTGCTGATGACCTTCAGAGCCCATGTCTGGAACTGGCTCTTCAGTTGAGGCGATGACAATGCCTCTTGCTGTTCCTTGCTCAAAATCTTATCACGAGCGCCTCGGAGCGTCTTCTTCGCCACGGGGCTGAGCTGTGATATAGGCGAGGCGCCGGAATGCCGCCCAACTTGGCTGAGAGCCTTCTCCATCTCGCCGCGCACCGTCCTGTTGGCGGGCTTGCTCTGGTAAATTGGGTCCTCTTTCAAAGGAGCTGAGGAGCGAGCCCGCGCTTCTTCAGGCTGGACAGGAGCAACCGGAACAGCCGCAGGCTTCCCGTAGTCATCGATTCTGTTCTCGACACTCTTGATGACATTGAGGCAGTGGACGTAGATCTGGGACCACGTGGAGCCATCCTTACGATCGATGTCCTGGAAGATGGCCTTGCGCCTGCCTTCGTCATTGCGTGCGATGTACGCCAGCTCCCAGAGGGCAAAGCACTGCGTTTGTTAGCTAGGGCACCACACAAGAAACCTCATCCACCCAGATGCACTCACCCGAATCTGGTCTTTCTTGCTCTTGAGTCCGTTGAGAAGACTTCCGTTCGGATCCTTGGATTCGCTGGTGAGAGGCTTGCCATTCTTGAGCGGGGGCTTCACCATGAATGTCGAAAACGCATGGTTCGCCGTCTTCCATACGATGTTGAGGAGGAAGCCGGCTACAGCGCAACGGAAAAACAAAGGCATGTCCCAGGGCTGAGTAGGCGGCAGCATGTTGGTTTTCGGGATGTTGTAGAACGGTCGCAGGAAAAATAATGCCCATCCCCAGACGAAGGACCGCAAAAGCAGCATGTGAACCACGGCGGCAATGGGAGCGACGCTGAGGCATCGAACACTAGACTGGATAAGGATCGCAGGCACTTCGCCCAAGACCTTGCTCAGCGAAGCATCCCCCGAGGCCTTGGCTTCGTCTCCCTCGGACCTCGACACGTCGATGATGAGCTTGTCGGTGTCGTGGTAGAAGTGGAAGATGGCCTGGACAACAGCGCTGATACCCATGTAGCAGTAGAAACACAGCATTCTCTCGTTCACCCTGGCGCGCTCGCCCCCACTATAGTACGTGACCCATCCCAAGTTGGCGCTCTCCGGTAGGGACCACAGGTACACATGGCTAAAAAGCGCGCTCGAGAAGCTGTAGAAAAGAAATGCCTCGAGGGTGTGGATGCTGAAAAAGAACTGTGTGAACGTGTGGAAGGTTGAGTTGGAAGCGCGGGCGCCGACGTGGTACTGGGCAATACGCAGGACCAGGATCGACAGGCCGCAGGTGAAGAGGAATATCGTTCGGAAGCCAGCGGGGCCAATGGGGAACCAAGACCAGAAATCTGGAGGGAACATGTCAGTTGAGAAGCTTTGCGAGCTTGCATCGTCTGGGCGACTACTCACAAGAGCTCCAGCCAGAGAGCAATATGGCTTGGACGTAAGATAGACCAAGGAGAATGGTCGCGGTGGAAGAAAATCGCCTTTGAAGCGCAGGCTGCAGAAAATCCTTATAAGGAGCCCTTCTGACTATTGCCGGTGCCATGCCGAAGTTGCATGGTCATCGAGACCGTGTTTTTGGGACGAGGTTGACGAGGCTGCACGTGGACTGTGCCGTGGCCTGGATCTGTCTGGAAGTAAATTATGTAAAAATCTCCAGTGCAACAACAACTGCAGCTCCGGATCCAGCTCACTTGAGCACCGACGTCCCTGGGACCCACCAGGAGCAAGGAATGAGCCACGCTAATCACGTGCAGATAAGATACAATCAGGCACCACAATTGCGAAAGCGAGCTGATTGGGTGGGGGAGGCACGTTGCGTAGTGTTCCAGCCACAGCCTACGACGACATACCGGTCGGTTCCTGTCGTCATGACGAGTTTAATTACCCACCCACCCTTCAACTTGTCAACGCTGATCCAAGTCGCCTCAGGAATCGAAACGACACCATTTCTTTGATACCTTTTACTTGTGGTTTCTTGCATTTACCATCGTCGCCATGTCATTCGACCAGCTATCATCGCTTGAAGCTGGCCGATCGGGCCGCCAGGGCAACTACTCTGATGACCCCGAATTCAAGCAACTTCAGTCCCAGTTGACAAACAAGATCTTCAACCTGCGGCGCAACATCCAGCAGCTCACCACCGATGTCAACATCCTCGGAACGAAGCGCGACACCCCCCGCGTCAGGGAACGGGTCCACGACCACCTCGAGAAGACCCGAGACCTCTGCAAGGAGATTGGAGATGGAGTCAAGAAGCTTCAGACCTGGGACGATTTGACGGTTCGTGTCAACCAAAGCCTCGGCGCATAACCTCTGCTAACGCGAAATCCAGAAACAACAAAAGTACGAGCAGTCCAGAATATCGACCGACTTCCAGAACGTCCTCCAAGAATTCCAAGATATCCAGAGAAAGGCCCTCGAGAAACAGCGGGCGTCTGTCACAGCCGCGCGCGCAGCAACCGAAGGCGAGGCGCCAGACGCTTCGGCCGGGGCTGGGGAACGCCTCGAGTTACAGCAGCAGCAGGAGGTCAGCCGTCTTGCGTCGCAGGATGAGGTGGACTTCCAGGAGGCGCTCATCATCGAGCGCGAGGAGGAGATCCGGAACATCGAACAGGGCGTTGGTGATCTGAACGTATTATTCAGACAGGTCGCGCAGATTGTGACGGAGCAAGGGGAGCAGCTCACATCGATCGCAGACAATGTAGAAGACGTGCGCGACGATACCCGCGGCGCCCAGGTCGAGCTCCGCCAGGCAGCAAGGCATCAAAAGGCAGCCCGAAACAAGGGGTGCTGTCTGATGTTGATCCTCGCAGTCATCCTCACCATTGTCATCCTTGCGATTGTCTTGGACTAGTATGGCACTGGGTTTCTGTCTTTGTTTGTTTGCTATTGCTACAGTGGCGTTTCGGTGGCGTCTTGCTTTTATTGTACATCAGGGCTTCTCTGGAGCCGAGGACATAATTCCGAAATAAGTTTTCTTCTCTATCGTGCATCGTCATCACTCATCTATGATACCGGTAAGATCATGGGCTCCTTGCGCCGGCAAGGTTGAACGGCGCGAGGCTTCGGAAATACGACGTCTACCACCTTGCCAGAGACCTGGCTGAAGGCCATGGACGCGGTCCAGTAAAGAAACAGGCCGGCTGGGAGGTTGCTGCAGAGCGCGGGCACGAGGATTGCCGAGACAAGCAGTCCCCTCTGAAGACGAACCCTCCATCTCAGGCCGGGGGCCATGTACACTTGGGAGTTTCCGAGGTCGAACACAAGCTTTCTCATCTCCTCTTGCCTCGGGAACATTGCGTAACCCATCGTCAACATCAGCATTCCGGGCAGGGCCATTGTGGGATCGGCTACCGTGAGATCGGTGAACCACAACATGCCGCCGTTGGCCATACCAGCTTCCACGGTCGAGCCGAGAGACTGCAGGCCGTCCGAGACAGCTTGAACTGAAGATGATAGGGGCGCAGACGCCTGCTCTGAGAGAGATGCCGCCGCATCAGCAGTTGGCTGGGCGGCGTCCCTATAGTTACCCGACAACAAGGACAGCCAGCCTCCACGAGCACCACAAAGCCGCCTCAGAGTTTCGGACATGAGAAACCAGATGGGTATGCCGAGTGCGGGGGCCCAGGCCTTCCAGTTCTGGCATCCTCGTTCCTTGAAGAGCCTTTTCCGAGTCCGGGCTAGTTGCAGAGCATTCGAGAGGCGATTGGAACGGAGTTGAAAACTCCAGGCGTGGAGTAAGGGCATGGCTTCGGCCTGTTTGTTGACAATTTGCTTGGTGATCATCTGGAGTGGCGTTCTGACGACAGTGACGGCAAAGGCTGCAAAGAGGATTGTGGTGCCCCAGTGTCCTGCAGAGCTGAAGGAGTTCAACCAGATGAGAGCCTCCCCAGTAGCTTGGACACTGCTTTCGACACAGGCACCCATGGATAGGTTCCTGACACCTGCCGCCCTCTGGAAAGGGCGCAGCGTCGTCGGTCTCATGTTCGGACGAAGCGAGGCAGACTGTGAAAGCGACTTTGCTGGCGAGCAGCCCAGTGGTTGGCGCAAGCCGGGCGCGACAGCGCAACGCGCCGCTCTGAGGGAAGCCATGATGAGAAGGTCACACGCTCATCAGAGGGCTTTCGGGTTTCGAGTGAGTCACCAAGGGAACGGCAATTCTGACGGCCCGGTCGGAGAGGTTGTGAATTATGATGAATTCCGTATTGAATAGGTATACGGAGTATCTGAGAGTGAGAAGAATCAATGATTGACTCTTAGTGGTCAATGGGAAGCTGCAATAGCGGGTCTGTTCGACTGCTTGAATGAATCTGCCGCCACAGGCCTGGCGGGCGGTGAGGAAAGGTGGGAGAGAGCCATGCAGCAAGTACCTAAGTACCCGAAAGTCTCCTGTTGTCGGTCGACGGTACCTAGGCAGCTGGGCAATGCAGCCCCACCGCTCCCGTCAGCGCGTCACCGTTTAACAGTCCAGCGCAGGTTGGCTCAGCTTGCCGGGCCGGAAAAGACCTGGACCCTTGCGGGGTTCCACTGACCAGTGCCGCAGTACGAGCAAGGAAGGATAACTGCGCTGAAGCTCCCCCATTTTATAGCTTGCAGTACAACCTGGCCTGTTTCCCGTCCATTCTACACCTCATCCCACCACGACGTCAACGGGCGATGCAGAAGCTGGACCAGACCGCCGCCTTCTTCGGCCTCGACCGCCTTTTCTTTTCCTCCTGAACACCACCACGGTCACGTCGCAACGAACGAGAGAAAATAAAACATTTTACACCCATCAACCCCACGACTTCTTCGGCCTCCGATGCCCGAGACCTGCTCAGCGCCGTCTGGGCAAAAGCCCTTTTCCTTCGGCCTCGACCCCTGGACTCTCGTCTACGTTGTCGTACCGATCATTGCCATATCCCCAATAGCCATCTTTATCATGTTCCCCTACATTATGAGAGGTCTTGGGTCTCTGCTGGGACTGTACCTGCGGAAGAAGACAGAGGGAAGGAAGGCGCAGCTCTTGGAGCTCATGAACGCAGAGCAGCAGTCCTTCACACAGACATCTAGGAAGGGTGCAAGCAGTACCAAAGACAATGTGCAGGCACAAGCTTCCGGAAGCTCTGAGAAGAAAGATGCAGACTGGACCGGAGTCGTCGGCTTCTTCCACCCCTTCTGGTACGTTGACCGTGAATGACAAACGAGGGCAGTCACTAACAGCACAAAGCAATGCCGGCGGAGGCGGCGAGCGAGTCCTTTGGGCTGCCATTAAGACCACTCAGGAACGCTACCCGAAGGCGCTCTGCGTTGTCTACACTGGCGATCATGAAGTAAACAAGCAGGCAATGCTTGCGCGCATTAAGGTTTGCCTCCCTGGCACACGCACACACACACACACATACGTACAGCCCCTCTTTTGCGCATGCTAACACGATGTCTCAGACCCGATTCAACATCAACCTCCATCCCCCTTCTGTCAACTTCCTCTACCTCAGCACGCGACACCTTGTCCTCCCCTCGACATGGCCTCACTTCACACTTCTTGGGCAATCGCTTGGATCTGTGGTTTTGGCTTGGGATGCATTCCAGCTCCTTGTTCCAGATATCTTTATCGATACAATGGGCTACGCCTTCTCCTTGGGCCTGTCTAAGCTACTCTTCCGCAGAGTCCCTACCTGCGCCTATGTGCACTACCCCACGATCTCGACCGACATGCTGCAGTCGCTTGACCCCGAGTCTACGACCGGAACACAAGGTGTCAATGCTGGCAAGGGAGTTGGTTTCCGAGGCAAGGTCAAGAAGTTTTACTGGAGATTATTTGCGGCCTTGTATTCCCGGATGGGATCTACTGTCGATGTGGTCATGACAAACTCGACCTGGACCCAAGGTCACGTCCAGAAACTTTGGGGCCCTTACCGCCAGGGCAAGGCCAGAAACTACCCCATCGCCGTCAACTACCCGCCTTGCGCCGTTGAGGAGCTTGAGGAGGCCGTGGAGGTCTCGGAAGCCAGCGAGAAGAAGCGCGAGAAGGCCTTGGTCTACATTGCTCAGTTCCGCCCCGAGAAGAACCACAGCCTTATCATCCAGTCCTTTGCTGAGTTTCTCAAGACCAAGTCCGAAGCCGCCAAGGATGCGAAACTGGTCCTCATCGGTAGTGTTAGAGACGACCACGACTCCAAGCGGGTGTATAAGCTGCGCCTCCTGGTAAACGAGCTCGGCATCAAGGATAGAGTCGAGTTCCACCTGGATGCTTCATGGCCCGAGATCCTGGATTGGCTGCAGAGAGCCTCTGTGGGTGTCAACGGCATGTGGAATGAGCACTTTGGCATCGGTGTCGTTGAATACCAGGCCGCTGGCCTGATCTCGGTGGTTCACGACAGTGGTGGCCCAAAGCTGGATATCGTCATCAAGGTCGACGGCGAGCCGACGGGTAAGTAAGCAATGAAACCATTCTTATGGTCGTGTAATAACATGAGCGCAGGTTTCCACGCCACGAATGTCGAGGAGTTTGCCGAAGGCTACGAGAAGGCCCTTTCCATCAAGAACGCGCTCCCCATCCGTCTGCGGGCACGCCAGTCAGCCAAGAGGTTCACTGAGAGCGAGTTCGATCAGAAGTGGATCGCCCAGATGGAGAAGCTGGTGGCGCTGACGGCCTAGGTTCGATTGCTAGCTGCTCTTGCTTGTGTTTCTATATATATGTACTTGATAGACTCGAGGATACCCTTTTCCCTTCAGATAACCTCAAATAAACATGGGGCCATGCGCCATAACCTCTAATCGTCTGTTTTTATTCGTGTGAAGCCGTTCTACAAACCGAAACAGGAAAACATTCTACACGGTGAATGCACCGCTGTTCTTCTGGCGCGGCTCGCTCGCCGCCTCAAAGACGCCCCCGTCGAAGATGATGCCCTGCACGGCGCTGCCGCCCTCGGGCACCCACTTGACACGGTGGCCCTTCTCCAGCATGCTGGCGACGGTGTCGTTGTCGAAGGGGTACTCGAAGGTGACGACGTTGGGCATGAGCTGGTCGTGCAGGCGCGGCTCGCGGAGGGCCTCCTTCATGGTGCGGCCGTGCTCGAGGACGTGCCAGGTGACCTGGGCCGTGGAGCTGAGGATGCGCGAGCCTCCCGCGGCGCCGACGGTGACGTAGAGGGTGCCATCCGGGTGCTCGACGATGACGGGGGTGATGGAGGAGAGGGGCCGCTTGTTGGCGCGGATGAAGTTTGCGGGGGACGGCTCGAAGCCGAAGGCATTGCGGACGCCGGGGATGGAGAAGTCGTTCATCTCGTTGTTGCTGTTGTTGGCTTGGTCAGCGGGGTGGGGTTCCGTCCATGAGTAGAAGAGCGAGGAGGGGGGAGACGTACAGGATCACACCGGACAACGGGTCCATGATCTGGGCACCGAAAAGGAGGTTCACGGTCGTGGTCAGGGAGGTCGCCATGCCCGACCTGTCGGCCGTGACGATGTGCGACGTCCCGAAGCCTTCGCTGGCGTACGTCCCGTGCGGGTTGTACCACTCGACCGGGTGCGTCTGGTTGTCCAGGATTCTGCGCCGGATGTCCCTAGCGGTGTCCTCGTCAAGGAGGGTGTCCTCGAAGGGACCGATGCCGTCGACGAAGTCAGGGTCCCCGAGGAGGGTCCTCGCGCCGTAGGCGAAGCGCAGCGCCTCGTCGAAGCGGTGAACGCCGAGCTTGGCGTCGGCGCTCTCTGCAGGGTCGAACTGCTCCATGATCTTGAGGGTGTTGAGGCACACGGCGCCGCTGGCGGGTGCGCCGATGGAGACGAGGCGGTGGCCGCGGTACGAGGTGGACAGGGACGGCCGCGTGACGACCTTGTAGGAGGCGAGGTCGTCGAGGGTCAGCGTGCCGTTCGTGGCGCGGGCGGTGGCGACGATGGACTCGGCAATGGGGCCGGCGTAGAAGACATCCGGGCCTTCTTCCGCAATCTTGGCGAGGGTGCTTGGCGTGTTGTTAGTTGTGGTGTCTGAGGAAAAGGGGGTGGGGGGGAAATTGGGTGGTGGCTTACGCGCCGTAGCGTTTGCGATAGATGGTGTCGCCGAGCTGGAGAAGCGTTCCTGGAAAGTTGTTAGATGGGTTGCATCTCTGACCGGACAGGGTCAAGACCGACCGTTCGGAGCAAACTCCTCGGCCCACACGGGGTCTTCCACGAGGAAGTTCTTTTGGTCCTTTATGGCAGAGTCCATGTATCGCACCAAGTCCTTAGAGACTATGAAGCCCGCGGTCGCCAGCTGCGCAGCCGGAGTGACGACAGTCTTCCACGGCAAGCTCTGGGCAAAGCGAAAGTCAGTCTCTGGGATCCGATATGGCTTCAACGCCAAACCGGGTTTACTCACCCCGTACTTGTTGTGGATGTATTCCAACCCACGGACTTCGCTCGGCACGCCCACGGCCAGCCCCCCACGGACGCTCCCCTCGACGTTGCCCTTGTACATGTCCTGAAATGCGGCGGCCGGGGCCGACTCCCTGAAGTCGACGGACTCGTAGTTTCCGTCGGCGTCTCTGATCACGACGAACCCGCCGCCGCCGATACCCGAGTGGTACATGCCCACGGTGCCGACACAAAAGGTCGTGCCGACGAGTGCGTCGACGGCGTTTCCCTGCACGAGGGGGGTTAGTCACACGCGTAAAGGCGTCACATAGCGAAGCCTAGAACAAATCTAGAAACAACCCGGGTTTGATCGGGTAATGGAAAGACGTACGCCTTGCGCGATCAGGTCGCGGCCTATTTTGCTGCACTCCACGGCCTCACTCGCGACGGCGCCCAAGCCGCCACTATGAGGGTTAAAGACGAACTGCGGCACCGTCGCGGCCGAGATCGGGCGGAGCTCGGCCAGAAAAAGCAGAGAGGCGTAGCAGGGCCATATTGAGGGAGTGTATGGTTCTTGACAAGGTCAGTTGGCGGATAGCTCACTGGATGGGATGAACTCACTCATCTTGAACACCCCGAAAGCGGAGGGACAGCGGTTGTCCTGAGCTACCAGACACCGGACGGATCCTCCGAGACTCGACGGCCGAAACTCGGATAAGAGAGAGTAGCACCCAAGTACAAGGAGAAAGAGAGAGGCTTGCGCAACTCTGGACGTCGGCACTCAACGATTGTCTCTTTATCTGGAGAACAGTCTTCCTTCCCTACCTGCTACGTAACAACTGCGAGACAACCCAGCGGAAGAAGATGAGGCAAAGCTAGGGGCGGGAAGGCATTAGAAACCAAGCTGTTCCGTGTTCGGGGGGGTGCCATGACTTAGCATGTATTTCTAATGGATCCCCCCGTCGATTGCGACAGACTGAGTCGCTATGAACAAACTCACAGAGTGGTTGGTTCCCCCCCCCCCCAGATCTGGCAGGCGCTGATAGCGTACTGATAAGCGACTTTACTTTAAACTGGGGCGCCGGGGTAGAGGTGCGCATGATGGCCGTCACGTTGGATTCGCGGCACCCCCACATCGCGCGCCTAGCGTTCCAGGGACACCAATCAGCGGTCGGCAAATTGGGTAATTCTCAGCAAACCTCCAGGAGCTGTGGCCGACGACTTTTTTTCCTCACGAGTCGCAAAAAGTCACAAGCTTTCTCACTGATAGGCGGTGGTTTACCCTTTTGAGACCATTGCACCACGTTCGAACCCGGTGCTGCATCTCTTGGGTCCGCGCAGGTAGCCGGCAATTACTGCTTCTCCAACCGTGACAGACCTTCAAAGTGACTCGATGAGTCTGTCTCTGCGGCTTCTACCAAGATTCACTTCGTCTTCACTCCTTTCAGCGGCTCTCACACTCACCGGCCCCGGCAGCGCTTACACCTCGGCTGCGCCTCGCAGGCCGCTCATACGCAACTTCAAAATGTCGTCAAATCAGGACACCACCCAGCCGCAAGCGGCCTCCAAACCGGCTCAGGAGGCTTCTCCAAAGCCAGCAGCACCGGCAGCAGCAGCATCTCAGCAGGGGTCGGGACAGAAGACATGGCAGAACAGCGGTAACAAGCTCAACGGCAACAAGCGCGGGTTCCAGGGCCAGGGCGGGCGGGGCAGGGGCAGGGACAAGCAGCACAAGTCGAAGCGTGAGAGAAACATCACGGAGGGGTCCTCGGAGGATGTCTTGGCGGCTGACGTGCAAGCGCTCATCGCGTCCCGCAAGGCCTCTCTCCCCGAGCCGGCGGAGGCCGCGGCGGAAACCGGCGCGGAAGCCAAGGAAGACGATGTCGAGACCAAGCCCACCCCCGCCCCCGCCCCCTCACAACCCCTCCCGACCCCCTTCACCGAGATCGAGGTCGAGGTCCTCGCCCTCTCCTCCACCGGCGACGGCCTCGCCGTGCACGCCGGCTCGCCGCCCACGCACATCTACGTCGTCCCCTTCGTCACCCCTGGCGACGTGGCCCGGGTCAAGGTGGTCCGCCACTTCCCCGCCGAGTCGTACTCCATGGCCGACTTCCTCTCCGTCGCCACGCCGGGCCCGTTGCGAGACGACACCCGCGTCAACTGCAAGTACTTCACCCGGTGCTCCGGCTGCCAGTTCCAGATGCTCAGCTACGACGCCCAGCTCGCGCACAAGCGCACCATCGTCGAGAAGGCCTTCCGCAACTTCTCCAACCTCGACCCGGCCCTCGTGCCCGAGGTTGGTGAGACCGTTGGCAGCCCGCTGCAGTACGGCTACCGCACCAAGCTCACACCGCACTTTGACGGGCCCCCCGGCCACCACAAGAAGAACAGGCCGCGCCAGACGCTCGACCGCGTCCCCGAGATCGGCTTCAACGTCAAGGGCCGCCGCGCCGTGCTCGACATTGAGGACTGCCCCATCGGCACCGACGCCGTCCGCCTCGGCATGAAGCGCGAGCGCTCCCGCATCGCCCGCGAGTTCGGCAACTACACAAAGGGCGCCACCATCCTCCTCCGCGAGAGCACGAAGCGGTACCCGAAGAAGAAGGTCGTCGGGGCCGCCGCCGAGGAGGACCAGAACCCGGAACAACCCCCCGCCGAGACCCCCTCGGACGCGATCCGCGTCGACACCGACACGCACACCGACGTCAAGACGTGCCTCTCGGAGGCGAGCGCCATGACGACCGAGTACATCGGCCCCTACGTCTTCACCAACCCCGCCAACTCCTTCTTCCAGAACAACAACTCCATCCTGCCGACCTTCACCGGCTACATCCGCGACCGCGTCATGCCGCCCGCGGGCCCCCACCGCGACCGCATCAAGTACCTCATCGACGCCTACTCGGGCTCGGGCCTCTTCACAATCACCCTCGCCTCCCTCTTCCAGGGCAGCACGGGCATCGACATCGCCCAGGACTCGATCGAGTGCGCGCGCAAGAACGCCCGGCTCAACGGCCTGCCCGAGTCGCAGTGCAACTTCCTCGCCGCCGACGCCCCGCAGCTCTTCGCCCACGTCACCTACCCGGCCGACGAGACCGTCGTCGTCATCGACCCGCCCCGCAAGGGCTGCGACGCCGACTTCCTCGGCCAGCTGCTGCGCTTCGGCCCCCGCCGCGTCGTCTATGTGAGCTGCAACGTCCACACCCAGGCCCGCGACGTCGGCGTGCTGGTCCGCGGCGACGGCGGCGAAGGGACCAGGTACGAGATCGAGAGCGTCGTCGGCTTCGACTTCTTCCCGCAGACGGGCCACGTCGAGGGCGTCGCCGTGTTGAACAGGGTGGAGAAGACTGCTTGAGAGGACAGCTCAAGGATTTGCTTGAACAAGGCAGGGGGGGGCCAACAACGGGATAGGGTAGATAAAAAGCATCGTGATACCAGCATTTTGATTGGTCTGTAATAATCCAAAAAAAGGCAGCAAGCAGGCCACCTAAGAAAACAAAGCGTGGCGTGATGAAAAGTAAATACGGTGCAAGACACCGGTTCTAGTCTTGTTCTCTTTCCCCCCCCGCCCTTTGCGGGCTCTCTGCCTTACAGTGTCTGTCTACTCGATCTAAGGAGATGATGTATCTATACGGAAGAAGAAAAAGACCCGGCCCTCCCCCCAAGTTCTTTAACCCTCCAACGCCCGGTTGTCCTCGAGCAGGACCTTCAGAGCCTGCACGAGGACCTCGACGACCTCGGCCCGCCGGCTCTTCTTGGCCGCCTCCTTGAGCGCCTCCAGACCGTCCTCCTCGATGATCTTCTTGCGCGCGTTGGCGCCCGGCGCGCCCTCGGCGGCCACCATGTTGTAGATGATGAAGCCCCCACGGTGCCGCAGGTCCTCGCTGTCGTCGGCGCACATGTCGAGGACAACCTTGACGCCCCGCTCGCGTTCCACGACGGCCTGCACGACGTTCTCGTGGCCGGTGAGGGCTGCCAGCGCACCGCCTGCCGCGCTGCGCGTTCCTTCGTCCTCGGCGTCCGCCAGGGCGAGGAGGATGTGCAAGCGGCCCTTGGCCTGGGAACTGCCGTCGGCGTAGAGCGCCATGCCCTCCGCCGCCTGTACCAGGTTGCAGACGAGCTCGACCGCGGCCTTGGACACCCGCGCGTTGGAGCAGAGCAGCTGATCCTCGATCTGCGGCCATGCTTCTCGGACGATGGCTCGCCTGGTGTCTAAATCTTCGGTGGATGCGAGGTTGGTGAGCGCCATGAGGGCCTCGAAAGTGGGGAGAAGATCACGGGTCTCGGCAGCCGGGTCGGGGGGGATGATGGAGATGAGGGGGCGGATCGCGGAGCTCTGCGTATTGGAGCGGCTCCCGCCGAACACGAGGGCCGGATTGGTGCTGATGAGGATGCGCGCCAGAGCTTGTGCACCCGTGCGGCGGCCTGCAGCTTCCGACTCGGGCAGAGTTGCCCACGCGGCCAGGAGGAGCTTGACGGCGCCCTGCTGGGCAAGCTTTCCGCGCAGGGAGGTCGTGACGGAAAGTGAGTAAATGATGGCGACAATGAGTGAGAGTGAGGCCGGTGAGCCGTTCTTGCTGTGGGTCACCAGCACGGGCGTGACGCCCGCCTCGAAGACGCGCCTGCACCGTTCCGAGACATGGTCGTTGTCATTGAGGGGGTCCGGCCCGGCGGACTTGCCGGCGGCGGCGGCATACGCCTTGAGTTGGTTCATCTTCTTTTCCTCCTCGGTCAAATTGGGCTGGTATCTGGTCAGGTTCACCAGGATACTGAGGGCTCCGTAAGTCACGGGCGACTTGGGCGGAGCGTCGGCCAACGTCTTGACCAGCTTCTTCAGGAAATCCGGGTTCCCCGCCAGCTTCTCCTTGATGGCGGGCTGGATCGATGCGTACGCCAGTCCTTCGATGGAGTGGTGATGGCCATGGTCGTCTTCGCTCAGGAGCATGGAGGTGAACCTCGCCGACAGGTCTTCGATGGTGGTGATGGCGGGTGTTATCCTCTCTTGGCCGTCTTCATTGTTCGCCGGTGCGGAGGGCACCGCCTTCGTTCTGAAGTCAGTCAGATCTATGATTGGACGGGTCCGTGTCGGGCTGTTGAAGGGTCTGAATACCATACCCTCAGTTTCGCTAGGATGACTGCTGCCAAATTCTGGACTTGCTCCGAGTGTTTGCGCATGGAGACGGAGCCCTCCTTGGCGGAGTACTCTGGGTCCTGTAGCATCTCCTTGGCGATCTCCTTGGGGTCCTGGTCAACAACCTCCTCGAGCCACTCGGTGCAGTACTTGTTCACGGCGTCGCGGCACTGTGAGTTCATGCAGGCGGCGTTGAGCATCTCCAAGCAGGCGGTCTCAACCTTGCGGCTCTTCCACTTCCTTCTCATCAAGGGCCCGAGGGAGCTCAAGAAGCCCTCGCTCAAAAAAAGGTCGGCCGTGAGGTCTGGCACGACGGGAAAAGTCAAGGCAGCGACACAAAAGGCGACAATGTAGTCGTCATAAGTGCCCCGCTTGATCTTGTCGAAGAAAAAGCCAGAAAGCTTCTTGGCGCCATCGTCACCGGCGGCCTTGAGGTAGGCGGATGTGGCGATGACTGCGTGTGCGCGGACGACCTCAGGCTGTCTCATGTCGAGGTATGTCAGAATGGTGTCAACACAGTCGCCGTCGATGAGGTTGCATATTGTGGGGGCGCCAGTCTTGGCCTGGATGAGCTGGATGTCCTCATTGAGCAGCTTGGTGAGCTGGTCGAGGTCGCGGATGGTCTCGTCGTCCTCCTGTCCGCCCTCCATCAATCGCGCAAGCACGAGGAGAGTCTCATCCTCTCGTGAGGGCGCCGCCTTGGGAGCGGGCGCATGTGTGACGGCGGCCATGGTTGTTGGTACTGTGTCAGTCGGCACAAGACGGGGTGGCGTAAAAGCGCTCTTAAGCGGTCGGTTGATGATAACGTATACTAGGGCGTAGCGTGGCAGGTGGGTGGATGAGTGAGGACAGAACAGACCAGACCTGGGACGGGATGAAGAAAGAAAAGAAAAAGAAGAGTCTAGAACAAGATGGGGCGGCCCGGTGATATAAGTAGGGTACCTCGTCTCTGGTCGTTTAGGGCGGCGAGGGCGGCGGCGGCGGCGGCGGCATAGATGAGTCCGACTACCTATGTGATGGGATGTGTTTGGTCACAAGGTCCGGCGATGACAGAACAGAAAGAAGCATGGAGGTGGTTCCGGTAGGGTCAATCGCTGAGATAAGAAACGGCAGCAGACAATCCCTCGAGAGGTTTCACCAAGCAGACACAACATACCTACTGCGTAAGGTACACACACGTACAGTGACATGGCTGTGCAGGCTAGTCTCTGTAGCAGACACACACCCCTGATGGGTAGCCAAGCACCTAGGACGGATGGTGAGGTCAGATACTGCAGTCCAGGCCAAGGTCTGTCCAGACTACCTTTTTTTCCCTTCCCTTTAGCGCCTGTTCAGACTGTCTTTGCAAGGTTCGATAGGCCCTGCATTCCTATCTCTTGCTTTAGGTGCCACGGACGCCCCTCGTTAGTCACCACGGGCTGTTGCATCACACCTCGTGCCCCTCCCCCTCCTATCCTTCCATCCATCCATCCATCAGCTGTAATGCACCTTTGGAGACAATGCAACATGGACCCCAAGTCTCGCCCAACCATTGGAACCCAACAGTTACGCCGCCCGTCGTGCATAATAAACTCAAATGAATCGAGACTTTCGAGTTTATTCCCCTCTTGGTGGACTCGGTCTTGTTGGACCTCGAAAACAGCCGATAATTAGTGGGTTCCTGATTGAGCCTTGCTTGTACGGTACCATTCCAGCTTACCTAAGGCAAACAAACTCCCCCTCCAGTGCCGAAATAAGTACGTACATCAGGTAGCTAAGGCGGTCCCTTCCTGCAGTGCTTCAGTTCCAAGCCGGCTTCGGTCCGGCGTTACTCTATCGGACCGTGATGTAAATCGTCACATCAAATCGACTCAACCCTCCCATGCCAGACCGCGGCTTGATCTACCCCTTGTATTCTTTTTTGGCAGTCTCCAGCCGGGGGAAAATACTGGTTACCTCCTAAAGTAGCATACATACATACTCTGTACGGAGTAGTAAGCTCCTTAAGGTATCGAGGCCTCTTCTCGTCGCGTCCCCTAATCCTGGGCCCTGGCCCTGTGCCGCCCAATGGCATTTGGCTTCCTTGCCGTCCTGTGTCTGGAGCACGGACCAACTCTCAGCTCCAGCCATGGTGTGGTTACGGATTATTTCTGGACTTTGAAGCTTGCTTGTTGTTGCATCACATCGCACCTCACCTCACACGAATCCCTACCTTCCCATAAACCCTTTTTTTATTTTTACCCTGCTCCCTCGGCCCTTTCCCTCTTGGATGAGACCGCGCCAAGAGTTCTAATCCACTCGTTGGTCTCGAGGACGTAGGATTGGAAGGGGGTCCAGTCGAACGACGCCCCGGGATAATTCAACACAACCGCTACCCGCAGGACCGCAGATGCTCCGCCTGTGACACACTCGCTGCGACCTGGCGCCCGCCCTCTGAGGCCATCGCCGTCTCCTGCATTGATCCTAATTCTGCTCCTCCTCCTCCGCCGCCGCCACCCCCTCCACCATGAACGCCGTCGACGCGTCGGACCACTACGAGGTCTCCTCGCACGAGGCCACGCCTTCCCTCCTCTCCATCGTCATCGACACGAACCCACGTGCCTGGGCCGCCCTCAACGATGTCCTCCCCCTCTCCAAGGCCATCGCCAATATCCTTGTCTTCGTCAACGCCCACCTCGCCTTCAGCAACGCGAATCAGGTCGCAATCTTTGCCTCCCACAGCAACCGCGCTGTATGGCTCTATCCTTCTAAGCCCGAGGACGCCGGCGCCAATGGCGCCCCCTACGCTGAGGACGTGACCATGACCGACGCCGACTTCTTCGCCCCCACACCGAACCAGTCGTCCGCCAACAAGTTCCCTCAGTTCGCCCAGATCGAGGCCGCCGTCATGAGCTCCATGCGGAAGCTCGTCGACGCCACTACTGAGGCCGACCTGGCATGCACAACAACCCAGCTGTCGGGCGCCCTCACCCTCGCCCTCGCCCACATCAACAAGACCTCCCTCTCCCTCAACGAGACGAACAAGGCCCCCGACGTCGCCCGTTCCACCTCCTCCGCCCTCAGCCGCCTCCGCGCCCGAATCTTCGTCCTCTCCGTCTCCGACTCGGAGCCCGTCCAGTACATCTCCACCATGAACGCCGTCTTCGCCGCCGCCCACTCCCAGATCCCCATCGACACCCTGGCCCTCTCGGGCGACGCAACCTTCCTCCAGCAGGCGAGCTACATCACCGACGGCACCTTCATGCAAGCCGCCAGCCCCCGCGGCCTCCTGAGCTACCTCATGTTTGCCTATTCCGCCGACGCCGAGGCCCGCTCCTCCCTCATCCCCCCGACCCACCACACCGTCGATTTCCGCGCCGCCTGCTTCTGCCATGGCCGCGTCGTCGACACGGGCTTCGTCTGCAGCATCTGCCTCAGTATATTCTGCGACGTTCCCGACGGTTCAGAGTGCCTTACCTGCGGCACCAAGCTCTCCCTCGGCAGCTACGGCGCCAAGCCCGCCGTCATCCCCCGGAAGAAGAAGAAGAAGAAGAAGACGATATTGGCCAACGGCCACAGCAGGGAGGAGACGGGCAGCGCTGCGGGGACGCCGCGTCCGGGATAAGACAGGGCGCGAGCGCAATAAGGAGAGAATACAGGTCAAAAGATTTGACGAGATTCACCAGACAACGCCCGCTCAGGCGGCGTTATCGGCGCAGGACAGGCAAGACACATGACGGCGCCGACAGACGCTGCAGACAGCTGCCCAAATGCAGCCTGCTTAGCCTAATCAGAGGCCTCCGGCGCAGAACTTAGCAAAGTCTATATAGATATAAGGTAATGGTTCGCTCGTGCTCGAAAGAGAAGGAAGCGAATAATCCAAAGCAGAGAAGTTGTGCTGTATCGGAGTACGGGTTCTGGATTGGTCAACTTCTTCCGACTTGCATATAGCTGGACGGAGGAAGCCTTCAGGCCGGGTTCAGGGTCTATCAACCGGGCGTCCGTAACGAGGCGTCTCTTCGCGCCAAGGATGACCATCAGATTCGGATCTAGATAAACTACTCCGGCGGTGGGGCTGAACAACAGGCACCATCATGTCTTTGACCACTGCGTCTTAAAATACGTGTCTTGTTCCTCGTGCATGAACCTGTGAGGTGGCGCTCTAGGAGGGCAGTTGCCATGTATACGAGAGGGGTATCACTATCGAATAAACATACTCAAAGTTTGAATCTTGCCGTCCTTGTTGGCTCAGTCATGGGGTACTGCGTCGCATGCGACGCAAAACCACGCCCACCTACCGCAACGCACCAACAGCCTTGTGTGCCCATCTTTCCTTCCGAGGCTGCACCAAACAAGTTACCGATTGCGGTAACGATCCCATTGTCACGGTCCTGGATCCACCCGTATCCTTCGAGCCCCCCGGGTAACTTGAGCAGTCTCGCCCAGACGGGACATGACGCAAACTGGCTCTCTGTCAGAACCGCCCATGGAGGCCAACGCGAATGAGTCGGTATTGTGGGCGAAGTATAAATAGTACCCCGTCCTTGTCTTCTTGACTGTCATCACGCCAATCGCCCCGGCAGAGCTGCAGCCTTTGACACCGGGGTGGCCCATGAAGTCGTTCGTGATGAACGACTCCATGATGGCGTCCTCGTCCCATTCCTCGACATCTCTGCCGTTCGGACCTCGGCGGGTATTGCCATATATTCGTTCAGCACATCGTTGAGACGCCATTGTGGTGGCCATGTGCTCCCCTGTGCCGCTGGTGACAGTTGCCACACTGATCTTGTCTGGGTCGTTCGGATCACATGGCACTACGGCTGTGCCGATGCCCACCAGAGCAGCAGGGCCTATTCGCCCACGATGCTTCATTCCGATGCCGCCAGATGACGAGCCCGCCGCGATGTTTCCTTTTTCATCAATTGCTATGGCTCCCACGGTGTCGGTGATGACATCCTCATGCTCCAGCTCGGTTGCAGAGAACGGTCGCTTAAGACTACGAGGGCTGCAGCCCTGGAGCTGTGCAATCGTGCTTGCGAACTTGGCTCCATCTGTCCATTGAGGGGACCTGGTACCATCACGACTTCCCTCGTTCGCCAACTGACTGGGAGGCGCTACCAATGAATCCTTTTCCTGAAGTATGGTAGGCCGGGATCTGTTGGCTGATGGTGCGGAAACCCCAATGTAGCTCAAAGGAGAACGTTCGATCTGCTGAGGAGGCGTCCGAGGGTATGCTGATCCGGCCAAAGGGTTTCCCTGATGATGGCCCTGCATCTGCTCGAGCGCCGGAGAACCTCGTTGTGGAGAATCCGGCTGACCTTCATTCCATGTACCGCTGAGGATAGCATTGGCATGGTCTCTTTGTTGATTCTGGTGTAACCTAGCTGGTATCGGCATGGTCTCGTGTTGCTGGCAGTTATCGATCGCTTCCCCGGGTGGTTTGCGTGCTCTGGCCTGCCTCAGTCTCTCTTCCGCCCGATTGAGATCTTCTTGCCATCGCAGGAATCGGTCACGTGCGTTCTTGGAGATCAGGTAGTCGTTCGGAACAACCTGCATACCATTCTCCATGGCAAAGTTTTTGGCACCCTCTCCAACAAGTATGTTTGGCGGAACACGTCGTAGAGACAGGGGCTGACTGCTTTTGTCCAATATCAGCTTTGCGAGACAGACCGGGTTTCTGATGTCTAGGCATAATGTTAGTCGTGGCCACTGACTGCAGTTGTCGTCAGGGTAACTCACTGGGAACCGCTCCGCAGGCACCACTCCTGCCAAGATGGTCGACGATCGTTGCATCGCATTCAACAGTCCCGTCCATTGACAGATTAGAGCCGTAGCCGGCATTAGTTATCTCCTTGTCTTCCAGGATGCGCAAAGCCGCCTCGACGGCTTCGGTGGCCGAAGCACCCGATTTCAGGAACTTCATTCCCATGGAAGCAGCACTGATTCAGTTGGCAGATGCCCATCAGAACGCGCAGGGTTGACTTACTTGCTACAGGCCTCAAGATGAACTCGTTCATTTTGGTGGCTATGAAAACCAGCCCCTGCATGGATGAAAATGGCCCCGCCGAATTTCCCCTTTTGCATTCGCTTCAACATCCGGTCGACTGTGCCGTTAGCGCCTCCCATTGTCTTTGCATGGTTTCCCGAGACTCTGATATGCGGGCCTTGTAGGGAGAGCGTTGGAGAGCCTTCAGCTGCCAGAGCTGTGTCGTCCTTGGTCTCGGTGACCAAGTGTTCCATTCCAGGTGCAGTCCGATCAAGTGAAGATGCCACTTCGGACTGCTTCAATGGGTTCCCTCTTCCAGTGCAGGAGTGATCATTCGTTTGATTTTCGGGAAAGCGGATCTGTCGTGGGTTTGAGTACCTAAGGCAATGTAATCGACATTGGTTTTAGAGTAAGGCAATGCTGCGGGTAGAGACTGTGAGGCTTCCGAGTGCAGACTGGTCATAAAAGATAGTCGGTGACTGGACAGTGAAGAAATGATCCAGCGTGGAGTCAGTTGCCGAGAAAACGAGGTCCACTGTCAAGCTTGAAAATAGTTGATGGTTATGGCAGTAGAAGATTAATAAATGATGAAGTGGGATGACTCTGGAAGGGTTGTCCTAGGACCTTTCGGTTACCATCCAGGAAGTGGGCGTGGCGTAGATGTGACCTAGGAGAAGAGGAGAAATCGAGGATGAAGATTGGGCGGAGCGGCTCGCAGCTAAGATATTGCAGGAGATCGAAGTCTACAGGGACTTCCGGAATAGTGCGGCGAGGAAGTTGCCTCGCTGAATACGGAAGGGGACGAGCAATGTGGGAAGTCGCAAAATGCTCAGAAAACCTAAGCATAACTTGGCCCTTTCTCTGCTGAGAATTCTCAGTTCAGGGCCAAAGAACAAACGTCTCAAGCTCTGGTAGGCGCAAAGCGACGTCTTACGCACGCTGAGACTTCTGACTAAACCAGTTCAGTTCAGTTCAGATGAACAGGTGATAATTACCATCCAAACATTTTCGGGTTGGAGAATGACACTTGCAAAGACAGTTCGTTGTCCGCCTTACTGTGTATCTGACCCAAACACCTGCCTGTCCCGAGTTCCTATTACCGAGTGTTTTGCCAAAATTATCACAAACAATTCGGCCTCCCGGTATAGCAAAGAGCTAAAGAAAAGGTCCTGGAAAGGCACAGTTGGTGTCGTCGAAGCTCAAGCAAGACAATCATGTGCTTACTTAATACAGTTACAGTGTTTCATACAGTGCATGACGATCGGCACGGCCTTTCCTCCCTGGTGCGCTTGGTGGGGCTTTCCTCTTACTCTCTGGTGGGGCACCGACCTTCTCCATGGCTGGAGAGTCTACCCACTCTGATGCACAGCCGCAGGTTGGGAGCTCCCATCGGTGACAAGGCACACATTTCCGGCTACCTTGGACGTACGTCGTAACCAACATCACGACACATCCAACACCCCGACGGCCTATCCTCCCACCCATTGATGCTGCAACTGAGCTAGAGCCTCCCCGAGCGCACTAGAACCAACTTTCACGATGGCGAACCAAACGCCTGCCGTTGTCATGGACAAGTAAGCCACTAATGTCACCCTGCCCCGCATCCCCCGAGGCAGACGTCAGTGAGACCATCGCCAGCTAACGGGCCATCAACAGCGGCACGGGATTCTCGAAGCTCGGTACGCCAATTGCGCACCTCCATCGTCTGTATACCAAGTACTAGCTCTAACTTCCGACCCAGGGTTCGCCGGCAACGACTCCCCGTCCTTTGTGTTCCCCACCGCTATCGCGACGAAAGGTGCTGCCGGAGGCACTGGAGGAACGGGCTCCGGCCGTCCAGCTGTTGCGAACAAGCCATCCTTCCTTACCGGCGGTGCAGGCCCTAGCGGCCACCTGAACTCGAAGCGTGGAACCGAGGACCTGGACTTCTTTATTGGTGATGAGGCCATTGCTGCCTCTGGAGGACCCGGTCAGTTGAACGCGAACATGGTGGCACGGACGACTAATCGCTGACGGATTCTCCAGGCTACGGTCTTCATTACCCCATCCGTCACGGCCAAATAGAGAACTGGGTCAGTCTCTGTCTGGCAAAGAGTTCGCCCAATACAAGCTAACAGCTTGCAGGACCATATGGAACGATTCTGGTCCAACTCCATCTTCAAGTACCTCCGCGTGGAACCCGAAGACCACTTCTTCCTCCTCACAGAACCGGTACGCACCCAACACCCGTCGCCGATGGCCAGGATTCTTGAGCTGATCTTGTCATAGCCCTTGAACCCTCCCGAGAACCGCGAGAACACGGCCGAGATCTTCTTCGAGTCCTTCAACTGCGCCGGTCTTTACATCGCCGTCCAGGCTGTGCTTGCTTTGGCCGCCTCGTGGACCTCGTCCAAAGTTCACGATCGGTCTCTGACCGGTACGGTCATTGACTCTGGTGACGGTGTTACCCACGTCATCCCCGTTGCCGAGGGCTACGTCATCGGATCCTCCATCAAATCGATCCCTATCGCCGGTCGCGACCTGACCTACTTCGTGCAGTCACTTCTGCGTGACAGAGGCGAGCCAGACTCGTCGCTCAAGACGGCCCAGGAGATCAAGGAGCAGCACTGCTACGTGTGCCCCGATATTGTCAAGGAGTTCTCCCGTTACGACCGCGACCCCACCCGCTTTATCAGGCACCCGGTAATCCAACCCGGCGGCCGTCAGGTCACCGTCGACGTCGGATACGAGCGTTTCCTTGCCCCCGAAATTTTCTTCAACCCCGAAATCTACAGCTCCGACTTCCTTACACCCCTTCCCACTGTCGTCGATAACGTCATCCAGACCTCGCCCATTGACGTGCGTCGCGGTCTCTACAAGAACATCGTCCTTTCCGGTGGCAGCACTCTGTACAAGGATTTTGGCCGTCGTTTGCAGAGAGATATCAAGCAGTTGGTTGATGCGCGCATCCGAGCCAGCGAGGTCCGTAGCGGCGGTGCCAAGTCCGGTGGTTTGGAGGTCCAGGTCATTACGCACAAGAGACAGAGACACGGTCCCTGGTTCGGTGGTAGCTTGTTGGGCCAGACGCCTGAGTTCCGGTCCTACTGCCACACCAAGGCTGAGGTAAGTGCACTCTGTTTGAACAGTATGGAGGGCTTTGCTAACTAATTTGATAGTACGAGGAATACGGCCCCAGCATTGTGAGACGGTTTGCGCTGCTGGGCGGCCCTGGCGGTTCATAGATTTGGGGAGAAGCGTAGACTACAAGCCATTGTCACTTCAAAAGGCCGCCACTCCCACCACCTCATCTACTTTACTACGAGAATTCAAAATCATGACCTTCAGTCATGGCATTTTTTTTTTTTTTTGCGTATGGCCGGGGTCCAACTCTCGTCCCTTAGGCCGCCACTCTCCAGTGGCGGTTGGGACGACGATGATGCCGGCTGTCCCTGATGTGATCCTTAGCTGTGCTTTTTCAATAGTTCTCACCTGTCGACTTGGCGGTGACCAGAATGAGTGAAGTCGTTGGCCCGATGAATCTGTGCGATGAACAGAGAAAAAAAACGGATGTTATTAGGTTAGGACATCTTCGGCCAGACCCAATTAGTAGCGTAGTATTCCCCGTGTGCTTTCGAACAATCTCTGGCCAGTCTTGTCTCTCCGAAGACACTTGGGCCGGATGCCATGAGACACCAGTTGGGTCATTTACAAATAAACATGTGAAACAGATCGTGTTTACTTGTAGCAGCTTCTTGCTGGGCGATGTAAAGTAACTACCGTCAGGCCCGGGCTCACAGAAGTGCTTCAAAGTGTTTCCTGGCTGACGCCGGTCTTGGAATGACCTGGTTATTCGGCCCACTGGCCCCAGCCGAGAACACAAGCGAAGAGGGCCTTCGGTACGACCTCGACACCGGCCAGGACAGAGCCTCCTGGGTCCAGAAGCCCATGTGCTTGAGCTTGGGGCCCTCGGGTCATGGGCTAGATGGCCACGTGACGATGCTTTTTTCTACGTACCCGAACCCGGCGCCCCGGAGCATTTTGCTTGAAGCTAAGGGGGGACGTCAATCGGTCGACCAATCCTGTCTGTGGCCTTGACAACCATGTTGTTCCATTGGCATGGCTTGAATTGAAGCCTGGGTCAGCAGGTGATCTTGGACCTCTAGATAACCGTCCGGCTCGAGGCTTCCGCAATTGCCTCCGTTAGTATTTCGTGTGTCGTTATGCGTCAACTTACTTGTATGCCTTGTCAATGATGTCTGGCACGCTGGCGAAGCTTTCAATCATGGTCGCAATTCTTGTTTATTTTTTTGCTTGTCAATGTCACTCTTGAACATCATTGAGAATTGGCAATCAATTGTCGCCATGTCAACCAAGCAGATCATAGTTGTTCCACAGTTATCATCATTAGTCGTCTCCTATGAACGGGATACAACTTATTATACATGCTCAACTCCCTCTCCCAGGTTAGGTATCCGTGAAATGCCGTAAATAAATAGATCGAATCATCCGCTCGCCCGCTGTAAATCACAACCCGGCCGCCGCCGCCGATCGCCGCCTCACAGCTTGTTCGACTTTAAAACCACCAGCACCCCAACTTTTCAGAGCCGCTCAACAATATAAGGCAGACGTTCATTTGCTGGTGTCGACGACGTAGCGGCCGGCGATCTGGCCCTTTTTCATCAAGTCAAATACCTCGCCGAGCTGGCTCAGACCGACGGTCTTGTAAGGGGCGTTGATGAGGCCGCGGCGGAAAAAGTCGATGGCTTCGGCCGTGTCCTTGCGGTTGCCGACGTAGCTGCCCTTGATGTTGATCATGCGGACGACGGTATCGAAGACGGGCGCGCGCAGGTACGCGTTGGCGGGCAAGCCGATGCAGATGACGGTGCCGCGGGAGCGGACGTACTCGGTGGCCTGCTGGAAGGGCTTTTCGCTGACGGCGAGAAGGATGACGGCATGGGGACCAAGGCCCTCAGGGGTGGCCTTCTTGACGTCCTCGACGAGGTTGCTCGAGGTAGTGAAGTCGACAAACTCGGTGGCGCCGAGCTTCTTGCACATCTCGCCCTTCTCGGCCCCGCCGTCGATAGCGACGGTGTGAAGGCCCATGGCCTTGGCGTACTGGAGGGCTAGAGAGCCGAGACCACCGCCGGCACCGACGATGGCAACCCATTGGCCGGCGCGGACGCCGGACTCCTTGAGTCCCTTGTAGACGGTGATACCGGCGCAGAGAATGGGGGCAACGGCCTCGAGGCTAACGTCCTTGGGGATACGCGCAACGTGGGCCGCCTTGGCGATGGCGTACTGCTGGAAGCTGCCGTCGACGGTGTAGCCGGAGAGGAGAGCATGAGGACAAAGAGGCTCATCGGCGTCTTGACAGAAGGTGCAGGCAAGACAAGAGCCGTTCAACCATTTGACACCCGCGTAGTCGCCAATTTCGACATCCTTGACAAGCTCGCCGCGCGCGACAACGATACCGGCACCCTCGTGTCCACCGACGAGAGGAAGCTTGGTGTCGAGAGGCCAATCGCCCATCATGGCGTGCAGGTCGGTGTGACAGACACCGGAGTATTTGATGTTGATCAGAACCTCATCAGAAGCAGGCTTTTGGACGGGAATCTTCTTATAGATGACGGCTATAACATGTTAGAGACGGGTACGATCGGAAATGTTGCAAGATGTGAACATACGTCCGCCGGTCTTCTCGATGACCTGGGCCCATTGTTCGGTGGGAATCTCGGGGGCAGACATTATGATAGTTGGTGTTGGATGATATTGAAAGGTCTCTGAAGAGATGAAGTCCGAAGTCTTCCTAGGTATTGACAGATGCTGTGTTGGAAGCAGGAATGTCGAGATTGGATTGTTTGATCTGATCAGAAGAGAAGGAAGGGCATGGCGACGTGCGCTTTATATAGAGACAAGAGCAACATCTTGGACCCAACCAGAGACGGCGACCGTATAAGTGAAGTGCAGGGGTAGGGGACCTTGGTCCGGCAATGGACGGTGGTGACCCAGCAGCAGGTAGGGTACAGTAGGCAAGGCAAGGCGAGGTGGGATGTGGTATCAGGGCTGAATGGGCATCCACTGGAAAATGCTAGAGAAAAACGTATGATGCTGACGACAGGCCAGGAAAGTCAAAGGAACGTTTGCCCCTCACAGTGGTGGTAGGAGAGTTCGAGACACTCGAACAAGTACCTACACACCCCTAAATGCCAAGATCCCGGCCGGTTCGGACGTGGGCCGGATCACCACCCATGCATTAGTTCTCAAGAAGCGTGGGAGGATAGGTAGTGTGCTGAAAGTGTGCCCAAGCTGTGTACGATACAGGCCCGGGGTTGGCTAGGTGGGAGGTCCTGTACCTGTGAGTGACGGTTCACCCGCCTACGCAGTACGCTCGCTCGACCAGGTTGAGGGAATTGTCGCGGCGGCCCCTCGAATAGGAGACTAGGCACAGTGGAAAGCATTACCCCGCGCATCATGGACAAGCGGCAGCGGAAGAGCATGATGACATATGGCTGTGGTTGGCCTATGTCAGAAGCAGTCTGCATGTACTAGAGGCGCTCGCAGTCCTGGAATGCATCCTCGATGTAATGGCTAGCCCGACAAGGGTGGTGGACGATGGGCAAGACCAACCGGGGTTGGGTGTCAAGGATTTGACGTCTAGCAAGGTCTCGCTGGCAGCGGTGCGCCGCGTTGGAACGAGTGGGCGTGGAAAGATGGAAATTGTAAAGCTTCGTTCCATTGGGATGGCGGATTGACAGAAGAACCGAAAGGCTCCACCTGACAAGCTATGACATTGGAGCACAGCGCGAGGCGAGTGGGGAGTGGGCTTCATCTCTGGGTATCAATCAGCGTGGGATGGTGGAACCACGGCCTCGTTGGGGGTTCGTTCTCATCCAGTTCTGGGCAGCTTTGACTATCGTCCCATGCCAATTGTACGTATTGCTATACACCTCGTCAGTATGGATTGCCTCGGCTGGATCGGCGGGCCTGATCTGATATGACAGACACTGGACCGAAAGTGGCGGCGAGCATGGAGGCGAGGGAGATCGGACCCTTGCCACTGGGCGTTGACGTATCGTGAGGGACGGCTGATTGATTGCATGTTTTGGTGTTGCTGAAGAAAACTTGCGACGTATGGCCGAAGAGCACCACCAGAAGAGCATAAGATGTTGAGGTTGGAAAATCAGATGGTTCAGGCCAACCGAGACCGGCGCCACAAGAGAGCAGGAACGGCATCACGCTGAGCCCATTTCGGGTTGATTCTCGGCTCTTTTCCTTCCCTAACTGGAATTCCTCCACTGCGAGAGTGACTTGATGTGGGAAAGAACCCCATCATATGTACCTACCTATCGTACCTACCGTACCTACCTACCTAGGTACCTACCTATAGGTAAGTAACTAACCATAGTACATGGTATTGTATCAAACAATGCGTCGTACAGAAAGACCAGCTTCATCGTACTATCCCCCCAACCAAGCTGCTGTGCCGCGCCCTAGACCATTCTAAGCACTGATCGAGCTTTGACGGGATTAGCCACAGGGAACCAACACCCCATCCGCTGGCGCCCGTCGCCGTAATCCCTGACGGCCTTACAACGAGCGCACCATCACGCCACTGAACATCACCACCAAAAACAGGCCACTCACGTTCCCCGTCCCCATATCCGAATAGCGATTCGCGGCCGAAGTTCCGTCAATTATCCTTCTGTGAACTTCGCTCAATCAGCATGGAACGTTCAGAACTTGAACACACCTCATCACATCTACTATTAAATCCTTAGGGTACCATCTCTGAGGCCTGTGCAAGGTAAGAAACCCTGGACGCCGTATGCTTGAACTACCACGTGAGGCACAGTCAACGCACGAGCCATCGTACGGAGTTGCAAGGAAGGGGCTGCGAATAGCTTCACGAACCTCATCTCCGTTCGTCCAGAGAGGGGCCTACGGATCATGCACCTCGCGATCCCAACCCAACAAGATGCACCTTACGACGCACTAGCGAACAAACAACAATCCTGCCTAGTCGCAAGCTGAACGCTGCTACCCCAGCCGCCCTAGCTGCTGGGAATCGTTCCCCCACTGCCCCCAGCACCACTTGCACAGTATCTGCGTACACCGTACGATCGTCTCTTCTGCGTGGCCGCCATCCCGAAACTGGCCTCCACACCTTCGCTCGAAGGGAGCTTCATGGTCCGACCTCCTGACGTGGACTACTTTCCACTACGACTGAGACAGTCACACACGAGGGTACCGCCTCCGGGCGGGACCCCGCGATTCTCAAACGCTCCCCATATCTTCCCCGCATCGGGCTAGCAATACCTACCGGTAGTTACCCTCCTCGAGTTGATCCTACCTCGCTTCACTGTCACACTCTCGGTGATTGCGGGGAAGAAACTACCCCCTCGAAGCTCAACACTGTGTGGGACACTTTGCCCCGAGACCTTAATCTTTGTCAACGCCCCGGGTGCATCTCAGAATCCCGTCGTGCGGCGTCTTCAAGGACGAGCGGAGGTCTGCCTGCTGCGGCTGCCGGAGATCCACTGCGTACTGCGTAGTTTCGACCTATTTGGTAACCCGGCTCAGGTAGTCCAATGTCAGTAGCGGCCCGGAGGAACGGAAGATTTCTCCCATGTCCCCCTACCAACACCGCAGAGGATGAGACAGCCGAATCGAGCTAGGGAGAAAAAAGTATTGAGTGGGTTTACAAACTTTGCGGAGGCATACCGGATCTCAGGCTTGACTGTCCGAAGCCCCAAGTCCCTGCTGGAATACCGTGCCATAACTGTGACGAGAACATTTTGCCCAGGTACATGCATCAAGCTCGTCTACGGATTGGTTATTTATCATTATAACGTCATGCGTCCTCTGCCAATAAATCTCCAATACCGTTGTGGAGGCGGGGATTATGGAACAAGCCTGGCATGCCGTTGCCCTTAGCCCTTGGATCTGTCGTCTCATTGGCAAACGGCTCTGTCTCGATTGTGTACTCGAGTACCCGAGGCCTGCATGAGAATGAATGATAGAGAGACTGTGTGTTTATGTGTGCAATTGGCTTTCCAACTGGCTCTCGGTTTCAGAAAGAAGCTGGGGTTTTAGCATCCGCCCAAGAGTTCCAGCAACGCGGCTCCATTTCCTCGACCGTCTATGCATGCATGCGTGCATGGTGGTACGATATGAGGGCCAGTTCTGACAGATGCGACGTTGCTGACAGAGGTGCGAAGGGCGTTGCTGTTTGGGATCTGGAAACGTCCGCGCTGTGACCCGTCCAAGTAGGTATTGTAGTCTGTGTGGCGCAGCACCGTCTCAGCAGCTGCGATGTACTTGTTCCCTCTATCTGGATACCGACAGCAACTTCGATGCAAGCTCAGCCGAGCTTGAGGGAATCAGCCCCATATTCATTGGAACATTGCCACAGACAGAACCAGGTTCCGTAGGAGCTCTGCATAATCGACAGGCACAACTCTTCAGCGATGGTATGCTCTTCGCCACCAGGCAGCTTGGCGTTGTGAGTAAATATCGCCGACTGGGCGTTGAAGCTGAACCCGGTCGCGATCTCCCGTCATGTGGCGTATGCCAATGCGCCGTCCGCGGGGAAATTATGGCTCTGGTTGATGCTGTTGTTTGACAGAGAGGCAGGCTAAATGTCAGCTACATAGTTTGCCGAATGTTTAGATCTTGTCATCTAATCTCCCGAGTTGGATCGATAGCTCAGTGGTAGAGCGAGAGATTGCAGTACCGCGCAAGTATCTCTAGGCCCCGCGTTCGAATCGCGGTCGGTCCTTCTAATTTTGCTCTTTTGCATCCCATTACCTCTTGATGACACGTCCTGCACTGCATTGCTATGTGGACCAACCTCTTTTTAAGCTCTGGTGTTGCAGATCAGATCCCAACCGTTTATAGAGTCGCATGCGAACAAATCAGATTGTCAAACTAGATGGGATCAGACACCCAGCTCAACCGCCCGCAGGCTGCATCAGGAGCAGTAAAGCAGTCCGACATACGATCGAAACATCGGCCAGCATCATTGGGGGACTCCGCGTGTTCCCCCCGCTTTGCAGACCACCGGCTCTGCGTTCCAAATTGTTTGTTTTACTGTTTTCTCGGATTGGGCGGGGAGCTAGTGTGGCTGATCCCATTTTGTTTGGACGCAACTACCTATTTTACAATGCCGAACATGGCACACCCTCGCTGGCCCGCGTCGAGCGCTTGGTGGTGATGCAGAGCCCAGCTCAGCCCAGCTCAGCCCACCAATGGACTTCGAAACTCGAGATGATGTGCCGGGCCCAGACGGGGCAAGAGAAAGTATGCCTCCCTCCCCCAACGGGAACAAGGTCGAAGCTTGCCACGGCCTGAGCCGCCACGCAACCTGGCCTTCGCATGTGCCGCTCGGTGATTTATTGAAACCAACTCAGTTAAGACGATGTCTGTTAGCCCTCACCTCACCCCGAGGGTCCTGCAAAGGACCGACAGATAGACGTAAGTGACTGCTAGCTGAAAGATTCTATTTCCCTCACCCTCTTTCGTCCCGAGCGTCTGTTTCGAATTATTCTTCGAAGATTTTCCTTCTTGGTCGAGAAACCTCTCCGTCCATCCTGGAGACACCTGCCATACCAATAACTGTCACTGAACGTGGTTGGGGCTTTCACTTGATCCAAGATGGGCTTACTCGAGAGCATGATGGTCGCCAGCCCGCTGAGCATCGCCGGAACCCTCTTCGGGGCCTGCGTCCTGCTCCTGGTTTACTTCAGATTCAGGACTGAGTACAACATCAAGAAATCGGGCGGCGTGAGGGCGCCAGTCATTTCATCCAACCCGATAACAGGTACCCATCTTCAGATACTCTCTCCCGCGTCATGAACTCTTGGCTAACTCGAGCAAAGCGATTCCTGTGTTTATCCGCGTGGGCCGTGCCCAACTCAGGCACCAGCTCCTCGATGGCTTCAACAGCCTCTTCAGCGTCGCCACGCCCGAGTCTCCTCACACCATCGAGATGACCTTCTCGGGCAAGGTCCGGTTCCTCATCACCCGGGAGCCGGAGCACATCAAGACGATCCTCACCTCCAAGTTCGCCGACTTCGGCAAGGGCCCTATGTTCCACGAGGGCTGGTCCCCGTTCCTGGGCGACAGCATCTTCACCACCGACGGCAAGGTGTGGCAGGAAAACCGGAGCCTGATCCGGCCCATGTTTGTCAAGGACCGTGTCAGCGATCTCGCCATCTTTGACAAGTGGACGACAACGATGATCGGCATGTTTCCCGCGTCGGGTGTCACCTTTGACATCTCGGATCTCTTCTACCGGATGACTCTCGACGTGACGACCGACTTCCTGCTCGGGCACAGCGTCAACAGTCTCGGAAAGTGAGTTGAGCTGAGAGAATGAGTATCTGCATATGGCGGTTGACGGGTGCTGACGACGTGTGTAACCAGCCCGAGGCACCTCTTTGCGCAAGCCTTCAACGATGTCCAGAGGTATCAGATGTTCTACACCATTATGGCGTAAGTCTTTCGTGACAGTGACTGGCACGTGGCTCCGGCTGACCCTATCACTCCCACCCCCGGCAGACCTTTTCAGAGATTCCTGCCTCACGGCAAATACAACCGCGGCATCAAGCTCATCGAAGAGTTCATCCTCCCGTTCATCCAGGAGGCGCTCGCCCTGCCGCCCTCGGAGCTCGAGAAGCTCACCAAGTCGGACAAGGACTTCACGTTTCTCCACAACATTGCCCGCTGCACACGCGACCCTAAGGTCATCCGCGACCAGCTAGTGGCCATCCTGCTCGCCGGGCGCGACACGACGGCGGCGACGCTGTCGTGGACGCTGTACGAGCTGGCGCGGTACCCAGACGTGTACGCCAAGCTGCGGCACGAGGTGCTGACGACGGTGGGGCCGCGGCGGGCGCCGAGCTACGAGGACCTCAAGAGCATGAAGTATCTCGCCAACTGCCTGCAGGAGACACTGCGACTGTACCCGGCAGTGCCGTACAACGTGCGCTCGGCGCTGACGACGACGACGCTGCCTGGGCTGAACGGCGGGCCGGATATCGCCGTGATCGAGGGCGACTCAGTGGTGTATAGCACGCTGGGGATGCAGAGGCGACGCGACCTGTACCCGGAGGAGTCGGCGACGTTTGCGGACCCGGCTATCTACAGCCCCGAGAGGTGGGAGAATTGGCAGCCGAAGCCGTGGCAGTACGTGCCGTTCAACGGCGGCCCGAGGATCTGCGTCGGGCAGAACTTTGCTAACACGGAGATGGCTTTCACGAGTGAGCTCGAACCCGCCCCCCATCCCCTTTCCCGCCCCCATTCCTCCGGCCGTAATGTGCCAGACAGAGATGGCATGCCGTGGTTTTCGATCGAATGCTGACACGAGGCCAGTGGTCCGGATTCTACAAAAATACGATAGGCTCGAATACCGCGGCGACTGGGAGGCGCAGGTGCTGAAGGCAGAGATCGTGGGCGCGCCGAAACACGGCGTGCCGATTGCGTTCTTTGAGGCTGTCGACGGCGAGATGGCGTGAAAAGGGAAGCAGTAACCACTCAGGGGGTTAACGGAAGGCGGAGGGATGAGCAACAACTGCATGGATTCATCACCAACGCCATTAAGGATTAATAAAAAAAAAGACTGTGAATTGGCGGCTGGCCACTAGTACGTGGAAAACTCCACAGAGCGGCGGGATATTTGATCCTTTTTCCCCTTCAAGGTTGGGTTTGTTGCTAAGATGACGATTGTCATGTCGGGGGACTTATAATAATCACATCGATAGATATGATGATCGATTAGCGAGGGCTCTGGACGTGGCTATGGTTCCGGTAGTCAATTAAATTGACGTTTAGATACACCACCGTGTGTGGACTGTTTGCATTACAACCGACTCAATGATGGGCAAGCTGTCACGGAAGGAATGTCGACGATGAAGGCAAGCAAGTAAGCAGGCTCTCTTCTCTGCGAAGATGTGAAGCAATACGGGGGAATTGAGGAAATCCAGGTTTGAGTTTTTTGCCAGACACGCGGCGTCATGCGGTCGAAATGTTTGTCTGTCGGGCTTTCTGCAGCGGTGGAGAAGGAAACGGCGGTGCATTGAAGAATGCGGCAGGGGTCCTGAGAACATCTCATTTCACGAGGGTTACGACCGGACTCGCCTTTTCGGTACAATCGCGGCAGCGCACGGGGCGGCAACGCTCAGATGGGGCGGGCCAGGAACATGGAAGAAACGGACGACGGTTGAGATAGGTACATATTTAGGTAGTAGGCACGTACATGTGTCATGGCCGAAGTCGCGCGGGCGAGGACTGCATGTAGTTGCTGGCCATCAAACATGTGTCAGGATATCTATCCTCCGAGGACGGGTGCGCAGGCCGCCGTCGTTTGGCTGTTGGGGGGTTCCTTACCTTCTACCTACTTTTCAGTGCGGGAGCGCAGGGGCGTTTGGTAAATGGTTGACGTTTGGACGGTCTTCATTTTCCCTAGTAGTAGAGCAGGGCGGTTCCGGTGATGGCGTTTGGCGTTCTTGGGGAGGAAGGGTGTGGATCGCCTTGACATGGCATCATACCTTGTAGTGTGAACTGCATGACGACGGGCCAGGTGTGGGTTCCTGGACCTCATTGCGGGAAGAAACGACCGGGTTTATCTACTAATACTTACTACGTATCCGTACTCCGTATCCGTAGAGTAGGTAGACAATATACTCCGTACTGCGTAGTAGGTATGTATCCGGTTGGGACAACTGAGACCCTTGTGGAAATTCATTCCTGCGACACGGGATGGCGAGCAACGCTGGGTTCTTCGGCGGACGTTTGCGACGCATGCCATCGAAGAATTCCTTTGTTCCCGTTGTTGCATCAACAGCACCAAGCAACAATGGAGAGAGAGTAGCAAAAGCAAAAGGTTCGGTCAGTCAAGTCAGTCAGTCAGTCAGTCGGTCACTGCTGCTAGAGAACATGGCTCCATCTCAGCCATTTTTGGCGTGTGATGGAGGCTGTGATTGGGTGTGTCTCGCCAGACCGCCTTCAATAACCCCTCCAGCTGTGGGGGTTGGGATGTCCGTTTCGGGAACGGACTGGCAGGGTTCAATGCAGAAAAGAGCAACGAAACCCAGGCTCATCAACCCCCCCCCCCTCCCCACCTGCGCTCTGTTCTCGCCGGTGCTACGGTGCTCTCCTCCTCACCCTGCAGCTGCGATCAAGGAAGGCAGAACAGAGAGAGAGAGAGTCCGTCCCCCCTCCCCAGACCAGGGCAGGCACTTCCCGAAGAGAGCTTACCTTGACCCAACCGGCTCAAACCCTGAACCCCCCCCCCCCCGTCTAGGTCCAGTCGCTGGAAAACGAAAATACAAACCTCTCTCACCTCTTCGGCACTAAGCGTCCTTTCCTCTTCTTCCACGCTCGGAAAACCAAGCTGTTAGCTTTCCTTTTTCACCTTGATTCCTGCAGGTTCTAAGGGACGTCTCCCTGCCTGATGTCACTGTATGTCTCTCTACCCAACTTTGCATGCACAATTGACCTTTCCGGCCAATTGACTGAGACATTGCCATGCTGACAATGCCATCGCAGCTTTGAATCCTCTTAGACACCAACCGCCAGCGACCTCGCTCTCTCACTCTCTTTCTAGTACTATTTCATATCGCTCGGCGCGCTTACCGTTACTTCTTCCTCTTGCTTCCTTGTCGACAACGACCAATTCGACATAACGTCAATTTTTTTCCCTTATTTTTTCATTACGCTTTCTCCGTCACGTCATCCAATTGCATGACCTCTGCTCCGTAACTATCTACATATCGTAATTACACAACTTGGGTTTGCGAGCCAATGGCGATACAATGAACGCGACTCCAACGAACCGGCTCAAAATCACGCCGGGTAACTCCCCCTACCTCCAACGACCGAGCCCCCGGACTCCCCTCAGAGGACCCTTTCCTCACGAATCCCGCCTCTCTCTCAAGCGCGTAATCGGCACTACCTGTGCCTCGCCCACGGGCTTCGACACCGTAAACTCCTCCTTCGCATACATCGCGGGAGGCGCCGTCGTCGTCGTCGATGTCGACGGCCAGCACTATGCCCAGCGCTTCTACCGCGCCCGCCCGACAGCCGCCCCCGTCTATGGCTCTGCACCTCTATCCCATACCAACCACTCAACGCCCTCGACCCCCAAGGCAAACGACAGCAGGAATCGGGTCGTAACTGGGACCCGCGACTCGCAGAGCTGGTCCGATTCGCCAGGCTCGACATGGACGAGCCGTGAGCGCATTAAGGCGGCGACGTGCTTGGCCTTGAGTCGGGACGGGAGGTATCTGGCCGTGGGCGAGACGGGCTACGCTCCGCGCGTGCTCATCTTCAATCTCGAGGATGCCTCGTCCGACGTGCCCCTGGTCTCTATCAGCGAGCACGGGTTTGGAGTGAGGGCAGTGGCTTGGTCGTCTGACACTAAATGGCTTGCTTCTCTTGGTACTGCCAACGATGGCTTCCTTTTCATCTGGCGAACTGACCCCCGTACTGGCTCTGCCAAGCTGTACCAGCAAAACAGGTGTACGTCCACCATCAAAGGCATGGTATGGATGGGCAACAGCCTGGTCACGCTCGGCGTGCGGCACATCAAGATATGGCGGGTTGAGGAGGTCCAATCTATTTCGCCATCCAAGCCCAAGTTCAGCGACGTCAGTTCGACACCTCAAGCATCCCAAAGACTCCTTGGCGGTCGAAACGTCCTTCTCGGCTCGCTTCTGGAAGCTACCTTTAGCTGCGCAGCCGTGGTCGACGAAACTAGCATCATTATCTGCTCCGAGGCCGGCGACGTGTGCATGGTCGAGGACGATGGCAAGCAGTCGAGGCTCATCCGGTGCCTCAACGTCGGATTCCTAGTCACTTCCATCACCATCAGACATGCCACCGCATATCTGTCAGGAAAAGCCGGTCAGTTTGCGACGCTCAGCGTAAGGGCTGTCCTTGACAGCCTCTCGGACGCAGTCCTTTCCAGAAGCGTCGCGCCGTCTGGGTTGGTGGCTATGGGCTTTCTCACAGAAAATCTCGTCACAATCAACGAGAAGCACACTGTCGACATCTGGAGCTCCAACTATCTGCCAGGCAAGACCGAGGGCGACTCTTCTCACATATCTATACCTGGCCACGGGGATCAAATCTTGGGCATCCAGGCCTTGTCAAAACCGAACGACCAAGACGCCGATTTCATCACGTGGTCCGGTTCCGGCAGAGTCATCTTTTGGGACATGAATGGGACGATCAAGTGCTCTATCGAAGTGCCAATTGACCAGGCCATCCCTGAAAACGAGATAGACCCGGTAAATCAGCTCAATGTGGTCCGAACCACGAGGGCCGGCAAGATGCTTGTAGCAGCCGACAAGTTTGGGGTGCTCAGAATCATGGACCTGTCAACAAAGGAATGCCTGCTCGAGACGAAGGCGCATTCCTCGGACTGCCAGGGCGTCACTATCTACGAGGACGACAACAAGTTCCTGCTGGCGACTTGCGGTAGGGACAGGACGGTACAGCTCTTTCATCGCACATCGGCCGGGGAGTTCCGGCACTTCCAAACGCTAGAGTTCGCTGCCAGAGTCGTACAAGCGCTCATTCCGGCAAACGATAAAATCATGACTTGCTCTCTGGACAGGACGCTGCAAATCTACGATATTGTCTGCAAGCCCGTCGACGTCGACGAGATCGCGGCCCTCCCTTCCCGGACAAACATACTAAAGGCAGCGCCAACGTCCTTTACCCTCGGCCCGGACGACAGAACTGCATTCGTCTCGATGCTGGACCGTTCGGTCTGCCAGTACGACCTCTCCAATGGCAAGCTACTCAACTGCTTCAAGTGTGTCGACGAAGGCGGATACGAGACCGCCATACTGGACTCTCTGATCTTCAGCCAGCCTCCGGGCAAAGATACGGGCGTTCTTCTCGGCGTGTCCAACACGGACAAATCTGTGCGTCTCTACGATGCCCAATCTGGCCACTTTGTAGACAGGGAATGGGGACACACAGAAGCCATCAACGGCGTCACGTTGACAGAGGACGATGATGGCTCCCAGAGGGTCATTAGTGTCGGGTCGGACGGTACTGTGATGTTCTGGGGCATGGAAAGCGAGGACATCCTACCTTTCTCCATTGGCGGGGACCCGTTGCCAATGAAGGATGGACCCGCCGCTGCTAGACTACCTCTGAGACGCGTGCTCTCAAAGGCCGAACTGGCAGAGTTCCAGCGGCCCTCTTCCGCACAGAGCGGTCGTCGCTCGCCCCCGAGGACCGTTCGCAAACGGACGTCTCGGTATGGTCTGGGCAGCAGCGCCAGCACACCCAAGACGGCCATGCAAAGTAGCCCGCTGGCCGAAGATACACCATCGCGACGTTCCTCTGGCAGCCAGTCTGGCAGCCCGCCTGTTAGCCCAAAGTCGAAAGCGTCTGGACGGCCCTCTCTTCCGTCCCTGGGTCTGCCGCCGAAGAAGAGCTCGCCCAAACTGCGGGGCTTTGGCAGTCTCAACATGTCGACCGAACAGACTTGCCGCACACTGAGAGCGTATAGAAAAAAGCTCGCGTCGACGGACCCTCTCAGCGAGGATGTCATCTTCGAGCTCGACCAGGAATTGCGCCTAACTGCTGCCGCTCTCGGCGACCGAGCTACGAGGACAAAGGCTCTACATGACTCGGCCCTCCTCAGCGGCCTTCTTGACCAGTACGAGGAGCGTCTGGCTTCCATGCTTGACGAGAAGCTGCGGAACACCTTCCAGGCGAGAGAGATTTCCACTCCAACTGAGGAGCGAGAGGAAATACTCATCGTGCCGCAACCAGACACGGGCGGCGACGAAACCACCTCTACATCATCATGACACACACTCATTGTATCATTATTTTTACACAATTTTTCCATGCATTGTACACTACTTGCTGGATATAACGGCGTTACCTGGACGGATAACTCTGGCGTTTCTTGATCGGGAAAGAGACATTTATCACCGACAGCACGAAGCCCGGCTTTGATTGCCTGCTCGATGCCGTGGACTTCCGGGATGATTCTAGCGGACGGGGGGCACGCGCCGCCCCTTTCCCCCTTTTTTATTTGTTTGATACCTATCGGTCTACCATAAATTCCTCGAAAGAACGGCATCAGCGAACCTTTTGTTTATTTCCCTTTGTTCTTGTTTTGATTGCAACGGAGATCCCTCCATCTCCATGCAAGGAAAATCAGTCACGGCAGGCGAATCGGAGCTTGGAGTTTTTTGTTCTACGTTGGCCCTAGGGACATTGATGGGGTAACAGACGGCGAAGTGAGGGGACTTGGCGGATGATGAAAATTCAGGAATAGATGGATGTTTATGGGAAGGGGGGAAAGGAGAAAGTTGATTTCCTCGCTGAATTCTTGCGCGGACGTGTTTGTGGTTCTTGGACATAATGTTTGCTGGGTCGCATCCGCCCTCTATTTTTTTTTTCTCCTTTCCTCTCTAGGGAAAAGCATCAGAATCAAAGCACAAGACGAGGCCCCTTTTCTGCCCGTCATTTGACCACTTCAACAACACTTTCACAGGCCTCCTTCCCTGATGAGATACAACGCTACTGACGTCTGGTCAGCAAAGCCGGCCCCGCATTTTGTTCGCATGGCGAATTATGTACAGGCCGAAAGTCAAGACTTGACCTCCTCGGTCAAGAACGCCATCTGATATCAAGAAAAAAAGTTGTGTGATTTTTTTGTCTAACCGACTCAGGGGGGGATGTGCCGTGTTCCAAGAAGAAAAGAAAAAAATAAAGGAAAAACAGAGTTTCTATCCAACGCCGCAAATGGGCTTTTCCTGCCTGCTCTACACGTACACTGCGACCGTCGTGACGACTCCCAGCTAGTACCGTCACAGCCGCCCCGCGCGAAGGAGACGCACGGCTCATCAGACCACGAGGCCCTCCTCCAGCGCCTCGTCCCGCTCCAGCTTCTCGAGCCCCGTCGCCACGGCGCCGTACACCCGCAGCGGGACCGCCACCTCGAAGCTCTCGCAGGCCAGGTTCTCGACGGCCACGAGGACGAGCCCGCCACGCTCGTCCCGCGAGATTTCCTCCAGTAGCGGGTGCGTGCTAGGCGCCTCGCGCTCGAGCTCCGTCTCCTGGCTCGGCACGACGAACTCGACGCGGATCTTCCACTCCAGCGAGACGCCCGTCGTGACGAACTCGGGCGTCGCGTTGATAGGGATCGTTGGCGTGAAGACCATCCTTCGGGAGTAGAGCGTGGCCTCCGAGGCCGACACGTGAACCTTGCGCGTGACGCGGTGGATGGACGCCTCCGACCGGATGGCCAGATGGGGCTCGACCCGCTCTGCCGACTCCAGACACGAGTGCACCGCGTAGCAGGGGACCTCGGCGTCTGTGAAGTCGATGGCCATCGTGGCGACTTCGCCTAGACGGTAAGAGGGCCTCGTGAGCATGACCACGCCCACACGCTGTCCGTTGCGGGCGATCTCGAAGCGATTGGGGCTTTGCTGGCCTTCGGAGGTCATGTTGCTGCGCATGATGGCCAAGTTGATGGCATCCGTCGCCGTCGTGACGTCTTCAAACACTGACGGCCGTCGCGACCCAGGGTGCGCTGTGGGTGATAGCAGACCCGTATTCGACCCTTGTCGTGGTCTGTTGAGAAGCTCGTCGACGTAGGTGAGAAACTCGTTAATGGTCGCGTCCGACTTGGGCGCCTTCAGCTTCTTGATCTCGCTCAGCGTTGACAGCTTGTCGACAGCCTTGACCTTGGCCTGGTCACGAAGGATGATGTAGGGGCTCATGAGGTCGTGGCCGAGAATCTCCCCGTGGCCGTTGACGCTGCCCAGCACCCTGAAAGGTATCTCGACGGAGCGTACCTGTTGCTCTTTCGAGCCACCCGCCCTTTGCGTGCCGATGACGAGGTTATAGGATATCTTTACCGCTTTCCCCTTATGTGTCGGTGGCAGTCCCTTAGGAAGCTGGAACGAGTACTCGAACGCTTTGTGCTCGCCTGGACCAAGGTTCAGGTCCACAAACAGAATCGACTGAGGCGTCGAGAGCAGCGGCACAGACTTGGAGCTCGCCATACCGCGCATGTCTTTGATGCTGCTGACTTCCCCGGTCCCAAGTAGTTCCCCGATCGAGTTGCTGATGCTTCCCCAGCCAAACCCTCGAAGGAGTCCACTATCCCTTTTCGAAGGTTCTACTCCTATGACACCGCCTCCTTGGCCGCCTACCACGCCCTTCCGTTTGACTTGCTCGAAGGGAGCCAGATTAATGAGCGACCCATCGAGGGTGAAAGAGCCCTGGATCTGAGCGTAACCCATCATCAGCGATTCCGGTTGCTTCGGATGGTGGGATGCGAGATTCGACGGCCGTCGAAAGTGTGGCGGCCGCATCGGGCCCCTTGTGGGCTGTGTCGGATATTCGGATGCTAGTGTTTCTGTTGAGTTGTTGCTCATTGAGTAGAACTCTCCGCTGCTTCGTGGCGTCCCCCCTCCCATACTTGTCGTAGATAGTATACGCATGGCCGGGGTTGCATGTTCGTTGTAATTGGTAGTAATGCCATCCTTGGATCGTATGACGAGGCTTGGAGGCACTTCGGGGTTTGGGCTCAATAGCCCATCGTGATATGCTGCTATAGGTGTGCTCGGAGTATCTGACAGCGGAGACTGAACCATTGGGAACCGGAACTCCGCCAGCGCGTTGTTCGGCGACCTTGTAGAACGTTGTGTGCCAACTGCGCTAGGGGTATTCGGTACGGTGGAGAATCGCGAGGTTGCGGGGGGTGAGTCGGACGCAGAAGTCGAATTGAACAGAGGCGAGCTGATGTGCCTTGGTGATGCTGCGGCGTGTTAGCAATCAGACCGCAGTCGACATGAAGCAACGAGACACTGACCAGAGTGAGGGGCGGTAAGGCCCTGGCTCAGAGCAGCTCCGCGAGGAACGATCTGGAGGCTGGAGGCTCGCCCGTGGCCGCGGCCGGGTCGATGCGACTTCACGGAACCAGCATTGCTCTGGTTGTCATCGTGTATTGTGCTCGTAGAGCCAATCGACACGATGGAGACGGACTTCTTGTGCCCATTGCTGCGATGTTCGAGGGCGCTGGGGGAGTGCGACGACGGCCATGGTACTGAACCTGCGCGGCTTCGTGACTGGGCTGCCGGTACGTTAAGAGATAGGGCGGATCGGTGACCACGGGTCTGAGCAGAGTTCGGCGGGGTTAAGCCGGCGCTGGCCTTGCCTCTCAGCAATGGGGAGACATGCCTCGGGCGGTCGGCAGGTGAGAGTCGCTGTGATTGTCGCTGTTGATTGGGATCGCGGGCAATGTTCTTGAAGGTGATGGTGCACTTGATCTCCTCGCCAGCGAAGACGGTCTGGTCGTGCCAGCGGATAAAGACTCGAATATTGCTAGAGGCCTCTGGAGACATGATGGCGCTCCTCCGGTCGGAGAGGAGGGGGGGAAAGGTGAAAAGGAGGAGGGGAAAGAATCAATTAATTGTTACAATGGATTAGCAGGGCATCACATGTCTGGCATTAACCATTATCGCGTCTGGGCCCGTGGATTGAAAATGGACAAAGAGTCCTGAAAGGAGCATCCCAACGTCATGGGTTTCCAAGTGGGCGGGAGACGGAGGTTGAGCGAGCTGGGCTAGCTCCAGTGTCGCTACGAGTCGGACGGGGCTCATCGGCGCGCCCTGCAGGGGTTAAGTCCACATCCACGCTTCCTTACACGGGTTTAGCGTCACCGTCGCCTCGGCCCCTTATCTCAGCAGGCTGACCCGCTTAAATGCAACGGGGTCGGGTCGCAGTACGTACCTTGGTCACGGCTTAACCTCTTCCACTTACACGAAGACCTCCATTATCGTATACAATATCACTGAGATTTTGGCTGTCATAAGTCATCACCATCTCTGCATTTTATGCATCCTACTTAATGTCATCGTATCATTGATCTCAACGAGATCAGTTGATACAGTCGCCATGGATGTGAAGCTTTCTGTCAACCTTACCTGCCCCTCCCATGGATGGAGGTAGGTATCCTCAAGACAGCACCTGCTCGCAAACTGATGTGGAAGGCGCACCTGACTTCGGAAGGCACCTACTTATACCTGCGTCTTCCAGTTCCATTCTATTTTTCTTCACCTGTCCCATGATTTTTCTTTCTTCCACTCCTCTCTTTCATTCCAAGCACTTGCATCGATCCTCTTGTCTCTACCACTCCGACCCTTTTGTCATAGCACCAAGGTCTCGTCTTTTCATTCTATTACCATGTCATTTCCCACAAGATGGCGATAATAGATACTCTACCAGCAGTTGATGTGTCCGTACGATTGAACAACTCCTTCGACAACGCAGCTGAATACCCGGACCCGAACCCCTACCGTCAAGAACGATACCTGGGAGGGTATGAGCGCTGCTCCCGCAACTACATTGAGAGCCAACATGATGCCGAATTTTGCATCAATATCCGTGTCACAGATGACCGCTCTATCGACCCCTGGGTCTATGATGACTATGGTTTTCTATTCTTCCTTTACATCGATGGGATCTTCATGGGCAAGAGGTTTTGCCTGAGCAAAGACTTCAGCGGAAGACAGTGGCGCTTCACATTCTCCTCTAGGACGTACCCAAACGCAGACCGCTCCTCTCTCGTCAAGAGCAGATTCAAGTTTCAGTCAATTGTTGCTGGTAAGATTTCCCTTCAACCTGTGTCAAACAATGGCTCAACTTCGCCTGTTGATATTGTGCATAGTCGACGACGAGCCAACGGACGGCGACTTTCGCAGAGCCCGCGACGTTGGCACGATTGAGGTGAAGCTCAAGCTTGGAAAACTATGCCCCATGGTCGATCGTCGGCAACGTAGAAACCTTGAGAGAGACTTTCGTGAGCCAGATGTGGATCACTTTGAGATCCCTGAAGAGGCACTCAAGGGTCGCCCTATCTACCACGGCACTTCGTGAGTAGCTAGCTGCTCTCCTAGCCATCCCTTTATCTAACGAGTAAATCACAGGTTCACAGCTCCGGAGAGTTTGCCTGGAGGCCCGCCACGTGGCAATGCTCCGAAGTCCATCACCGGGGCACTGCTAGCGACGTACAACTTCAAGTACCGGTCGGAAGGCAAGTGACATGCTGATAACGTTCTGAGTTGACGGAGGTCTGATATTATTCCAGAGGCCTTGAAGGTTGAGGGCATTATTCCTCGGACACCAAGTCCCGAGCCTGCGCTTCCGCGCAAGGTCCGTCTTGAGAAGTCAGGTGATGTTCCTCGATTCGAAGACCTATACCACGACGAGGTGGAACGACTTGCTCGAGAAAGGCTGAGACAGCTTCGGGTGAGACACGAATATACCAAATATCGGCTTATTGACTGACATACTCTCAGGATGAGAGACTCCAGACGTCCAGCTTGAGAAGGCGCACGTATGACGACTATTGTGACCTCACAGAGGAAGATGAAAATGAGCCAGCGCGGCCTTACAAAACCATCAGGACAGAAAGGGGACATGATATTATTGATCTCACAGGCTGCTACTAGAAATGTATGTTGCGAGATCGTGAGGACACTATCAAGAACAAACCTGTGTACAGCCATGAAATATTTTAGGAGAGTCAAGCACGAATACAGATAATTGCAGAAACTGCACCCACACTGTGATATAAACGTTATTGTCTGATCTCATATATCTCACATTGCAACCAAACCCACTTGAGCTGTGAATAGAAAGAAGGAATGCAGGGGGAAAGTAATGATTGGTGGTGTTGTGGCACCGAACTTGTCTTCCTATGCACATCGTTCATCGCAAGTCAAGGTCGATTATCCCTCCCTTTGCCTTAATAAGAGCAATGGGATGGAGCAATAGGTATTTAGGGCTCAGCTCTGCCTTCCTTCGGCCGCAAAAAAACAAACGCGGTAGGTGGGGGGCCTCCATTTCACCCTGTTCATCCGGGTTGTGATCAAGATGAATGGGAAGGATGCGGTGGAACACGACGATCCAGATGCGATCAAGACAGGGTTCGAAGCGCCATCCGTTTTTTGTAAGCTTATCGAAATCAAGGAGGGCGCCCCGTTCTCCATAGATATAACCCTCAGCCGCGGCATTCGACATATCCTCACCTCTGATGACTCTGCATTGATGGCCGTCGTCCACCTCGGCTCCCAAGAAGTCATTAGGCATTTGGTAACGAAGAAGACGCTGGGTTCTGGGAAAGCGCTACGGCACCGCTTCCTTCTGCGGGGTGTTTACGAGAAAGACGACAAGTTGAGAACAGCGTTGAAGAGATTCCGATTCGCCACGAGCGACATGAACGACAACATCCCCGAGGGCATCATCAAGGTCGACGTGTACATTGTCAAACTTCTCAGTCAACCAGAGATAGGGCACCTGGTCGATATAACCTCTTCAGGCCCACCGCCTCAGGCCATCATGTCAGTCTCTCGCCGAACACCAAATCGGGATGTTTTTAAAGTATTGACGATGAATAGCTTTGAGCCCAATAAAACCAAGAAGTCGCAGGCGGCCGATACCTACGATATCAACAAGCTAAATCGTGGACCCCCATTAGCAAGCATCATATTCAAATATCAAACAAAAGGTGAGTGGGTGGTGTTCAGTTACGGGGATTCTTCCAGGTCCTTACTTTTTTCTTTTTCTTTTTTTAGCAGGGACTCCGTCCGCTAATGTCAAGCCGGAGTGTAATAATGAGAGAACCGATGAGGACCTGATCGACTTGAACGATGTTCGGTCAGCTCCAAACACATCTCCAGTCTTTGGTACAGAACATAGCCTACAGGAAACACCCGCAACGATGCTTACGCCCGGATCTTCACTGAATGCGCCTCGAATGAATTCTCAAGTCCACACAGCGACGAAGCTCTTCGATGACCTAACACTAAGTGACCCCGAGGAAGAGAAAACCGAGATGAACCGCCTGTGTTTACCTCTTCAGCCAAAGGGGTTCTTGGTCGAAAAGGGAGAGAAGAGCGACCATGGTAAGACTGAAAAGTACGAGGCCGTCTCACACCAGTCGGGTCGTGATACGAAATCTACCGTTTTCAGGAAGAGGAAAGCCGTCTCGGCATTCGATGAGATGTCTCCGCCGAGGCCTAGGAAGATGATTGCACTTTCGGAGTAAGAAACTCGATATTGGCCGGTGTCCATGAAGAAGAAGAGACCGGTTGAAAACGAGCGGTGTGAGGAGTGTACTCAGAAGACGCGTATTACCGGAGTCGCCTTGACGACGCTTATCTCAGCTTAGTGGAATGGGAGGCATTGAGTATTGCAGAGATGGAATATACTAGATTGAATCCACCGTGCCATTCTGTATCTCCAGTGGCTATGTCTGATCCATCTCATTGTCGAAATGGCACGAATTCAGTAATGAAGTCCATGATGTACCCTAGTCCCAAAAGCCATCTTAAAGCCTGTAATCCTCATCGCAAGGAAGCGTTGCCTGAGTTAACCTAACATTATGGCTCTCATTGTTATGCTAACACCTGGGGGTTACATTTGCGGAGGTTCTCGACGAGAAATCGAAGCAGCGCGGGTGCTGCACTCAGGCATAGAGTCAGGTGTGGTTAACAATTGGACAGTAAAAAGTGATTCATTTTGTCGTGACATCTGATATCTGAAATCCACCTTTTTATCTCCTGCCTCCTCTTCCCTGCAGACGAGACGATATAGATAGGTACAATAAGAAGGTATACCCGATTCCGCCCCTAAGCTCCTGGCCTAAGAAAAAATGTGTCGCTCTTGTCGTGGGAGTCCCAAACATAGCTACCCACCAGAGCACGTCCAGTGATACTCCGTATATTGTGAACAGATGGCCAGGTGCTGGTTTGACTACCCTGAAGTGCTTGAAAGTTGAAAAAGATCATGGGACCGCGCCGGAAAAAACAAAATTTGGGCTGAGGGCGAGTGGCGATAACTGGCCATCCTCCAGTCATTAAAAGTAGAACAGTCAGTCGTCAAGGAACTACTTTGGGGAAAACCGAAAGGCATCTAGTCGTCAGTGAGGTCAATAGCCACACGGTTGCCTTCGATCTTGATCTTCTTCCACTCCCGCTTGGCGGGCTCTACCGTGAGGTCGAGAATCTCCGTGCATTCCCGCTTGATGATTGGACGGCGGCTCTCTGACTTCACGGTTGGAGAGTTACGGCGATTCTGCATAAGGTCATCATTCCGCTGCGGGGTGAAAGAGTCGGGGAAACTGACGTTAATATCGTCGAGGCGTTCCACGGCCAATCGGCGAATTTCCGCCTCAGACAACCCGGCAATGGGCTCAGGGCTCGGCGATCTGGGAATGATCAACTCCTTGTGCAGTGCGTCTAAGGCAGAATTAGTGGCTGTCCCAGACGCTACTGAGTATTGGGCGCAGACCTCGCGAGCGGTACTTGAAGCTGAAGGCCGCAATCGGGTTGTGGTTATTGAGATATTCCGCAGTGACACTGGGCCTCTGAGAAACAATACCACCGTCGGCGAACCTTGTCCGTGTAAGCACGAACGGTTGTTCTTACTTTTGAGAGTACGGAAGAACTCACGAGGTGCCGTGGGAGACTGCGCGGCCCTTGAGAGCCTTCTCGGCAATCTCAAAGTTGCCACTCCGCCGCGCTTTGTGGCGGTGAGGGGATCTGGTGTACGTGGAAGGCCCGGTGATGATCACGGGATAGACAAACACCTCAATGACGCCCAATAATTTTGCCTTTGCGGTGTCCGCCTTCACCCGGTCAATTGCAGCATCATCAACTAAGATCGAGTCAGCAAGGAGGGTGCTTGTCGCATCGGACGAGGTCGTGACATACACGTGGTGACCTTGGAGAACTTGAATTTGTTGAGGCGGTCGTAGCCCGAAGTAGTGGACCTCTCACGAGAGCCTTCAACGGTGGTTTCCCAAACATACAATGGGTCAAAATTGAGAAAGCGCTCGGCCTCACACACCATGCCGCTTGCCCTTTTGCCGTCGACGTATAAGGCCAAGGTGAGCGCGTGGTCAGGGCCCTCCCAGCGATGGCTGTTGTCGACCTGATAGCAGACAGAGAAGAAGGCGTCGTCCTTGGATTCGATGTAATGGAAGGTTCGCCAACGGGCGTTTTTCCGGTTGGGGTCGGTTTCGAAACCATCCGGGTCATCATACTCAGTGGCATCGCGGCCGTCCACTTGGACGGTGACCTTGACGCCGGGGAAATCGCGGATGATGGCCATCTTGGACCGAGCGTGGGAGGCGTTCAGTCAGGATGTGTCGTGCGCTGTCTGGAAGGTGGTCGGTGCAGGTTGTCTGGGAGGGGAGGATTGACATAAAATGATTGAATAGCTTTGGGACGAGAAGGGGAAATTAATAAACCCACGTGAAGTTACTGTTTGGCAGAGTTTCAGTTGCGGGCGCTTTACAGTAGGTTGCGATCGCAGTGTGATTGGTTGATTGTCGGACAAAAGTGGACCCCAATCGACTGTGATGCCCTGCCTCCATACACCGCCATCATCATCCGCCAGGGCGTCACATAAAGCCATCACAACATGTACCCGTTCCAAACTGTTCTTCTTTCTGGCTTGGGCATGAGTTGTGTCTTTATGAAAGGACTCGCCTCTTCCCATGCACTGCAGCTAAAGTCCGATGCCATCAATCTCGACCCGCTTTAGAAATGGAGTCATGCGGAGTAGCGCCGGGTATTTGCAGATCATGCTGCGCCAGCGGCCAAGAGTGGGTTCAATACCATCGAAGAAGCTCCCCGCCCGGGTATGAGTGAGGTAAAGATTCGCTTTGCCGCATGACTTTTTGATCCGAATACAGCTGTTTGTTTACCTCAAGAATCAGATGCATATGATCAACCCTGAGAGGTTGTAAATACTGAGTCACTATGAAATGGAGGACACTAGACAAACACTAGGGAGACACTAGGCAGTGCGACAAATACTAATGTGTGTATCTGGTGAGATCAACAACAAATCTAGTGATATCTTTCCCGCAACGTATGAACACAGATTGATTTCTTAAGTGAGTCGAACGAGACGTGAAAACGCCGCTTACAAGTATATGAGACTTAAGCAAGCTACTAACCCCGCCTACCGTTTGCTCACGTCGTGGGCATTATATGAAGCCATAATGCCAAGGTAGTTTTAAGTCTTATTACCTATGAAGCCAGTAGAGAAATTAACAAAAACAAGCATAGCATCCCTGTTGCTCTTCAACCAAGTAATCATACTCTCCCACCCCCAGATTCTTCATGATGCCTCATGCTCTTTATCTTAGAAGTCGTCCGAGGATAATCGGTTCATTCGGTGAGATCGATAGCACCGTCTGAAGTCATCGTGTAGACTTTGGATATGCGGAGTTTGATATCATCGTCTGCCTCCCGTTTCACACCAGCCTTGCTCTCCAGCTTCACCATGGCCTGGATAGGTATCAGCAAATATCTTTCGTAACCGTTGCTCAACAGGTACATACCAGCTGGTCGAGACGTTCCTGTGCCAGTCTCTGAATCTCTTCCATGGGAAGATCTGCGGCGTTTCGAGGCTGAGGCTCGGATGAGTATTCGGGAGACGGGTCACGAGGGATAATCCCCTCAATTTGGAGAGCCATCTTGGACTTGTAACGGAAGATGAACCGGGCAAGTCGAAGTTCCCCATCAGGATATGTACAAGTCACGCTTCGAGGATTAGGAACATTTCGTCCCTCCGAGAAACTGTTCGACACAGTTAAACGATTAAAAATACGATTTGAAACGGTGTTGAACTTACCCCGTGCCATGGGACAAGTTTTTGCCTTTCATAGCTTTCTCTGCCAGCTCCGTCTTCGACATCACATTGCTTGGCTTCGATTTACGTTTGCGGCCGTGTTTGACGGCACGGTATATGATGACCTCAATTTTGCCAAGATGGTTCACAACTTCCAGGTCCTCGGTGATGCGAGATCCGCTCTCATCAACTGTTCATATGATCAGGCATTCCGCATGGTAGATAAAGACTGTTTTAGCGAGTCATACCTTGTTTGATCTTGGTAAACATGAAATTCTTGAAAATGGACTGCCCGGGTTTGGCTGAGACGTCGGTGACTCCCTCCACATGCTTTCGAAGAACCTGGCCTTTGAGTTTGGATTTGTCGTATACCTGACTTTCACAAAGCCTCCCGTCGATGTAAATAGCCACAACTAGTACTCTGTTGTCTTTTATCCAACGGCGAGCATCTTTGAACTCGTAGTGGACAGAGAACTTTGCATCGTCTTGGCTCTCGATGGCTTTCGAGATGGAGTGAGTTGCGGCGCCGCGGCTTGCTGTGGTTTGGGAAGCTTTGGGGTCGTCGTATTCGGTACAGTCTTCTGCTGAGCCATTCAGGCGAATGGAAACCTTGACTCCTGGCAGACCGTCGATGACTGCCATGGCTGGCGTTGGATATCAGGTCGCAGATTGTACGTGGATTGTGTTGTTGGTCTCGTGCAGTTTTGATAATTGAAGGGCGGCGAGGAGAAGAAGCCGTGTAAATTTGGATAGGGGACGAAAGAGATAAATAGAGAGATAAGATGCAATTTGACATGAAAAAGGACCAGAGGTGAGGTTGTTGGGAAGGAGCGACACGCTCCTGGAATGGAAGGGGCCAAAAAGAAGTGGCGCGATGGTTCGAGTTCGGAAAGAGCATCTCGAGGCAGGTGCTGGACCGTGGATACAAATGGAAACAAAAGTCGTCCGCGCCAAATTTTGATAGTATAATCATCTAACCAGTTTCCTAAAAGTTACCCAAGTAGTTTCCCGTAGCTGGCAGACGTTGAGAGATGCAAACACGGCAATGAGGATTTAGACACCGCGCCCAAAAACTTCACTTGCAACCTTTTGCTAGTCACTCGCATGCTCCATGGCCGTGTCCCTATCTTCTAGTACCGGCATCTCTTGGATCTTCTCCGCTATCTTTTCCGCCTTGAGTATGTTTACCGCCGCCTCGGCCGCCTTGACCTTGACCTCCTCCCGGGTGACGCCCCCGTCGACCTCGACAACGCACCGGGTGCCGACCAAGACCCTACACAGGTACTCCTTTTCCTCGGCCGCGTCGTCGCCCGCCTGCCGCGCGTTGAGAACGTAGGTGACTTTCTCCTTGTCGGCGAGGTGACCCAGTTCCTCCTTGGGGTGCAGTACGTGCACGCCGTCCCGCAGAATGCGGTCCAAGTACCCCGTGATGCCGAAACGCTCAACCACCCGGGCGCATACGCCAAGGTCCCCGGAGTCGACGTACACGGCGCCGAGAAGGGACTCAAAGATATCCGAGTAGAATTTCCGGAGCTGTATGCGCGCGAGGAGTGCCCAGGGGTATGTTTTGCCCCGCTCCATCGAGTCAATGATTTGGTCCCTGAGAGCGGTGTACCGCTTGTGCACGTTGATCTGCTCCAGGCCAATTGCGGGCGACTGGTGGCGCATAAACTTCCACAGGGGCAGGGAGAAGCGGGAGTGCTGCAGGTTAGGCTCTTTGCCGGTGTTTTCACCGAGGACGACTTCGTCCTGACCGATGGATTGCTCTAGGGATAGGAAGCCGAGGAAGTCGCCGTTGACCATGGCCGTCTTGAGGAGGTGCATGGTCTGGTGGGGGAGCGGGGGCTCGACGGCGAAGAGGCGGTTGACGACGACGTAGTCGAGGACCGAATCTCCCATGAACTCGAGGCGCTCCAGGCACCCGAAGGGATTGCCGAGGTTGAACGAAGCATGCGTCATGGCTTGTATGAGAAGCGTTTTCCTGTCGAACTTGTATCCGATGAGGTGCTCCAAGGGCTCAAGGGTCGAGGGCAGCTCTACGTCCGGGGGGGAGAAGTTGTACAACGCCAGCCTGCAGGCGTCCAAAGTTCTCCAATTGATCTGTTGGAGGAAGATGGACATGCACTTGAGCGCCTTGTCCAGGCCGCCGTCGATCATCGAGGCCCCTATAAGCGCCTCAACGATGTCTGCAAGCGTCTTTGTCGACATCTTCCTCATGGACTTGTCTTCACCGCGACTAAGGACGCTGTCCACGTAGATTGGGCGCCATTTCTGCCCCGTGAACGGCTTGGTGAGGATGTACCTGTCAAGCCCGTGCTTAACGGCGGCCTTACAGAGAGTCGAGTTGGACACTATGGCATCTTTGTGGAAGGAAAGAAGCCTTTCTGGCCATTGCGGGTCTGGGAGACGTTAGCATGTGCGTCTTGTAGCAGACATGATGTGGTCTACTCACTCAAGGCGGCCACGTTGATCGTAGCGGAGAATTTGAGAATGGAATCTCCGAGAAACTCAATCCTTTCATAGTTGGTAGGCTCGGACGCACTGCCCGTGCTGATGGCTGTGAGTATCAGTGACAGGTCCGAGATCGCCAACGGCCTCAAGAGACCCAAAGATAGCTCGCGCGCGACAAGACGGGTTTCGATGTGATGCAGAATGGACGGTATCAGCACCCCAAACTGGGCATACTTGGCTGGAATTGTGTCTACCTTTGCCCATGGCATAGGGTAGACTCGGCTGTATGGCTTGGAACTACTCGGACTTTGACCGGGTTCGCTCTGCGGCCGATGGAGGAAGTCTGATCGACGCGACCATTTATTCAGTGCTATATAGGGCACGTCTTCGGGCGCCGTTTCGAACTCGTAAAACGTCTTTTGTACAGACTGGGACGCCGGCTTCTTGGGAATGATGCCCTCGTAGGTGTGAGGACTTCCAGACTGATCACGTATGAAGCACGTCATATCGTGTGCTGACATTTGTCCTTGAACGAACTGATTGACTCCGATTTGGGTCACAGAGAGATCAGCGCCGTCAGTCACGCTGAATCTAACGACCTGCTGAGCGTCTGTTGGCATCCAGCGGTGGCTGTAGGGCAGGGCGAGTAGCACAGCCGTGTCATCTTTGCCAGTCAGTTCGTCAATGGGAAGCTGTTCCCCGAACTCGAGTGACCAGGTGATATGATAGTCCAGATGAACGGGTATTGTCTGCAGCCCTGGAATCCAGACGGGAAGGACCATTTCGTACTCTCCTTGGAGGGCCCCGGCTGAATCCTTGAGTAGAATGCGAGTCGACCGCAGGCTGTCCCCGACTTTCCAAGCCTCGGCCACCTTGACCCAAGCATTGAGCAGACCGTTAACCTGAAGAATTGCGGGTACCTTGCCAACACCAGGCACGAAATCCTCCGGCTTGAACGGCAAAAGATTGTCGTTGACGAGCCCTGCCTTGTAGAGACCGACATAGGCCTGAAACGCGGCGTCTTTGGTGGCGTTCTTCTCCGACTTCCACGCCATTTGGCTCTCGGCGGTACGGACATGAGACGGGAGATAGCTCGGTAAAACGACAGTGGCCCTTATATCGGGAGCATCTACTGCGCCGAGCTTCTTGATGATGTAGTCAGGTCTCCAGTCGATAAACTCCCCTGGCGATAGAATCCGGCAAAGATGGTCAAGATGCTGTTTTGCATTTTCGGGATCCAGGACTGCCCCTGTTTGATTGATCACGAAAATCATCTCTGTTGACTCTTCAGTATCCTCGACCTCTTTAAGATGCTCAAGCTCTCGCTCTTTTTCTTCATACTGGCTCTTCATCTCTGCCTCCAGAGCCGCCCATTCTTTCGGAGCAGACTCCGAGGAATCATGCAGCATCAGGAGTTTCGAGTCTTTCATCCGGGCTCGCCCGCGGCGTTGGATGAAGGATTTCAGGTTTGGTGGGTAATCAAAACAGATGACCACGTTACAGGCCGGTACGTCAATGCCTTCCTCAAGGACACTGGTGGCAATGAGCAGGTTGGTCTTCCCATTTCGAAACTGGTGCAGCGACTGCAAGTCTTCACTCCGGGAGAGATCCCATATGTCTCTCTTCCTGGCCTGGAACTGCGATGTGCCCACCATGGCCCCCATCCGATACCGAGCCCGGAGCAGCTTGTGAGATGCAAGCAAGTGACACAAAACCGAGACCGTCGCCCTCTCTCGGACAAAAACAACGCCCATGATGTCGGTCTTGTCTTGCAAGAGCTGCTCGATAAGTAAGAATACTTTTTCTGACAGAACATCCCCGCCAATTGTCTCCTCAGGCGGACATTGGCACTCGACCTGATTGAGAATCTTGGCAAGGTATTCTTTCTCGTCATCCTTCCATGTGTTCAACGAGATGCTTTGTGACCGAAGCGCGGCCATAAACCGTGATTTGACTACCCAGATGTAATATTCTGCAGCCCAAGGGCCAAGATCATTGAATATCTGATTCGCCTGGCGGCCAAATGACGTCATTTGGTTTTGAATCCAGGTGTCGTGGCTTTCCAAAGCTACCATGAGGGCGCGCTGACTACGTTCGGTCCCCTCCGATTGAAGGTGGAGAATATGAGGGTCATCCAGGATGTCGAGACTTCGAATGGCTTTCCTTAGGCTTTGCAGACTACCTGGAGGGTCGTAGCATCTATGAGGTTGAAAGGAGATGTAGGTCATAGTTGGCTTCTTGACACAAGCAAGGAGATCGCTGCGATGTACTGTAGGGCTTTTGCAGACGGCATCTAGTGTAGCTTCAAGGGCGTTGATACCCTCGACTTTGGAGCCAAATGTTGGACTTGCCGTCAAACCCAAGATGTGAGGTGTATAACGACCTTTGCCCTTCTCTTCGTGGTAGAAGACCGTCATGATCTTGCTCCCCGGAGACTTGCCGATGCAGTTATGAGCTAATCCAACGTCAGGCCACATAGCTTCGATGGAGGTTCTGATGACATACCTTCATCGAAAACAATCAGGGACAACCTCTCCATACGCACGAATGCATGCGACAGTGCATCCAGCAATATCTGATATGTCGACACAACGATCCGGACATTGTGAAGTACTTCGTCCCACGTTCTTTGGTCTGACCAGGAGTCGACATTGTCATCACCACTGAGGAACTTGATTTGGACCTCGGGGATTTGAGACTGGAGCACCGCGAACTGTTGGGCGCATAGTGATACCGTGGGGGCCAGGAACCAAACGATCTGCCTCAATAAGCCCAAGCTCTGTCAGCGCGGTGGGAGTCAAACCAACATGCTTTGATGAAGTCCTTTCCACCTCTGCCCTTATTCGCAAGACAGCTCTGTCGAGGCCCGCGTAAGCACCATGCAGTCAAGAGTATCCAAGCAAGTTCACCTACACTTGTGTTTTGCCACTCCCGGTGTCCATCTGCGCGGATGTTAAATGGTGCCCGTCATTTCTTCGAGGATCGATTGGCATTCACGTACAGCTACAATGATGTTTTGCCTCATACTTTGGTCAAACATCTCAGTTTGGTATGCCCTTGCATTCATTATGACCGGTATGCCTGGCGCGGGCTCGTCAGAAGGCAACGAAACCTCATTGTCCAGGAACACATCCTCGGCGGCGGCCGAGAGGACGTCTTGGTTTTGAGGCCCAGAGGCCGGTACATCAGCAGGCATAACATCTTCTGACGGGCCAGAGCCGTCGTCTGAGAACGATTGGGAATAGCCGGGCATTGCCAGACGGCTGCTAGCGTGGACTTGAAGACCAATCCCCAAGTCGTAAACACAGTCCTAGGATGTAAAGTACTTCCAGGGTAGCCAAGCAGAATCGTGCAGTTGCAACCCCCAAGAGTACCTGGTCATATGACAAGACTGCCCCGGCGGCAGTGTGTTCGGCCTGAGTCAATCGGACAGAGCCAAGTAGCTAGGTAGGTGTAAGTACAAATGACGCGGCTCACGGACGAGATTTGGCCATGCCTTCGAGAACCCACTAAACGAACTCGGATGACACGGAGGGCCTAGACATGGGTGGCTCGATGTAGGGCTCGGGTACGGATACTGTTGGAGTGTAAAGGATGGGGTGCAAGGCCGTGACTGGGCGACGACTCGCGAGTGCCTGGAGACGATGGCTGACTAAATGGAGAAAATGTGGGTAGTGCTGCGAGTCTTGTTGCGACAGCACTTGCGTGTGTAGGTAGACACAAAAATCCTTAGACTACCTAGGTAGGGAGGGAAATATTGCAACCGGAACGACTGACGTCTGCCTAAATATGTGCGGGTGTCGTACCTTCTCGTTGCTTGCAAGTGATGTATCGCTGGGGAAAATCAGTTCCTCAAAGCCCCGTGTGCGTGATGGCAGTTGCGTTCGCGCGTTGGTTTCCAAGATTATGCAGGAGGCCGACCAGCCCACCTCCGATGCTTAGGCAGCTTCGTAACGAATGACGCACGGCACGATGGAGTCATCTTGGCTCTCGAGACGGGAACTTTTGATAAGTCGTCGTAAGGGAAGATGGATCCGGGGAAATGAGGATGTACCTGACATCGTATCTCATGGCTCCATAGCGTCGTCCCCATGTGCCGAGGAGGATTTTCAGAACTGAATATGCCTACTGTACAACTTTGATGTCTGATTTCTAATGTTGCAGGACACTGTATGCGGCTCGGAGGAAAGAACCAACGAGTCTGACACTGGCGCTGGCGAATCATATCTTGGACTTTGGAGGGGTGGGGCTACCTACATAGTATGTACCTACCTGTAGGAACAATTGCCATTTCGACTTGATGTGCCGAGAGTGCCCACAATCGCCCGCACTACGGCCTGGGGGACCGATTCCGAACCCGATAACTCCAATCAAAAGGCACCAATGGCTGAGGCCGAAATGCTGTGCAACATCAACGTCTGACCACCGGTTGTGAGAGAGGGACAATCGCAGTATTCTCACCAAAAGCTTTTGTAGTAGAACGCCCTAGAATTATACCTAGGCCTCGAGAAGATGGCACAATGCTTTCAAAACGACGGCGTATTTATTTGTGTTGGGAATATCTGAGCACTAATGTTCGTTACATAGTACCTGTTGTGAAAGGTAACAGAACAGTAACCATATGGTTGTGGGGCATGGGTGACAACCATTGAGGAGTTTAGCCCATTAGGGAAAGTGGTATTCAAACGCCCAAGAAGCTTGACTCGAACGCTAGACGGCTAGTTATGACTCACCTGTATGAGAACGAGGCATCGTCGATATGTGGCCTTCGATATGTGGCCTCTGCTTATTGAGACCACCCTGTGTACTGTACCGTCGACAAACTACAATGCCGCTTCAAACACAACGATATGTCCAAAATGACGCATCAAGATAGTTCTGAAAGCTTTTCCGTTCATCAAGTAAAAAGCCAAAGAGACTTTGAACAATGGATTCCAAGCCTATGCCGACTTCTTCAATCATGCGTCAATATTGATCCGGCCTCGTCCTCTCTCGGCTTCCGCGCACCACTCTCCGAAGTCACAGCAACGGCATATTGGGAATCACTATCAGCCCAACTGTTCGGGGTGGAACCTACAACCACGTTGTTCGTTGTCACTCGTGCATCGCAACCAGACTTGAAACTCATCGGGACCTTCCAACTGGCCACTCAACCGAAAGAGACGCACGCGCACAAGGCAGAGGTCAAGAAGTTGATGGTCGCTACAGAAGAGAGGGGCCATGGGCTGGGTAAGAAGCTCATGGCTACGGCAGAGAAATTCACGTTAGAGGCACTGGGCAAAACAATGTTATTGCTAGACACCTCGACGGAGAGTCCGGCGCGTACTTTCTACTTGAGGCTTGGGTATACTGAATGGGGTGTCTGCCCGAACTACGCTACAAGTGCCACCGGGCAGTTGCATGATGTTTCATTTTTCGTCAAGGTTCTGGACGCATCTAACGAAGACGGAAAATCAAAAACTGCTGATTAGCGGTCAGCCGGCATGGTTTAGAGGCGATAGCATAGGACTCAGTTATTGCGGCAAGACAATATGATTTCTTTTGAACATAAGTCGATGTGCTCTGTTCCTTTGGGGCCAATGTAAACAAAAAGAGAAATGGACAGAGACAACCCATCGCATCATAGCTGAAATGAAGTGCGATAAAGTGCCTCGAGAACTGTGTGATTCAGGTCTACCTCCAGTAGTAAAAAAAACAATCTACCCAGCCATTGTATGGGATATTTCACACGATATTGAGACTAGGTAGGTACGGTGCAGGATGGGCGCCCCGAACTGGATTGGTTAAAACGGCAATTGATGGTGCGGGGCTGATGCCACTTGGACCAATGCATGGGAACACGGCTCTTAAGCGGTCTATTGGGTTGGGTCATGTGTGTTCTACTGCAGACTGCTGCAAACGATCGACATCGGCATCTTATGACTGTTATGGAACTCGAATATGCTGAGAATGACAGGCCCAATGCAGTATCTTAGGCGCATCGTTGTCAATAGTGGGTTTCAGCTTTGGAAGTGCCCAAGGGAATGTGTGCCGGCCAAGGGGCGGCCGACAGCGCCTCAAGTTGGTGAACAGCTTCGACAGTAGACATCTCCAGTTGCTGCCTGACATCTGGCCCCGTCGTCCCGCTCTCTTGCTAGCTCGGTACCTACTATAGCCTAGGCAGCCATCGGATTATCGAAGGGGGCAGGAGATATCACCTTCAGCCTGAGTATCTTTCTGTGTTTATTGTCGGAACGACGCATCCGTGGCAAGAGCGCGCAGTTGCAAAGTCCAAGCTGGTACAGTCACAGACAGTCACAGGTCAGTTATAGCTTGTTTCGCATAATCGTCATTGCAGGTCGTCCATTGATTCTAGAGCTCGGAGATCCTCTCTGCCCCTACGTCTCTACGCTGTCTATGATACAAGGTTAGACCGTTCCAGTCGTCGCGGAAATTACAAGTTCGTAAGATAGTCCTCGATTTCCTGAGGACTAAGCTTCCTGAAGCGAGGGCCTGTGGCACCCTCAACACCCTCGATCCCGAGCAAGTGGTCCGCTGGGGGTCCGACGATACCTGTCCTTCTGGTTAGGCATTTGTTTGTCACGTGGCGGCCTTCAGGCACTTACCGATTTCAATGGTCTCTCCGTTCATCTCTCCCTCGATGGTCTCCTTGAGCGTGAGCAACGCAATGTGCACGGCATCCTCAAGCTCCAGACCTTCAGTGTATCGCTTCTCTAGGAACGTCTTGGCGGACGTGGCACTCTTGCCAATGGCCGTCGCCTTCCAAGGAAAGTAACTTCCAGAGGGGTCGACTTGGTAGAGCATGGGACCGCCCTTCAGGATTCCGCCGGTCTTGCCAGTAGGCTTCTTATCCTCACCTTCCTTGACCTCGGCCTCGTCCTCGGGCAAGATACCCTCGTCCCAGCCAGCAATGAGCAAGCTGACACCATAAGGCCGAACACCACCAGACTGGGTCGCCTCCTGCATCACGCGAGCGACGTCCTGCACCAATATCCGCGTGGGGGGGTACTCGTTGTAGATGCGCTTGTATCCGGTGTGGGACACCTTGCGAGCCTTATCCACCAATATTCTGTAGTCGGGGCCCATGCCTGAATACACCATTCCGATGTTGGGGGTGACGAGGCTGATCTTGGACAGCGAGCTAGGATCGGCCAGCGGCGATGATGACTTCTTCTCGGTTGCGAGGACGATACCGTTAGTGGCTTTCGAGGGGTTAGCATGGGCCGTGAAAGGAGGGGCAAACGGGCTTGCCTTTGATGCCAAGGGCGGTGACACCTTGGTTGACGGCGTTCAAAGCATACTCTGGAATAATAGTGTCAGTTCATTTGTCGAGCCTTCGGCCTCATCCTCGCCGCAAATAGGCAATGGTGGGGGCAGTGTGGGAGCATACCGATCTGAACCAGCTTGCCGCTGTGTACCAAGTCAGCATACAAACGTCATACAATTGAATTGAGCGACATACCTGGGCGAGAATGTCGTCAGCGAGAAAGAGTAACGGTCGGCCATTGCTTAACTGTTAGAATCTGTTGCCGCGATATGCTTTCCGTTGTTAAAGTAATGGGGAGAATCGAAGGTGGGTTGGCTGCGGTCAAAGACGAGGTATGAGGCTGTCGGAGCTACGAAGCTCTCCCTCCTAGGCAACTCGCGCCGCGTCAAGCTGCCAATCGTCTGGGCGCCCGCCACGGGAAGGGTGACACACGTGACTTCATCGGCCAGGCTATTGATCCGAGGACATATCTGCTTATGTAAGGGGATAGGTCTGAAGCTATGACCACCTAGCAAGAGCTCAGGATAAAGTGGTGCTGGAATATTCTTTTCACCTCTTGCTCATCGCATGACCTCGTCCAAGATCTTATCCGCTTGGCACCATCTCCAAAAGGACAAATGGTCAGGTTATCATACCCGCCTACGCTGATTCCTGCCATGTAGGTGCTGCTGCATCTGGTCACATTGGGCCAACGTTCCTCTACAGAGTCCACCGCTACTTTTAGCCCAATATTTTTGTTGTCTTTTTGCTCTCCGTCATCTTGCAGGCTAGAAAACCCTCACGACTCCGGCGGCTCTCTGCTTAGAAAGCACCGTCAGCACCGACTTTCCCGCCTCAGTTCTTCCTTCTCCTCATTTAATCATGGATTCAGCGAAGCCTCAGTGGAACTGGCCATCTGATGTTCCGAATGACCCAGACCACTCTCAGGCTGCCGAAGCCGAAACACCACATTTCAGCCAGCATGAGACCCATAACCAGGACGAGAAACATCAGCATCAGGGACAACCTCAACCTGAGGCTCCTCCAAGGCAACGTTATTACGGCCCGCGGACATGCCGCATCTGCTTCGAGGTGGTTCATCCTACCTTTGAGGAACCGACGGCCATGGGTGGGTTCATGGGCCAGCCTCCACGACCGATCTATAAGTCCGATGACCCCGAGTCCGGGCGCCTCATCTCACCATGCAAGTGCAAGGGGTCTCAACGCTACGTTCACGAGGGCTGTTTACAAGCCTGGAGATATGCCGATGCAACGGCCACACGGAACTTCTTCGCATGTCCTACCTGCGGCTACCGGTACACACTCGAGCGACTGTCTTGGGCACACCGCTTGCAAAGCACCTTTGCGCAAATCTTACTGACCATTCTCATTTTCGTTGTCTCGGTGTTCATCCTCGGCTTTATCGCCGACCCGATTTTGAACATCTGGTCTGATCCTATAGGCGCAATTGCGGATGTGGCCGCAAATGTACTCGAAGACATTGAGGCCCTCCAAGAACCCGCTCCGGAGATACACGAAGAGCCTGGAACATGGCTAGAACATTTTCTCAAGGGTTTCTTGTCCCTCGGTCTGCTTGGATTCCTCAAGACCATCCTTGTCATGACACCATGGCAGTGGTGGCAGCTTCGGTCCAGCGGTTTCCTTGGTACGACTGGCCGACGGGGCGGAACAGGACGTGCGCGTGTCGAGAACATGAACATGGCTCTCGTTTTCTTGGGTGCAGCAACCTTCATGTGGGGCGTTTGGAAAGGTGTGAGGAAGTTCAGTGCCTCTACTCTGCAACGTGCGAGCGATAGAGTGTTCGATGTCGGTTGTGATGACGAGGACGAAGATGAAGATATCAAGGAAGACTAACGTAGGGCGGGCATCCGGGGCAATGCGACTGCTATCGTTCATGGAACAGACCTCGCTTGAAGCGCATCAATACCTCTTTTGGGTCGGGTCAATGAGGCTCATTCCGCACACTCTTAAGTTGCCTCGAAGATTCTCTTCCATATCGTGTCAACTAGTCTGTGTGCGGAGATCAAGTCGCTGTTCTGTCCTTGAACTTGTCCGTTTTGGCCATATTCATTTAAGGCAGGCGGATGACATCAGGTTGTTTTTACAATCAGTCGACTTTTTGTTGACTTGACCAATGCCGACGCCAACTGTCAATTCCATTTGAGTTGGTAAACGCGCAATCTGATACAAATTCACAAGGGAGTCTACTGGACACGGCTTCGGGCATCAGGAATGCGCCCCTTCCCCAAAACAGAGAAAGCTCCCCGAAAACCCACTCAAATATATCTACTCATTCACATATTCGCGACCTGTACCGTATGAATGAGGAGATGTGTCCATGCATGTCATCACCAGAAACCTCGTGAAAACCCGACCGAATGTTCTTGAAATAAAAGCTAGCGTCATCACCACCCCGCAACTTGTCATCGGCTAGGTATTACTTATTAGCTCATGGGGCACAATGCGACCTTGAACACGAGGGGTTTAGGGGAGCGGATGGGTGGCAGTGGAGGTCCGCCCGGCCGGACAATAATATCACCGCCCGTGCCAATCAGCAGTGGATGGTGGGACAAGGATGATGACACGGTCTGGCCCTATGTTCTAGAGATTGGACCCTTGAAGCTCTGCCTTCGAGCTCGTGTTAAACAGCCTGTCCCTCGACCGGCCGCCTTCCCCTTTGCACGACCGTTCTCATTTCCAAAGTTTGCGCGCGCTCCTGAAGGTGGCACCCGGTGCATTCAAAGACTGAAAGTAATGCGTCGTTCTGAATGAACCCCACGGCGAAATCCCTACGAACGCTTCAACCCCCGAGGCTCGCTGACACGTTCCTCCCTCCTTTCCACGCCAAGCATTGAATCGCAACGACTGCGGTCAGCGTTCCTTCTCGTATTCAACACCCGAAGTCTGTTTTGACAAGTTCACGTTACGAACTGCCCTATTTTGATCGATAAGATGCATTTCGCGTACCCCCCGCGAAAGAGCTCGAATCCGCCGCCCTTCCGACCGAGAACCTCGAGGATACCGCCGTTTGTCCGTCGCAGCAGGCTGAAGGTTATCGCGGCGGGCGCCCTTGTGTTCTTGGGCTTCATATACCTTCTCGCAGGATTCTTGAGGTCGCCGAGCGGGCCCCATCTGCCCTCAGGCGAACCGCCTGTGGTGATAGTGACGGTTCTGGACGAGGACAACTACAGCAAGACCTACTTGTCGAGCATTCGCGACAACAGGAAACAATATGCGCAACTCCACGGTATGTAGACAGCCTGGCGCTTTTGCTGCGGTGGGTGCTGACAGTCTCTGCCCAGGATACGAAGTGATGTTTGCGAAGACGGGAGATTACAATCTCGACGGTTCTCCGGCGTCGTGGAACAAGGTCGTGTCACTGAGGCACGCAATGACCAAATACCCAGAAGCTGGATGGTTCTGGTATCTCGAACAAGACTCTTACATTATGGATCTGTCGACGTCTGTGGAAAGCGTAGTCTTGAAATCGGATAAACTCAACAGCTTGATGATCAGGGATCAGCCGGTCGTTCCGCCAGACAGCATTATCAAGACATTTCCGCACCTGAAGGGTGAGGACATCGACTTTATTCTCACGCAGGACAGGGAGGGACTGTCGGTAGGCAGCTTCTTCGTCCGTAACAGCGAGTGGGCCAAATTCTTGCTCGACACGTGGTTCGACCCGCTGTACAGGAGCTACAACTTCCAGAAAGCGGAGGGCCACGCCTTGGTGAGTTGCTGCTTTGCGCTATAGAACCATGCCAACCGCTAACCGTCTCATCAGGAGCATATCGTCCAGTGGCACCCTACCATACTCTCCAAGCTCGCCATTGTGCCGCAGAAGATCTTCAACTCGTATGACAGATATGAAAAGGGCGAGATTTTCAAGGACGGCGACCTGGTGATCCGCGCTGCTGGCTGCACCAAATCCGGAGAGCGGGCCTGCGAGAAGGAGCTAGATAGCTACAACAAGCAGTGGCGGACGACATTCAAGGGGCGGTAAATGGATGTGACAAAAAAAGAGGTTCGACGGGGTCGACTCCGCGACAGGATCTAGAGACGGGTGTACTCCAGGCGTTTGATTTTCCAGGGGAGCATGTACTCCGCATTTCAAGTGTATAAGAGCTGGACAAGGGCGTTTATATGTGGTATTGTTTCAGAGAGACTCCTTCGTTGGGACGTTTTATACGGGGTCACTGAGAGACGCTTGGGAATTCTTGCAGGCCACCTGGTTGTTTGAAACATCCATAAAGTACACACATGGCATGTCATGTTTTCTTTTCTTTTTGCCTGTGGATTCTTTTCGATCACGGCTCGCCGATGGTGACGGGCCCGAGTTTTCCTGTTTTGTACATCAGGCTGATAGATGTTCCTCATGCAAGATGCAATGACGAGAATGGGGTGTGTGGCTATAGGCGCGTTGGTCTCCACAGCCGTCTGCTTAATCGATACAATCCATGCGCCCATCAATAACTATTGATAGTCGTGGCGAGGCCAGCTAACCGGTGAGCCAGACTGCGCTCCAATAAGGAGGAGACGAGAGGAGAGTTGAGGTCTGTTGGTGAACAACCGGGACACGCATCTGCAAGGGCTATCATCCGCTAAGATCAGGGTCCCGGACGGCGCGCAGGGCCCGCTTGGATCTCTCAGACGCTGTTGACGCTACGAATGTGACGTGGTCAAGGCAAAGCATGGCCATATGAGCAGAAGGGCTATTTCGATTGAGTGTCGACATGGGCGTTGGGGACAGTCGACAGTCCTACGTGGAGTCGAGCCTCGGCTGACACGTCGCTGGCTGTGGCCAACTGAAACCCTGGATTGACTTACAACGCGAAATCGGACCCGTCGAGCCGATTGACGGGCGTCCGCGGGCGCGGTGCCCCGCCGCTCCAGTGGGGCTCCTTTCCTGCTACGGGCACCCTGCGGGCGGACCTGCGGCTCTAGTCGACTTGTATCGGTAATTAAAGGCATTGCATGGCTAATACCACGTTCAAGGTATTGGGTTTTCAATGAAAGAGAGTTTTGGACGGTTGGACGGTCGCGAAGAAAGGGGGGGGTTGCAACGTCGAAGTGTGAGCGATCTAGACAGACAGTCATGCATTGCATACATGGGACAGACTTCCCAATCGGCCGAGTTCGAGGGGTCCTCGATGCCTTGTACACTGTACAGAGTACCAGGAGAGGTATTCGTGTCGGCGGCGATAAGATGGCGGGCAGGCTACGCGGCGCAAGATACCCTCTTGGGCGGGAGCCGCTGGTATTCATCGCCAGCACTCCACCATTCTACATATCGCATTATGGGCAGAGAACGCCTCCGAGTCAACACAGACACCCTTCTCCTTCTCCGCGCACCGCAAGATGTGTGCGGTCTCAAGCCACCCCCCTGCAAATCGAATTGCCTGAAGGGGGTGACTGCTGCTGCGATCCAAGTCGGGGACGCGGACGCCGTGGGAGACAGGGCCCCTCTTGCTTGTTGCGGGCACATGTGACAGACAGCCGGGATGGCGGCGATGACCCGCTACCTTGGCTACAGCGACAGGGGTAAATGGCGCTAAGAAATAATCAAGAAGACGCCATGCCCCACGATTTTGTGCGTCTGGGATTCCTTCCGTTTGGCTCTGCTCACCACAGACAGTTGGCTCTAGCTCGTCTCCAATTGCGTGGGCCCGCGCCGGTGATGTCCTTGCTGGTGTTTTTAACGTCTTCCAGCTCTGCAACCATTTAAACCACGTGCCCAGTCCTCAATTCTTTTCTCGTATCCTTCCACACCCCCTCGTTCACCTTCTTTTCTTCTCCCCTGTTTACATAGTGGACTTGAACCCACTGCCATTGGCCTCACACTCGTCTCTTCATCACTTGGGTCCCGAAACATAGCAATTCACCCCACCACGCCGAGCTTCATATCACTGCAGACAAGATGCCTGGCAGCTCCCGCATTCCCGCCAGCTTGCGCGAGGGCTTGAACCAAGTCAAGCTCAGTCGGCAAGCAACACCGCTCTTGGTCCTGAACCTCGACTTGTAAGTCGCCAATGTCTTCGTCTGCATTCTTTTCGGCCTCGGCCCCGGCTAACCACGGCCTCACGCCATCCCTAGGTTGCGCAACATCATTTTCTTCTTTTTCATCTGGCGATGGACTCGCAAGTTCTTTCTCAAGCTTAAGGGCCGCGGCCTGATCGGTAGCATCGTCGAGCTTTACATCGATATCCGCAAGGTTCTGTACGGCTACTTCCTGCGCGCCCCGGGCGTGCGCGGCCAGGTCCAGAAGCAGGTCAATGAGTCCATAACGAAGCTGCAGTCCAAGATGATACCCACAAACCTTACCCGATACCTCACCCTCCCGAAGGAAGGCATGTCTGAAGATGAAGTCCGGAATGAGCTCGAGACCCTGGCCAATATGGACCACACGAGATGGGAGGACGGTTTCGTCTCTGGCGCCGTTTACCACGGCGAGGAAGAGCTGATTAAGCTGCAAACCGAGGCTTTTGGCAAGTTCACCGTCGCGAACCCCATCCACCCCGACGTCTTCCCCGGTGTGAGGAAAATGGAGGCCGAGATCGTCTCCATGGTGCTCGCCATGTTCAACGCTCCCGTCGGCGGTGCCGGTGCCACCACGAGCGGTGGCACCGATAGTATTCTCAGTGCCTGCCTCGCCGCGCGGCAAAGAGGGTACTTTGAGAAGGGCATCACGGAGCCAGAGATGTTTGTATTCTCTCCCGCCACCATAGTGCTCACGCTGACGCGCAACAGGATTCTGCCCGAGACCGCCCACACCGCATTCCGCAAGGCCGGTGATTACTTCAAGATCAAGATCCACTACGTCGCATGCCCTGCACCCAACTACCAGGTCGACACTCGCGCCGTCTCCCGCTTGATCAACAGCAACACCGTTTTGCTGGTCGGCTCCGCCCCGAACTTCCCCCACGGTATCATCGATGACATCAGCGCTCTGTCCAAGTTGGCCGTCAAGAAGAAGCTGTGCCTCCACGTAGACTGCTGTCTCGGTTCCTTCATGGTGCCCTTCTTGGACAAGGCTGGCTTCGAGACCGAGCTGTTCGACTTCCGTCTCAAGGGCGTCACCAGCATCAGCTGCGACACCCACAAGTACGGATTCGCCCCCAAGGGTAACTCTACGGTCCTGTACCGATCTGCGGAGCTCCGCAAGTACCAGTACTATGTGTCGCCGGATTGGTCTGGTGGTGTATACGGTTCACCCGGTATGGCTGGCTCGCGCCCGGGCGCCCTCATTGCCGGCTGCTGGGCTAGTTTGATGAAGGTCGGCGAGGCCGGCTACATTGACGCCTGTGTCAAGATTGTCGGTACTGCAAAGAAGATTGCCGAGACGATCCGTGAGACGCCGGCTTTGGACAACGAACTGGAGATCATGGGCAAGCCGCTTGTTTCCGTCGTTGCTTTCACGGCAAAGAACCTCGATATTTACGACATTGCCGACGGCATGTCAGAGAAGGGCTGGCATCTGAACGCCCTTCAAAATCCTCCTGCGATCCACATCGCTGTCACTCTCCCGATCACAAAGGTTTATCAGAAGCTGTTGGCAGATTTGGAGGCCGTCGTTGAGGGCGAGAAAGAGAAGGAGAGAGTCCGCATCGTTGAGGGCAAGGGGGCCAAGGGCAAGGCCGTCGGCGACTCGGCTGCTCTGTACGGTGTTGCGGGATCGTTGCCGAACAAGAGTGTGGTGGTTGACTTGGCCAACGGTTTCTTGGACCTGTTGTACAAGGCATGAGGGAGGAATCTAATTCGTGGTTTTGTAAGTGCATTAGCGGGCGGGCATTCGATCTCGATTCGGGGAACAAGCATGTGGCCCAAAATTCATATACTTGATAGTGTACCAAATATATATTTTCAGCGTCTTTAGCCTCATCGATACCACCCCCATTTCGCACTTTCGACTGGAAAGGGCTGATTGGGTCGTTGGTTGCTAACGCGCCATTGTTCTACTTGCGTTTCGCTCGAGGCCGGAACGGCGCAACGACACCCCCACCAGTTCAAGACATGCGTTCGTTTGGAAGCTAAGTTCACAAGCCTGGCAGTCTCAATCTTGTTAAACAGGCGGGAAGGTTGTCTCAGCACTCCCGCCCCAACCACCGTCAGCCGATAGGCGCGAGCTGTGCAAGAAGCCCTGCTGCTGTTTGGTGTCCCGGGCCTATCCATCGACCGAAGCGACCTAGACCCAGTTTCGGTGGGCGCCTTGCCGCGGACACCCACTGGGGACTGTCGGGTGTAACGGCCTAGCCACCGGGGCACCACAGCCGCCCTCGACATCGCCCTTTATCATCTGCACTTACATGCAGCATCCCGCCCCTCAGGCGTCCCTCCTCGGAGCTACAAAGGGCCCCAAGCTTGCATCTCGAGATGACGCTCATGGAATCATAGGGTTTTCTTGGCGGCACGACGACACGCCAACGAGATGCAGAGTGGTGATGTGATGGTTGAGCGCCGATCGACAACCCAGGACCAGCAAACAACTGTTATCTCACCGCCTGACCTTGTGCCTGTCCAACTCAGGCAGAACCGTCTGCGGCGACATGAAGGGATATGCATGACCAGGAACTGCAATACAAAATCATGGGGCCAGAAACATGAAATGACTTTGTTCCCCCTTCCGCTTTCGTCCCAGGCAGGTAAACATTCTTTGGCCGCTGCCGAAACTCTCATGATGGAATCATCGTATCGCCTTGTTGAGTTGGTTAAGTTGAGGGCACATCCCGGGCAGGTTCGATGAGGAGAAATCGACACTAACAATCCCCCCCGTACCACACACATACTATCTGCAACCCAATGAGACAGGGATCGGCCCCGTTTGGAGAGACAACTTTGTATGGCTCTACAAACCTCTCCGCCCCTCCCTCGATTGCTTTGTGCCAGCCGCCTGTCGCGCGCGTGCTGCATCTAGGCAGCCTCGTTCCTATTGAGGAAGGGAGGGGAGAGCACCGCCAAAGTCCTCACCTCTCTACTCACATCTCGAAAATGCAGATTCCCGTAATACTAATGCCGCTTGTGTCTTTGCCTCCATGATCGCCTTTATACCGTCCACTCCCTCAGCCCGCCTCACGCATAGGAGAAAGATGTCCACACCTCATTGGGGAAGCGCCTCCCAGTGACCTGACGCCGATCGAAAGAAGTCATGGGTCCATGATCTTTCGCAGTCGACTTTCTGCGTTACCGTACTCGCCCCCCTGGCCTGCGGCCCTTGTCTGTTTACTCGATATAAACTACGCAACGGCGCTCGCGCCAACAGCCCAATCGCTGTTTTATATATCTATCACTGTTTGTCTCGTACCATCTGTCACGGCAGCCTGGAGGTGCACATCAAGCGGCAGACGACATACCTCAATGTCCGCCATGGCCACCAAGCCGGCCGAGAAGCCTGTGCGTCCAAGACTGAATACCACCACGGACTGGGCCTCGCCGAGAGCCGCCGCGGGCTACTCGTCTGGGCCGGAAGAAGGGGTCTCACCCAGGTCTGCTGGGAAATCCATAAGGGAAGGTCAAGAGAAGGGCCATAGGCGCGGAGGTATTGAGGATGGGCGGCCACAGCAGCGGCGTCACGGTTCTGAGAGTCTGGCCATGAAGCCGTCCATCTCGAACCTTCGCGATAATCTTGGCGACTTATCGCCTAGCGTGGTGAAGGAGTTGAAGAGGATGATCAAGGAAGAAGGTCAGCCACTGCTCTGGTCTAATTGCTGCATTGGCGAGTTTTTGACTAATACTGGATGAAGTTGCCCAAGTCGCTCAAGTCGTCCAGCTGAAGAAAAGCGAGACTGACACACCCGCCAACCCGCCACGTCCCTCTCCGGTGTCGAGCCAGAAAGCAGTCTCCACGCCGTCGTCCCCCGCTCCGCCACCATCAGTCGTCGAAGCACGCAGTTCCTCCAAAGTGTATCTGCCTCGAGATCGAAGTCCAATGACCACGCACGCGAAGACAGCATCAACTATCCCTGCGCCGGCAGGTCAGTCCACTTCGCCCGTCAGCCCCCGACCCAAGACTGTTCACTTCCAGTCCGGGGGCCCGTCGGTGATTCACTACGAACCGTGCACCGGCTCGATATTGGAATCTATCTCGCCTACCGCTCCTGCCACCGCGGCGGAGGCCGAGCTGAGCAGTGTTGACAAGGCCTGGGGAATGCTGTTTGACTCCGAAGGGTATTCAACGCAACGTCTCAACTCTGTGCTCAGGGGTCTAGCGAGCTCGATGGTAGTACCTGGGACCCCCGATGATAGAATTCGTAACGGCTAACGTTTTCTCAGATTGCTGAGTTTGGATACCCAGAGACACTGGTCGTTACCCCCGACAAGATGTTCACTCTGTACACAAGGTACAGAATCGAGCCTGAGAAGTTTCCATATGAAGGTGAACCAAGTGTCGCAGGCCGAAGGCTGTATGAATAGGCGCTGACCTTCCACCAGACATTTTCAAGGAGCGGTCCGAAGATGCACTGAAGAGAATCGAATTTCTGTACCAGGACCTGGGCTGCCCGTACCACCTCGTCCAAGCCGCGCCAAGATCCCACCCCAGTGTGCCCGGACTGACGCCCGCCGGCTTCGCCAAGTGGATGGTTAGTAACATACTCGCGTACCCCGAATCTGAAGCCAGGCGCCTGCACGCCATCGTGTCTGCCCTGCCCGTCGACGCCGACGGGCCCCTGTTAGAAGGCAAGCCTGAGAGGCTGCCCCGCCAGCTCTCTCGGCACCTCCTCCCGAGGACCCACGACAACAAGGTCCGCAAGATCCTCAACGAGGCCGTGTGGGACTGCCTGGAGGACGCCGCGCCATCTCTCCCGCCGACCTCGCGCACGGCGAGGGTCTCCGAGGCAGCCGCACACAGCACTCGACGGCCGTCCACCGGCGCCGACGACCCGAGAGATCCCGCGCCCGCGCCACACCGCACGACGTACGGTGAGCGGGGCAGCGACGTCGACTACGGGGTGTACTCTGGCCATCGCGATGGACGTGGCTCGGATTCGAGGGACGAGTCGCCGCGGTCCCCCGGTATTGGTAGGCGCAGCGGTGCCGGCGCGGGTTCCGGTCGGCGCCCGACGTGGGAGGAGATGCACATCCGCAAAGGGTCCTCGGGCGGGATGGTCTCGTCTGTTGACGCGGGGCCGCACCGTTCATGTCGTTGACATGGCGATGAGGTCAGGGGAGAAGATATAGCGCTTGCGCATCACGCCCTCCCACCTCTTGCTCTCAGTACATATTGTTGTTAGTCTTACGGGTAAGTCGTTATACTATGCATCACTTGTCGGCTGCAACCCCCCTTTTTCTCACCTCTCATCTCGACTCTCACCTCGTAAGAGCTATGCATCGCTGGCTTCTAGAAAGCCAGCATCTGCGTCGTAATCAAGGCAAATGTAGACAGTCTTATCGAAGCATTATAGTTCGTTCATGTTCTTTGATTATTCCCATCGATCGACTATACTAAAGCGACTGGTATCATTCCTGTGTCGCACATCTTCACCTTCTTCGCTGTTACCCATGAGCTTGGGTGAGCGGCTTCCACACAAACCCGACATTACGTGTTCCTGTGTCTTTTTTCAAACACGAGCAGTGGCATTATTCTCCTTCTCCTGCTTGAACTGCTCCCGGTGATACGCGACGTCCCCTGCCAGTGGCACGGCCGGCGGCGCCAGGTCCTGACGGAAGACGTACCTCTTCCAGAAGAAGACAAATTGCGCGAGCCCGTACCGCGCGAAGCGCCTCAGCGGCACGCTGAAGACGGCGTCCAGCTCCTCAAGGGTCTTCTCCTTTGTCTCGGGGAGGAAGAAGAGGACGAGGAAGAAGCCGACAATGTTCCAGCCGGCATACCATCCGAACGCGCCGGTTGGGGTAAAGGACTCCTGCAGCGAGGGCCAGGTAACTGCGAGGATGAAATTGAAGAACCAGGTTGTGGCGGTTGCGAGGGACATGCCGATGGAACGGATGTACAATGGGTACGCCTCGGCGGAGTACGTAAATGGCACGGGGCCTTCGCCAGGGGAGTAGACCATGCCGAAGAGGTAGATGCCTGTGGCGATACAGGCGATCTTGGCGGGGTTGGTGGGAATGTAGAACGAGAACCCGGTGAAGAACAGACAAATAGCCATCAAGGGGAACGTCGTCAAGAGCAGGTTGCGTCTTCCAAAAGTGTCGATGGTGTAAAAGGCTGGAAGGGCGAAGAGCCAATTGATAATGCCGAAGCCGAGGGATGCCGCCAATGCGCTCACTTCTGAGAATTCAGCAGCTAGGAAGATCTCTGAACTATAGTAGGCTGGCAAGTGTTAGCAAATTGTTGAACTATAAGTTGTAGACGAGCTATCCGCAGAGAAACTCGATGGTCATCTCCGTTACAGTGACTTATACGTCTTATGCATCATATATCATTGCATAGAATAACATGCACTTACCAATGGCATTCACTCCGCAAAATTGCTGCATAAACATAACGATTTCTGAAGCAACCATGGCGTTTCTGTTACGTCTAATTGCATAGAATTCTTTAAACCGATTTTGTTTCCCAATACCCTGAAATTCTTTTTCTGCCTGGAGCAGGGCATTAGCATAGAATAGATCACGGGCAGCTTGAACCTTCTCGAATCGTAACTGGCACATGGCCTTGTAGGCATCAAATTGACGGCCCTTGGTAAGGTACCATCGCGGGGACTCGGGGCAGAGATAACAACATCCACAGACAAGCACAGCAGGTATCATCGCACTACCCATCATCAGCCTCCAGTTGAGGCCGACAATGCCACCTCTATCGGGCACGTAGTAGAACGCTAGGTCAGCAACGTATCCAATCATGATGCCAAAAGCTGTCCACATCTGCCACTGCATGACTAGGGCTCCGCGCAGACGTGGCGGCGCGCATTCAGCGGCGAATATGGGGGTTGTGGCAGATTTCGGACCGATGCCAAAGCCAAGCGCAAAGCGAGCGATGAACACTGTGATTGGAGTCAGTCACCCGGCTGAAGCAAAGGGGATGACGATTGGACTCACTGTGCCACCAGGTGTTTGTGAATGCTTGCCAGAAGCAAGCGAGAGCAGAGATGAGACAAGAGATGAAGACGGTGCCACGGCGGCCAAAGGCTTTGTTCATGGGCTCGGTGAGCCAGCAACCAATGAGAGCGCAACATAGGTAGGGCGCCGAGTTCGTCAGGCCGAGTAGCCAGGTGTCTCTCTCTGACTTCCCTCCGATGCCAAATTGACCCTTGTAGAAAGATTGGGCACCGTTGACGACGGTCTCGTCCATTCCTTGCACGACGGCGCAAAAGGAACACACTAGAATGTATGTCAGCCTACTTGCATACAAATAAAGGGGAAAGGGGTAGATGGATAAACAGAGCAGGGTGGGAATTCTGGTTGTTTTGTTTTATTGTGTTGAACTCTGAAAGTTGAAGGGCGGAAATCGCAACAACACAACTGACCTGCGACGACACCGTAAAGCATCTTTGGGTTCCGCCACTTATGAGTGGTTTCTCCATCGAGGACCGCACGTTCTTGGGCAGTAAGCTCGGCCATGGTGTCATATTTGTTCATATTCCCAGCGATCATGGCGCCGAGACGAAAAGCACGAATATCTTCCTCATCGCCGATGCCATGTTCGCGACAATACTCTTCTCCATTCTGGGCCAGCTGCTCGGGGGTGAGGCCGGACAGGGGGTTTTCGAGCTTACGGGAAGCCTCCAATCGCTTTCGCTCTTCTTCATCGATGGCTGTGGCTTCAGAAAACCGTCCGGGATGGTCCATATGAGAGATCTCAGTCTGGTCCTGGTCTGACGGTGGCCTATCGCCGAGCTTCTCTCGCTTGGAATCTGAAGCCATCTTGATGAAAAATACTGGGTCTCAAGCTCGTCGACGAGCGACCTGTACGCTAGTACGGAGGTAATGTGAAGCCAAGTGTGGACAAGCACTTGGCGGCAGGGAGTGGATGAGTGGTTCAATCAACACTGCCAGGAACCAAAGGATCGGCAAGAGAATGGAGACGAGAAGGGCGAGTGAACTGGTGCTCCAAGACAACCAAGTCAGCCACCCGGCTTGGGGACAGCTTGGCTACTTAAGTATCTAGACATGAGTTGTCGAGAGCAACCCTACTGTGTGTGTACTGGGCAGCAGAAGCGGAGACTTCTCCACAGAGCTCGAGCTCGAACACCAGGAAACCGGGAAGCTAAACTCAAACGACGGTCCTTGTGGAGGGTATGGAGAGCGGGGGTGGATGCGGTCGCGGGGAGGGAAACTGCGGGAATGGTCGATGGAGACTGTTGGGGGCCAGAGAAAGACGGAACCAACATGAGCCGCGGTATGACGGGGTGGTCGTTGGCGCCTGTCAAATTTGCGTTGGAAGAGCATTTAGCGACGTCACGATGCTCCAAATCTCGGTCTGTATCTATCACAACAACAATCGCAACAACTGAGGGGATAAGCCAGGTGAGACAGGCGAGGTTGCGGTTGTAGTTCGCGTTCGGTGGAGGACCATCTTTGCGGCAACGCAGAGGATTGTTGAAGCTGGTGGTGTGTAAGAAACCGGGGTACGAAGAGGCGGGCGCCCGTTCCCGTCAACCAAAGGGCCCTTCACGTGCACATTTGCCGCAGCGGGAAGAGTAGGTGATCGGCATCAATCGGGTGAATTGAGATACGGCACTGGACGTGTGGTGAAAGAAAGGAACAAGGCTGTTAAGATGACGTCAAATTTGCACGAGTAAAATGGGTCCGCTGCCAATGATTACTGAGGGGAGTGGGCAACTCCCTGTCGCGTGCTATTTTCCGACTTAGCGTGGGAACAATACCTGGGTCTCCTTGCCTGTCCCCGTTGAGCAAGGTGCGAGGAGACAAGGTGAGGTGCGGTGAGATGAGATGAGGGGGAAGTGAACCGAAGGCCTGTGTGCCTTGGCTGCCCATCTTCGATTTCGACATCCGGGGTTATGGTGCATCACGTGGCGTGGCGATCTGCTGCGAGGACTGCCAAGGACATTGCCCAGGAAGTCAAGATTTCTAGTGCCGGGAGCCCTTTGCAGCGCATAGGAAACGCTACATACCGGCGGGAAGGTGCCGCATCCCTTGGCTCTTTTCGAGAGAACAATCCATTGACATCATATCCTGGGCCTTAGCATCTGTGTGCATCATCTGCGAGTAACAGAATCATTCTTTTTCCGCTGTCGTGTTCTTTTTAAGAAGTAGGAAATAGGTCATCGAACGTCGTCGCTTCGCATCCAAATTGTTGTGGAGGGAAACTAGGTAGGTAATTAAGCAGGTGCCAAGTTAAGGTAAGCCCATTATAAAAGGTTAATGGGCCCGTTCAACGGCGCCGCTTTTCAACGTCCACCAGAGTGGGTCACATTCATTCTTCGTCGACTGTCAACCTCCATTTGGTTCTGACCCAGGCCATCATACCTATACTTCTTGCATCATTGTGTCGTATCACCTTCTGTCGCCGAGATAGTATCATGCGCCCCGGGTTCGTGACGGGGCTCCCAGTCGTTACTTGCATTCCAAACGCTATTATTAATCGTACATGGTTTTTTTTTTCTCTTTTTCTTTTTCTTTTTCTTCTTCGACGTCAGGCCTAGGGCGTCCCTATTACGCACAACACTGCTCCCTGGTGGCCTTCTTCACGCCGAACCTCTGGCCGAGTACCACCCACGAGGCGGTGCAGATCAGCTTCCGGAACGCCCTGGGGCTCGCGTCTTCGCCGAAGCCCTCCTCGAGCCACTTCTTGGCGCTGTCCCACTCGATGAAGCCTAGGCTCTCGATGTTTTCCTTGCAGACCAGGTCTACCATCATCTTATGGATGGGTCCGCCGCGCGGCCACTTGAGCGGCGCCGAGTATGGGTGCTTCCTCCGCTCGTAAAGCTCCTGCGTGATGAAGGGCTTGCCAGCCTCCTTGAGGATCCACTTCTCGCTGAGCTTCTGGCGCGCGGCACTCAGGTCCTTCCACCATAGGCTCCCGCCCGTTCCCGTGCTTCCCGTTCCGGTAGCCGACCCGCTGGCGGCGTCGAGGTATGCCACCTTGACGCTCGGCGGCAGGTTGTTCACATACTCGGCCAGGTGGTGGTCCAGGAACGGCGGCCGCGCCTCGATGCTGTGTGCCATCTCCGTGCGGTCACCCAGACAGGTCAGGATCATGTTGGCGAGGGTTCCCTTGGTGTAGAGGTATAGACTTGTGTGGAGCGGGTGCCACTTGGTCATCATCTTCCCGAGGACCTCGGGCGGGATCACCGCCTCGCCAAATCCCGGTGCCTTGTACGTCTCGCGAACCCAGGGAGAGAACGCGTTCCATTCCGGCTCCAGACGCATCGAGTTGTTATGCGGTCCCGACGAGGCCTCGTCCTCGAACATGCCGATCCTTTCAAACATCTCCTTGAGGTCCTGAGACATCTCTTTGAACATCTCTCCACGGACGTCGTCAGTCAAGGTGGACTGGGGCCACGCGCCATCGGCCTCCATGAGGAAAGCCGGCAGCACGAATGGGTATCCAGCAAAGTGCTCATCCGCGCCCTCGCCCGTTAGCACGACAGGCACGCCGTGCTCCCTCGGCAGCGTGGAAAGGCAGAACTTGCCCACACTGTTCAGGTCGAAGTTGTGGTGCTCCGTGTGGTAGACCGCGTCTGCGAAATTGTCCGCCAGTGCGGACTCATCCATGTCCTTCTTGAAAATTTGCACACCCAGCCATTTGGCTGAGCGTTCAGCAATGTCTACAGTGGGTGTCAGCAAGCTCCATTCTCGCCAAGGCTCTTGGGGTTCTAGTCTCGGGAATAGAACTTACCAGCTTCGTTGAAGCCCGAGGCTTCCGGGAACTGAATTGTAAAGCAGCGGATACGGTTTGTAGCATCTTGGTTGCCTAGCTTTATCCCTTCTTCGCGGACAAGTTTCGTCACAATGCCTGCAATGACGGATGAGTCGATACCGCCAGACAGGTAGATCCCCACGGGGACATCGGCGCGAAGACGAAGCTTCACTGCTTCCACCAGACGCCGCCTTACTTCCGAAATCATATCGTCCACGCTTCGAGTCTCGGCTTCCCGCTACCATGTGTGAGCATGAGACAGTCAGACAAACTCCTCCACCCGGTTTTTGCTTACCTTATCGTTGAAGTCGGGGTCCCAGTACTGGTGGTGCTCGACCTCGCCGTCTGGGGAAACTTCCATCCATGTGCCGGGGTTCAGCTTCCAGACGTCCTTGAAGACGGTGTTGTGGGCCTGCATTGACGATCCGGTGAGCAGGCCGTGGACGTTCCACTCAGGCTCCCAGCCCAGGGCCCGGAAACCCTTGATTTCCGAGGTGAGAAGCATCCGCTTGCTGACACCTTCGCCTTGAAGGGTTCCAAACATGGGCTTGATGCCGAACCGATCTCTCGCCACAATGACCCGGCCGTCGTTCTCGTCGTACACAACAAAGGAGAACTCTCCACGGAGGTGCTCGAAGATACCGGGAGCGCCGTATATCTTGTACAGAGCGACGAGAACCTCGCTGTCGCAGTGGCCCTTGAACTTGTAGTCGTATTCTCGGATCAATCGCTCTCTGATCGCGTCGTGGTCGTATATCTCTCCGTTCACCACAGCATGGATCTTTCCATCCTCGCTGTGCAGCGGCTGCACTCCGTCTGCGGACAGGTCGTTGATGGCCAGGCGGGCGTGTGCCAATCCTACATTGTGAAATTAGTTGAGGACCCCAGCAAATCTCTTCCGTTGGACGCTCGTACCGATAGTGCCATCGTCGCTAACCCAGACTCCGGAGGCGTCCGGGCCGCGATGAGCGATGGATTTCAGACTCTGCTGTAGTTGTTGACGGAGAGTTTCACGTCCTTCATCAGCACCGCCATTGGCTCCGTTAGGGGAGCTGCTTCGCTGAAGCGTGATAGCCGCTGTGATGCCGCACATGATGCTTCTGGGTAGATGAATTGAGGGAGAATGAAACGAGTAGAAGCGAAACGATCGCTGCAGATCCTAGACCCTTCTTCCTAATATATTAAATGCAACGTTGTGGCTATTCCAGATAGCGGCATCGGAAACAGCTGGTAGTCTCTCCATCCAGCTTGTCCGGACTCAAAGCGCAGGAGTGCCGACGCAAGCGATTGAAAAGCTTTCTCAGCCCCAACAGCCAAGGTCGGGCCGAAGCGTGCAGCTTGGGGATGAATTCTTCATAGTCGCCATTGGGAGAAATAACACGGGAAGCCGTGCGGCGATGGGGACCTTGAAGCAGATGAGCCACGCAGCAACAAGCACTTTGATGGGTGCTTCAGTCCAGTGCCGTTAGGACGGGTCTTGGCCCGGTCGCAAGAACCTCCGCCCCAGACATGCTATGATCTGGTCTTGGGTTGCAGATCCAGCCTTTTGATGAGACGAGATGGAGATACCGAGCTCAAGTGGCCAAGCGCGTCGGGACTTGTGACGGAAGTTCGGGTGCTGCCAGACGTATGCACGGACAAAGAAAGGGGGGTTTCGAACGGCGCCACACAGCGCAGTGGACTTTGACGCACTTGGACTGTACTGGCATCAGATCCTTCGTCTAGACTCGAATATTGCATCGGGTGAGATGTATACAGCACGGAGTCCGAGGAAAGATCGGAATTTGGATTTCGACGCGGCTGATAGCTTATAATTCGAGGTCAGGCACCGGAGTGGCGTTTGGGAGACATCAAGTTACGCCTCAAGGAAGGCTACGCATTTCATAAGGAAGCAACGTGGTCCAGAAGCTACAAATGCAAGCATGTCGTTGACGGTTTCCTCTCTGACATGGAAATGCACCAGGCGTCAAACATCAAAGTCAATGAGCCTCCGCAGAAGTCCCCTACATCAAAGCAACCAGACCTCCGAACTCCGCAAAGGCTCGACGAGTCTGAACATCCCGTCGGATACAATACCACGTTAGCCTAGAACACAATGGCCAGTACACAGGCTTTATGCAGTTTGAAACAATCACACTTCTCCTCTCCTCGAGCACTTCGCGGACGGTGCCTTTTGTCTACGAAGACCGCGCCTACGTCCAGGCTGAGCATCGTCATGCATCACTAGTCCCTGGCAAGCCTAAGTTTATCTCACAATTATCCAATTCCTTTTCGCTTGGTTCGTTGGGTGTGACCAAGATCATTGGGTCTGCGTCAATACGTAAAGACCACTAGCAGATGAGTTTTCTCCTCTGACTACCACCCAAATAACTCTACCACCAATCTTGCCCTACTTCCCTTTCCCTTCCTCACAATCTCATTGAATACGCATCTCACCTGGTCGATCAGGCTCTCGGGCCCAGAAACTAGTACGCAGACCTCGCCCCGGCCTCCCACGAGGTCGCTTTCGAGCACCTCCCTGACGACCATCCTCCTGCCGACGAACGGCTCGTTCTCCATGCCAGAGAGCACGTCCACGCTTTCTACGTCTTCGACGAGTGCCCGGCTTCGACATCCCCAATACAATTTAACGCGACCCGGGTGGCTGCGTACGTGCGGTAGGACGGCGGTGATGCTGACACCACCGGCCAGTGCAACGAGCTGTGCAGTGATTCGGAGAGCGGTGAATGTGATGGATAGTCCGCCTCAAGGAGAACGGGAATCAAGTTATGATGAAGGAGCGAGGTGATACCGGACTGTATGCGGATATGAAAGTTGATTCCCGGCTGCGGAGGCTCTCTCGACGTGTGAGTAACGCTGCTATGACGCCCTTCAGGAAGAGAGGTGACGATTGCGGGGCGTTTCTTCATATCGTCGCTGGTTTCCGCGGCATGTTCCTCTTGCCGGCGCATCGATGGCAAGATAGCTGAGGCAACGGAGAACGGGTGGTTCTCCCATACGCGCCGGGTAGGAAACCATTGAAAACTGCTTCAAACTGCCTCACCCGTTGTTACGCTACGTCCTGCATCCAAGAAGCCAGGACGACCTATCAGACAACCGCAAACAAATTCTCTCGACTCTGGAATTCCTCGACGACCAACTAGCAGAGTCGGCCTAACCGAGTGCATTCGGGCATACTTGCGCTGTTCTCCATCCGCGGCTAGATATCCTGTCCAACCACGCAGTCATCTTAGCCATTTGCTTCTTTTCGATAACAAGCGTTGTGTTGGCCCAAAGGCTCCAATGGCGTTATCCAGAAACGTATCCGGCAAGCCCATCTTTTTCTTCGCGTAGAAGAGCCTTCACATTAGAAGCTTTCCCGCTCCAGTAGGCTCGAAATTGCTTGTCTGTTCGGTTCCCGTGTCGACGAGACCAGTTCGATTTGGGCTCGGATGAAATGCAGCTCGGAAAGCGGCCGTCCGGGACGGCAGATCTTCTCAGTGCTCACAGCATCGTCACCAAGTGATAGGACGGCCAGGTTGCACCTGGAAAAGGTCCGTCCCAAGGTGGTAAGTTGATGTGCTTTCTCCCGGGTATGACCCTGGTCGAAGCAGACAAAGTCGACCCACATCCGCCTGCTCTCTCTCGCTCGGTCCCAAGTGGAAAATACCGAAGTGCTGCCGCACAATCGCGCGTCGAAAATATAACGGATCAGCAGTCGCCAATGTAAATTGAATGGTTTCTGTGGAATCCAGGGTCAGCGTTGGAGGGGGGTTTGTCGAGTTTTGATTCTCGTACGATCCAGCGGGTATTCCTGTAGACCGGGTCATCTGACAACGGGTCATTCTCGCCCGATAACCTTGAACATTTGGTCCTGAAGTCTGTCGACCATTCTTCCCTTGTCTCCGGATCATGAGAAAGTATCGGATCAATACCAGGTTGTATATGGTACGGGGACAACCATGAATGAAGCCGGCAGTCAACACAATACCACACATCTACTGCTGATGCACCAACACCCAGAAAGCAAAACAAGAAACTGTATTCATGACTCTCGTGGTATCCGCTATGCTGTAAGAAGGGACCTAAGACGAAATGCGAGATTTTGCGGACTGGGTATCCTGCTGTGTTCCCCAAACACCGTTGCTATGCTTCAGCCGTAACCGTAAGGTACTCGATAACTTTTGTGGCTTCATCACTCGTTCATATCTCTAGAGTCATCATGCATAAAAGACAGGGTGTAAAAATAAGGTCGAAATAGGGTCACCGTCGCAACGGCGTGCCCACGGGGGTGTTGTAAGCGGAGCGGTCGAAGCTTTTGTGCTTGGAGCGTTTTCGTTTGAGGTCGGACCAGTCGGTCTTCCAGTTCTGGATGCTCTGTGCGAGGTCGGGATCAGCGTTATTTGGGCACTGCACTTCTATGGCCTTGAGGCCAAGACGGAGGTAGGTGAGTTCGGAGTCATTTTCTTGGAGTTCCTCCTCCCTGCGATGAGTCAGTGTCAAGGGGCTCGGGTAGGGCTGCCTTGTGAGCGAGTTGAGAAGACGTACAAATCTCGCACTCGTCCTTGGAGGAAAATGATTCGTTGTGCTGCGCGTTCGGCGCGAGTCACGAGAAGCTGGTGTATGTGCTGCAAACTCATCAGTCCATGCCTCTCGAGCAAGCCACTCTTATGTCTCACTTCTGATTCCTCCTGCCGGGCCTTGAGATTCGTGACGAGGGTTTCGAGTTCCGAATTGAGCTTTGCTGCCTCAGATGCGATGCGGAAAGAATCGACGGCAGGCTTTTTCTCGACGGTGGGTTCGGGAGAGGGCGTATCGCGTCGAAACGAGCTCCGGAACGACGGTGAGATTTCTGAAAGGCCAGATCGAAACCATGAAGGCGAAGGTGAGGTCCACAAGGATTCATGTTCCACATTCTGAGCGTCCATAGGCCACGCTTTTGGCTTGCCTTGGGGGGTAGCTTGAGGCGGCTCTCCTGCTAGAACCGACTCTATCTCATCAAGCTTGCCGTGCATGGCGCTAACATTGGAGTCAGGGACATCTTCGCCCGCAAGTAACTTGTGAGTCAAGTCGTTTAGTCGTTGGATAAGGCCAAGGGTGTCTCGGGTGTTCTCATTCGTGTTGTCGTTCGAATGAGCCGATGCGGTAAGGTCATCCTCGGTCCAGGAACGAGCCAGGGGGCTCTTAGCCACGGGCGTTGAGAACTGCTGACCAGGCGTAGAAAAATGTTGGCGGGGAGGCGGTGACAGAGGTGAGAAACCCCGACAGCTCATGGACGAAGGTAGTCGGGGCGTTGAAATTCGCGGTGAAGAGGCGCACTGCGGCACGGAAATCGGCTTATTAGAATGACTCCTCGTGCGACGCAAGCCTTTGCACGGGCTGTCGTCGTCTTCATGGTCGTTCAGGTCGAGAAAACGTAGGCCCAGCCCCGAATCCGACCTGGCGTCCGACATTGCTGGTCATCGAAAGAGGTATGAAGGTAATATTTGGGGCGGCGGCCGGCCAACCAGAAGGGAAAAAAACCGGGTCTTTGGCGTCTCGCGTTCCTTTTTTTCGACCTTAAGTGATGGGAGGATAGGGAGACGCGACGCAAAGGCGAGCGAGCTGCCGGCTTAGAATCGGTACGAGACGAAAGTGATCGGTACAAAGTACACGACAGCGCAGGAAGCTAGTGGGAGGTGGTATTCCCGAGGACGATCCGATTGAATGATTGCCAGGAATTTTTCTGGGCTTCAGCTGCAGGAATCTCGGCGCTGTATGGTCGAAAGAAGTCCAACCAATTGGCGATGCGTCGAGTCTTGTCTTTTGGCGCGTTCTTGACGCGCGGTGACGGGTAAAGGAGGAGGCTGGTGAAGGGTGAGTGAAGACGGATGGGTGGGGCGCGCATGAAGAAATGTGGCGCCTTACATGTGACCACAGGGGTCAAGCTAGAACTCGCGAAGCAAGCTGTGGCTGGTCTGGTTGCGAGCGAGCGGGCGGGCTCACATACGGATACAAGAAAGGGACTGCAGTAAGTGTCGTGAGGTGGAGCCGGAGCCGGGACAAGTATGGGGCGGGGGGAGGGGCGGCCTGAGCGGCTGCACTACTACGGATATAGTGTGGTGTAGGTATTGCAATGTGGGGGAGGAAGGCGGCACGGGTCACGGCGCTGCTGGCTCTGACTCTCGGCAACCAGGAAGGAAACAATGCTGAAGGAGAGAGCCCCTCTCCGCCGCGGTTGGCCGTCGTCGCATGCCGCTGTAGGGAAGTAAGGTACGGTGAAGAAGAAAAAATGTTAGTGAGCGAGGTATACATCGACAGCGAAGTCCCGTTCCTTTCCGCCGTCCGTCCCACCATCACATGCCCGCATGTCATCGTGTCCACGTCTATCCGTATAGTATTGGCCGCTGTAGCATTGACCGAAGCCATTGTTCGATTCCCTTGTTAGCGTTCGCCTCCTGTTCTATTCTTTTCTCTCATGTGAGGTTTCACAAGCTTATGGTTGGAGAGGCCCCTTCTCACCATCTCCGTGGTTGAAACACCTGGCAGTTGTTATTCGATTGCACCATACACAAATTGGCTGGTTGCCAAGCATCTCCTGGTGGTTTCACCCGTTCACCCTGTCTGTAAAACAAAAATAGCACACGTCAGAATGAATCCGACCCACAGGATTCTCAGATCATCAAGTACGATGTATGCATCTGGCATGATTGTAGAGACTCGCACCTTGGGATAAATATTTGCGGGCTGTGCTCCACGGCCAGTGCCGGCGGGAAACTTTCGGGGAGCGCACCTCTATAGCCGGCTAGTAGCGCCTCAGATGGGGTACTTGTCGCGCTATCATCGAACGATATGCCCTATGATGCCGAGTTGAGTAAGGTAACAGTGTGCCATTGCCGGTTGTGGCCCGCCCAGAGCACCAGGAACTCTCCCCACTGAGGAGCCTGGCCCGGCCTTGTTCCTGTCGTCCCCGGCAAACCCAAGCTCTTGTCTTCTCCATCATTGCCAGAAATATACCTACTCGAAACATTATCCTCCAAGACTGCACGCGACCTTCATCCTGCCTCCCATTGACCATGCAGCACCAGATCTAGCTTTCGTGCTTAATCCTCACCTCTCACTTTCATCACGCCTCTCTCCCTTTGCTGCTCCGCCCGCTCATGTCCAGTTCCATGTTGCCCTGCGTCATACAGCCTCGGTAAAGGCTGTTCCCAACTCGGTCACGCGGGGTTATTTGTTCGATTCGCATACCTCACCAAATAGTCGAAACTTGATCCCCAGTCACCCATCATGTCGTGGAAGAAAACAGACAGGTTGATGGACACCATCAGGCATTACGCCAGTTTCCCAGCAACTGGCGTGAGCTTGAGGCAAATGGTGCAGTTTGGAGAGAAGCCTTCTGTCGGTTCGTCTTCCCTCCCTAGCTCCCCACGTCCGGCCGGCGACCCGTCTTTGCAGCTTCCTTGCCCTCTCTTCTGTCCCGCGCTCTTGTCTGCTTGGCCTTTGGCCTTGTGAGGCGCCAATCGGCGCAGTCCCTATCGAGTTTCCCGGTCTCGATGCTGACTCCAACTCCGTGCTCCCAGGAACTCTCTTCCGTGCCTCGCAGTTCCTCGCGGAGGAACTACCAATTCGCCTGGCCCATCGTGTACAAGAACTCGATGAGCTCCCCGATGGCCTCAACGATATGCCCTCTGTGAAGCGCGTGCAGGATTGGTACGCACAGTCATTCGAGGTACGTCACGGCATTGCCATCGCATATCGCACAACGGACAACGGACATGACTCACTGACGTTTTCCCTTCCGCGCAGGAACTCACACAGCTCCCGCGACCTGATCTAGACAAGACTACCAGAGAAAGATTGATGAAGCCGGCCAAGTCATATGGCAAAGGCTCTATGCTCTCCGAGGCGACGCGAAACCCGAGTATCGAAGACGGCCAATATGCATCCCTCCCCCAGTCCAACGGAAATGGTTGGAGCAAACAGAAGAACGTTGCTGCACGGAGGTACTTCGCCATGGTAGATGACACGGGCGATTGGCCGGCCGAGCTCCGACTGTACAATGAACGTTTCGCAAAGGCGCTGCACGGCATCAAGAGGCGCCACGACGGAGTCGTCACCACCATGGCGCAGGGTATCTTGGAGTACAAGCGCAAGAGGCAGCGCATGCAGATCGACCATAATATCCAGTCGTTCCTCGACCGATTTTACATGTCGCGAATAGGAATCCGCATGCTTATCGGTCAACACATTGCACTGACCGATCAAAGCCACCACCGCGATCCGTCCTACGTCGGCATCATCTGTACCAAGACCAACGTCCAGGACCTCGCTCAGGAGGCCATTGAGAACGCACGCTTTGTATGCGAGGACCACTACGGGCTTTTTGAGGCGCCCAAGATCCAGCTCGTTTGCAACCCCAACATCAACTTCATGTACGTTCCCGGGCATCTGTCGCACATGCTGTTCGAGACTCTCAAGAACTCTCTTCGCGCCGTTGTCGAAACACACGGTCAGGACAAGCAGGAGTTCCCAGTGACCAAGGTCATTGTCGCTGAAGGCAAGGAGGACATCACCATCAAGATCTCGGATGAAGGCGGCGGCATCCCCAGAAGCTCAATTCCCCTTGTTTGGACATATATGTACACCACCGTAGACCGGACACCGAACCTGGATCCGGACTTTGATAAGAGCGATTTCAAGGCACCCATGGCCGGTTTCGGGTATGGGCTGCCCATCTCTCGGCTGTACGCGCGATACTTTGGCGGCGACCTGAAGCTCATCAGTATGGAGGGGTGAGTTCCGCGCGCCGCGCCACCTTGGATCATTGTATCAGGTGCACACACAGAAACGCTGACTTTGTCACCAGATACGGAACGGATGTCTACCTTCATCTCAACCGTCTATCCAGCTCGTCGGAACCCCTCCAATAGGGACCAGCAGTCATGAGGGACAAGAATGCTCGAGGATTGACGCTAGGGTTGAGGTATACACTGCATAAGAGGCTCAAGGACCGCGAGATCACGGAACGCCGGCAGGTGGGAGACGCCCAGGACATGATGAACCGGGGTAACGACCCCAATCCAGGATATTACAAGCGTGACAGCGACCTGTAAAATGGGCATGTCTTGGAGAGAAGAAACTGTTGATCGCGCTGTGAAATGCCTGACAGACTACGGTGGCTGTGTGGTCCCCCCCCAAGCTGAACCCGTTCCTGGAACCATTCTGGCCCAGTCTTCTGTTTCTGGACCTCTTGTAGTCCAAGGAAGGAGGAGAAAGGGAGGGGCCATATGCGGCCGAGGTCGGTCAGAACACAGCCGAAACCATCGTAAACCAGCATCATGCTGGCACTTTTTTCTATAATCTTTTTATAACATCTAGTCGTGCTCATGGGCATACCGGCGGCCGTCGCTGTGACGGGGGATGACACGCACGAAGCACACATACACGTCGTTTTTGGGTAAGGTTTGGGGGCCAAGTTCAAAAAAAGAATCGCTCCGGCTGGGTAGGGTCTCGGGATTATACACACTATTACGGGACAAGCCGCATCAATATCGAGAGACCGGATAGGGTGGGCGTCTTTTGGGTATATTATGCCGCATGTTTCTCTCGTTAACTTATCGGAATACATCACTGCTTGCGAACCTGGTTATGCCGCTTTCGTGATCTGATTGATGCATTCTAACTGTTCATAAGGTCGCTCTACCTCATAGAGCAAAGCTGATTCCCTCCCCGGCCTCGATCTTCCCAGTACCCCAGGACTCTGTGTGCTTTATGAAAAGAAAAAACATGGACGTGCCGTCCGAATATGACGTCCTTGTTATCGCGGAAGTCTTTTTTGATACAAAGGAAAGTAATGAAGAGCGATCAAGAGACATGATAAGAGAAAAGATCGCGGCTTGCCGCCCAGGCTTGTGGGTCTCCGTTGATGGTAAGGGTTTTCTCGGCTTGAGGTGCTAATGCTTCCAACAATGCCGTCACAGAGCCTTGGCGGCCCAAGTGCTATACTACCCGTCGTCGTCGCTGTCGTCTTCACCATTGCCGTAAGGAAAATTCACCTGTCGCTGCGGTATGTTGCGCTGCAGCTCGCGATGCTCCTTCTCGGTAAGATGCTTTCTGTCGGAGGATCGTCCCTACCTTTGGGTTAGCAACCTGCGTTTCTTCCGAGATCGATGGTTGCCGACTTACCTTGGTATCCCAAGTTCCACCTGTAGCAGGCTTACTGGTGTTGGTACTATTCTGAGGACGGATATTTGTGACGCTCTGAGGGCGACTGTTCAAGGCGGTTTCGCGGCGGCTGTTGCTCAAACTCTGGCCGCGACTGCTCGAAGCTGGAGTCATGCCGCTCATCACCGAGGATCGACCAGACTGAACAGTGGGAGTCTTGGACATCTGGTACTGACGGCCATTGGAATCCCAGGCGTTGTAAGTCACTCGACCACTTGTCTGAGGCTGAGGCTGAGGCTGAGGCTGGGCAATCTTTGCCTGGCTGAGCCACAAACTGGCTTCTCCCAGGTCCTCCGGCGTGGGTTGAGAGGCAGATTCAGAGATGATTGATCCACTCGCGCGTTGAGTGGATGTTACACTTTCCGTATCCAAGTGAGGCGGGGCGATGCTCTGCCTAGCATGAGTGATGTTGAGACCTGCGAACTTGAGGGACGGGGCTCCCGCCTCATCGTCCTCTAACTTCGTGAGTCCGTCCGTGCCGGTTATTGGTGCAAGGGGCTGTATTAATGTCAGCAGGTCTGGGCTGGCTCAAAAGCTCATTTTTCTTACTCGATGATCATACAGATCGAAGATATCAGAGGGCTCGGTAGGAAGGCGAGTCTCAAAATCATCGTTCTCCTCTAGCGGGTCGAGATCGGTGTTCGGGCCACCCCAAGGGGCATAACCCGGCTCCTGAGTATTGACCCAGTGCTGGCAGGCCTTGCAGATCTGGTTCCAGTGTGCGTGAGAAATCTACTCAAATCACGGGGTCGAATTGTACACCTACGTTGACGCCATTGGACCTGTTGTTCTTGGAAAACTGGTCGAGAGCCCGAATTCGGTTGCATGGGCCCTCGCATTGTAGCTCCTTTACAGGTTCGCCTGAGTGAGTGCGGCAAACCATGCCCGTATTGGCAGCATCGATGCGGACCCGGCGATTCAGCTTACTTTGGACAAGCTTCTGCTGCTTCGCTGAGAAGCTGGACCAGGGCTTCCACTCGCCACCGGTCCTGCAACGGAACCTGCTGGTCAGTTCTGGAGTCTTCGGTTCGCAGGCCCTTGAATACTTACTTATCAGGCAGGTTCTGGCCGTTAAAGGTCATGGTCGATATTATCGTGGGTTGCGTAGATGATATGGGTTGGTGTGTAGGGAAACTTCTCAGGTTGGTGTAAGAGGAAATCTATAATAATGGTGAAAATGGGATAGAAAGCGGTGAGTAGGAAGAAGCGTCGGAAGGAAAGGGGTGAGTAGGAAGGAGCGACCGGATCCACGTCTCACCTGCCTCACACATGCACAATAAAAAGAGTAGTGCATAGAAAAAGGTTTCGAAAAGTCCCGTTGTCTCTGTTGCAGCCAATTTTCCTCGTTGGATATTTACCGAAATACACAGGTAAAATACACGAGGACTCAGAAACAACTACTCTAGAACAGTAGGTCGTAGTAGTAACTAGCTAGGTAGGTATATAGAAAAGCTAGACACTGCCTATAATAACAGGTACCCGCATCCACGATAATAGGGCAACAACTGAGCGATGGGTCACATACTATGGGAGTTGGGCGAAAGGTCGCAGTGTGATATATTACTCCTCCTAGCTCCATGTTTTTCTCCGGATCTGCCAAAGTGTCGCGTGACCAATAACTTGACAGGGCAAATCCTGATGATAGATTACATCTCCATACCATCTTATGCCCCCTTCAATATACTCTTGCCGTATTTGAAAATTTCGGTAACGTAGCTTCAAATCAGCAAGTTGACATGACTTGACCACACGAGGACCGGAATTTTAGACGCCACGTCCACGCCATTTGACCGAGGCACCGTCTCTGCCAATGCGATACATAAACGCACAGGCATGTGCCTTCCCACCATTCCGAAGCACAAATGTGTGCAACGTGGGCATCTTCTGTACAAGTACACTGGACCGGCACAGCAAGGCCTCGATCTGCTTGCTGTTCTCCTGGTCGTTCTGTAGAAGCTGTGATGTAAGCGCTGAAGATTGCAGTTGCGACCAGGTCCACCTCGAATGACAGTATCGAAAGACTTCCTCTGCGTCGATCATGAAGGAGATGGCAAAGTGCTGCAGATTGAGACTTTATATGCAGGAACTTCACCAAGCCCTTGGGAAGGATGAACTATGCTGTACCGGTATCCAGGAGAAAGCCGCTTTGGAAATAGCTCGCAAAATTTGTAGGCGTCTTCGAATACTGTTAATCTCTTGAGAGTATCGGGAAGATCATTCAGGAACATTAGTCCAAGATCTATTCTTAAAGTCAGCGCTGAAGAACGGTCAGACGAATCAACCATGACAAAAGGATAAGGTTTATATTTCCTGCCACAGTACTCACCATGATATACAATTCTCTCCACCCAGCTCTATATGGCGCCCACGGCTCATTGGAGATATGCTCTAGGCCTCCAAGTTTGCCAATGAATGCACCAAGCAGCTCTGGACAAATGCGACGCCGAAGTTCTCGACATTAATGAGGGAAGTGACTGCTTCAACTCGGGGTAATGTTCCGCGTGACACTGGGTAGATATGCCCGAAGAGCCGTAGTCTAGCCCACCATGGAGGATTGTTAACGCATTTGCCATGCATCCAGGCATGCTGCAAGTCGTGATGCGGATTCATAGCCCTCCACGCATCTGGTGTTGCGTTCCTATCATGCTCAACATCGTCGGTGGAGAAGAAGTTCTTGAACTAGTATTCTCAGTGGCTCGGAGAGTATGCGTTGATCAGCAGCGTCAAGCGAGCCGCTAGTTTCCAAGGACTGAGAATCTAAAAGTCTCCATATCCCATCACTGATGATCAAGTCGGTCTTTTCTGGCGTTGATCTTTGTTCTGAACAACACTTATACGGGCAGCGTGGTAACTCGATGTTGAGACAGATGTGGTGGATAACATCTCTCTTTCGTGGCGAAACAAGTGAGTCGAAGTCGTCGAGACAAGACACTCCCAGCTTTAGCTTGTGGAGATTAACCTTCTCTAGCGCGTGCTGCCATTCTCTGCATACATATGCAAGCGAAGCCCAGCCAGGGTATTCCCGGTGTGCGATCATCGATAAGATCACGAGGCGAATCTCTGATGGGAAAGATCTCCATTTCAAGGTTTGTATTTTAGCTTTTGTTTGGCTGCGGGTTCTCATTCTGCAGCTTGTAAAGAGAAACACCGGGAAAAGTCTAGAGCTATCTTCACAATCGTGTGCTATTGCCAAAACTTCGTACGGTACAGTTTCCGCGGACCACGTAGTCGAACGTGTACCTGCAATGCGCGATTGAAAAGCTTATTTCTAAAGCCAAGGCCTGTGGCATTCGAAACTACAAGCCAAACTCAGCGCTGCGGTGCCCCGAGGAAGAAACACACATTTGGCGAACATCTGCCTGACCCTGGGAGTTCACAACGCTGGTTACCTATACAAGGTCATTAGTGTCTACCAATGCTTTCGACCAGGCCACAGCGCCTGGTGGATACCCGGACACCCGGACACGCGGAAACCCGGACGTAGTCGGGCGCTATCCGGGGCCAAATGTGCCGACTTTGCGAAGCACCGGTGCCCAGTCGCATTGGTGTGCATACTTTGGCCCGAATAAGTCGTGCTTATGCATACCGCATGTATTACGCGAGGGAAAGTGGCGGCATGATGGTTGTCCAGTCGACGCCCAGTTGGATGCTCTGTTCTGCATCCGGAGTGCCCACCGCGCTCCTCGGCTCTGTGTCCAACAAGGGTAGGCCCGCCGCCCTGAAGAAAAATTCCATAGCTTCCAGAAGCGGCATGGAAACATTAACGCCCCAGCCAGCAAGGGAAGGGGGAGGGGGGGCTAATGTACTCAGTAGGCTTTGAGCAGGGAGGGCAACGGGGGGCTGCAGCAGCCCGCAGCCCGCAGCTCGTGTCTTCGACGACGACTTCAGGCCGAGGCGAGACTTTTCACGAGACCACCAATCTCCACGCGTGACCAATGAAATTCGCGAAACGGCAATTTGGGGGATCGGGCGAACCACTGCTCAGTCCATCGACATCGTTGCCCCGGCGGAGACTGAGTCGTGCTTCGGACGTCCTGGACAGGAAAAGAGAACCGTCTGCCCGGCCGATCGGCAGGTTCCAGCTTCGTGGGACAGCGATTAACCGGAGAGCCAGACGGGCAGCCGGGCCCCCATGTCGCATACCAGCCTCTCCTACAGGATCCGAATGTCTGGGCTAGGGGTGGTTCAGAAATACCAGAAGCACGAAGGAGCGTTCTCGTTCCTTGGGGCCTCGAAAAGGGAAAGAGGAGGAGACAGGACACCTCTGCCGACTCCGCGGCATACGGAAACGAGGTGCCGCCTGCAGAGGCCGTGTCAGAACTCTAGCCCACACACGCGCAGCGGCAGCGGCACGACATCGTGATCTCCGCCCCGAGTCAAGCCCTGGATCCGCAAAGACATAAGCTCTTGGCTGGGAGTTTCACCGCACACAGGGCCACCATCTGATCAGTTGAGCACCCCCCCCCCCCTCCAAAAACAACACACTCTTTCCCGAGATTGCGTAATGTCTTACCTTCTTTTCCCGTGTTCAAGCTAGAGGCTTTCGACGCGCAGGCTCTCCTGCGTATGCGTTGCTTCCAATAGATGATCCCCCCTCATTGAACCCTTAGTCGTAGTAGGTCCATTTCTATATTGCTGTCATAAAACTCGGTACGCATAGTGCGGGTGAATAAATTCACGCAATGATGAGGACAAGGCTACGAATAGAACCGACATGGATCACCGCCAATCTCCATCCTGGAACACACAGACGTGCAGGCGAGGGTATTTTCTCGAAAAAACCCGCCTGCTGCGGGCCTCGAATGCAAGTCCGAGATTGTGCCGCTCCCACGAGACGATTCACACGTCCCCTATGCGTGGGAAGGAAATAGGGGTTGTCAACTAGAAACGAGACGATAATCCACGACCACGAGGGGGGCCTGACAGCCCAGCCCAGTACCCGTGTGAGAACTGAGAAGAGGGGGAAGAGAACCACACCCTTGTCACGGCGAAGTTCAAGATTAGCAACCCCCAATCATCGAGAACGAGAGACAAGCCTAGCTTCATCTTGAACCCCCAGCGGTATGAAGGCCCGCGGTCGAGAGAGTAGGGCGGAAGGGGGGCCTCACAACAACCGCTCATCATCTCTGGTTTAATGCTCAATGCTCGACATAGCATACGGCCATGCAACGTTGTTCTAGTAGGGCTCCTGGCCAGCCCGGCCGACAATGGCCCCTCGATCCTCCTGTCCCTACGGTTCCCGACCGGGACCGACCGGAATAGTCCCTGAACCCGTTTTGCGGTGAGACCGGAACCCCGGGCCCCAAGCTTCACAGGTTCATGCTGCTGAGCCGGCTTGGCCGCGACTTCGCATGGGCAACTTACCAGCATAGTCGTCGCCCGTTTGGCGGTGTTCCACGGGAAAAGCACAAGCTCGACGGCGAGAAATATGCCATAGGCGGGGGTTGGTGTGTGCGCCAAGGGACCGGTATACGGCGCGGCTAGGCTCTTGGCTTGGTTTATGCCACCATGGATCCGACCTCGAGGGGAAAACAAAAAAAGCATGAAGCCATCCATGTGCAAACCCACTAACATGATCCCGGCGACACGACAAAGTTGCCGGGCATGGCATGTTAGAGACACGCAACCCCCCCCCCCCCAGTGTTCAAAGGAGGAGGAGGAGAAGAAGAAGAAGAAGAAGAAGACTGCCGTTACATTCGATACCTGACGGTTTATTGGTCTTGGCTGTCCAAGTAAAGAGGGATCGCCCGCCCCGAATAGCGAGCGTGGAGCAGAGGGGGGCGCGATGGTGGAGTGATGAAGCGACGATGTTGCCGTGACGGGGGGAACTATCCGGACGCCCACCAGTTGTTCCCTCTCACGAGATTGTTCCTCGTCTGGGTTTCCTCTCATCTGACGAGGCAGTCCATTAAGAGTGGGTGGCTGGGAGGGGGGTGGAAGGAAGATTGAATCCTCAAAACGAGAATCCTGACCCAGAAACCAGCAGACTCCACTAGCTGTCATTCCAAATGGGCCCGCCGCGTCGAACCGCGGATGTGCCGGTTGGTGTCGCCCACTGCGGAACCATGATGTTTGGCCAAACTAGGCCGGGCCCCCGGTCCCCTCTCGTATGTCTGTGTGAAGGTACAAAGTACATCGTATGTACTCTTTCACGGGGAGAGTTTTTCGCTCCAAGGGCCCCTGGAACCGACCAGGTGGTAGTAATTGGGATACCTAGGTATGAGTCGCGGCTGGCTGGCGGGTGGGGGCCATGCGAGGGCTTGTCCGGCTTGTGACCAAACCAGGGGTGGGAATGCGAGGAGCGTCGCTCCGATCTCTCTTGATACAGACATTCACTATTGAAGACGGTGGATCGTTTCACGGATGTACCAACCGTCTGGCGCCTCGTTGTGCATGGGGACCGTTGACGCCGACTTGGGAGGCCTGGACCTAGAGTAGAGCATGCTAGTTGTCGGAAAGCACAAAACGAGACTAGGGTCAGTCGTCGGCGGCGTTGGTGGAGGGAGTCGAGTGCACCAGCCAAGTTGTGTAGCTCTCGCCAACGGCATATGAACTTAAACGGTTTATCCACAATTGTGCAGACCCGTTTCACATATCCCGAACTAGTCGATGCTTTTATCGATTTTGTTCCAACGTCAATCAGCAGATCTAACGGCACAATAAAAAGACCAGTTCTTGTTAACCAATCTACGGGCTATGTGCAGGGTGTTCGAAACGAAACCGATGGACGAATTGCCACACACCTCTAAACAACTAGGTACCAAGTGTAAGTACCCAACTCCCGAACTGAGGAATGGGGGAAAAGAGCCTCAGAGATGAATGCAAAACGTGATTTAAATGCCAGTTCTCCGCAACGCCTCCCCTAAATTTAGTTTTCTGTATGCCACTCGTTTTTTTTTCCTCCTTTGAACGGACACGCAAGCATCGTTTGTCTTGTCTAGTTCTCGGGGTCAGCTGCCACGTTATGGATGCTGTAGGTCATGTGTCAGTCAAGGTGTTTTGCTCAGTATCTTGGAGAGGAGAGCCTACCCGATATCCGCACCGGTTCCCGGCGGGGACAGTATTTCAGCTCGAGACCGTGCCACCAAGCCGTTCGTCTTGACGGTCTTGGCAGCCGGGCCAGAGTCCGCAGAACCCTGAGCCGTAGGGCCGCTGCTGGCAACAACTGCCTTGCGCTTCTTGCTGCCATTGCGGGCCTCGTAGAGGCGCTCGAAGTAGCCTTCAGGGATAGAGGTGACGTAGCAGCCGGTGAAAACGCCAACCTCGAAAGTCTGGGTCTTGGGGTCGCGAGGAGAGAGCTCGGCACATGAGGCCGCAAGGTCTTCAAGAGTCTGATAAATGACCTCGTCGGCGCCGATATGCTGGGCGATCTCGGAGTTGGAGCGGCCGTGGGCAATGAGTTCGGTGGGAGTCGCAAGATCAATACCGTAAACGTGGGGATTCAAAACAGCCGGACTGCAACTACTGAAGATGACCTTCTTGGCGCCAGCCTCCCGTGCCATGTTGACAATCTCGCGGCTGGTTGTACCCTGCTCAGCTGTCAGCAACCTTGTCCACAGTTTTGGGCTCCCGTAAACATACGCGAACAATGCTGTCGTCGACCAAAAGCACCGTTTTCCCCTTGAATTCGGTGTCAATTGTGCTAAGCTTGCGACGGACACCCTGCTTGCGAGAGCTCTGGGTAGGCATGATGAATGTGCTTGAATAGGTACGGTGTCAGTAATGATGTTTCCGGAAGCAATCCGAACAGGGCAATATCGACTGACCGGAAGACATAACGGTTCTTGACAAAGCCCATGGAGTACGGCTTCTTGAGCCGCTCTGCCAGGGCTGCGGCAGCCGTGTTCGAAGTCTCTGGGATAGGAATGACAACGTCGATGTCCTTGACAGCCTCCTCGCCCAGCGTTGCAATGATGTTGTCGGCCAACTTGACACCCTGCAGGTTACGAGACTCATGGACGCTAATGCCGTCGATGGTCGTATCCGGGCGCGCAAAGTACACTAGCATTGCGCTTGTCAATATTGGGAGCAACAGAGACTGGACGATCTGTAAACTCACCGTATTCAAAGATATCAGGGCTGTAGGACTCCATCTCCTGAATCTGTTTGAAGACTGGGGGCGAACCGCGCTTGAACAAGACGGCCTGTCCAGGGAGAACGTCTGTAATGTTTGAGAAACCCAGCTGCTTCAGCGCCACAGACTCGGATGCAAGCATGTAGTCCATAGCACCCTCAAGAGTGTGAGAGGGTCGGGAGCCCCAGACCAGAGGTCGGATTCCATTGGGGTCGCGGAATCCACAAACGCCGTACCCAGCAAGCATGATGACCGAGGCCCAGGCTCCCCTGCAGCGCTTGTAGGTTCGCTCCAAGGCGCTGAATAGGTCGTTCTCATTGACACGTGCCTTTCCTGTCTCGTTGAGCTCGTTTGCAAACACGGAGAGCATCAACTCGGAGTCACTGCCGGTGTTAACGTGGCGATGCGCCTCGTGGTCCAGGAATTCACGGAGCTCTTCGGCGTTGATGAGATTGCCGTTGTGGGATAAGCACACGCCGTACGGGCTGTTGACGTAGAATGGCTGGGCTGGTTTTCATTAGTTCATCCTCAATCAATGTGAATTAGCCTTGAAGCTCACCTTCAGCACGCCTGAAGGGAATAGTCAGTATGCATTCGTTATAAGCCCAACAGCATGCAGAGAGACACTTACCCACTACTTCCCCAGGTTGGATAACGCAAGTGACCAATGCCCATCCATCCAGGGAGGTCGATAACTCTCCTTCCGTCATTGAAGACCTTGGACGCCATGCCGGCGTCTTTGCAGGAATAGATGCGTCCATGCTTCCTACTACGATTAGCACTTGAACTCTCGCCTCAAAGATGGTCCGAAATTACGATGATGTTGCTATACCACAAGCATCCTGACCTCTGTGACAGGTTAGAACATACTCCTCGTCGAAGGATCTATTATACGTTCCTGTGCTGAAGGAGGTACATGGCCTCGTGCAACTCCTGCGCGGCATCGCAAGAGTCATCCTCGCGGTCCCAGTCACCCAGACATATACCAATGATTCCGCACATATTGCTGCGACTCTTTTGGGGGCTGGTGTACAAAAAGGTTGGTGTGTGGTGTGGATGGAGGCTGGCAGAGCAGGATCTCGATGCGCCTCTCGGAGCTGGTTCGTGACGATACTGTTATCGATAGTAAGGGATGCGCTCTTCCTGTATTGAACTAGGCAATTGTTGCGCAAGTTGTCGTCGTCGGTGTTGGTGTCAACGTTCGAGATGGCTTCTGTCGTGGCGGGGTATCCGATGGCGGGGTATTTTCTTAGCTGGATGGCTGGATGGGCAGGGTCCACGTCGGAGTTTTTCGCGCGCTTTGGGGCAAGGAGAAAAGCCGTGAAACAGGAGCGATACCTCGAGGACTTGACAATCCGTTTTTCGACTCGACGGAGGCGAGATGGAGGAAGTTTGGCTTCTTTCTGGACGAGGGGGCGATACAGTCCGGAGAGGAACGGCGAAAAAAGAGCGCGACGTCGTTGGCAAGAGAAAAAAAAATTCCTCCACGACGACCAACTTCGGGAAGGAAGGACAAATTAGTGGGGCCGGTTATCGGCGCTCCCAACAGGGCAGCACGGATAAGGCTCCGTAGCAGCTACCGGTGCTGTTTGGGGCCTCGCTTCTAGGTTTTCCAACCTTATCCTTTGTTGGTTTTGTGTGAACCGTTAGTTTTACTTCAGCCAGCTTGCACCTGTAGGATATTTTCCCCAAACATCTTTTGCTTGCTACCTTTGGGTACTCAACCGACGCATTCCGGGGACATGGTCAATGATGCATTGTCAAAAGGGCAGGTCTGGTGACGGCAGCCACGTGGTGCGGGCGAACTAAACCTGCAGATATAAGCAGACAAACAACCTTGAAAGGGGCTCTTGGGGCTTTAACCCATTGGGGCGCATGCGGTGTGCAAGTTGGAGATGCTACCTAGGCCACGCGCATGAAGTACCTAGTTCAAGTGGCTGAAAGAGCACCTGAAGACCAGGTGGTGGTTGCTGCTGCTGGCTCCTCGTGACCTGCATTCGACACATCCACTGATAGCAACTTACAGGATCTAATTCCACTTTCTTGCTATTGCATCTTTCTCTGCCCAGGCGCCTCGACTGGTGGGTTGGGTCACAGAATGTTGCAGTCTCTTGCCAAAATATGATTTTGAGGCTGCCGAGGGTTTCACGTTTCTTCCGTGTAGAAGAACGGGAGGGAGGCTTTGGTGTTTGTTTACAGGGATATGCAGGCTAGCGGCCTTGAGAAGCCTGCGGCCCTCACGAAAATATATAATCGTTTTGAGAAACAGCTATGAAGAATTAAGGGTTGTAGGAGCATGCCGGAAACAGAAAAGACGCATAGCCGTACTAGCCTTGACGATTGGGAGCCAGTCAAATGACGAGAAACATTAAGCTCACCTGGCCGGAAATGCAGGCTCGGACTCTTTACTAGGTATATAGAGTCATTTTTGCCCTCGATGAACCCAACCAACGGACCGTCAAAAAACATTCCTGCGATAGATGGGATTTGTGTTTACACAATCCGAGATACTCCGTACCGGTTACCGGATATGCATACTAGAAGCATAACGCTTATAAGCATACATTATCTAAGTCAATGAATGATTGTGCATCCATATTCACCTGTATGCACATGGTGGATCCACGTCCAAGAGCCTGGTCTGGCGTCGTCGTCTAACGGCACAAACTCGCGGATAGTGGCTCCCAGATTGCCCCGGCGGCGCGGCGCCCGACATTCCTCATGGCGTGTGTCGATCGTCAGCTCTCGTCCCCTTCCCAGGATGATGGTCCCTGTCTACTATGTACACTAGGTAGTTGCTAATCAAAACCAAAGGCCCGTGGAATGCGAGGAGGGGGAGGGGGAGGGGGAGGGGGAGGGGAAGGTCGACGAGAATGGATGTTCGGTGGCGGGGGTTTGACGAACATCATTTCCCTGGAAAAGAGCCAAGGTCGAGACGAGTATTGATGCCGATATGAGGTGATGGTGGTATGTGCTGTTCTGTACGGAGTAACTGATCGCATTTCCTGGCACTTGTCACGCTAGCGTTGGGGTGGCAGGCGTAAAGACGCAGGAACGGGTGTATGCAGTGGCAAGACGGCATCCCAGTCTTGAAAACCTGGTGGTATTCTCGCTCCGTCAGAGCAGGATTATCGCATACGTACTACGTAGTATACCTACTGACGGAGGACATGTTCCAGACGTTTTCCATACGACGGGCCCCAAGGAATATCGAACATTCCTTCGGCAGGTTGCGGCGGATTGCAGTGTATCATGGGCCTGGTACGCTCCACTGATTATCTCGTTGCGACAAGCTGGTGGCTCGGGACAAGCGGAATGAGGGTCCTTTTTCTCTCTCTCTTCCTTGCGGGCAGCGGCGAGCCTTCCCAAAAGATCAATCACCCCCCGAGCCCCGAACTCCTGGCACGCATTCACAGGCGAGAAGGATTGAAATTGAATGTGAGAGGGGAGGGTCTCCATCACCCGTCCCGGCTTCCCGTGTTGGGGGACCAGCTCGACAAGAGTTTGGAGGTACACAGCACGAATGTGACTGCTAGGCGACCCCTTACTGCCTCGGCCAGTCGAGTTTACCGTTTACCCATTTGGCTCGTGGCCGGGGAATTGGGTTCGGCTCATATGCCTACCTAGTGCTGGGGAGAGTTTGGGGGTGCACAAGAGCGAGCCATCTTATGTCGACAGTCCTTGCGTCCCGGCGGCTACATCCAGGGAAGCAGATGAACATTTGAGTTCGCAGCTGCGTTACAGCGACAGGATCGAACGCTGTCAGAGTGACTTGGATGTCACGGTAACGGCGGTCGCTATCCAAATACCTAGCGTGCGTGTGTCTTGGAAGCGATTAGATGTCTTTTCCTCTCCCATGAACCAACCACCTCATGTCATTAAAAGCATTCGTACTGCGTCAGCGGGCAGGTGCAATGCTCATGCAGCTCATTGCCGTTTCTGGGCTAGAACGATCAGAAGCCCCCTTGTATCATCCCCTTTTTGTGCTTTGGTAGGTAGTAGCCAGTGCTGTCATGCCATCATCCAGTCTTTCTTTTTGCTCTTTCGATCCCCCTTTCCCGCAACCTTCCCGTCGTGTTTCATCATTTTTCCGGGTCACAAAAGTCAACACCACACTGCTGGTAATGCTGGGCGTGCCCATGCCTAGGTCGCTCATCAGTCGACAAATGACCTGGTGGGCTGCCTCCACGTTTTTCTTCCCACTGTGCCCCTGTTCTTGTTTTCTTGCTTTTTCCTTCCTGTTCCTGACTTATGCTGCCGGCCCACACTGATGTCCTTCTTTGGCCACACAGTCATGCCCCTATGGACAATACCAGCCACCCCGCCATGACCTTCTCTATCAATAATCAAGCTTGAGCCAGGTACAGATGCAGAGGGAAAAAGGAAGATCAATGACCTCAAGTCTGGCCGATGTCATCATGTATCGGCATGTCGGGGATCAGCAGCTCGCTTGCTGAGCCGGGCTTTTGCGCTGACATTCCTCTCTGTCCTTATTCTTTCCCTCTGACGAATCAAGGTATGGAATGAAGCTACACTAGAAAGGCCTGTTAGGGCCGTTCCGCAAGCCCCAAACAAAGTGAGCCGGTAACTTGCAAGGGCACCTGGCGGATACCAATAAAGTGAGTACTCCGCACTGCTGGCTTACGTTAAGGCTCAAGGACGTTTGATTTTTCATCATGTCATTGTGATTATGGGCAAGCCATAAAAAAGTGCGACAGTATCTGTATCCGTAGATGTCGGCCAATACTGGGGTCGCATCCTGCATCCATAGTGCTTAATGTCAAGACGTGAAACGTCAGGAAACGCCTACACAGTCATAAGTGTTTGTAGGGTGCGTTTCTACGTTTTCTCTCCACCACAGGACAGGACGGGGTTTGCAGTCGCCAGGAGAGGCATCCGTATCCGCGCCGGCCTATGAACGTTTAACAGCAGGCAGGACTGCGGTGTTTACAATATGTGTGCCTCGACTCACTCACCAGTTGCTCGAGGTCAGGTCATCAGACTCGTCACGCCCCCCACCCCCACACACCACCATTCAGATGCTTCCACTGGCCCCTGACATCTGGCATCCAATGGTGCCGAAGGCACTGATGCGGCAGCTTCAGCAAGGCCATCCACCAATGCAAGGCGTTCCAGACTCCCTCACGGCAAGGAGAAAGATGTGGCGCGGTACCTGAGCATCATAGCACTAGAAGAAGGCCTGGCGGCGTAATCGGACACACGGGTCTGGCACACGCGCATCTAGTGGGCGTTTGGCCCTGGTATCTGGGGGCTTGTGCGGGCAGTCCGGCACAGCACCACAATCTATTGGCGGCGCTATGTATGCACAAAGTCAGGCATTCTGGCCCTCTTTTGGCGTTCATGGGAAGGACGAAGGACGGGATGATGCCAATCGAGGATTCGAGGCGTGAAGCCCAACGTTGCCGGCCAATCTTGGGCAGCTTTAACCTCTGGGGCCCCTAGTGTAGTGCGAAGTGGCCCCCCCTGCCCACCCCTACACCCCCGGTTGATATACTCGTCGGCGTTGGACAATTTCCTTCGCCCCCTCGGCTCTTCCCTGTTTTGCACTCGTCTCGCCAGCCGGTGCCATTTGCTCTACACTCCCCATTCCCGAATAGGACTTAAGACTGTGGCACGTGCGCTGGGGCGGATCTTATCAGACACGGAAGGCAACACGAATGCCTACCTACTAGGTAGTATCCGTATGGTAGGTAGGTATGTACAATGGTACCAGGCCGAAGTTAAATACCCCGGTTAGGTAACTAACGTCCACCCCCCTCCTGCAGAGCTTCACTTTTGGTGAATATTCCCCCTCTATCATGATGTCGGTTATGGGGGGTAACATCATAGGGGTATTTTACTTACCCCTGTCACCCTGTAGTTCAGGTGCAGATGGATACTCTGTACGGAGTACCTGTATCCGTATTGTGTAGGAAATGGTAGCTCTGCCTAGCGGTGCGGCCTGATTGGTAGGAGTTGAAGCGCGATGCGGCAGGAAAAGCGCTCTACTTCATGCTGCTTTGCGCCTGAACATCGAACCTCTGCCACGTCCCAGTCGTTGTTTGATCTTGTCTACGTCGCGTTGCGAAGACCAAGGCCCGCGGTGCATCCCTGCCGCAACCACACCAAACAGGAGACGACGACAAACCAGCTACGTACCTCAAAAGGTTCCGCAATTGGCGATACGTACCTACTTTAACTACCTCTACTCCGTACACTACCAGGTATCCGTAGACATAGTACAGGTACTATGTAGATAGCCCCATAGGTACCTACCAAAGGTACTTTCCTACGGATACTCAGGAGTCAGAGTGCACTACCGACCAAACGGGCAGACATGAAAGATGAAGCTGTATCCACTTTCCACCTTCCCCGAGGCGCGGGCCCCTTTTTCATTATTTCTCTTGTTTTATAATGCGATGGCCTATCCATTATAATAAAAAGCCGCCTCGAGCTCGGTTTCAAGGCTTGAAATGACAATTGCCCTGATGGAGAAGCTGAAGGACACACTGACACCCAAGGGTCCTCTGCCCCTATGGATGACACACATCATGCACTAGTACAGGTACCTAGGTAGGGCGGTACGCTGGTGATACAGTAACTACCTACCTACCATCAGGACGAGGACCGGGACCTGGACCCCTCTCTGATTATTGCCGCCGCCGACGACCCTTTTCCCCAGCCTACGGAACCAGTACCTACAGGGACACTAGCATTGGCGATGAGCAGCAAGCTCGCGGCTCTTGGCTGGGTTCCCCCTTTCTCCTGCTCTCGGTGTGGTGCGAGGAGTGGAAACGCGTCTTCATGCGCCTGAACAGTCGAACGGCGGCCAACCTGACTCCTACCAACGTTGAAGGTAGGAACGCAGGAACATGGCCGCTTTCTTTTTGCCTCCCCGCCTCGAATGCCTCCCCTCCATATCCGGCCCCCAAAGAATACCACAGTAACTGCAGGTCAGGTCATGGCGTTCCTACTAGTGTACGGAGTAGTATGCGTCCAACACGCCCGCCCGCCAGTGCCGGGCGTCACTGTGGTATCTGTACTGCCCGCATTATTCTTCTTCTTGGGTCCCTTGCCACGGACGTTGTCAACTTGTCAGTGTCTCCCTACCTACCACCATCAAACCACAGAGGACGTTGGCCGGTCCACTAGCATTCAGCACCGGCACTGGCACACACGGGCAAGAAAGGCAAATAAAGGGTACGACTCACGAGAGTGCGGATACGATCATGTTCACCAAGTACAACAAGATGGGAGCCGATTCATGGAGCGCATCATTCACCAGACGACGAAGGCGCCCGCCCCCGTTGTCCCACCTCCTTTGCACACATCCTCGAATAAGGCTGCAGGATTTGCCATCGCGGAACGCCATAACCGATCCTGGTTCCCCGTCATGCCCTGCCACCTGCGGCGTGGCATTTGTGCATGCGCCCACCGTCAGGAACGGTACGCTGGCATTGCGTTCGGTCCGCTGTGTCCTGGCCTCAGGCATCACCCTACTTGCCGCATCTTGACGGATGCTGAGTGTGTCTGCCTTGATACATCAGCAGCCCAGCTGTTGGGATGTTGTGCTGGCATATCACAACACCACACACGCATACAAACACACATATTACTTGCTCTGCTGCGCCGAAGTGCGCACTATTCATCCTGCACGCGCCTCTTGGCCGAGCCTCTCTGATCCAGGGCTTTTCTACTAATAGGACAAGGACAAGTAGTAGTGCCAGTAGTTCCAGTTGGGCCGGCCGGATGGGCGTTTTGGCCAACGATGTCAGCGGCTATCCCCCGTTTCTCTCCCCTCTTCCCCTTGGCTGCACGCACACTGTGTCTTCCATAATCTTCCAATTAGCCCGAGGCTTTGGCGGCACCTAACCAGCAATATTACCTCGGGACGTAGCACCGTCCATTCCGGCCGGCGTCGCTGATGGCATCTCCTCTTGCAGACAGATGCTAATGATGCTGACCGTGTTGCTGCCGCTGGCTTGCATTCACACAGTCGCTTCGCACTGTCTGTCCCTGGTTATTTTGACTTTGTTTCTCCCTGCTACTGCGGCTGGGATTGGAGTCGGTGTCGCTGCCACGGCTCGCAGTAATCTGCAGCACGTCCCATGTCCAGAGAATGATTGCCTTGCTGAAGTGTATTCGTGGACGACTGACTTGAAGCGGGCCAAGCCATGCTCAATTGGGCAATGGGCCTTGCGTTTCTGTGTCATCACTACCGACCGCCCCGGCCATAGATGCTCAGTTGGGTTATGCCAGTTCATCAAGCATCGCCGCTGCCCCATCAACTCACATACCGTCTGTCTGGAGTGGACCGCATTGGGGGAAAGTCTGATGGAAGACGTGCGCGGTGCGGTGTGCATATGCAACCCCCTCGTCCTCCCGTTCAACCGGTCAAATGTCGTCTGTCTGTCAAATCAACAGGTGGGAAGAGAACAACATTGAGAGGCGGCGAGGTGAAGCACGAAGGAATTGATGAGAGGCCACGGACATATTAGGCAGCCCGTGGCCCATGACGGCGGGAGAGGAGGTCAACACCATCGACAGTCTAGACGGAGAGGATTGCAATTCCAATCAATGATAATCTACCCTAAGGATCCGAGCGACAAGCCATCAGGCACACCACCAAACCACCACAAGACCAGACAAACCAGATACCTACATCAGACACATTAGACTCCAGGCCGCTCGACAGAAAGGAACGGAAAAAGAAGAAAGCCAACGAGAAACCCTTGCCGCGCACTTGCACCGACGTCCGAACATAATCAAACCAAGTCGACCCTGCTGCAACCCACCACTATCATCATCACCATATTTTTTCCTCCTACCTTATTTCTTGTGTCCTCTGTTTTTGAGGCACGCACTCTCTCACTCGTCTCTCTCTCGAACCAGCACACCAGCGTACCTTGCGTACGCGCATACAACATCTCCGCAACGTGCACGCCGCTTCTTCTTCCTCTGTTTTTTCCGGAACAAGACAAGACAGGAGAGGGAGAGAGAGAGAGAGAGACACACACACACACACACACACACACACACCTGCTCACAACCTGACCCTGGTCCCCTACCCCTACCTCACCTCGGCTTTTTCGCCCAGATCCTAGGCTCCTCCGCCCAAAACTCACCTGCACCCCCCTCTCTTTTTGCACACCCTCCAGCGCAAATTGGTCCGCCAAGGGGTCTCGAGGGAAAGACAAAAAAAAAAAAGGCACGACTCCCACCCAAACCATTAGCGAGATTGTCCCCCTATCACAGCGCCTTTCACTCTCTTACCTCTCTCACCCCCCCAGATTCATTCATTCATGCTATGAACGGGCCCCTGGCCACCTTCAACTGGACGGCATAGTGGCCGGCTCCTCGCTCCATTCCCCCATCTCCCACCCGGTCACCTCAATTAATTTTACCCTGCACTGCGTTAAGCACCACGCTTTTGGCCCTGGCCGAGTTACACGATACCTACACACCGTCCAGTACCTACCGAAGTACCTCTTGCTGCTCCTCTTGTCCTCAAGGCTTGCTGGCCCCCATCACCCTCGTCCTCGCCCATCCCGACGCGCGGGTCCACGGTGAATCATTCTGCTGGATCGTGTGGGTTTCTTCCCTCTCATTCTCTCACACACACCACACACGCTGTCTCGCCCTCTCTCTCGCCTCTCTCCGTCCCTCGTCACCCCGTTCATTCCCGCTCTCCCTTTCCATCCCCTCGCTTGTTCCTCCCCTCCCTCCAACTTCCCTGCCCCCTTCCACTCTTGTCCGTTTCTTCGTCCCTCATTTTTAACACTCGGATGCGTCGCTGTTCTCCAGACCAGCAAGCAGCTTAGCTATCCCATCAAGCAAAGCACCGGTCGACTGCCACCTGCACATTCGCATCTACATGCAAATTCCTGTACTTCATCCAAGCACTCGCATCGCAGACAGGGACCGACGTACAGAAACAACAAAACAACGACGACAACAACACCGCCGCCGCCGCCGCCACTACGTAGATATCGCCTCGTACGGTAGTGATCACTCTCCGCCCAGCCAAGCTTCACGCACAATTCGACACGCTTCTACTTCCCAAGCGAGGAAACCAACAAGGCCTGGACAACCGTTGCCCAACCCCCCCGTTCATCTTCCCAGGGTCGCTTCCTCATCATCGCAATCTCGACCCACGTACCTGACAATATCGTGTACCTTCTGGATACCCACGCTTGAGGATCCATCCCCGATCGACTGGTTCTAGCTCCATTCTCACCCCCCTGGACCCTTACCTGGCCCTTTTAATAATATCGACCACCTCCTGGTCCTCGCCTATCCCCCTCGTTGTCCCCTCTTCTTCATCTGGTTTCGCTCTCTTGGTCCATCCCAGCTCACTCATTCACGCTTTTTTTTCTATTTCCAACATCAACCGTCCCGACCCAATACAAGCAACAACACTCGCACACCATTTTCCTTTGCCTCAACTTTCAACACTTCTTCACCAAACACTGCCACCTAACCAACGGTACCCCAATCATACTACAGCACGGATAGCTCTCCAACCAAGGCCGGTCTGAATGCTACAGATCTCGCAAGCGGCTCTTATAAAGAGCTCCTCCTAGTTCGCTTCAGCATTGGTACGGTCCAGGCTCACGCCTGAGAAGCGGCCTTGACCAGCTGACCCGCCCCCAGAAACACCGTCGTCACGAGGATCTTGACTGGAATCAACGATCACAAACCCCCAAAAACCATACAAGATGACGGTCGCACACGACTTGACCCATAGAGGGTCCTCATCCCACTCTGCCAACAACATGGCCCTTGAAGACAGATTCGAGGTGCTCAAGGAAATCGGGGATGGTAGCTTTGGCAGTGTCGTCCTTGCCCGAGTCCGTAGCGCAGGTGCTAGCGTGGCTCGCCGCGGTACAGTGGTAAGTTCCTGCAGATCGCTCCCGCTGCATCACCAGCTTACCGGGTGCATTTTTAGGTCGCCATCAAAACCATGAAGAAGACATTCGAGTCCTTCGCCCCGTGCCTGGAACTTCGCGAAGTCGTCTTCCTCAAGACGCTTCCTAACCATGTCCACCTCGTCCCCGCCCTCGACATCTTCCTCGACCCCTACAGCAAGAAGCTGCACATCGCCATGGAGTACATGGAGGGCAACTTGTATCAATTGATGAAGGCCCGGGACCACAAATGCCTTGACAACGCCAGCGTCAAGAGCATTCTGTTCCAGATCATGCACGGTCTTGAGCATATCCACGCACACCACTTTTTCCATCGCGACATCAAGCCCGAGAACATCCTCGTCTCTACCTCTGCCCACCAGGACGCCGTCACGTCTTTCCGCAGGTACTCGGCCCTCGTCACACCTCCCTCTACGCCCCCCAGCTACACTGTCAAGATCGCCGATTTTGGTCTCGCCCGCGAAACGCACTCCAGGTTGCCCTACACGACGTACGTTTCGACGAGATGGTACCGTGCGCCCGAAGTGCTTCTTCGTGCCGGTGAGTATTCGGCCCCAGTCGACATCTGGGCTGTCGGTGCCATGGCCGTCGAAATAGCTACTCTCAAGCCGCTCTTCCCTGGCGGAAACGAGGTCGACCAAGTTTGGAGGGTCTGCGAGATTATGGGAAGCCCCGGGAATTGGTACAACAAATCCGGTGGCCGTGTTGGCGGTGGCGAATGGAAGGATGGCACCAGACTCGCCGGCAAGCTCGGTTTCTCATTCCCCAAGATGGCGCCCCATGCCATGGACACGATTTTGCAGCAACCGCAGTGGCCTGCTTCACTGAGTCACTTCGTTACGTGGTGCCTCATGTGGGACCCCAAGGCTCGCCCTACTTCAACCCAGGCAATTGCCCACGAGTACTTTGCTGACGCCGTTGACCCTCTGAGGCCGAAGTCGTCGGCTTCGAGAATTTTGGGCCGCAAGCAGTCTGATCTCAAGGGCACCGCCAACTCCAACTCTTCTACCCCCGCATCTTCCAAGCCGTCGTGGTTCAGGAAATCCCTGATCGGTCGCTCGGAAAGCGCCGAGGTTGCCATCCCCCAACCTATTTCCAAAGATCCAACCCCGAGACCTTCTCCCGTTCCTTCGCAAACAACGAACGAGGTTCCCGTCGCCAAGACGCGTCCTGCTCAGCCGAAGCGCACGACCTGGTCAAACGGCCCGTCAAACGTCGCACCCATGCCGATACTCCCTACGATCCGTCCCATTTCCCCGCTGTCCGACGCCGTGACCGCCGAAGCGAGGAACGGTGTTACCTACAACGACTCGTACGCCAACAGCCGGCATCGTGCAGTTCAGGTTGATGACAAGAAGAAGATTGGCAGGCAATTGTCGGTTGCCTCGAGCACTAACAACTATGCGGAGATTCACCGGCAACAGGCCGAGAGGGCACTGAACGGCAACGGCGGTCTCGCATCGCCGCCTAATGGTCAGAAGGAAAGCTTCTTTTCGCACCTAAGGAAACGCGCTCGCCGTTTCTCAGGCAGGCACCAGGTCCCCATGTCGCCCAACTCTGACGATGTCGAAGCCCAGACTGGCTGCGGCCCTTGGAACAGCAACCGGTCCTCCATGGTGATTGACAACGCGCCTACTCCCCCGCCAAAGCCTACCGAGATCTACGAGCCGCTTGACAAGGCCCTGAGAGATGTTCAGCAGAAGCAGAATCAGAATCAAGATCACGCTCCCGTCCCCCCTGCGCACCTCATTACCCCCAGCAGCACTCTCAAGAGGCACCACTCTTTGCCGCAACATCAGCCGCGGTCGGTCGACAACTTGATGATGGCTGCAAGAGGAACTGTGCCAGTCTCGAACCGAACTCGACGCCAGGGTGTGCAGCACTACGATGCACCGGACGAGGAGGACGAGCTACTCGATGAGGTTCTCAACTCAACGCACCGCGCCATGAACCGCCTTGAGAAGGACGGAAAACCCGGCCTGCGTCAGTCTGCCAGCAATGTTGGCATGTCGAACCCGTACCCGACCCCGTCCCCCTCGGCCAACGGTAACTCTGTCCTCTTCGGCGACAACCACGAAGCCGTCGCTCCTAAGCCTTTGAACCTCCAAAAGTCACACGGCGGCGAGAGCCAATACAAGTGGCCTACGCCCCCATACGAGGAGAGCGAATGGGCTGCTTCGGCGTCCGCTAGTATCTGGGCGGCCAGTAACCGGTTTTAAGGCGGCGGCCTCGAGGCTGTGCTTGGTTCACCGCAAAAGTTTCTTGCCTACTCACACGCATGGGCCTGGTGTTTTTTCTTTTTTTTCTTTTTGGTGTTTGCCGGTGTACCGACCTCATCCAGACTGAGGTGGTTTTCATTCCGGATCTCGGTTTTTCTGTTGCCTCCTTATTGGGGAGCAGGGTGGCATTTCGATTACTCTACGATATCTTCGATACCACAGGGCGGCACACTTTTCCGCCATTGCGCATATCTTTATTTCTGCCTTTTTCCTTATATTTTTTCATCGACTCATCTGTTTCGAAATACCCGATGCTATAGACTGGAAGGGCTGCCGATGGCGCCCTATACCAAAGACAACATTTCTTTTGTTCCTGGGGCTCACACGGGCAAGGAGTGGCGGTCTCCCAATCTGGAAGAAAAAGAACACGGTTCAAGGGATTGGGGAGGCAAAGATAAGGGGTTCAACTATGATCGCGCAGTTCTGTACAATGGAAGGACAACGACACAAGATTTTTCTTTCTAGATCCTCTGCGAGCTGGACACGTCAGACGACTCGGGAAAAGCCATGTTGTGGCCGACGGATGCCCAAATGGAATAGTTTGTTACATATGGACCGTGGAAAGACGCGAATGGTAAACATGGGCAACCCTATCGAAGCTACCCGGCGATGATGAGTTCAGCGATTGTGTGTTCACAAGCGCGCGGGAACTGTTATTTACTATTTGGTTCGAGTATGGGATAGGTGGGGGGTAAAAGCAGATTTTCAAGGGTGGGGGGGTTAGGGGAAACTGTACGTAGGCAGGATGGTCTTCGGAGTCCTGCTATAGCCATACTACATAATAATATCGTGGCACCTTAGCGATGCTCACTGGTCACGAACCGCAATTACTGTCCTTTGAGAGAATCCTGTGAAGTGTCTCTGCATGGTCTTGTTCATCGGGTGGCCAACGAAAGACGAGAGAACTTATCCCAATTGACTCTTGGCCCAACACTTCGGACGATTTAGACATGCGAGCGAGCGCGGGCGTGGCTTGGACGCCTTTCCCACAGCCGGTGGTCCGTTACGGTAGTGTCCGTGACTTGGTACCTTGCGGCTGCCAGAGGCGGGGTTTGGGGGTTATTGGTGGGGGGGGGGGGGGGGGGGTGGCCGCGAAGGAAACGTCGTTCTACCTTAGCTACCGTACCTACCTTATGCAATGCAGCAGCGGTGAGCTGACAGGGGCCGCCCGCGTCAGGCGAGGTTCGGACGGAAACGATGTGTACTTAGTTTAGGTACTTGGAAACCTGCATCGCAGAGAGGGCGTAATCGACCTGAACCGAGCAGGGATATGGGAGTTTATGCGCAAGAAGATGTGTTATGCGGAGGTACGTACGCGGCAGCTCTGCTGCGGACGACGTAGGAGGATCTGGGCCGCGTTTACTGCGGCCGGCCAGGGGGGGGGGGGGGGGGGGGAGGGGGGGGCAATTTTAGTGTATGGCGCCGGGAACGTAGTTGTTCGGGAAGGCTGTGTTTTGTTCCTGTTCGTCTTTTATTTTTCGTGCTGACCCTGGCCTGGAACTCGTGTTTTTTTTTTTTTTTAGTCGTCCGGCTAGGTGCCTGTTTCTCGATGACCAATTGTGGGTTTTGAGAAAAGGGGGGGGAAGTGGGGGTGAACGTTTGTTCCCGGAATGCTATGGGTTTCTCTACGTGGACCTAGGCGGGAAGGCACGAGGGGCTAGAGGAGCATGGACTCTGGTCCCCAAAAGAAAGACATGTGTCGTCTTGTGTGTAGGTATTGTTGGTGGAAGCTTAAACGCTTGGATTCGTGCGTCATGTGTTGTTGTTGACGGTGGCGATGCGGGCTGACGGCGACCTTGGTCAAGTTCTTCCTAGGTTAGCCCAAGTGTCTCTCTCGCATAACTTAGCGTTGACAAATACGTGCCGAACTGCATTACTCACCGGTAGCTGCGGTTCTCCTTTGCTTGACGACGGCATGTATTTACCCCGAGTAAGTAAGGCAGCAGTTCGGGGTGCCTTGAAGCGGCTGATTTACGCATGGGGTTGTTCTGTGGGGCCGTTTACCTAGATGTCAACCTGCCACACAACGTCACGATACTTGCTTTTGCCATTGGCTTTTGGCATCGAACAATACAATCACACTATTGGCCACCTAAAAAGTTGGAATTGTATTCTTCTGCCAACTGTATGCAAATGACAGCCCCTGTTGGCCCCTGAACGATTATCGCTGGCTCAAGACTTTGTTGTTGTCGTCGTCGTCGTCACCAACCGAAGCAAAACAAAACACCCAGCTAGGCAGAAAACAAAAACATACAACACCAGGTATTCGCTGGTCGTCACCGACCCAACTACTAATCCGGCCCTCATTGGCTTATCTATGGGAGAGCGGACGGGATCCCGAGTTTTCCAATGGGTATGGTCGTATGTGATAGGATGACAATTCGAAATTGTTCATAATGGGTTCTGGTGAAGTCTGAAGTGGCACAAGCTTGCAAATCGGCTCACGATGAGGTCGGTTACCTAGGCCCCAATATAACAAGACGACGCCTCATTAGGGATGTTTTTTTTTAAGCTAACTATGTCAAGCAATGCCATGCGATACATCAAAGGATGCTAGCCCTACGCAAGTGTTAGACCTCACAAACCAGCACATCCTAATCAGCTAATTACCGTCATAAAACCTCTGCAGGTGATTGGGATAGATCATATTAGGCCCTTACTAAAGTCGGAGAGAGGCAACACACTGCTACTTGTGTGGATCGATTATCTGAGTAGGTTTATTTGGGCCTGCCCAGCAAAAATAGCATCATCGTCGGAAGCCGTCATGGTATTAGAGGGTTTGCATTCATACTTAGCAATCGCGAGCGTAGATAACGAAACGGACCAGTTGAGAACGCAAAATCTAGACTTGAACAACGAGGCTATCTCTCTGGAATGATGTACGCCCGGCAATCGGCAGCAGCACTTGGTCGAAAAAAGAAGCCGCGTCTCTCGTACGCCAGCCATGTTCTCCAAGCCGACGGGTAGCCAGTACCTCGGCACGGCTTTCTTCGTATGAAGAAGACTGGAGCTCCGTCTCATCCTTTCCCCGTCGGCTGACAAAGTGTCTCGACCACTCTGAACGCGAGGCGCCCGCTCTTTTGACCGGTGCTGTCTCAGTTGTTCCGTCTCGAGATCCGTAATTGAAGACATTGCGAGAGTCGCCACATCAAGCTATCCGAGGCTCAGCGCTTCCTTTTGCTTGCCCACCAGTTCATCTCATATATGTATCGCGGGAGCATCCGCCATCTTGAGAACTCTCTGAGCTTTTGTTTCTGGGAGCGAGAAAACAAAGCGAGTGTCTTGCTTGTCTCGGACTGTGGAAAGAAAGGGTCAGAGACAGTGGGCTGTGTCTTGCCCAACGTCGAGTATCATCCGGCCCTTTGTCTCCATCGTGCATGTGTGTCTGATACCCTATTTAGTCTGGATCGAGTGACTGGGCGTCGTCGGGCAAAAAGCATCCGTGCCTCCGTAGGGCTGATTCGTGGACTACACATCAACCAAGCTCTGCAACCAGCCAAACCCAACCTCCTCGAGTCATACTCGGGGCAAGAATCGCCGAGACAGACAGAAGCCGCCGTTGTTTGAAGCATTCGGCTAGTCTCGAGTGATTACCTATGAGCGGCCCCCAGACTTGAGTTACACCGCGGACGCGGCGCAGCGTCGTGTAACCCAGAATACATGCCCAACCTCACAATGACCCAAAGTTAGCAACAGTCTTTGTGCCCGTAATCTTAAGCATTCGGGTGTTTACAGACGGATATGGGAGGGAAACGGATGTTGAGGACATGCTGAGCCAGGCGTGTGACTCACCGAGTCAAGAGTCCTTTTTTGGTTCACCGACCCCAAAGGCGACATGGCGTTTTCTGTCCGTCTGTACTTTACCTTCCACAACATCACCCTACCTAGTCGACGCGGCGTTGCCTGGCTTGTACCACGCATAATATGCCCGCAACGGTAGATCTCTTCTTACTCATAACTCTGGGGTTGCAATTCCATTATGGCTAAAGCTGGCCAGTTCACTATGTCCCCGGACTCACGAACGACCAGGGTTGTATCGGCGGATGGCACACCGCCGGCCTAGCCTTCACTGGATGCCAATGGATCAATATCAACATCTCGTATGTCAAAGCCCCATCCAGACTCCACCATCGGCGCCCGCAGGTCCATACCTATTCCATGCCGCACTGGCCGCACCTTCCATCATAAGCAACTGTAGCTCAGCGAGTAGAGTACGTCGTTGGCATGACCTCTCAGCCTTCCGAAGAGATGGAAGTTTGATTTCTTCTATTAGCCACAACCCTTTTGGAAGAGCACCTGGGGTCATCCACACAGATATGGTTGGGGCACGGAAGGCGCTGTCACCTGTCCACTATTGCACAGACCATGCATGATAGGCATGATAGGAACGTCGTCAAAGACTCTCTGCCGCGACCGGAGTCTTCGCCACGCTAGTCGCTTGCGTGATGGAGGAGGGGTTCAAAGGCCGGTGTGCGATCGTGCTTTGACCAAGAGCATTAGGTGATACGTCCCGTTAGATGGGGCTCGAAAGTTGCGTCTTTTCGGCACCGAGTCGTCGGCATTTCCGCCCGAGACTGGAGGTTGAGCGCTCCACTATATAAGGTCCCCTCCTTCACCCATCTGAGAGAGGACACCACAGGGGCGGAGAAGATCATCCGTCAGTCTTCGTCCTTCCCTCCAAGAGACCGGGCAGCGGAAGCGACGTTGACAGTCGTCATTGCCCGAGTCGTCCCCGAGAGAACAGATCGAAAAGGTGTGGAATTGGCCGATCTTTTTGGTGACTGACGAGGCGTGGTACATTGACGTCGCCCAAGCGAGACGTGCCAAGAATGCAGGTTCAGGTGTTTCTCCGGCCCTCAGCCGAGGACTCGAAGCGGCTCACGTGATGTTATCTTGGCCACCTGGCAGAGCCCATTGGGTTATGTCAGAATGCCGAAGCACGGTACTTGTATCGCCCTGCAGCTCAGAGGTGCGCTTTCAGCCCTCTGGACGGCGCAAGTTTAGGTAGGCACGTTAGCGGGGCAGTGCTTACCCATGCTGCCATGGTTCCTTTCTGCCTCCCCCTCTCTTTACCACCTTGCCTTAAGTAGCTACCTACCTAGTTGCGTAAATACCTACGTTACTCGTGCGCGTTGAGCTCAGGGTACCTCGACTCAGCCCAGCGACGTCCAATCCCTTCATCGAGGAAGGCAGGAACTCAGTTAGGCAGCAGAGTACTCAACTTCGCCTCACGCAAAAGGTTCTTCGGGCTATCAGACGTCGCTCAAGCGCACATCGTGTCCATTAAATCCTAACTTCTGTCGCTACTTTGTCGTCATAGCTAGGGGCCCTCTCTTACCTGGAGCTGCCTTACGCTGCACTGTCCAGATTCGTCCAGTCACTTTCCCTCCATTCCGCCCCCAACCGCGTCCGCCCACCTCAGGATTGAACCCCTCCTCCGTCATTTCAACACCCCACGATCATGATCCCGTAGCCTTGCTGTCCTGAAGAGACAATCAACAGCGCGACTCTTCTATTTGGCGCGCAGATCCCGACGACGCCTGCCCGATTCTCACTGGGAGCACCTCTCCTTAGTCGGTCCCTCCTCTGTTGCGCCGCCAGCGAGGGCTTGTCCCGCTCGCTTTGTTCCCTGCAGTCGGATTACTTCCACAGGTTATGGGTTTGAGCGCGTATACCAGATATTGCCACCATGAGCTTCAATCTCCCCCTTCGGCCGAGCTCCAGTAGTAGTAGGAACCAGGCCAGCCGGAGCAGCTACTTCACCAACTATACGCCGAATTCATCCACTGAAGCCATCAATGGGCCCCCCCGGAATCCTGCCCGTGAACTATTCGGCACTACCGACCGACTGATTGTCGGCGTCGACTTTGGAACCACGTTTTCAGGGTGAGTAGCACCTGTCCTTTCGCCTCACTTCAACTCGGAGCACCTTATAGCGAGTCACTGCCTGAGCATGTGCCCACTTCACATTCGAGCCTGCCCCTTGTTTCTCGATGCTCTTTGCGCAACTTTCAAAAGCAATGACGAACGTCATCGACATTGACAGTGGTCGCTTGGGATGGTATGCTGACAGTCGCATCAGTGTCGCTGCCGTATACACCTCAACGCCAGATGATGTCGAGATTATCAAGACGTGGCCCGGTGGCTACGGCATCACTTCCGACAAGGTGCCCACCGAGATCAGCTATGATTTCCCCGCAAACGCCGCCGCCGGCACCGAGCCCACGGTGAAATGGGGTTTCCAGTTCAAGCCCGAAGAGTCGCGCCTTCGCTGCATCAAGCTGTTTCTAGATCGCTCACAGAAACTACCTTTTTACGTCAGCCCACTGGACACGGCGGCTCAACTGAAACGTTACAACAAGAACGTCTTGGACGCGGTGAGCGACTACCTCACCCAGGTCTATAAGCACACCATGGACACCCTTACTCGAAGATACGGCGAGTCTTTTATGCAGTCTACCAAGGTCGACTTCGTCTTGACCTGCCCGGCCGTGTGGTCCGACGCAGCAAAGAACACAACGCTCCAAGCAGCCGAACGGGCCGGCATGGGGTCCAAGTCGGAAATTCAGATGATCAGTGAGCCTGAAGCTGCAGCCGTGTATACGCTAAAGGCAATCCAGCCGAATCACCTCAACGCTGGTGATAATTTCGTTGTATGTGATGCTGGTGGTGGAACCGTCGAGTGAGTCTCCGACGGCCGGCTGTTGGCTCCGTGAAGATGGCTAAATTTTGCTGCAGTCTGATCGCATACAAGATCATATCGTTAAAGCCGCTCAAGGTAGAAGAATCTGCCGTTGGAACTGGCGGCCTTTGTGGCAGCGCATTCCTCAACTACAGATTTGAAGAGCATGTCAGGAACAAACTGGGCCACAGTCGTTTCGACGAGATGAAGGTTAAGAAGAACAAGACGTGGCAGATGGGTCTGAGATACTTTGAGGAGTTTGTAAAACGCAATTTCAATGAGGACGAGCACCAGGAAGTGAACGTGCCGTAGGTGTCCCCCCCTAAAATTTGAAAATCAAAACTCTCTAACCCACTGTAGGTTTCCAGGTCTGCCTGATGACGAGGAGGCTGGGTTGGACTGCGGCTTCATGGTCATGTCGGCCGCGGAAATCAAGGAGATATTTGAACCTGTCGTCAAAGAAGTGTGCGACCTTGTTCAGGGCCAGGTCACGGGCATCCGGTCTAAGGGTGGTATCGTCTCGGGTATCGTGCTGGTTGGAGGTTTCGGTCAGAGCGACTACCTCTACCGGAAACTCAAAGCCCATTTCACCAGTGCCGCACCGCCACCATACACTGAACGGCCAACTCACGGCAGCGTGACCGCGCTGCAGGAGACGAGCTCGATAGAGGTTATGCAGCCAGTATACGCCTGGACGGCGGTTGTCCGAGGAGCGGTCCTGCGAGGTTTAGAGGGTAACATGGTAATATCCCGCAAGGCGAGGTACCACTACGGCACTTCGTACGCGACGGTTTACGACGAAGAGAAACACTCGGTCAGCGAGCGATATTGGTCGCCACTATGGGAGCGGTGGATGGTGTCAGACCGTATGCAGTGGCACATTGCAAAGGTTAGACGGCGCCGGGCCCCTATTCCCAGTCACAATCCCGAGAACAAGTACTGACCAAATCTGTGGATAGGGAGAGGCAATATCGCCCTTATCACCTATCGCATTCCACTATACTCGAAACTTCAGACCCGGGCAGTCATTAATGGTGACGGATGACCTGATTGCTTGTGAAGCCGACGATCCACCCTCGGCGTACACTCGTGATCTTATCCACGTGTGCACGTTGACGACCGATCTCAATGCGGTGCCTAGGAGTCTGTTTACGAGGTTGACGACAACACGCGGTGTGGAATTCGACAATCTTGACTTCACGCTCGAGATGATTGTCGACAGTGCAGGTCTGGGTTTTGAGCTGAAAGTGGATGGTGTGCGGTATGGACGCGTCGATGCCGAGTTTCACTGAGCGACGACTGGGCGGACGTACCCTCAGGAGGCGAGCGAGCTGGTATTATGAACGGGGTGGAAAGATAGCGGAGGTCGTAAACTGCACGAAAGGAGTTTGGGGCATAACAAGACTGCAGGAGACACTCATCCGCATCTTGGCCTCGACACCCCTCTCATCACATATATGTTCATGAAAGATACAGGCTTGAGGACATACTACGTAACTCGCAAAACAAGAAGCACAATGTCCCCCAGAAATGTCGCGTTCACAAACGTGCATGGTGAGGCATGATTGATTGAGTCGGTGTTGGCGGCAATGCAGACTGGTCTTGGTTTAAGACAAGCTGTAAGCTTGTCTGCTGCTGGCGTATCCCGAGAAACATTGATCAGCGAGGCGCACATGCTCGCACCGTATGCTCGTATAAGATAGAGCTATTCACCGTCGTCAATACTTGTCAGGGTCTCGTGTAACTTTTTTTTTCTTGTACCGAGTAACACAAACGGTTGCGACCCAGGCAGATGTCGTCGAAGCCGGGAACACCGAAGTGCAAAACCGTCGTACGAGCTCAGGTGAGTAGTCTAGCACCTTGCGAGCCAACCGCGTCTATGCAAGGCGGACGGAAATATGTTGCGCGACTGGCGAAAAACGGCATGTTCGGGGAGTTTGCCACGCCACACACAGCCCTGTTTTCGAGAGGTCCATGGTTGGGCGACGAGTATTCCAATGGTTGTGGGTGCGTTCGCCATTGGTTCGGCGAGGCTTGCAATGCGAGGGCTGGCTGGTCGTCCTGGGCCACAGGACGGGACGGGACTTGAGGTATAAGGCGGGATGCAGGAGACACCACGCCCACGCCTGCAGTTTACCTTTTACTTGGGTATTTTCCATTCGCAAACCTCATGTCATGGCATTTGGACGGGCTGACCGCCGAAGAGAAAGTCGGGCACGGAGATTGGACAACATAAGGAGTATGTACACTTTGTAAGGCTTGGTGCCTAAATCTGTCTTATGGCCCTTGTGCTCTTGCCGGTGCTGACCTAGAGTGGGGAGAGGTTTCTTCCTTTGCCTATTCGAGCCAGGGATCATAAAAAGAAATCGAAAGAAGCAGCCTCTGCAGCTAAAAGTATGGCCGTAACTCTTGGGCAGTCTGACGGGTCGTAGCTGCCCCAGTGAGTTCGATCAAGTATACCATCCCAGACATCTTCTGACACAATCAGATAAAATCAGACAAACATCTCCGCCCAATCATCAGACCATGACAGCTAACCAAAGGAATTCTGCAGAAAGTTTCGCGCAAAAACTATCCGGAAACAATGAATCGTACCTCATCACCTCCTAGACACCAGACGCCCTCGGCACACTTGAAGGAGGACTAAATCACCCGAGATGTCAACATGTGTTCGCCTAATCCGACATCCTCCACTACCCGCCTCGATCAATCGGCCGATAAGCCTGAGCCCGAAGTGTGTCTTGCCTCTGTAGGTGGCCTCAAGCCTAACACGTGTCTACGGGCTATGGATTTCCATGACAGAGGTATCATCCGACCTTGGACTGCAAAACAATCTGCTGGTTCCTGCAGAGCGGTCTTCTCCTAGGTGAACTACCTTGTGCAGACCCTCCCCAAATACATGGATACCGGAAATCCTTTGTTGATATATGGGGAAACCAGACGAACGTTCGCCACCTTCACCGAAAGTCCCAAGGGCAAATCGGGAAATTTGCCGCCTTTCCCGGATATGATCGACACCGCTGCTTTTCGGCCCGCTCCGACATCAAAGCGTCCGTTACAGTCCGTTGCGTTGACAGCGTCTGTTGTATTGGCAGCGTCCAGTTCTAGCCAATCAGAGGCTAGGAATGGGGAGTTTTATAGGCCTCTGATTGGCTAGGTCACTGTCAGAGCAACAGTTTCGTTAACAGTGTCTGGACACTACTAACGCAACGTAAAGGTATTAAAGCATATATCTCTATCAACAAAGATCTAAGGAAGTAAAGACTAAGTATATATATACTTTAATATATAAAGGTCTTTATAATATTTATTTTAGAATTAATAAGCTAGAGCTAGTCTTAATATTTTAAAGGGAACATAGGTGCACAGACGTTTTTAGGTTTTGGACGCTGCTAACGCAACAGACTGTACCCACTTCTCCAGACCCATCGATTATGCGAGGGCAACGACTTCTGAAGACCAACGCGTTGACCTCCTAGGAGCAACGCTTTTTTTGTCGTCGTTCACTGCCCGATGTCATGACGATTGCGGCCTCACGCCTAGCAGGTCTCCAGCCATATGGATGAACACCCTCCAAAGGTCGGGGACCCTCATTTGCATCTTTAGCCCACTCGAAGGCCTGGCGTGAAACCTTCCCGGTTTTGTATACGTGGTCGAGATAGTGGAAGTCGGGTCGCCTCTGCTCAAAACGATCACCATCCAGGATATGGTCCGCAATATGCTTCATACGATTGGTGAAGTTATGTCTGGCTTCGGTACAGTGCTGGGTGCTGAAAACGAAGTCGTCACAAAACCAGCAGATGCATTTCGTAGGAAAGTTGCCTTGCAAGTGCTCGTAGTCGGTATGTCTGATCCAGGCATCGACTTCGTCAAGCTGGAACTGCTCCCTACACCCAGTCCAAGGCTGAAATTCGCAATGGAGCATTTGTCTGTTTGGTATACGAGCAGCCTGTTGTTGCAGAATGCCACGGGAGAAAGTGGTGAGTGCTGTGTAAGCCGACGGAGATGGGGTCTCAGAGTATGCTCGAGGCATGCCGAACTCGTCATATGAGGTGCTGTTGTCCGGTACGTGGGCGTAATAGCTTTGAATGCCACTGTCAGAACTATACTCAGAGCTTTGCGAAGCTGAGGAGGAAGTCGTGTGAGAACGCACGCTGCCTGCGTACCGAGGAGTTGAGGCCTCGTAGTTTTGTTGACCATACCCGGCTGACGGGTACAAATAGCACGGATTATCGGACCCAGAGCCGTTGGATGGCATGTCGTGCAAATTTTGGTGTACCTTCGAGTCGTTATGGGATGATCGATATTCTTGGCACAGCCGAGAAAGCTCAAATGGCGAAGAGAACGAAGACAAGTAAACGGACCGAGCCTGCTTACTATTGCCAGACGAATGCAGATCAAAGGACGATTCCCAGCTCCGGATTTCGATGGAGAGTAGCAATGTGCAGCAACAAGAAGACGACAAGAGATGGCCGAGTTGGAGGAGCGAATACTCTTGGGTTGCTCATGAGAGGGGCAGCACTTGGGGGTTGGTGTTTGCGGACAGGTCCTGCAGGCCAGTGCCTGCACTTCGACAGAAGAGGAAGAAGAATGCTGCCGCTCTACGACGACAAGGCTGCAAGTGCACAGGAGAAGGGACCCGCGACACGACAATGGTTTGAAACGTTTGGGGACATGAAAGGAAGAGGAAAGAAGGGTGATTTTGTTCACCTGTGGCCTCGAGGGTCGAGCACACGCGTCCGTCTTTAAGGATCTACATCACCCCAACACGGACCCGGCTGTCCCGTGATGGCTGGCACACTTTTGACTGATTCCCTATGCAACCAGGCCGGCGGCGCGCGTTCGGGGCGAAGAATCGCGGCTAGCCACACCTTCCCTGAGCCCAGAAACCAACTCTTTCAGCCAGTGTGACTCCAACGATCGACCTTGGAGCAAAGAACAGGCGTGTTAGCCGATGCCTGGAACGATTCTGGACCTCGACTATTTCATCGAAAGACTCTCGTCCTCGCCAGGAGTTTCTCGCCGACGTTGTGATCTTCTGCATGAAATCAACGAACTCGTGGCCAAAAGCATGAGCTGGAGTTTGCGTCGGGTCAGCTGCAGCTATGGCAGGTTGAACTCCGTAGGGCTACTGCAGTCCTGATAAGGCAGCTCTTGAGCTGGCAATGAAGTATTGTACGCCCGAGTAGCATTCAACTTGCTCTAACAAACGGTGGGGAGCTCCTTTCTTTCCATCGATAGTTCTGCATCGATCTGTAAATGGTGACGACTACCACCCACTATGCGCTGGACACGTGTATAGCAGCGGCACTATGATTGAGAACATAGCAGGGGTCTGCAGGCAAGAGGGGGGAAGAGTAAGCAAGAGTTCGGCGGCTTGCTGCAGTGCTACTGTGGAATTGCCGGAGGAAGCTCTAACGGCAAGCTCTGTACTCAAGTTGGAATGTGAACTGACACGCAAAAAGGGACTAGGTCAACTTTCGCAGCGATTGACATGGAAGAACACGGCTCGAGATGCGACGTCACTTCGTAAAACAGATTGGGAACCCCGTTGCTAACCACCAGAGCTATGCGCCACCGTTCTCTCGTAGATCATACTGCGGCGGCTCTCCAGTACAACATAGCAAAGAGGGCAGAAATGTGTAGTGCAGCAGGTGTGCATCAGGTGTCAACACAGGATCGGGGGGATCCCGCTGACCCGGAGCAACTGGAGTCCGAGCAGGAGTGGCCAAGCAGAGCCTCAGATTCCCCTCCTCTTCTCCTTCGACAGAGAGTGACCGCATTAAGTCGAAGTGTGGTGGTTTGACGGTGGTGTAGAAGGGGGGAAAGGAGGGAGGGAGATCAACCCCGCTCTCTCTCTTCCTCGCCCACCCCCCAGCGGATGAGCTGCATGTCTCAAGGGCCAAGAATCGCAGAGAACGGGCCTTTCAATTGGCCAGCATGCGGTATGGCTGGCTACTATGCCGCTACTTCCATGGGTGACTGCTGGTTCAAAACGGGAGTCTTGATGATAGTACCAGATAAGGGCACTCATGCTGCCCTTGTATAGCCCGTTTTCTCGCGCGGGAAGAATGGAGGTGGCGGCGTCTACACGCACATCATGTGGACGGGCCGGCGGCGAGGGTCGATAAAGGGTGAGGAATTAATGATAAGCGACAAGGCTGAGGTCTATGTGATGTTCACATGTAGCGGCGTCCCGCCACGAGTTCTGTGTCATATGAAATGATCTAGCCCTACGGTGTCAAGCAAGAAAGAGGGGACTGGAGGTCATATCATCATTTCTATTCAGGACTACATAACACTCTAGCCTTGGCAATGACATTCTGATACTGCATGTGCCCGCCGCTCTCGTCGCCGCGCTTGATGATGCCGGGGAAGGTGACGCAGGCGATGTCGCGGTGTGCCAGCTCGTCCTCGTCCTCGCCACCAATGTCCTCCATGGTGGCCGGGTCGAAACGCGTGCGCTGGTGGGGCACGATGTCCGGGACGAAGACGCGGAAGACGGCCTTTTGCACGGAGAGCTGGCGGGCGAGGTCGACCGCGGAGGCGACCAGGGCGCGGAGGGCGGCGTCGCGGGCGTCGGTGGCCGGGGGTGCGTCCGCCGCCACGACGGCGTCGAGGATGTGGTTCACGCGGGCGACGACGTGGTCCGTCGCCGCCGACGTCTCGGCCTGCATCTTGGTCTCGGCCTCGCGGTGGAGGAGGGCAAGGGTTGCAGAGCGCCAGTTGTTGATCGCCTCGGGCGAATCAACTGCGTTCACCATGGTCAGTCAGCACGATTCCGTCCTCCGGCTTCCACGACCTTGACAGGAAGAGAAGAAAAAAAAGGAACGAGAAAGCCGGTCACGCACCGAAACTTGAGAGGGTCTGCTCCACGGCCTTGAGCTGCTCTGCCTGCTCCTTTGACAGCCCGAAGAAGTACGAGTCAAAGATGACATCGACGAGCACGCGCGACACGATGGACTGCAGCATGTGGACCTTGGCCGGGGGTTCGAGATCGGCGTACATGGGCACCAACCGGCCGAGTTCCTCGCGGACGTCCTCGCTAGCGGCACTGATATCTGCAAGTTTTATTTAACAGTCAGTCATCAAAATCCCCCTTTACTGTTCATCACCGGCCTTCGTTACATGGGGATGGCCATACCCAACTTGGCCTTGCGGAAGTTGACAATGACCCAGTTCTGCAGCCCGTTGCTCAACCGCGCCATACCGTCGCAGAAGACCTCGTCCGAGGTCTGCCCGCTGGTGCGCGTGCTTGTGCTGACAAACTCCTTGAGCCCGCGGACCTGGGCGCGCAGATCGGCAGCCTCACGACGGAGGATATCGCGGTCGGCGTCGCGGGCCTCGGCCTCCTGACGGAGCAGACGCAGCTCGGCGTCGGCGCGAAGGAACTGCTGGTTCAGATCACTGTGCTTGGCTTGCCAAAAGACGGCCGTCTCGCTCTCGTTCTGCGAGAGCTTGTCAAGCTCGCGCGTGAACTCACGCTCCATGATCTCGAGCTCCCGTTCCAGATGCGCTATCCGCGCGTCCTTGTCCGCGCTGCTGCTACTGCTACCGCCGGATGTGTTGGCTACGCCGGCAGAGGTGCCACCGGAGGTCTCCTTCTGTTTCAAATCCTTGTCTTTGGCGTCCCTGCTGCTGCTGCTGCTGCTGCTTGGCGGCGGGGCGGCGGCCGCGGAAGCATCTTCAGGGTTGGAGCTCGCGGAGGCGTGGTGGGCACGTGGAGGCGGGGCGATCATGTTCGCGGCGCTGCTGCTGGACCTGCGAGTGTTTGAGACGACGTGGGTGCTGGAGCCGCCCTGTGACGGCGGTTTGTTCGAGGAAGAACCGGCGCTTCCGGCAGCCGTATTGCTGCCGCCGCTGGTATTGCTGTCCTTGCTGCTTCCACCACCACCGCCGCCGCCGCCGCCGCCGCCGCCGCCATTGCTGCTGGTGTTGCTGCCGCCGCCGGGAAGGAAGGAGCGGCGCTTCTCCGCCGATGTCGTGGACATGCGACCGAGCTTCTTATCTTTCGTCATGGGGACGGCGCAGGGGGGGAAGAATGCAGATGTCCTGGTACTGCATGTTGGGGAGGTAAAAGACGAAGTTAGGCGTGAAGGAGGGGGAGAATCTGACGGGCCTGTTTTTTTGCCTTTCTCCCTCTCCTTTTCTCGCTTATGTGGAACTTATCTATGTTTTTTGGACTGGAGAGAGCGTCAACGCCAAAAAGCTGGAGGAAGGCGAAAAAGTCGGGCGAGTCGTCGGTTGCCTGGCCTTGGCCCTTGGGGGGAGGCAAAATGGCGACTATGGTTGGTCGGTGCCTGGTTAGACGGAAGTGATGCCAGCTGGGTTGAGGAGTCGTCGCAAGTATTAATATCGTAGTACCTCTAACCCCCTCCTCCGCCCCCCCCTCCAGTGATGTAAGGTTGTCATTGGGGTCCGTAGCTCCCCGCCGGAGCGGTATTTTTAGCGGCCCGCACGCTCGGGGGCTGAACGGTGGAGGGCCTGTGCGGTGGGTTTATCGGTTTGCTGCGACTCAACCTCCCCACGGAGCCCTGTGAAGGGGTACGCGTTTTCCAGAGCAATACGGATACTTGCGCTTGAGATTGGCAGAGCCGAATTTTTGGTCGAATCACGAGTACTGCCCTCTACTCTGTGCATTGAATTCAATCGTGCAGCCAAACCCGTTTCGTCTCAAATGCTGTTTCTGTCTAACAGACAGGCTCCAGTGGGTTCAGAACCCATCCTGCCAAAGGTTCCTGAAGCGCGTAAATAACACCAGAGAGCGTTATATCCCGCATGGTACAGACAGCTTCTTTTAGACCTTGCAATGCTTTTGTCTCGCTTGGAAAAAGCTCTGAAATGTGCCTGTCTCTTCAAGTGTAACCCAAAGTCACCTCCTTCCAGAACCAAACCCATATGAGGTATTACATAAAGGTTGGGTGGGCGCTGCATTCAGAAGTCGGCCTCAGCCTCGATTTCGTATTCCTGATCGTCTACACCCTCAATCTTCTTGGCCCCCATACGGCAGATGGCAATTTTCTCCACGGGCACGTCTTCCATCCAAACATAATCGTCGTATCGGTCGAGGATGTCCGTCGCATCGATCGTCAGCTTTGAGCCCTTCTTACCGCGGGCGCCCTTGACGTAGATAGTGTTGACAATCGTAGCGTGCAGCAACAGTCCACGGTTGTCTTTGTCCATGACACCGGCCTCCTCGAAGACGGCCCTAATCTTTTCGCAGAACGCCTGGAAGATGCCTTCGGAGTACGTCGGCGGCGCGTAGAGAACCGATGCTTTGCTAGGGTCAGCCTTGGGGCCGGACTTCATGCAGTGTAAGCCGCGGAGCGTGATGTTTAACGAGGAAAGTGACTGGGTGGCTCCATCGGCATTCGATGCCTGGGACGGGGCAGCCAAAGAAGTGATGGAGGACAAAGGCTTAATGCCGGCGAGAATCTCGCGAGGTTTCAGGCTCCGGAGAACTTCGATAGCTTTGTCGACGCCTTCATTGTTCGGGAAGCTCATAACGCCAAGAGTCAGGTGCAAGGTGCTGAGGGGGCGCACTGCGTCTGTTGGAATGGCGAAGCTGTCTTGACTGGTAACGTCCGCCTTGAAGGCGGCCAGGCTCTTGGACAGCTGAGGCCGCGAGGCTGGAGTGACAAGTGGGATGCACAAAAAGTGCGTTGGCGATGTCCTGGGACTCGGGCGCGGAGGCATGGTGGGGGGGGGGGGGGGGGGGGTTTGAAAGGAGGAGAGAAGCTGCTGGTCTTGTTGATCTATTGCGGTTCGAGGCCGATCTACTAGGCCCGCTAGAACCCAGCAGTTGTCCAATTCAGAGTGCGTTGTACGACGAAGAACAACCCGGTCTCCAGTGGTAAATTTGCGATGATTGAGAATGCCTGTCAGCCACGTTAGGCCTTGGTCTTTTGAGAGATCACACGAACAGAAACAATGCGGAATCAAGCAACGCGCTCCCACCGGACCGGCCCGCGGACCAGTACCTCAATGGTGCCTGTCATGCCCCTGTTTGTCGTCCAAAGCGGCAGAGCAAATCGCGATCTGTCGTGGACGCAGGCAATCTCTAGACTTTTGCGAGGTGGGTGCTGGACAAAAACCCGGAGGCGAGGCGTAGACTCTCAGTCCACGAGTAACCGCACAGCCACCGGGCCCACGGCCTTGGGAACGCCCCGATAGCCAGTCAGTATCTAGGGAGACGTGCAGACTTACGAGACTGGAGTTATGGCGTCAATTTGCCGCTCTCTGGCCTGGGCTTCGTCACACCTGGCGATGATGTCAGTCGGTCAAGGCTGAATGGAGACCGCTCGGGTAGAATTCTGACGGGTTCCCCGCTGCCCGCACTGTGACACCGGACGAATACCTACAGTTATCAGCTTGCATGCCCACCTATACCCGGAGGATCAAGCTATCCTCCGACACAAAGGGGGAAAAAAAGAGCAGCACACTACAAAACCTAACGGAACCCATATGATAAGCAGGCCCAGTTACTACCCTCACTTGGCTGAGGTACACAAACAGCCATTTCGGTGCTGTCTGTAAAGGTTGTTCACAAGGCAAAAGTTGCTCTTAAAATACTATTGCCCGTCTATCCAGCATAATATAGTAGCGACCGTGTAAGCATGCTGTTAATTCAGGACCATAGCAGGCGTAGATGAGGATGTCCCCAACAAAAGCGCTCAGAACCTTCCTGTCGTCCCAGTTGGCTGCCCTTGGCCGTTCAACTAATCGTTCATTTGCCCTCCAACAAGCATTGAGGGTCTTCCATGCGGAACCAATCCAGGTCACCATGCCAAGTTTTCTTCGTAATTTAAATTCGTAAGCGCAGGGAAGGGGGTATGAAGAGAGTTAGGTTCGTAAGCAAAGTGTCCAAGATCCACGGTGGCACGGTAATAGAAGAGCCGCATAGCCCTCTTGAAAAGCGAGCTCCCCTTTCATGTCCACGTCCTTGCGTCGCCACAGCCATTGTTTCTGATGCTGGGCGACGACAGGCTGATGCTGGGACACGGAGCGGCGGCGTTGCCAGGAAGACTCTGTGATGGCTTTAGTCTTCTTCGTCTTCATGTTCTTCTTCTTCTTCTTCCGTGCCAAAGAACTTCTTCAGAAGCTTCTCGGCGTCCGCGTACTCCGTCTTCAGGGCCTTGAGAGTCTCGGTAATGCGTTTCAGACACAGTTCCTCGTCTGTCTCCGGGGAGCCATCCTCGTTCTCCTTCTTGCCGTAGCGCTGGATCTTTTCGCAGCTGTCTCTAACCTTGACAAGGCCAAGCGTGGCAGAGGACCCCTTTAAAAAATGGCCCAACTGCGACAACTTCTCGAGATCCTTTTCCTCTCTGTAGAGGTGAGAAGTAACGACTGTCAGCTTTTTGAATGTCCGTGTCGAGACATTTGCTAGTACCTCGCAAGGCCGTATTCATTTTGTTGGTGCCGAAGATGAGGTCAGGGGAAGAATAGAGGGGAGGGGGAAGGGGGAGGGGAGAGGAAGACAGAGTGGGGGTGCTGATGCGACTCACAAGGCCGAGTCCATCGACTCAAAGGTTTCCTCTGCTTGCTCGAAAAAGCCAAACACGATTGACTGGCTGAAGTCGCGATCGTTCTCGTCCTCGTCCATTTCTAGAATTTGACCGAAGGTGACCGAGTCAATCGCGTCGCCAAAGTCGGGGGTGCTGAGGGGACCGTCATCGCTCTACGCCAGACATCACACGTTAGCTCAGCCCAGCCCTTGTAGGGTAAAAAAAAAAAACATCACCGACACAGGCATAAGGATGAAAGAGTTCAATCACATACCTTATCCTCTGAGGCAGGCATTTTGGTGGTTCAAAGTCTGGTCTGTTAGACTTGTGTGGTTATGAGGTGTAATTGGGTGTGCAAGCAGAGCGAGTGAAGAGCTGGTTGAAGCGGGTTCGGTTAAGGGCGATCCGATGTGAGCGCACAGTGTGATTGGCGACAGCAGGGAGACACGGCGCGCGCGGGGAGGGAGAGAGAGAGAAAGAGGAGAGGCTACCAAAGCGAAGATTCTGGTTAGAGACACAGGCCGACGGCAAGTAAGTGTTCAGTCAGGCAGTGGTGGATCCACGATGTGTGTGTGCGTGCGTGTTCGCGTGTGCGTGTGCGGGTGGGCAGGTGGATTTTGGAAAGAGAAGCTTCGGATTCTTTGCGCCTGGCTCTTGAGGATAGGCTGGGAGAGATATGAGGTAAGGGTGAGGAGAGGCAACGATGCCGGTGCTGGTATTACCGCCGTATGCTTCCGCCAGCGCTGCTGCAGGTGATGATGGCCGAGATATACCGCAATCACAGGGAGTATGCAGCTCGGTGTGGATATTCGGGAAGGAGGACGAGGGAAGGGGTCAAGGTCGTATGATGGCGCACATACAACACAAATTACTTACAAAGACGAATGAGACTGGGAAGGTAGTGAAGCGTCTGTCGTGCTAGAGTGAGAGGGTCAGCTGTCGGGTCGGATTCTGGTGGGGGCACATATAAGACGACGAAAGAGAGAGCTGCTGATTTGTGGTAGAGTCAAAGGGTAGCAGTGAAGCAGGTAGGGCTTCCGAGGTGTCTAATAATTTTTCGGCGGGGGATGCAGTTAGTGATGTGGGTAAGTGGACTCCTTTTTAGAGGGGATGACTGCGTGTGGTGGGGTCGTGCAGCTGCGCTGGTGACGGCGGAGTACCTGGCTTCAAGTACCTTTGGTATATCTGTACCAGATAATCTGTAGGCTTCTTTGGGGGCTGGACAGGGAGGGAGAGGAGAAGAAAGAGAGAGTGTTTGGCTCTGAAAAGGCGTGGCAGGGCTGGGATGTAACGCGTTGCGGCGCCTTGCCTACTGACTGTTGGACCAAGAACCTGACGTAATGGAATGGGTTGGTTTGAAGCTTTGCGCGTGACGAAGACCTGGACGGGCACAAGTATGAAAGCTCCAAAGTACGGTGAGGGTTGCGACTTGAGTCGATGTGATGGCGGTGATGGGTGTCGACGACGATAAATAAAATACTGAAGTCGGCGGCAAACCCGTAGCAGGGTAGCGGAGGGAGGCAGATGGTGAAGAGGGGTAGTTTTGTGTGCCTTTCGCACAGAAAACCTGATGAGGTGAAGAACAGGTCGAGGTTGAGGTGTACCTATGCTCGGAGCAAGTCCCGTCGGTCGAGTGCTGGGAGGCAGTAGAGAAAAGAAGGGTCAGACGAGGCAAGGCAAAGTACAGTGAGGTAGGTACCTGAGCTAGCCTAAGGCAGGGTGAGGTAAGGCAAGGCAGGGCAAGGCAGGGAAGGGCGGCATGACCAGAGAGGAGGAAGGAGAGGGGGGTCTGTGTGTGGTGTGTGGTGTATCCGTAGTGTAGTTGATCTCTCGAAAGGGAAAGGGCGAATCTTGAACTGATCTCGAGTGCGATTTTTGGTTGGGGCCTTTGCCGGGAAGGGCGTGGAATAACCAGTCCACAGGGCAAGCAAAGACAGGGCGTACCTAAACCTACCTAAGTGAATGGGACCTGGGGCCTGGCCGAGCAAGATCAATTCTTGGAAAGGTATCCGTAAAGCGCGCGCAGCTAACAACGACTTCCACTTGTTGTGAGAAGCTGCGTTGTTGTCCGTTGAGACCTAAAGATGGGCGGGAGGGTCGATGGAGGGGCGACGATGGAGGGGAGGGAGGGGAGAAGGAGACAGGGGTATAGAAAAAGCAGGGTCAAGTGAGGATATCCGGCTGCTCCTTTTTTCTTGTTCTTCTTGCTCTTCTCCTTCTCCTTCTTCTTCTTCTTCTTCTTCTTCTTTTTCTTCTTTTTCTTCGTCTTCTTCTCTCTCTTGCCGCAGGGCTATCGTCTGGGATGCCACTTTCTTATATGCCTTGAGTGCGGCAGCAGTGCGAGAGATACTCCGTAGACAGAGATAGAAGAGAAGAGATGGGGGGAGAAAGGGAGAAAAACCAAGGAAAGAAGAAAAGAAAAAAAAAGTAAAAAAAAAAAAAAAACCAAGGAGCCCTTGACCGAAGGACGTGCCAGAGAGATGGGGGAGGGAGATATACTGCCTACGTGTACATATACCTCTCCAGATGAGTGAGTGGTGTGCGGCGACGACCCAAAGCGCTGGGAGGTGATGCCAATCAAGACTGCAAAGCTACCTAGAAGAAAATTGGAGGTTCAGGCAACAAGAACCGGGAGAAGGGCGGCTGGACTATCCACTAGACGAAGTCTGGATGGGCCTGCTTGACCTCATTCTTAGTAACCTCATAGAGACGTCGCCAAAGTTGCATCATTACTCCGTAGCCCTTGCCGATTTCAGGGTCCGTCCAGGTAGTGTGCCCCAGTCACAGGCCGCAACATGACCTCTATTCTTGCTGCCCGCCGTGCTAGCCCGGCAAAGGCACGCAGCTCGTGGCCCTTCCTTACGATACCTACTTGCTTCAACTTCCCCTTCCCGGTGATAGCTGCGCCGTGGATAAGGCGAGGTAGCACGCAAGGTTGGTAAGGGTGGGACGGAGGTGCATCTGCGAGGCGGCTTGTAGTTGCTAGGAAGAACCGTCAAGCCAACGAGAACCCAGCAGGCATCCCCTTACGTACGGGGCGCGCCGTGGCATTCATCTCCATTGCGCTGCTTCCTTCCCACTTAAGCATTCCTGATTCATTCACCGACCCTACCTACCCTGACCTCCCACGACTCGAGTTAGGTAACGTAGCTCCGACGAGCTAGAGCCAACACCGCCGTCAGTATAAGCTTACCTTGAGGGCGTTTCCTCCCTTTTCTTCTTCTCTTTCGGAAAACTACGCAATCGATAGAACACAAAAACCACAAAGTCCAGGGTGTTAGTACCTTTCCGCCAACTCGTAAAAAGTTGGGAGCTATTTCCTGGACTGATTCGTCCCACGTCCGACTACGTTCCAGCCACCACTCATTGCGTCCGGCCGCATCTTTATCTGCTACGTTGGTCAATACTGTCATCCCTTTGGCACGGCATGTCATCAACTCCTCTATCGGTGTCGGGGCACACTCCAACCAACCTTGCCGCTGCTTTCTTTTTCTCTACCAATACCTAAACCCTCGCCTGTCTGCTGCACTCGTTCGGTTCGACAATCTCTTGCCCACCCCCCCCTCCCCCCTTTACCTTCCCTCGTGTGTTGTCTTGTCTTTTGGGGTCTAGACCCCCAAGCTGTTTCCACACTGGCCAAGTTTCTCAAAAGGATCACCGTATCCACGTCATGAGAATAGTCTGTCCGGCCCCCAAAGGCGCCAGGCAAACACCTATTTCGCTTCAAGGTCCCCGACTTGCCGCCCGTGAGCTGACGACCTAGCACCTGCTGTCACTAGGTGGCACCCATTCCTCCTCTCGGAAAGCGTCTAGACCATGGAGGCTGGTCATGGGGTTGTGGATCTACCTTACCACTGTACAGATACAGTATTTCGCAGGCAACCGGGATACATCAACCTTGCCAGGATGCTGCCCTGCATCGCAAGCTCGACACCACCTGTCACCCTTTAGGCGGAGAGGTAATGATCGGCATGTTCCGTTGTTTTCCTCAGACTTCTTCTCATTACCCCGGCTAACTTGACATCCGTGTCAGTGAATATTGCCTCGCCGTCATTGGACTTCAGCGAGTCTGTCCCGAGGATACACCATTACCCGAGACAGGGAGCGCGGAAATCTCACTTTAACCCGTCAGAACGACACCAGTCCTTTCCGACACCATTGCTTTCGGCCCCAAAGACTTCATGATCGATGGTTTAGCTGTTTCGTCGGCGAACTCTTGGCGTATAACTAGCCATAGCTCGACTCAATCTCGCCAAGACTATCCAGCCTCTCCATCGGGCTATGGCGGGAATAGCATCCCACATCTTTCCTGGTGGAAGAGGAATCGGGCGTGACGATTCATGGGTATTTTATCGATCGTGCGAGGCCGTCCTCATTTTCCTCCGCTTTTGGCGGTGTGGCAAATCGACCTAATTGTTGACCTTTTCCGGCACAGATAATCGCTACTCCACGCCGATTAGGAGGCCACAAAAGACAAGGGGGCAGGCTAGCACACAGTGGGCGGCGGCATCTTGATAGAATTATCATATGGAGGAGAGTTGAAAGAAAAAAATGAAAAAGAGAGAGAGTGTGTGTGCCAGGACAGGTAGGGAGAAGGCCGGAATGCAGGGTCCATACCCGTTGAACGACTTCGACGGCCTGTTCCCGATTCAAGCCTCTTGGTTTTGCTGACAAGCCATTCAAAGTCACTCATGCTGGCCAAGTGGCAGGGGTCGCGGCCTGGCGATAAAGGCTAGACTCTCTCAGCCGGCGATTGAAACCCACTCCCGAGTACTTTTCCTGCGAAGAAGAAGGATTTCCTGGCCTATATCGCCAGTTTTGCATGTCTTGCCGACTATCCTCCGTTTTATGGGGTTCCGGTGAAATGGTTAAATGGCGAGGTGGAGCAGCTGCATATGCACTCGCGTCTAGGGGGGTTGGAGCTGGGCTTCTTACCCACACGTCATACCACACTTGGACGTCATCGCGGGTTGTACGGATAGTATACTGCAAGTTCTACAGGGACCAGGGTACTTGTGTGGTAGGCGTTGCCGTTTTAGTTCACGAACGTCCGATCGCGGTCCACGGCTATCGATCTCAATGCCGCACCGCGGTAGCCGACAAACCAACGCTCGTGATATTGTGCAGAGGCGACAACGTCCTCTTGAGGCTGGGTTCAATCACTCAAGCCCTGTAACATGCTGGAACCATGTGGCATTGAGGCTCTGTCAACAGAAGTCCATAGAGTTGTGGCTGGTAGAGAACTTGGGAAAATCCAGCAGCACGGACCGTATGTACCATCAGGGATGTCTCCGTGTTTTCCAGAGGCCCCGCTTTCCTTGACGGTTCGCTGCAATCGACCGGAAATCGTCATGCCGCCGCTGCCTGAAGGGTTTTGACTCCCACCCGTCTTACACATGGCGCAGAGTCCAAGCTTTTTATTATTATTACTACTCTTTGTTGTTGTCACTCGCGCAGCAACCTGCACCTTCATCCCGCATTCTAGACCCTTTCTACCTTTGATAGGAGAAGGAGATCATCCATTTAGTCCACAGAAGTCGTCAAATGCTTGGGCCGGCTGAGCTTTGATGTCACGCATGCGCCAATCCATGGAAGGTGACCAGCCTTCCTGCGGAGTCTAATTACACAGATACCTAGCACCTCTCGATTCCTACCCCCCTCCAAACTTCAATCGTCACACAAGTGGAGGGGAAATCACTATCACACAACCAGCAAGCGATATACGGTGACATCTGAGGTTAGTTCACTTAAAGCCACGTGGGTAGCGTGGGACAGTGTCCATATTCCTTTCTCAGCTTTCTAACCAGGTGACGAGGACTAGTAGGTCCAGAGATCTTCGTTTACCACGATGGTTACACTCACCTGAGGCGCTTCGACGAGTGTATCAGTGCTTGTGGACACGAGGATCATTGTCATAATAGCCACAATGGCAGCTCTCGAGGTCCGAGTCTCGGTCAGGTCTGCTGGAAGACACGCATGACATGAATGGCCTCGACCCTGAGAAAACCACTGGCTTCACCTTTCAAGAGTCTCTCCGCTATGCAGTCGGAATTGAGCTCCACCTTCTCCGACGGCATCCGCTGCGTGACCTGAATTTCCTCCTCGCACATCATCCAGAGATCACGGAGTGCTGGTCGTTGAGCTGCAGTAGGGGGAGGGGGGTTGTCAACAACAGCCGGAGTGCCGTGGAAGTACTCATTCGGCGAGAGCTGGTTGCGAAACGTCGCACCGCGGGTGTCGACACCTCGCTCACCGTCTCGTGCTTTCGAGCCAATGTGCGGGGGACAACACAAGGTTCCCGCCAGCTGCTGCTGCATGCAAGCGCGAGGGGATGTTCCCAAAACCTGTTTTTGACCCTACCGTGCGGCCATTAGTCTCGTCGCGCCGGCTTGGCCGACAGCCATCGCTCTCGGAAGTGGGCTGGCAGTCTAGAGACGATGGTTCAGACGAAACTGTGACCACTTTCGTTGACCTAAACCAGCCGGATCGGGCGCAGTTTTGCCGGTTTGTGCTGTTTCCCCTGGTTTTTAGATGGCCCTGACAAAAAAAAAGCCAATGTTCTGATTAACGCTGGATGCGTAATGGCTGCGGTCTACCATGTGGAGAACGCGACATGACCGGAACCGGGAGGCTCAGTCCCGCATCTCGGTGTGCAGGTATTTAGATGGTCACGTGGTTCTCGCTATTTTGGGCGGAGAGCGTGGAAACCAAAGGATACTGTTTGCTATCTAGTTCAAACCAACGCAATTGTGGAAGCTATTGCAACTATTAAAAGAGACAATGGTTCCCATGACTTGGTGAGCCCCGCGGTGTCAACACTTGACCCTAGATCGGATGAATATGGCGGTGGATATCATTAGATGGATGAGATGCCTACAGTTCAACACTTGGACCCATTGGCGAGCGAGGACTGGTAGACCATGAACCAACGGATCAAGCCCAGCGTGCAGACGCGAAGCTGGCTCCGGTCGAGCCTTGTCGAAGGATCCGGCAGAAACGTGACGTGAGGCCATTGAGCAAACAAGAGAATATACCCTGCCCTTTTTTTTTTTCTTTTTTTCTTTCCGGGCCGCCGGGGTGCCCAATTAGTCTAACGACAAAGCTTCGGTCCTGCCCAGGGCTGCCGTGATGACCCACATCACCGTGTTCCCAAGGGTCAAATGGCCGGCCTCCCCTCCACTCCTTGGCGGGGTTCAATCTCTCCATGAGCCAAATTCTTTGCTTTTCCCTCATTCCTTCAACTACCTCCCCTTGTCCGATTTCACAGCAAAACCTTGGTAGCTACGCTGAGCAACCATGCGGCATCCTGCCAGCCACCCTCGTTGGCTTTCGGGGGCGGGACCCGGCCGTCAGAAGCGTTGACAACGCTCTCGAAATGACGGGCTGACCACGACCGGTGTAGCTCCCGCGCTCCCTCCTCATCACCCTCGACTTCGAAGTCCCCGTCGGCGTCTTCGTCATCCGAATCTTCCTCATTCTCTTCAACTGCGAACAACGGCCATCCCAAGAGGTTACCGACCCAGGAGGCGCCACCAGCTCTTTCTCCCTTGACAAGCCTTCTGACGGCAGCCTCGTCATCTTGCGTTGTGTCAGGTTCGTAAGACTCGAGCTGCTCGTCGAGATTGACGAAGTCGGGGCCGGGGATATAATCCTCGCCTTCGTGACGAGGGAAGTATCCCTCGTCCAAGGAATGGCGTTCCATGGGTGTCAACATCTGGTTCCGGTTGCCGACTTTGCTGGCCGACCGACTCCCAGGACGGCTAGGCCTGGCGGAGTGGGTATAGGCGCCGTCCAGGTCGACGAGGCTGCCGCGCCGGCTGCTCCGACGGCTAGCAAGCTCTCGCTCCCGGGCCAATTCCCTCTCGAAGGCCTCCTCATCGGCGTCCCGCATACCCGTCAAGCTGGTAGAGCTCTGTCTCGACACCAGCCACGCCTGACCTTTGAATTCGCGGTTCTCGTTGCTGATGAGCGCGCCTGTTCTCAGCAGCCAGTCATTGTCGTTCCGGTCCCGGACAGAGAAGTCGTCCTTGTCCTTGCGGCGACGCACCGCTGGCGAGGTGGTGCCGGAGACGGATTTGCGGTTGTGGGACTTCCGATCGCTGGCGGCGGGCGCCAGGTGGGTGGCCGACTTGCTCTTGGGCAGGTCGGCATGCGGCACCGAGGAGCGGCGGGCGTGAGAATTGGACCGGGCGGGCGAACGGGACAGCAGGCCCGGCGTAGTGGGAGCGGACTTCCCCTCCAAGTAGGATGTGTTGTGGTGCGGCGAGGTCAGGTGGTCGGGGAGAGCATCGTCGTCTTGGAGGGGTAGCCTCGAGGTGAAGGGAGCGAGGGAGAGGTGGTTGAGGTTCGTGCTGGAGCGGTTCTTGCGACGCGCTTGATTTGCGTACTGCTTATAAGCCTCCTCCATGATTTTGGCTGTGTCGAGTTCTCGAGCTTGCCGTCCGGCAGGTCTACAAAGATGGAAGGACAGCGAATTCGATAAGCGACGGCGAGACGATGAAGGCTTAGACTATAATGAGTTTGGTTCGATAGGAGCAAAAGGTAAGGCAGACAGGCATGTAACTGGGGAAAAGGAGGGGAAGGGTCAGGAGTTCGGGTGGTTTTTAAAAAGGGTTGGGACGCTTGTTGAGGGAAACGCGGGCAAGACTGGCCATTGACGGGCAGCGGCAGCAGCAGTAGACGCAAGGAGGAATGCAAAAACGCATATGCGCTAATGGCAAAATCCGGGGACAGTAGAATTTTGGCTACCGAGGGATCGGCTCATCTGTGATTTGCTGATCGGTTTCGGGTTCTCCTCTGCGGGGAGTGGGCGAAAAGGAGGAGAGGACGGAATGCGTGATTACGTAGGTACCTCGGTACATGAGCGTGCTTGAGTAATGCTACGCGGTGGGAGGTATTCGCACCCAGCTCAATTCATGCAGACCATTCATGAGCAGAAGCGCCGGGCGCTGGAGCCTCTTCCAGACCTGTTTTCCTTGGAGAAAATGCAACGAGGTCTGCGGCGGGATGAGCTGATTCTAGTACGAGGCTTGCGAGAGAAGTCTGTCCTGCATTTCATGCGTAGAACTCCGTTGCGCGTCAGGCAAGGGATGTGGCAAGATGTGAGGTCAATGGCATGTTTTTCTGACTCTCACGCTCTCTTTCGTTCGGTTGACATGCATGCATTGCATCAGAGGGATACCGCGGTATGTGTTTGTGAGGCTCATGCTTGCTTTGCGTTAGAAAGTCGGAAATGACCGTCACGAAAAGCTCCGTTCAAGGAGGTAAGCTAGATGTTGCAAGTAGGCACGGAGCCCAAGCCATTGTCTGAAAATGGCGATTAGTTGGATGCTAGCGGCCAGGAAATACTGGAAGAGGCGAGCTTGTGAAAATCAAACTGTGAGGTGTGGCTTGGGCGGGCTGTTCCCCTGAATTTGACGATCTGGGAAGCTTAGATTAGATGAGTGGAGTGTTCGTTGTTGCTCACGAAAAATCGAAGCGACCGAGGGGGGGGGGGGAGGGGGCGGCTTGGACCCCGCCAAGGTACCAATGTACCTACTACCAAACGGCGTGGTGGAGGCAACCCTTTTTTGGATTTTTAGTTAGAGGAATTAAAAAAAATCAGTGCAGCGACGGATAGCGCAGATTACGCTCGACGACGACGTCAACTCACACAGCAAATCTCGCGACCGAGGCAGCCCATGAACTCCCGAGCATAACCCGGACGCGGCCAACACCCTACTTTCCCTTTATGCCCTAGAGCGACATTGCGCTCTTTGCAAGAGGCGAGGCACAAGATGCGGAACTTGCGCAACATTCGCTTTGGCGCTTGGGAACAGCAGCAGCAGCAACAGGACGTCACTGTCACGGCGTGCTGCTGGGACCCCGCCAAAGACGAGCTTCTCTGCACGACTGGGCCGACGGAGGCGAAAGCTACCATTGAGCTGGTGAGGCTATCGGACCACCACCAACAACAGCAAATGTGTGGCGCCATTTCTTGACTTATCCCACGCTCCTATTTTTTTGCAATCCCTGTTTCACTACAACGCCCTTTATCCCTCGGGTATTATTCCTGTAAAACGTCTTCAATACCCTCCCCCCAATCATGTAACAGGACTCGATCGAGTCGTGTCTCTGGTTCCAGGGTATCATTGACATGGGGATGATGATGTGGCCTGGCTGTTGAAGACATGAAACTCGAGACGGCTAACATGACTTCTCAGTAAATCCCGTACCGTCACGAGTTGGGATGCGCCGAGTCCCAGTCCGGACCTGCCCACAGACAGGGTGGTAGACCTGCACCACTTCGCCGACAGCATCGCCACCTGCGTCATCCTTGAGGGCGGCGATATCGTCACCGTAAAAGAGGATGATGCGGGCCGGGATGGCGACGTCCAGATCGAGATTGTCGGCTCCATTGACGCCGGCATCGCCGCCGCCCGGTGGTCCCCGGATGAGGAGCTGCTCGTCGTCGTCACCAAGGAGGGTAACGCCGTCTTCATGAGCCGCACCTTCGACCCCATCGCCGATGTCGCCATGACGGCTGACGACCTTAAGCTTTCGAAGCACGTCTCCGTCGGCTGGGGCAAAAAGGAGACCCAGTTCCAGGGCAAGGGCGCCAAGGCGATGCGCGACCCGACGATTCCTGAAAAGGTGGACGAGGGCCTGCCGAGCGTCAATGAGGATGGCAGCGCGGCGGTCAGTTGGAGGGGGGACGGTGCCTACGTCGCCGTCAACTCTGTGGCTGGCGGTGCGAGGAGGGTCGTGAGGGTGTATTCCCGTGAGGGCGTTCTCGATAGCGTCAGCGAGCCGGTGGATCATCTCGAGGGTGGTCTGAGCTGGAGGCCTTCTGGAAACCTTATAGCGGGTGTCCAGCGGTTTGAGGATCGAGCAGATGTCGTCTTTTTTGAGAGAAACGGTCTGAGGCATGGCCAGTTTACGCTCCGCTGTGGTGATGGGCCCCTGAACGCCCATGAGAAGGTCAAGCTGGAATGGAACTCTGACTCGACTGTCTTGGCCGTGATTCTGAGTGAGAGGATACAATTATGGACGACTGGTAACTATCACTGGTATCTCAAGCAGGAGGTGCCATTGACGTCCGAATTTTCTGGGTTGGCGTGGCACCCGGAGAAGCCGCTGCGATTTGTTGCTGCCACAACAGGTCGGTCTACCCCCTTGCGTGGTCGGATGGGATATACTAAAGAGGATACAGCTGTCGTCAATGTGGCCGAGTACATCTTCGCTGTGTCTCGCGGCTCCTTGAGCCCGCCCAATGACCATGGCGCCGCTGCAGTCGTTGACGGCCAGACCGTCAAGTTGACCCCTTTCCGGACGGCGAACGTGCCGCCACCCATGGCCCTCTTCGAGCTCGAATTTTTGGCCAGCGTCGTCGATGTCGTGTTTGACCCCAGCAATTCCCTCATGGCGGTGTTGCATCGCAAGGGTCTGGATATCTACGGGTGGCAAACAAAGGGAGAGCGGTCGACCAAGCCTAAGGAGTTAGCCAAGGTTGTGTTTGAATCTGATGCTAAGGGCAAGGTTCCTCTGCAAGTTGCATTCTCTGGTCCGGCCGAGTGTCAGGTCCTTGTCTCTGAGGAGGGGTTGAAATTGGAGACGTACACCGTTGAGGAATCCACGCTTAGCTCTTTGGGAGTCACTCAGCTCAAGCCCACGGAGACGTTTTCGTCGATTTTCAGCTACGAGGGCGATTCAGGGGTCGAGGCCTGCGCCCAAGACCGCTCAGGAAGGCTCTACAGGCTGGCGAATAAGCAATCCCATGAGCTTCTGGATACTCAACTTTCGACGCAGCTCCCATGGTGTGCGGTGCAGAAGATCAAGGGACGCAGAGTTGGCATCGGCATGAGCAGAAACGGTCATCTCTATGCGAACTCGAGGCAACTGGCGAAGAACTGCACGTCGTTCGTGGTCACCCCGGCGCATGTTATCTTCACGACGAACAACCACTTCCTCAAGTTTGTTCACTTGGTGGATCCTGAGGGTGAGTCACCCATGCTCCCGAAGTCATCCGTAAACACACTAACCTTGTTACAGAGATGGAAGTTCCCGGAGATGATCCAGAGATTGACGAGCGATGCCGCAGCATTGAGCGCGGTGCTCGCCTCGTCACAGCTATGCCCACTAACATGAATTTGGTCCTCCAGATGCCGAGAGGCAACCTTGAGACTATCTATCCTAGAGCCATGGTAGTTGCGGGTATCCGACAGCTTGTCGACGAGAAGAACTATGGAAGAGCATTTACCTTCTGCCGTACGCAGAGGGTTGACATGAACATCCTTTACGACCACCAGCCGAGCCAGTTCCTATCCAACGTTGGTCTCTTCCTCGACCAGCTCAAAGATATTTCGTACATCGACCTATTTCTGTCATCTCTCCGGTAGGCTCCCATAAACCCCGCTATGGCCTTGCGGGAAGGAGGGAACTAACTCGAAATAGGGAGGAGGATGTCTCTCAGACCATGTATAAGGACACCAAACGCGCAACCAGATTTATCGAAGCATCGGCAGAACCCCCCGCGGCACCCACAGACCTGTCCAATAAGTCCAAGGTCAACAGAATCTGCGACGCCATTCTCAAAAGCTTGCAAAGCAAGAAGGGCACGAATCTGCAGAATGTCATCACAGCGCACGTCTGCAAGGTTCCGCCAGCCCTTGACGATGGACTCACGCTCGTCGCAGAGCTGATGCAGGAAGACGAGAAAATGGCAGAGAAGGCTGTCGAGCACATTTGTTTCCTCGTTGATGTCAACCGTCTCTATGATAATGCTCTCGGCTTGTACAACCTCGATCTCGCCCTGCTTGTCGCCCAGCAATCGCAGCGTGACCCAAGAGAGTACCTTCCCTTTATCCAGAACCTCCACAAGCTGCCCGATCTGCGTCGGAAGTTCGAGATCGACGACCACCTCGATCGCCGGGTCAAGGCTCTTTCGCACCTCAAATCCCTCGACGCCTTTGAGGAGCTATCAAAGTATACCGTCAAGCACGCCCTTTACCAGGAAGCCCTCGGCTTGTACAGATACGACCAGGCCCGCCACCAGGCCCTCACGGGTCTGTACGCAAGCTACCTCGAAGCCAAATCGAAATACCGCGACGCCGGCCTCGCCTACGAGACCCTCCAGAACTTCAACAAGGCTACAAGCTGTTACCGCCAAGCGGGTGTGACGTGCTGGCGTGAGTGTCTCTTTGCCGCACAGCAGCAGATGCCTCCACCCTCCGAAGAAACCATTACGGAGCTGGCCTCCTCTCTCGCCGACGCCCTTTGGGAAGGCAAGGAGTATGCCGCCGCGGCCACGATCCATGTCGACTACCTCGCCTCCCTCGAGACCGCTGTCAAGTGCTTCTGCAAGGGGTACCACTTCGCCGAGGCCCTCCGTCTCATCGCCCGCGAGCGCCGTTCGGACCTCCTCCCCACGGCCTTTGACAGCGGCCTCGTCGAGGCCTTGAGCAGCAGCACCGAGTTCCTGGCCGATTGCAAGTCCCAGCTCCTCGCCCAGGTGCCCCGCGTCGCGGAGCTCCGTAGGAAGGCCGCCGAGGACCCGCTCGCGTTCTACGAGGGCGAGCGCCCCGGCGGCGTCGGCGGCGACATCCCTGACGACATCTCGGTGGCGGCGTCGTCACGCATCAGCACCAGCGCCAGTCTTTTCACGCGGTACACGGGCAAGGACGGCAGTGTCGGAACCGTCGGCACGGGCGTGTCGCGGGCGACCTCCAAGAACCGCAAGCGTGAGGAGAAGAAGCGCGCCCGCGGCCGCAAGGGCACCGTTTACGAGGAGGAGTACCTCGTCAACAGCATCCGCCGGCTCGTGGAGCGCGTCGAGGGCGGAGCCAAGGATGAGGTCGGCCGGCTTGTCTTCGCGCTCGTGCGGCGCGGCATGACGGAGCGTGCGAGGGCCGTGGAGGCGCTCATGGCCGAGGTCGTCGAGGGGTGCCGGGCGGCGGTGCGCGAGGTGTTCGCCCCCGCCGCTGCCGAGGAGGCGCAGGAGGGACAGGACCTCGTCGGGCCCGACGGGGAGACGTACCTTGTTTCCGGCGGCGACGCCGTCTTCCACGAGCATCTGCAGGCGAGGACCAAGAAGTTGGAGCCACCTGCCTTGACCACGTTCCAAAAGTTGACGTTGTTGGGGTCAACATAGAGTAGAGTCTCGTGGGTTTGGAGGGAAAGAAAAAGTAAAAGATGAAATAGAAATGCCTTTTGACAAGTCTTGTATGTTTTGCGTGTTCTACTAAAAGTACAATATTGCACATTTGGGATTCTGCTATGGCTGTTCATACATACTACATCTCGTCCACACGCGTCCCCTTTCTTTTTTTGCTTTCGAGACCCCACACTTTTAACCAACACCAGCGTCCGCGCCCGCGGCCGACCCCTTATTGAGGCGGAGGGTGACTCTCCTTGGCCGCTTCTGCCGCGTTGGAAAGCTCTGGTATCGGCACAGAAGCGCCCCCGACAACGGCCTTGTTCCTCGCAATGACCTCGCCGATGCGCTGAAGCATGTCCGCAGTTAGCTCGGGCTCGCCGCGGGCGCGACGGGCCTCGCGCTGCTGGCGGTTGAATTCTTGGAGCGGGGTGCGCATGGAGGCGAGGGCATCGGCCGAGACCTTCTTCAAGGCCTTCTTCCCGGCCTCCTCGGCCTCCTTGCGGAGGATATAGTCTTCCTCGTGGCGGGTACGGAAGCGCGAGTACTTGTTGCGCAACTCGTCGATGACGGACTCGGGCATGGGAGAAGAGAGGAGCGTCGGCACGAAGGTGACCTCTTCAACCTCTGTCCGCCTCGTATCGCCGGGTTGGTCCTCGCGAATAGGAGTCTCGCGCTCCGGCCAGGGAATGGCGATGTTGGCACCGGGAATGTACCGCGTCCAGGCGCGCCAACCGGTGTGACGAGACCACTTGACGGGGCCACGGGCGAGCTGGCGAACAATAACGTCGCGGGCGACGCCCGTCGCGGGGTCGACGATGGGGTGGACGAGGCGGATCGCCGAGATGGGGATGTGCATGGATGAGTTCTGCGTTGTGGGGGCGTCGAGGCCCTTTTGGAAGGTTTCGGGGACAGCGATAGTGATCTGGAGGAGGGCAAGTGGTTAATCACAAGATCATTGGTGTGTTGCTTTTCGGTGGGATAAGGAATAGCTGTCTTTGGCCCACCTTTGCGATGTCCTTCAGTGTCACGGTGCCGTGTTCGAGGTTGATGCTCGCGATGCGGTCGATCTTGCCCTTGTCGGGGCCTTCGAGAAGCACGACACGGTCATTGACGGCAATGTTGAGGTACTGACGTCCACCGGCCCAGGAGCATCGCGCTTCAACCTCCTCAGGCTTGAGGGGTGTCGAGCGTGACTGGCGGTTCGTCTGGATGGCGCCGTAGCTGTCGAAGACGTCGCGGCGCGGGGCCAAGGGCCCCAGGGCCCATTTCTCTTGGCGGACAAGACGGGCGGTCTTGATGTCCTTATTAAGCTCCGTGAGCTGGTTCCGCTGGTCCCTGAAGCGCTGTGCCTTCTCGGTGCCGACCTCGACACGGGAGCGTTTCTTGAGACGGCGGGCGACCTGCTTCTCGGCCTGGGCCGTGCGTTTCATGAGTTTCTGCATCGTCGAGGGCAGATTGGCTTCGCCGCCAATTGGGGTCGATTCGGGCCTCGTTCGATTCGGTTGATCAGTACCCGGGGGTCTTCGACGTTCCTGAAGTTCGGCGGCGGGTTTCGGAGGGGAGGGCGTCGGCGAAGCTGGAGCCGCGGTGTTCTGTCGTCGACGTCCTTGAATTGGCGATTTGCAAATTTCAGACGGGTCGGGAGCTCCCACGACCCCTGCAGCCATAGTGGAGCCGGGAGTGCTTGGGTCGGAAAATTGCACTTGCCGATACGCCGGGCTGGACGTCCAATCCAACATAGGTGGGCTCTGGTTGCCATCCCATTTCCTTGGCTTGGCAAGGGCGGGACCGCTACAGGCTACATACAGAGGGACGGATGAATGAACAGATGTCAGACCCTCCACCATCCCCCTACCCCGAGATGGCGGTAAGTCTCCGCCAGCTGTGCACTAGGTAACATTCGCAGTCCTAATATGGATGCTCGTGCTGGCGCAGCTCCAAAAACGAACTCTAACCTGATGGCTCTCTGTTGACGAAGGACAACCCATGTCTGATTCGGGAATCTCGGGCGCTGCAGTGTCTGCTGTGTTCCAAAGTTCCACGGCAGAGACGACCGCCTCAGGCACGGGAAAGGGAAGCTGCGGTCCGGAGATGGAGGTCCTCCCTACCAGCAACATTTAACAATGATTCTATCAACCCCCCATGCATTTGTGGGCAGGCTGCTTCAGTGTGTGCTGAGACCTTGGTCTTGGAATATTCAAGTCAGTGCTCTTGGCAGACATCTCTTTCCAGATGATGAGTTTGTCCCTTATCGGCGCCAACTCATCGTCAGGCATCATTCTTCAACTCATGGGATTGCCTCAGGTGGCTGATGATCCAAGACATCTGCACATCCTCACGCTCTCCACCGATTCTTCGCACACAGGGATGGGCGGCTACACACTTGGAAATGCCCATCCATCATGCTGAACTCTAGAATGATGGAAGCTGCTAGTGCAGACCCGGACACCCAGGGTCGCGGTCAGTAACTGTTTGTCAAAGACGCGCAGCGGCCCACCAGCCGAAAGTCTAGTTCCGATGCACAGTCCCTAGATGTCAGGTAGGTACTATAAAGTGGCTGGGGTCAAGTCCTAGATCCAGGACTCTGCTATGTACATGCGGCATAAGTAGCGCCTTCTAGGGCGTCTTCCGAGGTACAGTACATATTGATGCAGCAATAGAACACAAGCCAACACGACCTTCTACAGCCCCCCCTTTCCTGAGCTTCTCGTAATATTATGATACTTGCCAGGGTGGGGGAGAGAGAGAAGGAGAGCAGGGTGGAGCCAAAGTTTATCAGAAATCGAAGAGCATTGTATGATTGCTGCATTCATTGTTATCAGTATTCTCTGTCAGCTCGTAGCGTCAAATCATCACCGGTGGTTGACAGTACGCTACACAGCAGGGCGCATAGAGATGATCAATGATATCCTCCTCCACGTAGCTATCCATGTGGGCGCATATGCACGAATGGCTGGAGAGCATGGCTGGATAGCCTGGGGTTCGTGCAGGCTAAGACATTACAGTTCCAGCAAAATGCGAGAGGGCTACGCAGGGTGGCGTATCATTATCGAACAATGTGTCCCCCGGGTGCCCTGGCCACAAGAGTGTTGAATCATGGAAATAGAAGCATGAGTGATCATAGGACGTCTTTAGTGTTCGTCTCTGTGGCTTCGCCTCTCGCCGACGCACCCCAATGCTAATGTGTACCTAGACAGATGGCTCGACTATAGTGAGATCCAGCATAAGCAGTCAGTGCCGGGCCGAGGCTGTGTCTGTAAGCAGTCTGTCGTTGTTGTGGCTGCTGGTCGGTGTGATTGAAAGACGAAAGCCGTCCGACTGTGACACACACGGCGAAATGAGAATCTCACTGAGCCACCATAGAATGGGTTTCAGTCCAGGCTTGGACCCTGGAGGCAGCAATCTTGTCACAAATTCCCGGCGGTGGGCATTCCTATTTATGCTTTGAACAACGTAAAAGGGGTCTGGAGCGACAAAGGGTCTGATGTCAGATACCTATGCGATTGATGCCGTAGTCTCGTCCGGTGTTGCATATCTCGCTGCATCTAGTGCCTGACCCTAGACGTTGCGCTGTAGGGGAATGACATGTCCTGGATAGGTATAACCCGAACGAATAGGACTGGCAGGGCTGGGGGGTCTGAGGACAGGCGTGTTCTGCATCGGATGCTTGGGTGAGGAGGATAACTGAGAGTCTGAGGCCTTGGTCAGCTCGACATTAGAGGCTCTAGTCGTCACTTGTAACCTGCATTGCGAGCCTGGTCTGGTCACAGACACCGACCGATATTGCAGATCAACCACTATCGGTGCCAACCTCCCTGCCTTATCGCATCACTTTCGGCTTCCACCTCAGCCACTTGCACCTCGTTGTTCTTTACCAACGACGATCTTTCTGATTGCCAACTCAGCGAGTCTGACCGAGGTACAGTATCCCTCCCGGGAGTCTTGTTGACGGCTGCCGTTGCAGCTTGCTATACGAGTGCAACAGTGCAAGCGAGCAAGCGAGCAAGCAAGCATTGCCAAAAGCTATCGTTATTCCTCCCACACCCTCCCAGACCAGCCCGTCATAGTGCATATCGGAGCATGGTTTAGCGGGCGAGATTCCTACAAGGCCAGCAGGGCAGGGGCCAGCGGAGGACGCAGTAGTGGAAGTTGCCAGCCAATTAAGAGGTCCAAGAGTGAGGGAACACCCCCAGAAACCGACCCCCGCCCCTGTATCCGTAACGGCCCCTTCCATCCAAATCGCAATTCAATTCGTCTTGTTTGGCTGCCTCAGGACAAGAATCCCCTACCTTAATAATGAGGACCATATGCGCATCTCACTTACTCACCTGCCAACCGGGACAGCGAAAGTACTGCATGTACGGTTCCCACAGCAAAAGGATGCCTGGTCTTGGTACGCTAGCTTACGAAGAGGGAGAGAAAAAAAAAACTGCCGGCTCCCTCTCGTCACATTCACTGGTCGGACAACCCCGTCTTCTCGTCTCTGCCAGTGAGGCCAGTCATAGGCCGATCAAAGTCAATAGCCAACTGAGCCTACCCTGCTGCCCAGTCCCGTCACCGTTCAGCTGGGAAGCACACACCATTGGCTAGGCCACTACTAGGTACGTTGAACGCACAGCCCAGCAGCAGGAGGTACCTGACGTTTAACATTGAGGAACCCGCTATCAGTAGCACGGCAACATCTAACCCCCCCCTCTGCCTTGCCTCACCTCACCTCCAACTGAATCAAAGGTACCACACTAGATACCTACGTCGGTTGTACGGATACTTACCTCATGTCAGTCAATGATGCTAGCCGGCTCGTACTTGCTGTCCCTACCAACTAACTATTGTCTATTGCCTGCTCTGGTTTGCTTTTCTCGTCTTTGCTTTACTCTAAGATGCTGTTCCTCTCTTGCTCTTATTTCGACCTCTATGCCTGTCTGCCTGTCTGCTTGTTTGTCTAGCGTCAATAGTGACGGGAAGAAAATCAACAAATCCTTCTTAGACGCCGCGAAGAAAAAAAGCCCGGACCACCTGTCCTGCACCTGCGTGCACCTGCAACCTGAACCTCCATCCAAGGTACCTACCTACCTGAGGTACGGATACCTCACATTGCCTTACCCCCCTAGTCGCCTTTATACGCGGTACCTAGGCTCGTCTGCGCCTGCACCACCCTGTCCACCATAGTCCTGCCCAGTCCTGGCCTGGCATTCTCTCGTGCCTCCCCACCCCCCAATCTTTGTCTCCCTCTGCCACTAGGTATTGCTTCCAGGTCTCCCGCTCTCTCGCTGGTTCCCTTCCTTTTTCTCCCCTTCCCGCCTCTTCTGACACCCCCCCAACACAAATCTGCCCTGCTGTTGCTTGCACGTCGTCAAGTGAACTCCACCCAGAAGGTACTACTGTGACCTTACCTTACTTCTACCCATCCCATTCTCTTCCACCTTCAGATTCCCCCTTCCGACGCAGCTCTTCCTTCTCCATCTCCCACGTATCTGCCAACAAGCTCAACCTCGTCGCCCGACCGCATCGCATCTCAATCAGCTCTCCATCGCAACACCTACACGACCTCTCTCGCCCATTCACAACCACAGACATCATGGCTGAGATCCGCCGTAAGCTCGTCATCGTCGGCGACGGTGCCTGCGGTAAAACCTGCTTGTTGATGTGAGTATTGTCCCCGTCTTCTTCCTCTCCGCCCACGCCTACCGCCCACCGCCTGGTCTCCAGCGACGAACCAATCCTGCATCGTCGCATCGCCAGGAACCCCCCAAAACAAAAAAACACGGATGCAATCTTGCATCTTCAAAGGCTTCATCGTGCTGACTTTTTCTGTACAGCGTCTTCTCCAAGGGCACCTTCCCTGAGGTAAGATTGCTCTCTCCTACGCCGACGCGGCCATCTGCCCCCTGTTTCCCCGACACGAAACTAGGCCTCCTATAACAAACCCGCCTATCATGAATCCGTCTCCGATCCTCAAATATTCTGACAACTAATTCAGGTCTACGTCCCCACCGTCTTCGAGAACTACGTCGCCGATGTCGAGGTTGATGGCAAGCACGTCGAGCTGGCCCTTTGGGATACCGCCGGTCAGGAGGATTACGATCGTCTCCGCCCCCTTTCCTACCCCGACTCCCACGTCATCCTGATCTGCTTCGCCGTCGACTCCCCCGACTCCCTGGACAACGTTCAGGAGAAGGTACGTCGGGACTCTAAATTTCGGGCATTGTCCACTGCTCTCGATATGCAACATTCGCTAACACGTGCTCTTCTTCCTATAGTGGATCTCCGAGGTCCTGCACTTCTGCCAGGGTCTGCCCATCATTCTTGTCGGTTGCAAGAAGGATCTCCGCTACGACTCCAAGACGATTGAAGAGCTGCGTAAGACCAGCCAGAAGCCCGTCTCCCCTGAGGAGGTAAGCTTATCCGTTCCTATCGGGGCATCGGCCGCGTCAGGCGTCGTCCCTAGATGCTCGACGGCCTCCCGCCTCGGTTTTACGCGAATGCATGCTAACAACATTTTCAGGGTGAGGAAGTCCGCAAGAAGATCGGCGCCTACAAGTACCTCGAGTGTTCCGCCAAGACAAACGAGGGCGTCCGCGAGGTGTTCGAGCACGCTACGCGCGCCGCTCTGCTCTCCCGCAGCCGGAGCAGCGGCAAGAAGCACAAGTGCCTGGTTCTCTAAATGCCCTTTGGGCGAACTTCCCAAACCCCTTTCTCCCTCTTCGACCACAGCCCCCATTTGTAATCATCAAGGTCCCGGTCACCATGATCTTTTCCCAACTCTTCGGATGAGAAAGTGTTCCTGGTGGGCGGTCTGGAAGGCGGGGGCAATATCTGCCTGCATAGGTTCTCGGAATTTGGAGTTTTGCTCAACATTGTGTCTCATAACAAACCTGGCACCATATCGATCGGCGTGTCACCGTATCTGGTTCTGCAGGGGGTCTTTTACTGAATCTATTTCTTTCCCTGCCGAACGGTGACGGGGAGAAGACACCAACAGCTGGCCACGACCCTACGAGAGGTTGCGAGGAAGTTGAGATTCAACCATGGTTGTCTCTCTTATGGTCTCTAGGGAGGAAAGGGCTTGGTAGCTGGCGTGACTGGCAGCTGCTGGGCGACGATGGACAGTGAGTTGACTGGTGACTTCGGGAACGGCGGAATGGCAACGGTTGATTCTCTAGCTGTGGAAACGGCGTGTCTAGCCCTAGTATTGCAACCAAGCCCGGCTGCATCATAAATCTTGTGTTTTTTTTTTCTCTCTTGACGCCTCGCAGCTTTAGACGAAGGAGATGTTTGCTGGCCGCGTTTTCTTCTCTTGTCGATTCTCTCAATCCATGTCTTTTGGTAACTTAAATTATGTCTCGCCGTCCCTACCGTGCTGGTATGCTATGATGCCTCGCAAGATGTACGGAAATGAGTCGTTTGACAACACCCATGGCCCGTTCCAAAATTCCGTTAACACCGTCATACTTACGTATCAGGGGTTGCGGAAGATGGGATGGAAAGAATACACTAGCCAAGCACAATGGCTTGCGCAGCTCGAGTCGCGACAGTTATGCTGAGGTAACCCAGACAACATGGTAATAATAGTGTTGCTATCGAGAGGGATGTATTGCTATAGTGCCCATGACTCCTTCCGTCTTTGGTAGCAAATCGCGTATGATGGCGCAGAGTGGCGATTCTAAAGATAGGCAACCGGGCATATTGGCTTCTTACGGGGAACTTTGGGGTAGACATGGCTGGCTAGTGAGGTTGGCCGACAGTGTCACGTTGATTACGATGGCCCCACCCCGTGATGTTGGGGATGGCCCTGCTTCAAGAGAAGCAAGAGGCCTAGGGGAGTGCCTCACAGATGGCTGGTTTGTTTGTTTGGTTTGATTTGTTCTTGGGCGGACACTCTGGGGAAGTGTGTTACGCGCCCCTACCTCTTTGCGTTTCTACTCATCCAACCGCCATGAGGTGGAAGGTCATGGGCAACCAACGCTCCAGATAGGCAGGAGGAGTTATGTTTCAGAGGAGGGGGGGGAGTTGCCGGCTGTCCGTGGTTTCCCGTCTGCCCGTGCGTTTGATTACATCGAAGTTGCTTTGAAGGAATGTGAGGGGTTCTCCATCCGATTCTCATGAGGCCCAATCCTCTTTCCGTTATCTCATCTCAACTCCCTCCACCCCGGTTTCCCGGGAATTCAGGTTCAGGTGACATTATGTTGCCCACCGAGACGCGATACCATGAGGGCGTTTAGGCAGGGCAGCTCTGTTGGAGGGGAATGCATTGTTAGCAGATTCGGTCAAGCAGGAAGGAATGGGGAGGACGAGAGAGAGGGAGAGAGAGAGAGAGGTTGCAGAACTGCCGGGAGCGAAGACCAAGGTGAGGTGAAAGGGCTAAGGGAAGAGGGTGAGGTTCGATGAGGCGAGGTAAAGTGAGAGAGAGCAAGGCTTACAGCGCCGCAAGCCGAGCAGGTCTTGGAGGTGGCTGCAGTGGCGGCGCCGCACTTGGGGCAGGCGCTGGTGTGGGTGTTGGTGAGGGGCTGCATGTTTGCGGTTTCTGGCGATGTTGTTGTACTTGGAAGCTTTGGCGAGGCAGGCTGAAGGTTTGGAGAGAAGATGAGACGGAGAGAGGAAGAGAGGAAGAGTCAGAGGTCAGAAGGGAAAGAAACAGACGTGGAAAGCGGGGTTCTTTTTATTTGTTTCTCTACTTATCAGCCGGCGCGTGCGGCCACGAGACGGCCGTGGTGGGCTGTTCTTAGGTTGGTCTGCCTTATTTTTATTTTTGTTTTCGTTCTCATGCCGCTTGTGACCAGCGCAGAGAGCTACCACACGCAGTCATGCTATGTACTTGTGACCCTCTACTTGCCCGCGATGATGGTCCACTGCTCGTTCGTTTGCCGTCGTTGAAAGAGGGAGGGTGGAGGCAGGTGGGATAGGGAGGGGTGGGCTTGGACGAGCTTACGGACGGGCTGTCATGCGAGATAGACGCCTTCTCGTTGGCTATGACGGCACAGGATGGGGAGAAGGGGGTTCCCACAGGCCTACAAGTACCAAGACGCTTGAATCCGTAGGAAGGGGTTGTCTAAGTAGCGGGCTGGGCTAGGTAGGTCGGTGGTGCTTCGGCAGAAAAAAAAGAAAGAAAGAAAAGGCCGCCCTCTTCTCTGCACTAGGTTTTACGCTTGGGGCGGACGGTGTTGGTTAGTTGCTATACGTTCGGGATGGGCCTTGGAGCGATGTTTGCCGTGCGTGTGCGCTGGCGTGTATGTGGGCGTGTGGGCGGGCGGTGTGTGATTGAGGAGGCGTTGGAACTGAACAAATGAGGCAGATTTATCGGATGGACTCTAGTCGAGCGAGGTGTACTGTACTGTGTGAAGTAATGCAAGCTGAAGGCTGTCCAATGAAGAAGTGGCTTGGTGACGAGATGCTCGGTAGAACCCTTCTAGGCATCTGAAAGTAAGGCGGCATGGGATGCATACCTACGGGAGTATTGGCACCGGCGTTGGCCGAGAATTGATAAGGGCTGTTTCAAGCGTTCTGCAGGATTGACGAAAGACGATGGGACTGGGGGAGAGATATCTGCAACGAAGGGATCCGCCCCTCAAAAACCAACCGTCTTTTCAGGGCGGTTGTCTTGAGACGTCACTTACCTACTCAGGAAGGTTCATCCTTTCGTACGTATCTGCCACGGCGTACTGGCCAATGCGTGACTTTGTGTAAGAGGACAGTAGCGACCTTCCTCTTCGCCCTTCGGAAGCGGCCACCGGTATGGGCGGGCTTGTTGGTCGGGTGACTCGGGCGTGAGATAAGCTATCGTTTTCCGAACCCCCCGTGCGTTTCGCCCAGGCCGCCGTGCGCTGGCGACAACACCACCCCATCCCGGATCCTGCATCCGTCCCAAAACAGCAACCAGCTCCCACAAGGGCCGGAGTTGGTGGGGGTCACATTTTTCGATCCATCGCAACTCCAGCCTGAAAGACTATCGAGAAAGGGCGGTTCCAGGCCCCGAGAACAACCATGGATTTACCCAGAAAACGGGTCCCTGGGAGGAGGGATGATAGGATCATACTCCACTTCGTACGTCTGTCCTTAGGATTCACGGGGCTCTCCCGACGCTCCTCTCATACAACGCTTATCTAAAGCTCAACCCGCGACGATGACTTGCCCAAACACTGATGCCGTGGCCAGGATTACGACTGCTTCTATGCCTCGGTCTACGAAAACCGTGACCCGCGGCTCAAGGCACTGCCGCTAGGGGTGAAGCAGAAGAACATCCTGGCGACGTGCAACTACGTCGCCCGTAAGCGCGGCGTCAAGAAGCTCATGCTCATCGTCGACGCCAAGAAGCTGTGCCCTGATCTCGTCATCATTGATGGCGAGGACCTGACGCCGTTTCGGGACATGAGCAAGAGGCTGTTCAGGTTCCTCAGGGGCTATTCATGGAACAACAAGGCGGAGAGGCTGGGTTTCGATGAAGTCTTTATGGGTGTGTGTGTGCCGCCGTTGTTCTTTTTGGCAGTGAGAGAGTGCGTATTGCTGACGAAGGGACAGACGTCACGGATATCATCGACTACAACATGTTTTGCATCAATAGGGCGTCCCTGTCTGAGTCGTTTTTTCACCTCTCCAAGCAGGATCCCGAAAATGGCTTCATCTGCAACTTGACGAAGGTCGCCGGGTGCATATACGGGATGACACCTGAGCCGGGTGATCTCGAAAATCCCAATTTCGTGCGGCTTCTTCTAGCGAGCCATCTGGCTTTTCACCTGCGTATGAAGCTGGAAGAGGACCTCGGCTTCACAGCGTCTGTTGGAGTGTCGACAAATAAGCTCCTTAGCAAGCTCGCCGGTAGTGTGAACAAGCCGCGAAACCAAACGACACTGATGTCGGTTGATGATTCCGTCGTAGCGGAGTTTATGGACACACATTCTATCAGGAAGGTCCCTGGCATTGGTTTCAAAACCTCCCGTGTGTTGGAGGGTCGTTACTTGTCAACGCCTTTGGGACCCGACGATGCCGACAGAGAAAACTCGCCTCTGAAAGTCCAAAACGTGCGAACGCATCCCGGAACATCACCAGACGCCTTGGAGAAGCTCCTGGGCGGTCCCGGCTCCGAGCGCGGCGTTGGCGAGAGGATTTGGGGTCTCTTACACGGCGTCGACGATAGCGAGGTCAAGGACGCAAGCGATATACCGTCGCAAATTAGCATCGAAGACACGTTCAAGGGATTGGAGAGTATGAGTCAGATTGAGAAAGAACTGCGCAAGATATCTGCGTCCCTAGTGCGGCGAATGCGAACTGACCTTCTGACGAATGACGACCCTATAGAATCAGGCGGGCAGCGGTGGATCGCGCACCCCAAGACCCTGCGTCTGTCGATCCGTTCTTGGCCAACGGAATCGACGCCAAGCTTTCAGCGCATATCCCGCTCTCAGCCCCTTCCCAACTTCATCTTCACCCTCAAAGAACCTCCCGAGTCCATCGCGGAGCGGCTCACGAGTAACATCCTACTTCCTTCAATGAAGAAATTCTACCCGCCAGGCCACCAGTGGAACCTTCAGCTCATGAACGTATGCGTCGCTAACATGGCGGCCAGCGGTAGCGAGGCCAGGTCTGGCGTCGGTAGAGACATATCGGTCATGTTTAGGAAGCAGGATGACGTGCTACGACAGTGGAGGATGGATACGGCAGTTGTGGAGGACGACGACGAGCAGTGGGCGTCGGAGGACGACGTCGAGAAGGAGATGGAGCTCGGAGAGTTTGACGAGGGGGCTTCCTGGGAGGACGATATGGTCACGGCGAGGTGCCCAATCTGTGGGCACTGTATACCGCCGTTCGCGCTGGCTGCACATGCGAGGTATCATGACCTCGGAGAATGATTTCTTATTTCGTCGTGGGTAATGAAGGGGTTGCTGTCGACCAAGGAGGGGTCGTCTTGAAGGTGCCAGCACTTGTGGTGGTACATGTCCAAGCCAGGGTCCGAGTCCTCTGAAAATGTCTGGGAGGTCCAACTGTCGGTGTCCGAGTCTCTGCCGCCGCGACAGTAGTCCGAGTCTCTGTTGTCATTGCAGTACATGCAATTCTCAAACACGGATGGTTCTCGGTGTTCCTTCTCGGTATGCATTGCGGCAGTCGATCTGGCCGTGAATAAACTGGCGTCATACACTGCGGCAGTCGATGAGCATACACTGGCTTCTTGAAACGGTGAGCTTATATGACTAGTCTGCGTGCTTGCAACTTCCGAGTACATGACGCTAGGGATATCGGAGGGGGCGTTGGAATGCAGGAGCATAGGGCTGCCGCTGTTGATGTAAGTTTTCGTGGCTTGGGGGCTAGGTATCTTCTTGTGAAGGCTCCGGCCGGGCTTGATGCTGGTGAAGATGGCCTTTACCTTGGCCGTAATCTCGGACCAGCGACCGCGGATGCGAGTGGTAAACTTACGAGCCATGACGGGTGTTTGGGTGCCCGTTGGTAGTAATCAGGGGTTGTGCTGGCGGCGGTTGCGTTAAGTGAGTATTTTGATGCTTTAATCTCTATGATACTTGGAGATAGTGTTTTTCTGTGAACATTCTAGTGGAGATTGCCGCTACGTACTCGAAATATATATGCGGACGGGGTCCAACAGAGATATAGGCTTGTGGTTAGTGGCTTAGAATAGTTGACCTTTTCCATGGTTGAGGACTACCATGATCTGGTAAAGTCTAAGTTGATGTGTATGGTCTTTGGATGATGGGGCCATCGAAATTCCATGAAATGGAGGACATAGACGATGAACAATGAAGCGTTTCCGAGTGGATGGATGTAGTTATAGCAAGTGATGCGACAGAGTCTTGGTCTTCGACTTGCAAGGCGAAGCTCAGACTAGCCTGTTGGCGATGACAATGAGAGCTCTATCAGGGCAACAGGGAGACACAATAATACTTATCTGAGACAAATTTTTGTTTTCAATCATTCGGTTTAGGTTCCATCATGTTAAAAAATGGCTATTGGACATTCATGCCCAAGGACGCATGCTCTAGACACCATTCCTGCTTCCGATGGTGAAGGATCAGTTGGTGACCCGGGAAACCTACTTTTTCTGGAGTGTCCATTCTCTCTCGCTGCCATACTTCGACTCTAATCAGGGAAGCGCAGAGGAAGGGAATATGTTTATTTGCTGTTTAGACGAGATTACTAGGTTTCTGTTGTTTCGGGCCTGACATATCTTGTCGAGCCGTTGACCAACCAAACACTGCTTCAAAAATACCAATAAGCTGAAAGCACCATTGCCGTAATACATGAACTATTCATGTATTAGATCATGTCCATAATTGCCCAGATATGTTAGAAATATGTTAGAAGCAGCGACCTCTTTCCGACAAAGTGCCCTGCCTGTGAGCATGGCCAAAAGAACTTGGCCGGTGTTACATCTTATGAAACGTGACGGGCACAAGAAACACCATAAAGGAAGGGAAAAGCAACCAAACCAGCGCTAGACTGGTTGCTGTATCTGACTGCTTGACTGTGTAACATATGAATGGCTTATCCATGTATTGGTCCAAGAACCCGGCATATAACTCGCCTAGAGAGAGACGGGTGCTGACGGAAAATGAAAAGACGATGGATCTATTTACCAACCATTTAGAGGAATAACCGAGAGCTGATATCGCAATCACACCCTCTAGCTTTTGGGACCAACTTAGAGTTGACAGCGGACGAACGAGGCGGAGTCAAACGGGATGGGACATGCTATCCCGCTAACTGGGCCTGGGCTTTGTATGTATTCCTTGTCGTGACGGGAAACCAGGGGTGCAAGCTCTGGCCAACTGGAGCTCCGGCTTCCGGAACAGGGCCGAAAATCCTTGCATTAGCGCATCTGCAAGCATCCGCGAGGGTTGGCTTGGGTGCTTGGATGGGGGCCGCACGCGGGAAGGCAGACGCTGCTAGAGTCGTTCGTTGTCAAGGCAGCACCTGCCAATCAGACAGATTCAGATGATCCCCCGTGCTCACCTTCTAGTGTACCTAGGTCGGGGCTTATCGATAAGATCGATCCGTACCCCAGAAGCAGCGTCTGTGACCCTGCAGTGACGCGGTGTGGTGCATCACTGGGTGCAACTTGACAGCTGACGTCAGGGGTCTGAGATGGGCGCAGCTTCCCGCGCGACTACAAACACGGCTCACGTCCTGCGTCCCTCACATCGTTGATGCCATGTTGAGTGTTTGCTCTTCAGCTCTTACTCTTTGTTTCCGCGTGTGGAAGTAGACACAGATACAGACAGAAATTAATCTGGCCGACATATTCACCGTTGCCTCGTTGCTGTACCTAGGTATCCAATAATAACCAGCAGTGCTTTGTGGCGCCTTCACCTCGTAGTCAACCTGCCTCCTTCCTTCCCGGTCAGTGGTAGCCGCTCCTCAGAATATCGCCCAAAATGGAACCCGCGCGCGGCTCCTCACCTTCCCCGGCAGTACCTGCCGCAGGGCAGGTGCCAGTTGTGCAGGAGGCAGCGACGAACGTATCACCTCACAGTCGTCCACGGAGCACAAGCACAGATACCCCTCCTGACGCCAGCTCTCAACCTCCTGTCCCTGATTTCAACCCAAAGCCCGATCCCAACTCTGAACACAACATCGACACTTACCAAACGGACAACGACGAGGATCAGTACAGCTACACTTATTCTGACGAGGAGGACTTGGACGCGTCCTCTATTTGCTCCTTCGAAGAAGAAGAAGACGGTAATTGGGATCGAGACCCAGACGACGACACCATGGCAGGCTCAAGACGCCACCACAGCCAGCGCCGCCGTACTCCGACGGACCTAACTGGCGTCCTCACTCTCGACGAGAAGAATGAGCTTATCAGCTTGGTGAACAACATCCTGGACAGCATGCAGGACCAAATCAGCAACATCTTCCACTCCCCTCCCATTACCCCCGCCACGGCTGAAGACCCCGGCAACTCGTGGCTGTCCCTCTCGCTGTTAAAGAACACGGCAAACGCTATCACTCAACCTCAGAGCATTGCTGATAAGGAGAACGCCCGCCCTTCTTCGGCTTCAACCCAGCAGAATGCCGCAAAGACGTACAACAGAGCCCACGAGATCGTCGAAAAGGAGGAGAAGGAGGTCATGACGCCTCAGCTCCAGGAGCTCAAGAAGGAGTGTCTTGTAGTCTTCAAGAAGTGGCAGGGCAACGTCCTGACCCGCGCCAAGGATATCTCTGTCAAGGATCCCGAGACCTCAACCACCCCCGCCGGCCGTGGTGGCCGGGGTGGTCGTGGGGCCCGTGGCAGTCGCGGTGACCGTGGTATGCCTCAAGGAGGTCGTGCCGCCCCGCGCGGCCGTGGAGGCAGAGGCGGTTCCCTCGGTGTCAAGACTGGAGGTAAGCTTCTCCGAGCCGCTGCCGCTGCCATAGGCTGAGTATCCATGGCAGCAACCCTCCTTCTCTTGCAGCCTTGTTGACTTCCATAGGCTCACCGGCTGCACGCCGACCTGACGAAGCTGACCCCTGGCTTGTTCGACGATTTCCTCCTACTGTCACGCCTTTGACTTCTCTCCCCATCGAGCGACGCAAGCTTTTGCTTCACACCGTTCTTCTGCTCCTACTGTCTTTGGAGCAGTACACGTCCTTCTCCCGCGTTTTCATGCTCAAGTTGGCCTCCTCGCTTCATCTCACTCTTCGCATGTTTCAGGAGGATGAGGTTCGCGTCGCCCGGGGTCTCGGCAAGACCGTACAGGAGGTCAATGCCGACGATGTTGTGCAGGACAAGTCTGCCGAGAACCAGTCGTCTAGACGCTGGAAGGTCGGCCTTGCTGGTGCAGCCGGCGCTGCCGTCATCGGAATCACCGGTGGTCTTGCCGCCCCGTTGGTCGCCGCTGGCATCGGCTCAGTCATGGGCGGCGTTGGACTTGGTTCCACCGCCGCCGCTGGCCTGCTCGGAACTCTCGCACAGAGTGGTGTTGTCGTCGGCAGCTTGTTCGGCATTTATGGTGCCCGCCAAACATCCAAGATGATGGACCAGTACGCCAGAGACGTTGCCGACTTCGCCTTCCTGCCTCTGCACGGTGATATGAAAGACGAGTACCGCGATGCCAAGGAGATCCCTCCCAAGGACCGACGCCTGCGCGTTGTCCTTGCGCTCAGTGGTTGGCTGACCCAGAAGGAAGATGTGGTCAACCCCTGGCGCTGCATTGGCCACCAAGGTGAGGTATACGCTGTGCGGTGGGAGGTTGCCAACCTTATGAATATGGGTAACTCGCTTGAGACCGTCATCAAGAGTACCGCCTGGAGTGTTGCCAAGAAGGAAATCATCACGCGGACCAGTAAGTCTTTCGACCTCTGAACCCGGTACCACATAAGCTGATTGTCGTACAGTCTTTGCCAGTCTTATGTCGGCCATGTGGCCCATCGGCCTCCTCAAGGTCAGCAAGGTCATCGACAACCCCTGGAGCGTCGGCATGGTCCGAGCTGAGAAGGTTGGCATGATTCTGGCCGAGGCCATCAGCCGAAAGGTGCAGGGTGATCGACCCGTCAGCCTGATCGGCTACAGTTTGGCTGCCCGAGCCATCTATACGTGCTTGATGGTGCTTGCAGAACGCCGCCAGTTCGGTCTCATCGAGTCGGTCGTCATGATCGGTACCCCAGCACCATCAGAGAGCCGTGTCTGGCTCGCACTGAAGAGTGTCGTTGCAGGCAGACTTGTCAATGTCTACTCCGAGAACGACTATATTCTCGGCTTCCTGTACCGCACCTCCAACCTTCAGTTTGGGGTTGCCGGACTGCAGCCCATTCAGGGCGCCGAGGGCGTAGAGAACTACGACGTGAGCAGCATGGTTAGCGGCCACCTCAGGTACCAGTACATGATCGGTACCATCCTTAAGAACATCGGCTGGGAAGACCTCGACTATGCGCAGGTTGAAAAGGATGAGCAAGTCCTCAGGCTCATGGATGAGAAATACGGTCGCGACAAGAGCCAGAAGCCGCCCTACGTCGACATGGACAAGGAAGCCGAGCACATCCAGGAAGAGGTCAAGCAGAAGAACGACGCCAAGCTCGAATCGACAATGAGCAAGATGAAGATCCAGAACTAGGCTACTACGAAGTGCATCTTGGCTGAGTTGATCGGTAGAGTTATCGTTAGGCATAAGCCACTATTATTGGACGCGATGGACAACGTGGATAATGGACGGACTTTTGCTACAGAATTAGCAAAGAAACATGAGAATATGGCAGACACGATTGTAACAAACTAGCAACGAGAAATGGAAAGGAACTTGTCTATCAAATATGCTGGTTCTTACCGGGTATCATGATACCTCCTTTCTGCTCTGAACAATGAAGTACTTCCCAGCCGTTCTAGATGCTGTCTTGAGAGGATCCCAGTCTTCAACGCCCTTGGTGTCGACTTTTTCTCCACGCAGTCTCTTAGGTCGCTTTTTATGGCCGAAACGGATCTCCTTGCCCAAAGCGTCTTGCAACTCTTGGAGTCCAATTGCCGCCTCTGCGACACCTTCAGTTGTCTCATCGCGCAGCGAGCGCAACGGCTCGACTCCCGTTGTGTCTACGCTCTGGACGTCGCGCACAAAGTGCAGTTGCGAATGTAGTGTGCGCAGCATCGCAGACTCTTCAGCTTCAGATTCCGGGAGTGGGAGGGCGGATAGACGGAGGAGGTGATGCAACTTGACACGAGAGATTGGTTCTTCTGTAGAATTCGGGGGGGCATCGGCTTTCGAACCAGGCGGGAGAAGGGACGCGACGGACCACACCGGTTTCGAGAGGAGCGCCGACGCGGAGTTGGATATTGAGGGTCGGGCGGAAGAGGACGTGAATCGTCGGGCCTGTCGAAGAAGGGCGCTGCAGCGCCTGCAGACGGGGCGCATCTTGACTGCTTCCAGAAGTCGGCTATTTGGGTGTCCGTGTATGCTGTCTTTGGGGAAATTGACAAAGGATTGAAGAAGTCGCAGTCAGAATGTGAGAACGGAGTTGTAGTTGAAGTTGGAAGCTTCGGCTGGGGAATTAATTTGGAGCTTGAACCCTTGCTATCCTCTTTTTCCCTGCAACGTACGGGGTACAATAAGCTGCAGAGCGGTACCCAAGGTCGGAGGACAGGTACCAGCGAATCAGGGTGCTCACTGCAGCGCCATTCCACCAAAGAACCTTGAGTGTGTCACTGGGATTTACAAGAGCGGTGATACCACATTGCCAGCTCTGGCTAATCCATTTCCCTCACTAACATACCAGTTTCCTTCAATCCATGCAGAGACTCTACCAAGAAATATAGGAATAATCTGTCACGCAGAGTTATTGAGAGCAGATTTAAGGGTTTATATTAGGATTAGGGGTCAGTCATATTAGGGATAAATTAGGGATAGATGTAGGGTCAGGAATATAAGTACGTTTAGATTGATATATTTCGGAGTGGCAGCGGATTAGCTAAAGCTAGCAGGCGCGCAAAGCCACGAGTCTCAGCTAAGCCACAGCGACAAAGACCCCCCCCCCCAACGTCATTGGGAGTTAGCGGCAGGAGCAAGCCCGCCCGAAGTGGGCGGGTGTGGTGCATGTTCGCCTGAAAGTCACTTCCGTTGCGCTGCTACACCTTGATGCCACCAACGACCATAATCCCACCACCGCTCTCCCGAATAATCGCGACCTGTCCTCTCCGTTACGACACGTACGTATCAAAGTCTCTGATAACCCGACGGCGTACCGACGAAACATCCACCACTTCGAAAGTAATCCTTTCCGAATACCGAACGAGATCCACAGCCATAGAATTCCGGTGTGCTTGATTCAATTCCGAAACCATGGCTCAGGACCCTCGCGCTCTGCTGCAAAAGGTGTGTTGATAGACTACTATGCCGACTTTTTGGCACTTCTCTTTTTATCTATCTCCCTGGTATGTTCCCAGACTGTGGGACTGTAGGGCGCCATGCGGAGGCTCGAGAAATTGGTTGCAACGTGTCGCAACTTTGCTGACGAGTTCGCGGTCGCATAGGCAGACAAGACGCTCTCGAGCGCCGGCGGTGGCTTCAGCTTCTTCGGCGGTCGTGAGGATAAATACCAGAATGCCGCGGACCTGTACATTCAGGCCGCCAACGCCTTCAAGATGCAGAAGCTCAGTCAGTCTCTCCCCGCGACCTTATTGTTCGCTCAGACTCCCATTTTCACCACCATGCCTCTCCTATGACCCTCCTCTATAAACGCCTTGGCTGACCAGTGGCAAACTCTCCCGCCAGATCGCGAAGCAGGCCAAGCCTTCGAGAAGGCAGCTCAAGTACAGACCAACAACCTCAAGGAGCCCGACGACGCCGCCAACACGCTCGTCGACGCCTTCAAGGCCTACCGCAAGGACGACCCGGAGGCGGCGGTGCGCTGCCTCGACGTCGCTGTGAACCAATACTGCGCCAAGGGCAACTTCCGCCGCGCGGCCGGCCACAAAGAGGCGCTCGGCGAGCTGTTTGAGACGGAGCTCGGCGACTCGAAGCGCGCGCTCGAGAGCTATGAGGCCGCGGCGGGGTGGTACGAGGGTGATAACGCTGCTGCGTAAGTCGACCTGCCTCTCTGGCACACACATACACTCTCTCCCTCCCCCGGACACAAAGATCAAAGCGTTATCCGCGAAATCGCCACTGACCATGTAACACTAGTCTCGCAAACAAGCTCTGGCTCAAGGTCGCCGACGTGGCCTCCCTCGAGGGTGACTACTACAAGGCCATTGAGAACTACGAAAAGGTGGCTGCTGTGTCCATCAACAACAACCTGATGAAATACTCGGTCAAGGACTACTTCCTTCGCGCGGGCATCTGCCACCTCGCCACGGGCGACATGGTGGCCGCCCGCCGCGCTGTCGAGAAGTACACCGATATGGACCCCGGCTTTGCCCAGCAGCGCGAGGCCATGCTCCTTAACGACCTGCTCGCTGCCGTCGAAGGCGGCAACCAGGAGGAGTTCACCGACAAGCTTTTCCAGTATGACCAGGTCAGCAAGCTGGACAAGTGGAAGACGACGATGCTTGTCCGCGTCAAGAACGCCATTGAGGAGCCCGAGGACGAGTTCGCCTAAGTTTTGGCCGCCCGAAGGACGGAGAAACGATGGGAGAGCATGAGGGAAGAACGCGGCAGGTCGTGAAGAAAGATATCAAAGAGCTTGCCCCCAGACCCTTTTCCTATTTTTTCATTATTTTTTTTGTAGGCCTTTGTCCCCCCCCCTATCCATGGAGCCGTGAAATGAAATCATGGATTGTGAGATGGACACAGGAGAGGAAACCACATTTGCCCTGGGGTCAGGGAAGAGCTGAGAGCACGGTTTGTGCTTGGGGGGGTTGGGGCAGCTTAAGAGAAAGGACCGAGAGAAGGGACCAAGAGAAGTCAACCAGGAGAACCAGCATGTAGTCGTTTGCCCCCCATCCGCTTGAATAGAAACTCGCATCCTATGAGCCAACCGCCCGATGGTCTCGAACCCTGTGTCACAAAACAACGTCAGATCACAGTGTGCAGATGCGCGCGGCTGAAGTTGACCATCCCAATACCTCGGGGAGGGGCCTATGATGTTTATTTCGTTTCCTCTTCACCTCTTTAATCTAATCTGGCGCGCAGAAGACCGAACGAAAAAGACCTAACAGCGTTGTGGCTACAAATAGGCCAGTGTGTGTGACTTGACGACCAGTCAAGCCTCGCCATAATTGAACATTTCCTCTCGCTCACTGATGCCCTTCTCTAATGGTTTGCTTGCTAGTTTGCACTTCCTGCTCGACAACAATGCGATTATCCGGAAATGGCTATAGAAAATCCAAATCCCTGCTCACAAGTGGAATCTAAAAAAGAATTGACAGAAAAGACGGCTTCTAATGAGGACCTCCTGGCCCCCTTTTTACCCCCAGACTCCTCCCTTATGCCGAAGTGGTTTTGTACAGTTCTGCCTCCCGCCGTTTGCTAACACACAGTCTCCCTATAGTACAGTGCAGGAAAGCAGAATGGGAAATGGTCGTCGAATCATGGCCCGGTGTTGTGCCGACAGTTGTCATCGTCGGTTCAAAATTTGGGTGGACTGCCAACCATGCTGGGAACTTGCTTCCGGATGAGACCTCGTGTCCGTTGCTCTGCCCGAGGGACGCCCTGGATCGCCCGAGGCTCTCTCATGAGACTGGGATCCAGCTTGGTGGGAGTCCGGGTGACCACGGTGTGGTACTCGCCGGGAAATTTGGCGCTGGGAACAGGCACCGAAGCCGTCCGCCACATGTGGTCAGAGGTGTCGCCCAGGTAAGTGGGTATCTTGAGCTTTGACGGCGCAGCAAAGCCCGACGCGTTGCTCGATGCGCCATGCGACATGCGGATGGTTGACAGACGCGAAAATCCCGTCGAGAGCCCCGGCCGGCCACGAGCCTTCTTCGCCATAATGATCTCATCAAAAAGACGAATCGAAGAGTCAGTGGCCAACTGAGTCTCTCGCTCGTGAATGAATTCGTTGAAAGCTGGCGCAAGTTAGCATGAAATGAAAGAACAGAGATTACCAGACAACTCTCACCTTGAGTATCTCTCAACATCGTAGCATACTCCTGTTGGTCATACGGTAGACTCTTGATGTAACCATTCATGTCGAAGGAGTAGTGCTGACCATTGCTCTTTTGCTCCCGGGTAGGACGGCCGAGGTGCTTCCTGTAAGTGTACAGCAAGCTGGCGAGACACCGGACAAAGGAGGCCCGAACACGATCCGAGTGGAACGCTTCCTTGCATACCACAGAAACTTGTCCGAGGCAGCGGTTGTGAGCATAGCCATTGCAGTGGGAGCACTGGTATATGCCATCTCCCTCGGATTTATCGTCGCAGATCGAACAGGTGGACGACATATCGTGAGGGATCCAATTGAAGCAGTGGCCCTCAACCCAAACCATGGTATCGGTATTTCGCACGGGCTGGACCAGCATGTTGGGCATGATGGTCGATGCTGCCAGTGTGGACTGGGCATAGGCCGACGGGGCATAGCCAGGCGTGTAGCCTCCGTACGAAGACTGCGAGTCGACTGACACGGCGGACAACGACATGCTAGGATTGTGGCCGTTCAGGAAAGGCAAGCTGGGCCGGTGCAGCGGCGGGTGCTTATCCATTCCGAAGGATGAGCTGCGACGAGACTTTTCGTCAAAGTGACCTGATTTCTTCTCCCTCAGTGTTTGGGCGAAACCAGAGTCGCTTCGGGATACTGGCGTAGTCGGCATTGGCGGGAAGTTCATGGAAATCGGCGAAACAGACGACTGCGGGCTCGTTTTGCCGGACTTGCTGGTACCGGGGCGGTCCGACTTGCTGTGGTCGCCTGCCTTTGAATGCAGGAAGGCATTGAAGATCGGGGGTCGCACCGAGTTCGGCGGATCCGGCTCCCCAAACGATGAGGAGTTCTGCGTGACCCATTTGCCGAGGGAACTAGAGGTGACACTAGAGTTGAACAACGTATCGTTCTCGACCGAAAAGGCATCATATGGGTACGACTCCATCGCGTATGGCGGAGGACCGGTAGTCACTCCATACCGAATATGATGCGGGGCAGCCACGTGCAAGAGGGAGATGAGCTTGCGGCGGTGCTGCCGCGGCAGGCGGACAGGTTGCGCAGTAGCGTCGATCGTATCCATGTCCAGGTCGACCAACACATAATCGTCGTCCGGCAGCTCGATCTTCTCATAGCGTCGCTCGATACCGACGATGTATGGGCAAGGCGCCTCCAACGCGGAGATGAGACGTGCGGGAAGCACGGGGATGAAGATGCTCGCCCACTTAAGGGGATACAACAGGCTGGCCAGTGCATGGCATGCCAGATGGAGCATGCCGGTGTGGGAGGACATGAAGATGATGCGAGACTCCGACATGGCATACTCGAACAGGGCAACGATATTCTCAATGGACAGGCACCTGAACAAGGCGTAGATGTCAATGGTCCTTGATCCTGGGATCTCGTTGATGGCCTCCTTTCGACAGTACAGCCGCAGCTCCCTCACGCCCAGCTCGACCTGTGTTTTGGAGCCCAGCGGGCTAAACGCCTCGGTGCAGAGGTTGACGACATACCGCTCGAGAGGTTGCCAGCGGCCAACCTTGGGTGAGCTAGGGGGCACTCGAAGCACAGCGCCATCGGTCATTGGCACGACAACGGCTCGCAGCCACTCTTTCCAGAACGTCATTCTCGTGGGGTCTCTTCCCAAGATACCGTAGGCCCTGGGTGCCCACAACCCACTCTCTCCGGCAGTCAAGCCGTCGATCTTGGATGCGGCACCATGCCGCAGCGGTCTCAACATTTCTGTCATGAGACTGATCTTCTCCTCCACGGTGCTGATCTGATCGTCGAGAGTGTCTCGAGCGGAGGATCCCGAGGGGATTGTGGGGAGCTTTGCAAGGAGCTGAGAGAGGTGAGCACGCTCGGCTGCCAGTCGCACACCTAGACTGGCGGCCAGCTCCCGCTCCTCATTGGACATGTGGCCCTGCCGCCACTGCTCACACTTCTGTTCAACCTCATCCGCAACCTCGGACGTCAGGGCAGTCCAGATTATAATGGTGATGCCGTAGATCTTGGAATTATCGTCCGAGGTCATGGTGAAACCGTGCCACGTGGAACGAGGGCGCTCGTCTGAGGAGACGATCTGGATGTCGTTCGGGAAAGCAAACATGGGTACGTAGTCCGGAAACTTGCCACGACGGCTGATTTCGTCTGTTGCGTCCTTGGCAGGATATCTGTCCAACAGCACGGGCTCGAAACGTCTCTTGAGGGGATGCATGTCTGGGTCCGTGTTTAGGGGCTCTGGGGGAGGGATGACCGAGTTGTAGTTGCTCAAGCGCTTAGCAGTCCTAACAGAAGCTGGAGCTAGGGAGTTAGTTGACCGGAAAGGACTTGAGGATTGCGTTACGGAGGAGGGTGATGGACCTTGGCGGGGAATTGTACCGGCTCCCGGCGTGCTTGCTCGAGGAGTGGTGGGCTGTTTGCGCATGCTATTCATGTCTCGGAAGCTCATTTTGCGACGAATGCTGCCCTTGATGCTTCTCTCGATGCTGCGTAACGGGCTTCGCCGGCCGCTCATGTCGCCCTCGTCGGCTTTGATGCGCTCGGCTCTCGGGTTGACCATGGGAGGTCGGGCTTGTGTTCTGGCACCAGCACTGAAGGACAGGTCCTCGAGGAAGTTTTCCCGTTCGGCAGCAAACTTGAATAGGGCCTTGTCAAAGTCGAACCCCTCGATGAACTGCCCTTCGGCGTCCATGCCATTCAGGCTGGGTAGGCCATTGAAAATATTGAGACCATTACCGCCGGAGCCACCGCCGGAGGAGCCGTTGATCTGGCTTGAGTGAGAGGGACGAATAGTGGCGCTGCTCCGGTTGCTTCGCGTGTTCCCGTCGACTTCGTCCAAGGTGTGGATGGAAAACCGACCGTTGGAGATGCGGCCGCCCGAGTTCTGCCTGGAATGACGGCCGACGCTCGAATGACGAGCCACTCGCTTGCTCGGGGTTGCATTTACGTCGGCATCGCTCTCCTCATATTCGCTGTCCTCGGCGATGGTGGACTCGAGGTTGGAGGGGGGGGGCTGCGGGGTAGAGTCCTTGTAGGATATAGACTCTACGCCAGCGATCCAGAAATAGTCGGCGAGCGGCGTCGAGGAGCTGTCCATGACATGTCACTTGCTGGTGACCAGCCGGATTGGCGATTGAGCGATGTTGTCTTGGCCGGCGAGGATTTTTTATTCCCTCCCAACGTCTCTTTGCTCTCGCGAGGGGGGCTGGCCCTGGCTTTTAATCGCGAGAGGGTCTCGGGGTCCTTTGGTAAGTTGACTGGTCAGGTCGGACTAGGGGTGGTACTTTGAGGTACAATTCGCTGCGGTGCGGTGGGCGGCGACAGGGCAGGGGTTGAGGGCCGGGATCCGGGAGGTCCTTAGGGAAAAAAAGTCTCAGGCGATGACTGTAAAGGAATCGGCTCGTTTAGCTACGGACTCCTGTCGAGGTCTCCATCCGGGACTGGAGAAGAGGAGGGGGAACAGAAGGCGGTGAGCGCACGAACCAGGGAAAAATGCGACTGCTTCTCGGCCAGCGACAGCGAAGACACCAGCAGCGGAGCCAAGGGAGCAGGTGAAGCAAGGAAGCCGGAGGTAAAGGATCGAACCGGATCGGGGGCGGAAAGCAACGCTGTTGCGTTGGGTTGCTAGGTGGAGAGCAACCAAAGGTGAAGATGATTTGAGGTTGGGCTCCTGGAAGGTAGCGCGGAGGTGTGATGTCCAGTGATGGGGCTCGCGTAGTGAAGGAAAGAGGCAGTTAAGCAAGTGTGCAGGGTAGGTTAGATGAAGCAGGCGAAGACAGTTTGAGTCAAGGTCGAAGAGCGAATCAATAACAGGAAGAACAGGAAGCCGCCAAAGGAGTGACGAAGACTGCGGACGTTGGAGGTTGTGGAAAGGTGGAAGTGAGAGGCGAGGAGTGATAAGGCGTCAATCAGCCAGATCGAACGAGGTTGGTGCCAGAACCAGGCAGGCTCTGGTTCAAGTGGTCCAGGTTTAGGTTGGCCGTGGCGACTTGGTCAAAGATAACGACGGCAAACGAGACAGAGGGGATGTTGTCTTGTTTTCCTCCCCTCGCGTCAATCTCTCGGTGACACAAACTTTCTCCCTCCCCCCTTCGTTTTTTCGGCAGTGACGGACGAACAGACGCAGAGCCTCCCAAGAGAAAAAAGAAAAGAAAAGCAACAAAGAGGAGATTTCGTGGCGACGGGCTGCGGAACGAGTCGTTGGATGGAGATGAAGAGAGAGTAAAGCAGAAAAGAAAAGAAAAGAAAAGCGAGAGAGACAGAGGCAAGATAGAGAAACAGGAACTGGCCCGGTCAGGTACCAGAAAGCCACGCGCCAGCGGTTATTCTTTTTTTGTTATCTTATTCCCCTGGCGGCATAGCCGTTCGTTCTCCCTTGTATTCTATTCGTAGAATGGGAAGCAGGTCGATAGACAGACATGCACGAGAGGCAGGTACGGATGGTAGTTCCGGCTCAGGCACAGGCGCAAAGTGGAAGGCGACGGCGGGCATCTAACAACAACAGCCGTGGGAGGGACAGTTTGGGACGCAATGGGAAACTAGGGTGGTGATCGGGCTCAGCGCCAGAGAGAAAAAGGGCAAGCACCAGCCCTTCAGGCCCCTTCATTAGCTCGTCGCCTGTTGGCGTTACCTGTCCGTAGAGGGGAGGAGGTGGTGTGCGGTCTGCGAAGGGGGGTGTGAGTTATAGACGCTAAACTGTGGTTACATAGTATGGTGATGGTGATGGCGGTGGTGGTGGTGGTGGTGGTGGTGTGGGAGGGGGTGGGGATTGATTGATACGGAACGCCAGGCGGGCAGCACAGTGGACCGAGAGGAGCCTCTCTCTCTCTCTCTCTGTCCCTCTCTGTGACCCTCTCTGTGTCCCTCTCTCTTTCCTCTCTCGCTCTCACCACAGTATCGTGCCCAACATGCGCAATGCTGCCACTTGCAGGCGTATGTGACAGCGTGCGAATGCGACTGGGGTTAGTCACCACTCTGAGGAAAGTGAGAGTGACACTGGGGAGTGAGTGTCCAGGATTGTGATGCGCAACAGCCAAGGGGGTCACAATGCAAAATGTTGCAGGGAAGCTCGAGACCAAATATCGGGGCCCGACTGGGTCATCCCACCAATTTACTACCTACTGCTGTATAGAAGACGCGTTTTTGATGGTGTGAACCACACCCGTGCATTTCAATGCGCCATGGTCAGGTACCCCTAGCCATGCTCTACATACAGTACCTAGTAGCATACCAACTATGTAGCCATTCACACCTTGAGCACAAGGCTGTTTGACGTGACATATCGAACCTCGGTACGCTGCAGTGTGGTGGTATATACCATACCACCTGCCATCACCCGCATGCTGTGCCAAGTATCATACTGCACTGGATTTCGCCAAGCATCTCGTCAGTATCCGTATATAGGTATCCGTACTACATCATGGTTTCTACTCGCGGTTGTGTCTCTGATATGCCCTACGTGGATGGACTATGTAGATAAGACATGCCAGACTGGATTGGTGTATATGTCAGGTTAATCCCCCGCCCTTGTTGGGTCAAGGTGACGGATAACTAATTGGTGTGTTTCACACCGACTTGTTTTACTCTCTTTCCCCCTACGCGAGATCTCAGGAAGGCGGGAAGAAGGAATGACACCTGCAGTAAGACTCCATCGAAGATATGTCTCTCAATAACCGTTACGTGTCTCGCGTCTTCCTACTAGCTGGCCGTGTCAACAACGTTTCTCTATTGTTCTTGACCCTCCACCAGGACATTGACCATCTATCTACCTATCCATGGCGTCCTTGATTTTCACCTCCTTCCTCTTGGTTCTCTCTCTCTCTCTCTCTCTCTCTCTCTCTCTCTCTCTCCGTCTCTCTTATTGGAGTCTTTCTTTCCGTCTGAGCTGCAATCGATTAAAGTCATGCAATAAGCTCCTACAGAAAATATCTCCTTGTCTCTTCCACCCCCTTGCAGGTCATGTACGTAGTAGTAAGTAAACTACGTACGGATCGTGGCTATGAACACACGGATAAGGCATGCGCAGGTTGGTGAAGCGTGAAGACCGCACTTGGGAGCAAGCCCCCTTCTAGGCCGTGAGCTAGCGTTGCCAGGGAGAGCCTAGCTGGCTAGCAACCCTCCACCCTTAGACAGGCGACGACAATTTGGGCCTGAGCATCCCTCCCCCCTGGACTATTCATACCGTCGTGGGCAGTTGCCTGTCGATCATCTCAGGACCATCATGATTGGGCTTCCGCAGGGACCCACTTCACCCATAATTGTTCATCCATAGATTATGCCCATTAGGAGGTAGTGTACGGATACGGAGTAGTCTGATCTGTACAAAAAGACCCTTTCTGGCGTGAACTTGGTCCACGAGAGTGCTGGAGTGACACCCACCACCCTCCTCCTCCAGCATCCACTCTCGCTCCTCTCCGAGCCAAGGGCTCGGAGATCTATCATCTTTTTTCAGCTCCAAGCCCACTCACTTCCCACCGAGGTGTGTGCATTGTACTCTACTATAGCACTTCGCTCTCTCCCCTTACTCGTCGTTTGATTCTGCCAAACGCCCGGCGTGGCATAATGTACATATCAGTACTTGCCTAGCTGCCTAGGTAGGTAGCCTGGTAGCTGCCGGGGCATCCTCTCCTTGCCTCCCAGAATTCTCATCTCTCATCTGTCAGCTCTCACTTTCTTTCCCGACCCCGGCCCGCTAGTTTTGAGCATTTCGCGTCCCCATTGTCTCCACGAAGTCCTAGGCGCCTGCTCCAATGAGAGGGGGATCTGACTTATGAGCCATTCATACTCAGCGCTAGCATGCAACGGCGACTGCGCCTGTCATGCAGACACACCAGTATCCCACGCCTCTTTCTCCAGAAACGCACGTGTAAGAAACATTCCACCACGAGGCAACAAATCCCAGCACTGCGTTTGTGACTGAATGCGTACAGCCAGCCATACACGCCTCCTCCCATCTCGCAACACTCTTCTTAACGCACCAAATGATAACAAAACCACGGATGCGGACGACCGTCCCTCATCCACAAAACCCAGGGTCTCTAGCTGATGCCCGTTCGCTTCATTCAACGAGGACGGTTACTGGCAACCATTACCTCATGCTGCAGCTTGTGAGGACTGAGATGCCGCGCACCGGTCGGTGTTTGATTCATCCCCGATTCAAACACTTTCGGAACAAAAACCACCCAAAAAACAACGATCCTTGCATGCTGCGGTGGTACCATTCGTTATGGGTGGGCCATCTCCACCAGACGTCGTATCCCATCCTCATGGTTGTCAAGTGAATTGAGATCCTTGTTCTCTCCCCTGGGCCGCTCCTCGTCCACACTGATTCTGTTCAATGCTAAACTTCCTTGTCAGCGCGCCTGTCCCGCTACCTACTATGGTATGTCGATGGTGATAATGATGATGGTTCATACAACTTACAGGTACCCTCACTCCCACGAACGATTCTTAACACAAATTGTCGAGATCCGCATGTTCATCCGACTACCACGGCCAAGACCATGGTGAGAGTCTTTGCCAACCTAGTTGACTCACCCATCCACCACAAAAGTCAGCCAGCCAACCATGCAAGTTGCCCAGGGGTTGTCTGGCTCATGCTTCACACCCTTTCCGTCTGTGGGTAAAGTCTCATTGCCCTCTCACAGCTCTGAGAAGCAACCCACGGGGTCGACCGGCTGCAGTACATCAGGCAGGCTCTTTTGACACGCAAGGTATTTCAATGAATACGAACGGACGCGCGAAACTGGGGCAGAAGAGCAAACCAGCAGCAAGATTCAACTAAGGCGGCCTGCATTCCACCATCGCTCCGCTTCCAAGCACTCCTCGCCCCGTCGTCCTATGCACCTTGCCTCGAGCCGGCCTCTATCAAAAATCCTCCTTCAGGCGTAACTGCTTGCCAAGTTGCATGCCTCGCAGCTGCCATAAGTGAGTAACTAAGGGAGCACCCACCTTACCATGCATTTACATGTTTCAGAATGTCGTCGATGGAAATGTGTCCTGGTCCCATTACCCTGAATGGGTCTTCATCCGCCGCGCGCCGACGCCTATGTCGGACATGACCGTGGATGGCTGCCAGAATCGGCCACGGCGGCTCAGAGCGAACCGCACCGATTTTGGACACGCACAGAGGATATACTACATATGTAAGATCATCTCATTCTTAGTAGGCTGAGGGTTTATGCCTGACCGTGGGCCCGAGATTCCGAACATGGCGGGCAAGGATCGGCGCACAGCTTCAATCGTCTGTGGGTGATTCGGTGCGTGCTTGGTGCTCACTGGCTGTAATCCTCCCTAGAGCCAGCCCATCACGAACCCCTTCCGATCAGCCGAAACCCAAATACCAACCAGCACCGGGAGACAGCAACAATGGCAATTTACTCATTCATCACGTCTGGGAGCCCCGGGCCAGCTCTTGGGATATTCTATAGAGATACGAGCCATGCGGATACGCCAACAGTCGCGCAACCCTTGAACCTAGGTCGCCTGTGAAGGTTGTTCCCGTCAAACCCGCACACAGAGGCCAGCAGACCTTGGACACATTGTACACAACGGTCCAGGAACAAGGACGGCTCGACGGGAACGTCAGCCACTGCAGACTCCTATTTTCTGCAGCCAGTCAAAGCCTGAAGAAGTCTTTGTTTCAGATCTCGCCTGCATACCGAGTCAACCTGCGCGCTAGGCATTTTGTAGCGTACAGAAATATATTAGCTGGCACTTCATGGTCTGGCCTAGCCTAGGTGCCTTATCTGGCCCCTTGCACGCGATAGAAACTCGTCATTACACCGGATTTGGATCATCCTAAAAAAAAAGTTTGCCGCTAGGAAGGCACGTCGTATGGAACCCCAGTCGTTCTCATTGGGAACGCTAGTACGGATGTCCTGTACCCAGAACTGAGGTTGGGATGGATGCCCACGGCCGGAGCAATAAGATTGAGCTGCCTCTCCAAAACCGCCCTCCTTGTGGTTGTGCCTTGAAGGCCTCGTGCTAGGTCGAAGAGATGAGATCCGGTGGTGGCTCTCCTCATTACATTAGCCGCAAGACGCCCAAAGCGGACGACTATCTCATCCCACATCTCAATCAATCTCCAACACCGGCCTGTCCAGAGCAGGAAAGATGCTCGAATACGGCGAGGCCACATGTTGGTCCAATTCATTTGTGAATGCAGGATGCGGAGCAGGTTCTTCCGAACGGAGTACATCGTACATAACGGAAGCAGAGCAACCAAAGCTGCGGAATCCCTGCTCGCCTGTCCTTGTGTGACCCAGCATGTCACTTTGAGTACCTATAACAAAGACCTCTGCATCAACGACAAGAAAAGCATACCGTCACAGCGTCGACCCCTATTTCCTTCCGGCAAAGCACAGAGACATTTGGAGAACGACCCTCTGGAAACGGGGGTAGGGGGCATGGAGCGAGAATAGATCCCTCGGTCTATAGTATCGGGACGCCGTAGATACGCAACGGACTGTCGAGGTTTTGTCCACACCAACCACTGTTGGGGGCTCTGGCCGGATAGGGGAGACTCAGGGGATATATTCAAAATTTCTGACATGACAACTTGGGTAGAGCGCTACCTGGTGGCGCAGCCCAAGCGCGAGGGGGGGGGAGGAACTTGCGCTACGGTTATGGCTCGACACTTTCAGGACATAGACCATACTCTAGCTGAAGATGAATGTGAGCCGCCCAAGACGCGGTTCCAGTTCCCCTGGACGCGGTAGCGCCTCCCCTTCCTCGGAGGCTTCCTCGTCGGTGGCTACCTTCACCCCCAAACCGCGAAGGGTCTGCCCCGCGCGGCACCTGTCGTGATGCGGCAATGAGCTATGGGCAATGGTGGTTTGGTCGGCCTTCAACACGTGCGAATCCAGCCTCCGCTGCTCATCTAGAGATCTCCAGTTCGAGCACGGCCCCGGATATCCTTTTCCTGATCGGACTAAAGCCTGACAACGGCGCGGCCTGCTCAGACGGTTCTCCTGACACCGGTATGCCACTGCCGCTTAGCCAATGGACCCCTTGACCCCTTAACCCCTTGAGCCTTTGGGAAAGCCGCCGTAACTTGTCTGGCTTTGAAAAGTGCTCGCCTGTCAAGATCACGCTCAGGCGACGTGTCTCGCGCCAAGCTTGCCCGTGGAAAGGAAGCCCCTGTTGCCCATCTCCCCCCTCCACCCGATGCCAAGGACGCCAAATATGATCCGGCCGTCCTCGCCTGGCTGGGCCCGAGGGGACCCCTCGGCCTCCTCCACGACGAAGCACACCTGCTCGACCTCCCCTGGGTGCAGCACCGGCCGCGCGCCGCCCCCGGCCTCCCAGTTGCAGTCCGTGTAGCTCAGCCCGTCGACGAGGTCCAGAACGACCTTCTCGAGCTGTATGACGTCCTCGGAGCAGTTCTCGAGCTGCGCCTCCATGGCCCACCGCCTGCGGCCCCCGTGCCGCCCGCCGGAGGCGCCGAGAGGCCCGATCTTGGTGCGGACGATGAGCGAGGACTTGCAGATGAACTGGTACAGCTTGCGGAACGTGCGGGTCTTGCCCGAGGTCTCGGTCGCCTCGTAGTAGCTCACCGTCACGGCGAGGACATGGTTCCCCTCCTCCTTGAGATCGAAGTCGACGATGCGCTGCAGCGTGTCGCCCGGGCCGAGGTCCGTCCCTTTGGCGTCGCCGCCGTTGGCGGCGGCATGGTCGGGCGGGGAGAGCTCGAGCTTCTGGACCGAGTTTGCGCCGGGGGTCTTCATTTCCGCCTCGATGCGGACGTCGCGGATGCTTTTGCGCTTCGGGGCGCCACCGCCGCCGCCGGGGAGGGGCTGCCCCCCCGGACCAACAAGGGGTGCGGGGTCGGGGACATCATGATTCGCGCATAGGGTGCAGCTGAAGACCTCGCCGACGTAAGCGGAGCCGAAGCTCAGCGGGAGGTTGAGGATCGGGGAGAGGATGAACGGGGCAGGATTCGTGGCGCCAGTCGTGTCGTATGCGAGGGAGGCTGGGGTCGCGTCGACAGGGACGGTGGAGGGAGTCAGGGGCGCGCGGATCGGGTGCTGGGTTACGAGCGAGGGACGGGAGAGCCTGGTTGTTCACAAAGGGGTCACGGGTCAGAATACAGGCACTGTTGATCTACGAAGGGAGCGGAAGGGGGATCACGAAGGGGGCGCAGGTGCGGTAGGGGTGGGTAGGTAGGTAGCTACCTGAGGACTTTGAGGGAGACGGAGTGTGGCTCCTTTAGGGGGTCGTGGGAAGGGTATCTTTGGTGGCTCATCGTGTTCGAGTCCCCTCGTTTCCCCGGGAATGGCAGGAGGGCCAGAGAGTGTGCGGGATTGGAGCAGTTGTCGAAAGTCGGGCCGGTGGAGGACAATGGAAAGTGACAATTGGGAGGGAGTTTTGGAGATCTTCAGTGGGACGAAATGACGATGGAGCCTTTAGCTGTGGTGGATACCGGGTGTGTTATCGATAAGAATGCCGCCTGGCAGCAAAGGCCCGGCAGAGCTCTTCCCCGCATCATTCCGCGTGGCCCACCCGATTCGGGGTTCCGGGTCAGCTGCCCGTGGTTTCGGGGTCGGCGGCGGATTAGCGCACTATCATCTGCTGTTTCCGAACATCGCATGGCATGGGGGCGATTTGTTTTCACTGTCGGATCTTGTGTGATCTGGGCACTGAAGCTTGACTCAAATGTACCTTCAAGTTGGCATCCTACCGGAAAAGCCCAACGATCCTTTTTATCCCTTAACTTGGTAGGCAACCAGAGGCTGGTTACACATATCGTAGTGAGAATGCCTGTGGTGTTCCAGCAATTTAAGGTTCCAGTCAAGGGCTGCTTAGGATCTGTCCTTTCACCACTCCGGACTTATGACTCTTTCCCTGTAGTTGAAGAATAAATACTGCTCGATAACGAACGATGCAGGCCTGGCTTGAATCTGCTGCAGTCTTTCGGACGGTTGGCCATATCCTTTGCTGCTCAACCCCATGGTAGCTATGAGGTCGTAGGAAACGCTAGTTCTAGCAAAGACCCGATACTGATAATCGAATGTCGAATATAATCACCAAGAGAAGGTGAAACATAAATGACTTCAACTTCATTGGAACTTATTCGTCATGTAACCACCTTCCACGTTCCGGCCGAAGCTTGTAAAGTCCCTCCCCTAACGGCCATGTCGTAGTGGCATCGAGTGTATACCATGCCTATGAGCTAACAGCAGGCAGCGTGGTTGGCTTTGTGTGTGTCTGTGTGAACAATCCACTATATTGGTTTCTGCAAACCTCATCCTGGAAAGGAACTGATCACAAGCATGTGCTCAACATTGCGTACCTATCCGCCGAGTCTGGAATGCCCCAGTATGCAGTTCTACTACCCCCGCCTTCTCCACAGACAGCCCTCGACGATGGCTGACTAAAGGATCGTTCCAGGGAAGCAGAGCATCGCGACCGTACGGGGGCTATCATCGGTTCAATTTGGCCCCAAGAATCGGTAACCGGTGAAGACCAAAATAGGCCACTGGACGGGGGTTCATCCCCCTGCACCCCGCCCGCCCATGTATCCAGCGAAATGCGGTAGCGATAGGAAGTTGACCCATCGCAGGGGACGTGTAACTGCTTTCCACGAAGACTAGATCGGAATATGAAATATTCACTGATAGTGGCCACAGGCGATGGCAGTTACAACAGCAACCAGCAAAGTTGCCAACAACTCATATTCAGTCTTCCCTGTGGGGGCCAGCAGTCGTTTCATTACCCACGAAAGTGTCATATCTCCTAAGCTGGCTTGGAATGCTTGATACCCGTCGCGAGGATGGATTTATCGAAGCCACAGTAGCCTGCCACTTCCACGCAATAGGCGACATGATAGGGAGGACATAATAACTCAACTGGAGAGCGGCTGTATTGTACCCACGACAATACGCTCCCTTCTTGCGTCGCCAACAGGTGACACACTCCCGTCAAGGTACGCAAACGAATCGTGCTTTAGAGTTTCACGCTCGGTATAATACAGCAGCAGCCTTACTATACCTGCTATCGGATGCAATGTCCAAGGCCTTGAGCAAGCTCGTATTACTATGTTTAATCATGTACAACCGCAGTCGCTCCTCGGTTCCACCATGTCCATGACCGTCATCTGCGACGTCTCATGCGTTCTCCAGTACGCCTCTACAACCTCTTCTCCTCAGCAAGTTGTCATGTAATGACGACTAGAATTTTCGGAGGCTCTTCTCTCTAAAGACCGGGCGGGGGCGGTACCTGCCATGCATGTTAGCTTTGAAGGTCTTTCGCCTTCAAGTTTCCTATAGGCACTTACTGAGCCATATGCTCCGGTGCCGGGAGGTGAGCCCGATGGGGGTGGCGGGGGCGCAGAGCTTGGAGGGGGTGGTGGTGGCGCGGCCTCGCTAGGCGGCGGAGGAGGGGGGGATGCAGAAGCCCCAGGGGGTGCGGGCGAGCCCTGCTGCTGTGCTTGCGCAGCGGCGTAGTACTGCTGGTACATCTGAACGTAAGCAGCGTAACCACCGTAGGCAGCATACGGGTCCTGTCCGCCGTAGTACTGTGCATACTGAGCAGCGTAATCGGCTCCGGCAGCGGGGCTGTTAGAACCGCCGGGAGGAGCCGGGCTCGCCGATTGAGGAGCACTGTGGCCCCCATAGCCGCTGTGGCCTCCGTGGCCACCTTGGCCACCATGACCTCCATGTCCAGAGTTGTAGCCGCCACCGCCATGGCCGCCGTGGCCTTGGTAACCACCGTGACCGCCACCGTGACCACCATCGTGGCTGCGGGACCGATCGCCATAGCCACCACCGCCGCCGTAGCTACGAGGCGGTCTGCTCTTGAACTCCTCGTATTGCTCCTTAACGTTGGCAATCAAGTCCTCACAAAGCTCCTTGGCCTTCTCAACCATCTTAGGATCAGGACCACTACCTCATGTCAGCAAAGGGACATTTGGGATGTCGGCTGTATGAACTCACGCAACGTGAAGGAACATCTCTTCGTCGCTTTCTTGGTTGGTAGCCGCCTCCAGGTATCCGGAGCCACGTCCCTTGATTTGGACACGGCATTGAGTTTCCTGCTGGATGTGCTTGACGTAGGCACCTCCATGACCAACGACCTGGGCACGAAGGTTGAATCCCGGGACAGATTCCAAGCCGATGGGGATCTTCTCCTCGGGCCATTTGCGCTACATATTGTTAGCAGATATCAAGACAAGAAAAGGGGTAGCCTCAGTTTGACACGTACTCGGCCGTATTCATCTCTCTCGACTTGCTCTTGATCGCGGCGACGGAAACGACGCTCGTCCACCAGCGCAGGGAGCTCCTGTTTCATGAGTTCTTCTATCTTAGCAACAGCCTGCTCAAGGCCCTTCTTCGATGTGCTCGTGACGTGTAGGTAGAGGGGAGGATTCTGCAAAGGAAGGTAAGTGTGTATTCTAAAGAGTGAAGACATGTAAACATACCGCGGCGGTAGCCATGCTCTTGTCGGGATAATAGTTTCCTCGGGTAGTAACATCTTGCAAAGTCAACCTTGGTTTCTCACACGACGTGTTTATGGGAGATGTTGCGTACCAGCACCGGTCTCTTCTTTGATCTAAATCAAGCAAATGGAGTCAGCAGGTGCCAAAGAGGGGCGATCTGTGCGAGCTATCGTGCCAAGTAAGCAGGATGATCTCGACACAAATCTATGGATATGTAGGAAAGCGGAATTCGCCCGAGGCGAGGCCTGGAAGGGAATAATGATCAGTGGTTTTACACAGGAGTATTTACCATCTTCTGAGTCGATCCTTTGGTCAGGAGGTATCTGTTGCGAAGGTCGTTCACTTCAATGTCTTTGATGTAGTCGCCATCGGCAATATACATCTCGCCATTGATCGTGTTGGCCGGATCGGGCGACTGCGCACCGCCGACAGGGGAAGCCGCGGTTTTGATCGGGGGAACATCGACGTGCTGGATGCCTTTCTTCGCCTGCAGTTGCGCGTTGATTCGAGCGGCAGCGGCGGCTGAGAGTCTACAGTTAGCCATTCATTCAACCCTGCGAAGAGGACACGGGATAATCCATACCGGCAGCAGCAGCGGCATCCACGGGCGACTTCTTCGGCTCGGGCGCGCCGTCGGCTGCCAAAGGGCTACGATCTCTCGCCGATTCCGAGCGCCTCGAAGGTGGCGAACGGGAGCGGCGATCGAATCTCGACGCCTTGCGCGGCTCGGGTTCGGTTTGGTCGAAGCGCGAGCGCTTGGCAGAGCGTCGCTCGGTATCGTCCATTGCGGCTGCGTACAAGTGGCAGTGACACTGTATGGAACCGTCACCGGAAGATTGGAATTGGATGTTGGCGTGCGTCTGAAAATGCACGGGTGCCTATGGATATGCTTATGGGAAGCAAAAGATTTTGGGTAAAATTTACGAGGCTTGAAGCTCTACGCAAGTGGAGCCTTGCGAATGGCCAGGCCAGAATATGTATGGCGGCTTGGTCTGTGCGGCACTCTGGTTACATCCATCACGGACCTAGCGCCTTGGACACTGCCTAGCTGATTCTTTAGGTAGATAAGTAGCCTACAACACTAGCCACTTTTGTTGCCTCGGAGCGAATATCGGCAGGAAGCTGCCACGGCAGTCTTGATGGACTATGCACCTTTCCAATGATGTCCAATCGACATCGAGCTTAAACTGGAATGTTGTCTATTCCACCGGCATGTTTGTGATGTATGTAGGTACGAATATATGGTACCTTGCCTTGCGACTGACGGCGGCCTCATTTGAGTGCGAGAAACTGAGATGGAAGCACCCGGAGACACAAGTTCCCTTTAATCACAACGTTCCGTCTATCTAAATGTATGCCGTCCCCAGAGTCATTGCATCGAGTGTAACCATGCTGTTTCATAAACTTTCCACGGTGAGTCAGTCATCTGGAGAACGTTCGACAGGAGACAACATTACCTATCAAGGATGGTACGGAGTACTGACGACGGGCTATCGGATATCCATAGATGCCAAGGCGAGATTGCATGCACTAAAATGGCTTCAGGTTACCGTATACTATACAGTTTACTTGTTTCCATCGAGACCTCGAACAGCGGTTGAACGGTTGCCGTTTTAACAGCTTATACACTCACTCTTGACACTTATGAGAATTAGTCATCAGCTCTTATAAGGTACATAGTCTGTGAGCCTCTGAACCAGCAAGACTCGAAATATAGCTTGTAATCAATCACATGAGGAATACAATGTCTGTAAAGAGTCGTTACTTTGCGAATGTTACTTACTACACAGTGTAATATGTAGCCCCGCACCCTCCAATTCCGACCCCGCGATGGAGAGTCAATGGGAGTCCACTTACTCGGTGACAACCCTTGTCGGGAGCTGATCCGTGCCCCACCTCCCCTGCGAACGGCCGCCTCCCCTGCCTCCGACTTGCCTCCGAACAATCATCCCCCAATCTCCTCAAATTTTCCCGGTGGAACTTGCGCAGACGGTGAGTCAGTTGGCCCATATCTCTCCGACTGTTGTCTCCTCGAGCTCATCATACATCCACAGGTCCCGAGATCCGTCCTTCATCTGGTCAAGAGAGCAATTGATCAGGAAAGATGGCGTCTCGCCGCCTTGTTTCCACCTCGCTATGGCGGGCAGCCACTGCCCCGGCCCAAGCGACATCGCTCTCCGCCGCCACACGATGGAGCTCAACTACCAGCTCGACCTCTGCCATCGCCTACAAGGCTCTTCGACGCCGTTCGGCGCCTCTGCCCGTGAGCGACAGCCCGCCCGCCTGGTCCGCCCAGGCCGCTGTCTCCAACATCCTCTACGACATGCCCTCCCCGTCGTCGCAGCCCCCGAAGCGTCACATTCTCAACTGCCTCGTCCAGAACGAGCCTGGTGTGCTGTCCCGCGTTTCTGGCATTCTCGCCGCCCGCGGCTTCAACATCGACTCTCTTGTTGTTTGCAGCACCGAGGTTGATGACCTGTCGCGCATGACCATCGTCCTGACCGGTCAGGATGGCGTTGTCGAGCAAGCCAGGCGTCAATTGGAGGACCTTGTCCCTGTCTGGGCTGTGCTGGACTACACCAACGCCGCTCTAGTCCAGCGCGAGCTCCTGCTGGCCAAGATCAATATTCTGGGACCTGAGTACTTCGAGGAGCTACTCGCTCACCACCGCGAGATGACGGCCGCCGACTCTGAAAGCGAAGGTGCCAATGAGGCCGAGCAGCAGTCGTTGGAGGATGTCGCCAAGGACTTCCACCCCAGCAAGCTCGCCATCAGCGAGGCCCTGCGCCACAAGCACGAGCATCTCAAGTCCATCACCTACTTCGCTCACCAGTTCGGCGGAAAGGTTCTGGATATCAGCACCAACAGCTGCATTGTTGAAGTGTAAGTCGGGCCCTTCGGCGACTGAACCCAATCATGTACTGACTACTGCGTAGCTCTGCCAAGCCGTCCAGAATCGACTCTTTCCTGAAGCTCATCGGGCCTTTCGGTATTCTCGAGTCCGCCCGTACCGGTCTCATGGCCCTGCCCCGGTCACCGTTGTACGGACCCAACGAGGAGACAATTCTGAAGGAGGCGGATGAGGTTGTTGACGCCAGCCAGCTTCCTCCTGGTTAAGTGGTTTTGTATTAACGAATATTCGGCGTTGGTAAAATAGGGGTATTGCCATCTTTCAATGCTACCAAGTTGCTATTTTATTCAATCTGTACCATTTATTTGCCAAGAAAGTAACGCCACGCCTTTTTTTTCTCGTTTGGTTGTGATCCTTTTGAACGCCAATCCAAGTGCCTTTAGATATTGCCCTTGTTAACAACGAAGCCCTCGAGGGCGGCTTTTTGATCGTTAGCGTCGATGTACCTGCTGAGTAGCCGAGAACAAACTTACAGACAGCAGCCCATAGACGGTTTTCCGCCTCGGGGAAAACCAGGGAGCGAGAGCTGTAAAAGACCTCGTCGGCAACCTCCTCGGGATGACGAGGCAAACAATGCATGAACTTCCAGTTCTCCTTCGCACCGCCGCGCTTGGCCAGTTCGTTGGTAATCTGATAGCCAGTAAAGGCCTTGAGGCGCTTCTGGGATTCGGCCTCCTGGCCCATGGACACCCAGGTGTCGGTTACCAAGATGTCGGCGTTTTTGATAGCATCCTCAGGCACGGTGGTCTCGCTAAGCTTGCCGGGGGATGTAACGCCCTGAGCCGCAGAGGCAATGACAGCCTTCATGGCGTCGGGAATGCCATAGCCGGTAGGAGAGGCCACGGCGATGTCAACACCCATCTTGACACAACCAATGGCCAGGTCAAACAGAACGTTGTTTGAGTCACCAATCCAGGCAACCTTGAGTCCCTTCAGGCCGAGGTCAGCCTTGTCTGAGGTGGAGGCTGGAAAGACTTCGTGAATGGTCAAGAAGTCGGCAATGATTTGCAAAGGGTGGTAGTCATCAGACAGAGCGTTGATTACGGGCACGCTCGATTCCTTGGCCAGACCTGCGACGTCAGAGTGAGGGCCAACACGAGCAACCATGCAGGAAGTCATAGAAGAGATGACTTTTGAGGTATCGTACAGAGACTCGTTAACCTGGGTGTGTGTTAGTCAGATGTATCTTGTATAGTGAGACCTTCGATCAACAAACCCCAAGCTGGATGTCGTCCTTGCCCAGAAACATGGGGTGGCCACCCATCAGAGCCACAGCAGCCTCAGTTGAAACACGGGTGCGAGTGCTCCGCTTGCTGAACATCATAGCAACTGTCTTGCCAGTGAGGCCTGCGGCGAGCGCCGGGGGAACGTTACCGGACTTGACGGCGGACTTGTTGGACGCGGCATTGCGGACGAGGGTAGCGAACTCGGCGGGAGTCAGGTCCGCAATGGACATCAGATGGCGCGGGCCGGCTGACTGTGAGTAGGCTCGGCTCTGGATGCCGTTGAGAGCTTGACGAGTAACTCGGAAAGCCGTCTGCTTCATGATGGGCAACTTAATGGACCGGGTTTGTCCGGGTTTGGGGAAACAAGACTTGCAGGTCGAGACTGTTGTCAGAAGGGACTGGGGCTGCTCAATTGAGCGCTCAAAGGCTTTGAGTTTTATTCGAAAGGAGTATGAGCGAATCGAAACGGGCACTGAGGTCAATGGGTGTGTGGTGAAAGCTGGGTTGAGTCACAGATAAGCTTCAATTGAGACGAAGCAGCTCAAACGGTTGCTCGCCTCACCGCTTTACACCGAAAATTTCAGAGTTGGCACACAGATGGACCTGTAACTTCAGCACGCTGCAGGGCATTGAACGCAAGGTCTGGAGGATGCCATAGGCGGGGCCATCTGCAGGAGCCGGTGCTATGCATGCACCAACGCCGAAGGTACCTACCTACCTTACGTGCTTATTGTGCTCCGTACACAGTACGGATACCTATGTGGAATATTGATGGCCCGTGCACACACCCCATCGGCCCAGCCAGGCACCAAGCAGACGAGGGGAGATCATCCCCGGCCATCCACTCGGTGCAAGTCGGCCCTGCTGACCAGATCTCGCCTTATTGGTTTCAGCTGACCTCCACACCAGCATACTCAACTGCACCACCGTCCTGGGATGGACCAGGTTTCTTGACATCACCACCATTACGAATCCCGACAATTTCGGCTTCTAGGAGCACCATCGGAAACTTGTCCACTTTCTCTCTGCATCATTTTCTTCTGTACGCTTTTCTACGTTTCACAACTGTCCTCGTTCTTGGCTAGCGATGACGGACTTCTTCCTACTCTAATCCAACGACCCCATCTCGCCAATTGCGATCACGATACCTGCCCCTACATTTCACCATGGCCGAAGGCGAAGAGAGATCGCCGTTGCTGGCACCGAAGATCAAAGGAAGGGTGGAAGATGATTCTTCGCTATCCGAGTCGGCTCCTCTGCTCTCCAGCTCGTCTGCGACTCCCCGATACGATGGCGAACAAGACGACCCTGAGACTTCTCGCGCGCCCTCTCTGGCCTCCAACCGCTCAGACACCAAGAGCTCTGTACGATGGGGGTCTATCATTTCGATATTGGTGTTGATCCTACTGGTAATCGGCATCATGGTTGGCTGTTTCTTTGTGCCCTCGGCCGTTCAACTGTATGCCAAGCAAGCTGCCGTCGTGGAGCCGACAAATCTAGCCTTGGAATCCATTACGGCCGAAGGCGTACAAGCACGCGTGCAGGCGAACTTCAGACTCGACGCCTCGCGGGTACACGACGCAACATCTCGGAGAATCGGGAAATTTACGACTTGGATTGCGAGGCAATTGGGGACAGAGAAAACCACGGTCGGCGTCTATTTGCCGGAATACGACGGCGCATTGCTTGGCACCGCTGTGGTGCCACCACTTACCATCAACATCGTCGATGGCCAGACTACTAAGATCGACTTCATTGCTGAACTGTCGCCTGGCGACCCCGAAGCTTATCGTAGCATTGCTAACGAGTGGCTGGACGGGAAAATCGATCAGCTCAAAGTGCTTGGAAAAGCCGATATTCCACTCAAGTCTGGAATCTTCCCGCTTGGCACCCACTCAGTCAGCGAAGTTTTGGTTTTTGAAGGTCAATCACTCTACCGCTCCTTCGCTTCCCTGTACTTCGGAGAAAAGGCGCTGCTTTGAATATCATTTATACATGACTTACCTCATTGTGGTTTGAAGCTCGAGACTAATACCTCACATAGCGAACCAAATCCCTACGCTGCCGCAGTACAACATCTCGCGGCTCAATTTCCGGGATGTACCAGACAGGGACGGAAAGCGAACCGCAGTTGGCGCTGACGTTACAGTCACGGCGTACAACGAGTTCCCGGTCAGCGTTGACGTGCCCGAACTTGGTTTCGAGATTCTTGTTCCCAACTGTAATTCCTTCGACCCTTACATCCTTCTTGCGGACGCCACCACCAAGCCTCTCGCTATCAAGCCACGAAGCGATGTCACTGTCAATGTCTCGGGCATCATCCGAAAGCTTCCCAAGTCCCTGACACGAGTCTGTCCCAACTCTAAGTCGTCGCCTCTGGACAAGTTTCTGGGGCAGTACATGCGTGGCGAGGCTGCCACCGTTTACGTCCGGGGTCGGAAAATGCCCGATTCAGATACACCTGACTGGGTTGGAGACATCCTCTCCGAGATCACCGTTCCTGTGCCCTTCCCAGGACAAGGTTTCGACAACCTGATCAAGAGCTTTTCTCTCACTGATGTGAATTTCAAACTCCCCGACCCGACGGCAGACCCGGATGACCCAGATGGAGCCCCTAAGGTTTCTGGCACTGTCGAGGTTCTCGCCAGCTTGCCGAAGGAGATGAACTTTGATATCAATGTCACGAGCTTGCGGGCTACAGCAGATGTGATGTACCAGCACAAAAAGCTTGGCGAGCTCAACCTGGACAAGTGGCAACCCGCGAACTCGACAAGGCTCGAAGGCACTGAGAAGCATGAACCACTCCTGAAGATTATGTCTCGAGTCATCGATGCTCCCCTGAACATCACCGACGGTGACGTTTTAACAGACGTGATGCAGAGGCTTCTTTTCGGCGGCAAGGAGGTCTTGTTGGACGTTAAGGCCAGCGTCGCCATCCGCGTTAACACGGGTCTTGGAGTATTGGTTCTGAAGGATGTCCCTGCCGAGGGCAAAATACCAGTAAAACGTCCGTATTAAATCTGACACTGTTTGTCTTATCGTGGGTTGATTTCTTATGTCCCTGCTCACCAAGGGGGATTATTGGATCCCAATTACTTACACTGTTGCAGCATTGCCTGGCGACACCGTGGGTAACGTCCACCCCCAAGTCGGAGATGTCAAGATCATCAGTACATCCTCCTCGTCAATGACGATTGAGGCATTGGTTAACGTCACCAACCCGACACCGTACACAGCCGTTGTGCCATATGTCAATATCCACATCGTCCGGGACGGCTTTGTACTTGGTAGTGCAACCGCCGAGAACATGAGGGTTGTCAGGGGCATGAACAGAAACCTTGTCGTCACCGCAACATGGAATCCCGCGGCAGGTGGCGAAGCAAGCCGGAAGGTTGCTAGTGATATGATATCGGAATACTTGTCCGGTCGCAACGTTACGATAGAGGTCAAGACCCACCGAGGAACCATACCGACTGTACCCATGATCGGTGAGAGCCTATCGAAGCTGAATATCAGTATTGCCGCTCCCAAGCTGCACCTTCCTGGAGAAGACAAAAATGAGGGACACTTCATCAGAGACGCGACTTTTCATTTGTTGTCTTCCACAGCGACGTTCACTCTGGTATCCCCGTTGCGATATAATACCATTTATGTCGACTGGATTAATGCCACAGCTTTCTATAACCACACAGAACCGGTTGGACGCATTGTCTACGACCTGCCTTTCGAGGCACCTCCGGGAACATCTGTCACACCCAGGCTGCCGGTGAGCTGGTCCATAGGCTCCGTGGGCTACGACGCTGTAAAGAATGCGCTCGGAGGATCATTGAAGCTTGACGCCAATGCGAATGTTACAGTCAGGATCGGTAATTGGAGGGATACGGTTTGGTATGAAGGCCAGGGACTTGGGGCCAGTATTCGTTTGTAAGGGTTGATTGGGTTCGGCGTTATCTGGTCATTATTGGTTTGGGTGGCTATCGTAAACGCCTCGCACGCTGAGCAGCGTGAAACCACAATTGAGAACTTGTAACTGAGTACAAAGTTTAGGGCGGCTTCGTGGCTCTGTGGATATATGCATAGACTCGCTGTGGTAAGATACCTTCGTGATCACTACGAATATGTCATGAGAGTATGTTTCTCTTCATTTGGGAAATCCAGGTGTTTTCTTTTTGGCAGTTTTCTCATCTCCTGAATGATAAGAGTTCGTTGCGAGTGGTCTGTCGATGGAATGCGAAGTCCAATATCAGCTGAGAGTGATGATTCTACATACTGCTATAGACAGCCAATATTTCTGTCAGCCACTCTCTAACAGCTCAGGTGTAAATGAGCATCAGATGTGCTCTGTGAGCTCACCACAAAGACCAATGTTTATCCATGGAAAGGTCACACACGCATGGCTTGTTACCAACTCCAGTACATGCTGTGCTGACAGTTAGGTCAGGGCGGGCCCGAGAATGCAGGATTCTCATTCTAGTTCCAACTCAATTTGTCAAATATTTCGTATGAGGAAGACGAGGTAGGAAAACAGCAAAAATACCGCCGACGGATCTAAAGACGAGGTGGGCTACACAGAAAAAATGGCGTCTATCTCAATCTGGATCTCAACTGGCAATCACAGTGCGCCGGAACAGTGTCAGTTTGCCCCCTTTGACGTCCAAGGTCCCACTGTCATCACGGCTCGTCACTTACCACTCGTCCATCTCTTCATTGCACGTTGACTTCACCTTCAAACCGGGACCTACGAATATCGCCAAGAAACACCGTTGGAGCCCTCGGGAAAAGGCAAAGCAACAGGCTCTTGGTAAGCCGCGTCATTCAGGTTCACCGACGTCCACGGCTGACTGGCACCAAGACTTCCGTTTTCGCCGCTGCCCGTGCCATCGAATCACCGTCACCCTAGCAGCCGAACGGTCACTCTATTTTCATCCCACCGGCGCCTGAGCATTCCCTCTCGCCACACAAAATATGCCGAACTTCAATGGCAGCTTCTCGCCCTACGCCCCGCGCCGCCGCCGCTCCCCGCTTGTAGTCCTCACGTGGGTCTCCGTCTGGCTTACCGTCCTGACACTGACATGGTGGTTCGTGACGCGGCGCTCCTCTAGCATATCAGCGGCGGACCGGGAGTTCGCCGACGCCGTGATCAAGGGCAAGGAGATTCCCCCTGATGCTGGTGCTTGATCCCGACGGTCTCCTCAATTTAGTTTCATTTTGGTGTATTTATTATTCTGGTGGGGGGGTTTTCTTCTCTCCCCGATGAGTCCATAGATGTTGATGGCGACATGACGGTCTGGTCTGGCCTGGGTCTGAACACATTGTCTTCAACCCTTTTTTCTTTTTTCTGGCGCTGTCTTAGTGACTGGGACAACCAGGAAGTACGCCCCTGCCTAGCAAACCAAGGCAAGGTCCGCCATCGAGGACAGAGGACGCATCTGTGCGATGAGGATGGACGGGAATGTCGGTGTAGCGCGTGGCGTTGCAGCGATCGGGCCTCCCGACAGCCAAAACTCGCAATTGTGACGTTGGGAAACATGTAGTCGAGAACAGATACGCCCCTTGGCACATCTCGGAGGCTTGAAGTGGACTGAGTTGTGCCAGGTTGGCGTCGCAACTTGTCTTCTTAAACATGAAGGATGGATCGCGGTATGGGAAAATTGATTTGTGAAGGAGGGGGATAAAGGGGATACTGGAATGCGTCTCGGCCGGCAGAGCTACGGGGCTTGCTGGAGATTAATTAAGGTCGCCCAGGAGGGTCTATTGGCATTCAAGGGAGAGTTAGACCTCGATCATGAGACGAAAGTGGAAGGGAACCACGCAAGGCAAATCGCAATCAGGAACACGATTCTTCTTATACTCTTTGTACAAGTAAATAACATTTTGTTTCGAAACCGGAGTGAGAAGGGGAGGGCATTGAATGTCATAGTGTGTTGGCAAGTCCTCAATATTTCATTTCTTTTCCCCCCTTCCCTCCACGCCACTTTCCGGACTCACTATTCTTTTTTTAAAAGAGGGCCACGATTCGACCAAACCCGAAGATCATACGTTCAAAATCATATTGCTCTAACTTAGCTTGCCACTCTCCTGTAGCTCAGCCCCAACGCAAGTCAACGCCACATGGCAAGGTAGGGCCCTTTGTCCGAACCGCACCGTTTCGCAGGACTAGCAGGGTTCACCACGAACAGATCAGCGGTGCCTTTCGTGGTTTAAGAGGTAGGAGAAGACGTTTTCCTCCCAAGAGCCGAAAAGCCCAGAAGTCCTTAAAGAAAAAGCCTGGGACCAAACGCGGCTAGAAGGAAACTCCTTACCCGCTCGACATTCGAACCAGTTGGGTATAGACATACCAGAACGTGGGCTGATACTGGCGAGCAGTCCAATAGGTACATTACACATCTGGTTGCCCTTTCAGTAAACAGGAGCAGCACCTACCGTCAACCAAGTGTTACATCTCTCGGCCTGTAGACACATTGGCCTCGCCACCAAGATTGGACTTCATCTTCATCAAGCGTTCTCGGCCTCCCATCGGAGACCCAAAGTCACACACACATACACACACAATACACGATGAACGGCAACGGCACAGCAAGGCCGAGCCCGATGCTCGACTTCAAAGCCACACACCCGGGCATCTTCACACATGGCGCCCGAGGGTCGCCGTTGGCAGGAACAGAACACGAACTTCACAGGAGCATTGTGCGGGACATTATCAAGAAGCGACGGGACCAGAGACGCGCGCGGCTACAGCAGCAGCAGCAACGGTGTCGGACGCACAGCAACGACACGACGCCGACGAAACCGACGCCGCCGAGCCGCAGCGTCACGCCCCTGAGGCGGCAGCCAAGCCAGAGCAGCAGCAAGCCTGACAGCCCGCGGTCGTGTGCCTCGTCCGACTTCTCGTCTGAGTATTCATCCGATTTTTCGCCCTGCGTCTCGCCGCTGATGGAGGACCTCATGCTAGAGATCAAGGATGCGATCCAGAGCAGTGGTACGCACCCCGAGCACGGCGCGTCGCCTAAGCGGTCCGCGTCGGCGTTCGACATGGGCGACATATTCGAGCTGATCGAGGAGGCCCAGAGGGAATACGAGAGCCTGAGTCGTGAGTCACCTGCGGCGCAGCGGAGAATCGAACCGCCTCGACAGCCGCGGTGGAGCTGGGAGAGCCTGCTGGACCATTCGACAACGGAAGAGAGCCACTTGGCTTTGACCAGATGACACGTCGAAACGTCTGGAATAGACCTCAACCCTTGCTACGCAGCAAAAAGAAGTACGCAAGGAAGCCTGAAGTACGACTTGTACTCTGGCCTTTGAGAGAGGGGATTGGGAATCAGAAAGAGAGCGTCACCAAACCAACCGAATGTCTGAAGAATTGTGCGTTGTGTCAGCATGGAAGAAACTTCATCAATTTGGATTGTACATATTAAAGGGTCTGCACCTTTTTCCTGGTCACCCGGCCTTCAACCTCATTTAGCCTTTATTGTAATCGAACACCGGCCTGCCGCTTAGCCGATGATGAACTCATATTTGCGTTTTCGCTCGTGTCAAAGCTGGGCTTGGCCTCGCGTCGCTTCTCCTCCTCAATCTTCTTCAGAAGCTTGTCGGTCTTACCCTTGCCGCTGCCCTTGCCGTGGAACTGGTGACTCATGTGCTTGAAGGCCTCCTTTTGGTCGAGGGTCCGACCGTGGTCGTCCACATACTTGAGCTCTACGTTGGGCTTGTAATGCTTCTTGAAGAGCTCGTCGACGACGCGGGATTGCTGTAGTTCGCGGTGGGCGTTGGCCTGTCTGGCGCGCTCTTCCCTGTCCCTGGTAGACATGGCATCCAGTCGACCGCTGTTTCTGTCGCGCTCGCGCTGGGATCTGGCTCGCTCTTCTTGCTCCCGCTCAATGCGTCTCTTCTCTGCCAAGAACTCGGCCTTCTGGCGCTCGCTCATGTTCAGCTCGGCACCGTGAGCATCTTTGAGAATGCCACGTTCTCTCAATAGCGCCAGTGTCGAGCCCATGCCTGTGCTAATGGTCTTCTCCTCGTCAACGCCTGTCGCCGCAATATCTGCGGAAGCTTCTCTGGCTCTGTCGTCTGGAATCTCGTGGCTACCGTCGCCCATGGGATGGTCTTCGTCGTCCGACTCGACATCCATAGCCGTGACGGGCTCTACTGACACAGACTTTGGCCTCTTTGGCTTGCGTTCTTCCTGTTCTGGTTTATTCAGATTAGACACAAACTCCGAGATCTCGTCGATTACGACGCCGCCCGTTTGAGCTTCGGTCGGCTCGTCGACTTGCTCTCTGAGTTGCCGAGCGATGTCTTCCGGGCGAGCCCTCTTCCTCTTCTTCAAAGCGTTTTTGCGCTGGATGGCCAAAGACGCCTGCAAGTCCTCATCATCGACAAAAGTGTCATCCTCGACCTTACGCTTCTTAGCAACAGCTGCGCCAGAGTCAAGGTCCATCATGTCGTCACCGGCTGGCGTTGTATCGAGAGGGAAGATGTCATCCTCATCAACAGGTTTCTGCCGGGTTGACTTGGACTTCTTCTTCTTGGGCTTTTTGACCTTGATCTCCGAAATATCAAGGTAATCCGAAGTAGGCGCATCCTCTGGCAAGGAAATTAGCAAAGTTCCCTTTTTGTCAGGTTTGGCTGAATAACACTTACGAATGACATCGAGGTCAATGTTCTGCAGCTTGTTCGACTTCTCGGGTGCGCCCAAGATGTCGCCCAACTCCGCAATCGCACCAGATCCATCAAGAGTGAACTTCTTGCCCTTCTTGCCGTAAATCTCATCGTCGTATTGAGCCAAGATACCTTGCTCTGTCCCTCCGTCTGCAGCAGCGAATACGTCGTATGCTGATTTCTTCTTCTTAATATCCATCCTTTCTTGCAGCTGCTCCTTGGCCTTGAGGTCCATGTTCTCAAGCTCGTCGCCCTCCTCTTCGTTTTGATCGATAGTGGCGTCCTTGAGGGTCAAGATCTGCTCGTCGCCGTCGAGAAAGTTGTCGAGTTCGTGGGCAACCTTCACACCTGCCAAGTCCTTTGACGTGTACTCAACCGCCGCCAGCGCGGCAGCTTCTGCGGCAGCCTGTTCCTCTTCCAGCTTTCTCGCCTTCTCGATAGCCTTTTGTCGCTTCTTCTGGGCCTTTAGCCACGCCTTCGCATCACCGTCGGCATCCTCTGCCTCGCCCAGGCTCTTGCCCTCGAGAATTGCATGACGCTGCGCAGCCTCTCTTTCCCTTTTCGCAGCCGCGGCTCGCTCCTCTCGGTTGCGCTTCGCGACTTCCGCGTCGCGGACCTTTTTGTAATTGTCGTATGCTTGCGCCGAGCGGCTCTCCAACGTACTCGGCGCATCCTCATCATCTGAAGCAGAGTTGTCGCGTTGCGGAGCAGCTGGGGCGGCACCAGGTACCGGCAACGGCTTCATGCCCAGAGAAACGCGAATGCGATTCGTCTCCTCGATGGTTGCGGCGTCCATCTTGGCGGTATTTCGGGTTACCGGAAGGACTACTATTGGTATAGACGTGGGGTTATTAGGAAGGCGTATCGAGTTGATTTGGGGTTAAGATGGTGATTCGTGGGTTGGAGAGGCAAAAGGCTGTTGCGCAAACAAGCTTGGAGTCGTCGGCGCAATGGCGATAGCATGCTTCATCCTTTCGTGGCCAACCAGAAAAGTTATGCGGCTCATCAGCACTGTGCAAGGGTCGGTCTCCACTGACGACCAAAGCTTAGCTAAGCGATGGTGGGTCACCGAATTACTACATATCGCAGCCTTGCGAAAATTCTCTTTTTGGTTTTCTTTTCCTTCTTCAACAAACACGGGTCTGTGCCCAGCGATCCTCTGCTCCCACGGGAGTCAGAGTCGAACGCTGAGGCAGCTCGATCACTCAAGGAGCCATCAAATTTCATGATGTCAATCTTCCGATCGACAGATCCAAGAGAGACCGGTCTTTAGGAAGCCATGTTCGCTGTTGTAGGCTTGAGCGTGGTGGAATATAGTACTGGGGACGTCATATTCCGTACCCTTTTTCCGAGATCGTCGATCTATGAGGTTAGGGAAAACCATGACTTGCCCACATACTTTCGCGGAATCAATTTTTCTTCCAGTTTTGGAAGGTTCTGTTGTGTCGAGCGCGTCAAGCAATTTGCAGCTTCCTTTCTGAGCCTCGTCGGCGCGAGGCTATCCGTTATAAATCCAACATTGCGAGGTGATCCGGGCGAGGGCTGTGGATTCACACTCGCGCTTACTACGTTTGGCAACCACATCGTGTTGAGATCCGTTGCTTGACGCCTATCATATGAAGCCCACCCGTATATCTACGCAAACAAGCTGGCTGTTCGTGATGCGGCAACAGAGTTCTCACGAGAGAAAAACTCATCCCAAGTGGGGAAGATGGGCCATGCACCCTTGCGGCTTACCCTGACATGGCATGTGCAAACCCCTGGGATAAACGCTTCCACGAGCCATGGAATCCTCCACGGTCTCTCTCTCGGCGCATTCCGTACCTGGCGCTGTCATCTTATGTCTGCCATCCCACGATGCATATTGCTCTTGCATCATGGTGCCCACCACTTCCGTGGCTTCGCTTCCAAACAGCATCAAGGTTTGTCGGTTGCGGCGCAGAGACCCTGTTCTGGGTATCCCCGCCGTTCTGTCAACGATGCCTAGGTACATGTGGGCAATAGCTCGTGCGGGGTGCATCCGTGTGATCCGGGGTAGCTAGCTATTGGAGTCGTCCGGGCCGATATCAACAGGAGACTCCGCCGTACCATCATCCATCACGCACCATACTCCTTGGTTGACGCTACTGCACGAGCGTAAATGAGCAACGACGCTCAGCTTGGGCAACTGTGTACCTATTCCGTTTCGTTATGCTGAGATGAATACATCATATCATCGGCAAGCCCGTGCTATTCGTCTACTTCCTAGTAAAATAAATTGAAAGCTACTCAAACGGAATGACGATTAACGTCAGGAGCCCTGATTCACCCAAAGCCTCCAAGAACTGCTCGTGAACGACTACTACAATGCCACCCGTTCCTTTCCCCATTTCCAAATTGTACTAGTGTAGGCCAGCTAGACAAACACTGTCCTGTTCTAGCCCGCATTTAGTCTCCGGCCATATTGGACGTGTCTTGGTCATTTGATCAGCTTAAGCCGCAGGCTTGAGAGTGCGGGGAATGCAACAACAAGCAACCCCGACCTTGAGACGCCCCTCGACACCGCCAATAACACCTACAGTTCCTTGCGGATAGGACCGAACGACCAGGTAGTGTGATCTACTGTGCCGACGACATAACACAACCCCTGTCACTAGCCTTGGCCTTTGACAGAGCTGACTTGCCCAAAAGACGACTTGACTGAACCACGGCGGCCAGTACGGCACTGCTTGAGCAGGGGTCAGCACCATCCCCTGTCTTCGCGGCATCGCTGATCATCCCCCGAGCGGCAATCGCCGGCACTGGTGTCCAGCTATTACTGGGAGGAAGACCAATCGTGACTTGGGAGTTCCAATAGGGCAGGCAGAAGGAACATCGCAACAGGACTGGAGAATTTGCGGAACCAGTTCGAGCGATTCGACAAGGGTTATACTACGGTTGAGCCGACATAGCCCCAGTTCCAGGGCGTGACGAGGGGCATCTTGGACACCGGGGGACTGATGCAGGCTAACTTAACCACTCGGTGATACTCTCGCATTCGGGCCTTCGAGGCACATCGTCGAGGCACATCATAACAAGTCATCTTGGATAGCCGCCCCATTCTCAGGCCTTTTCACGGATATATAAGCCATCATGGTTTACCTTCAGCATTTTATGTCCGGGGCACTGGCTTTCAACACCACCGAGCGTCTTACACAGCCCATCATGAAGCTGTTCACCTCCGCCCTTCTGCTCGGCTCGTTTGCCACCCAGACGATCTTGGGCTATCCGGGTGCTCAGATGGTCAAGAGAGATGTTGACTCCTTCGTTGCCACTCAGACTCCTATCGCCCTTCAACAGTTGCTCTGCAATATCGGACCGAATGGTTGCCATGCACAGGGCGTGAGCTCCGGCATTGTTATTGCTTCTCCAGACAAGGTAGACCCTCCGTGTAAGTCAGCCTTCTCTCTGTGTATCAGATCAACACCAAGAGTCTGTTTGGGTGTTCATCAAAGGACATTAGCATTATCAGATCGAAATTTTTTTGCTGACATGTAGCAGACTTTTACACCTGGACCAGAGGTATTTCCCAATAACAAGAAAGTTCTTCCGAGGTTTATAACAGAAACTAAAGAGAATTAGACGCTGGTCTTGTTTTCAAGGCTGTTGTAGACATATTCACAAACAGCTACGATTCGAACCTCCAGACCAACATTCAGAACTACATCGCCTCCCAGGCCCGTCTCCAGGGGGTTTCGAACCCTTCAGGGGGCCTTGGCGATGGTCAGGGTCTTGGCGAGCCCAAATTCGAGGTCGACTTGAGGCCGTACACCGGTGATTGGGGTAAGACAGACAGTTATTCTTGAATTCTACTTTGTTCTAATAGCCTATTCAGGACGGCCTCAAAGAGACGGCCCGGCGTTGCGGGCGATCGCCATCATTGGTTACGCCAAATGGCTGGTGGCCAACGGCTACTCCTCCACGGCTTCATCTGTTTTATGGCCCGTAATCCGCAACGACTTGAACTACGTAGCCCAGTACTGGTAAGAAACCTGATGGCTTATGTTGATATGAATCTCTAACAAGCTGCTAGGAACCAGACCGGCTTCGATCTCTGGGAAGAGGTCCGGGGAAGCTCGTTCTTCACTGTCGCTAGCCAGCACCGTGGTACGTATTCCTGAGGCCCGGTGACGCACAAGTCTAACCATGCATTGTAGCACTTGTGGAGGGCAGTGCACTAGCTCGCTCGTTGGGCCAGTCTTGCAATGCTTGCGATGCGGTTGCACCCCAGGTTCTCTGCTTCTTGGGCAGATTTTGGGACCCCGCCGGTAACTTCATGGTCGCCAATAGTGAGTGAACAATCTACAGTATATCCCAAAAGAAGCTACGGAAAATAACACTTCGAAAAGTCAACGGAAACGGAAGATCTGGCCGTGATGCCAACGTCATTCTTGCCTCAATTCACAATTTCGATGCGGCCGCGGCTTGTGACACAGCAACCTTCCAGCCCTGCAGTGACAAGGCTCTAGCCAGCCATAAAGTCGTCGTGGACTCCTTCCGCACGATCTATGCCATCAATAGTGGCATTGCGCAATCTGCAGCCATCGCGGTGGGAAGATATCCCGAGGACAGCTACTACGGTGGCAACCCTTGGTATCTCAATACCCTCGCCGCAGCCGAGCAACTCTACGACGCCCTCTATGTCTGGAAGCAACAAGGCTCCATAACCGTCACTCAGACATCCCTTGCTTTCTTTCGTGACCGTCTTGGCTCCGTCGCTCCTGGGACATACGCTTCCAGCTCGTCGACCTACACGTCTCTCATCAACGCTGTGAGCGCCTACGCCGACGGTTTCATGAACATCGTCGCCACCTATGCCCAGACAAACGGCTCGCTTGCGGAGCAGTTCTCGCGCAGCAATGGTCAGCCCCTGTCGGCTGACGACCTGACTTGGTCCTACGCCGCGTTCCTCACCGCTGCTCAGCGCCGTGCCAACGTTATCCCGAAGGGTTGGGTGGGTTCGGCGACCTCTGTCCCGGGAACGTGCCAGGCTACCTCCATCGCCGGGTCCTACTCCAGCGCCACAGTGGCCTCGTTTCCAGCTAATCAGACGCCCCAGACCGGCGTGCCTACTACTACGCGCGATACTGCGACCCCAACTGCAACTGGCTGCCCCATTGCGAGTTCTGTGCTCGTCACCTTCAATGCTCGCGTTGTGACGCAATTCGGACAGACTATCAAGATTGTTGGTAACATCCCTTCACTTGGGAATTGGAACCCAAGCAATGCTGTTACTTTGAGCGCTTCTGGATATACCTCTGCGAACCCAGTCTGGTCTGTCACCGTTCAGCTGCCGGCCGGCCAGCCCATTCAGTACAAGTATATCAACGTCGCCAGCAACGGTACACCTACTTGGGAGAACGACCCCAACCGTAGCTACACTGTTCCATCATCTTGTGCCACCTCAACTACCAGGTCTGATTCTTGGCAAGGCTAGATCTTTCAGAAGGTTAAAAGGTTTCTAAGACCAACAATATTTACCTTGTTAAGCTTCATTTTGATGGCAGCTTCAGTGGAAATGGGCAAAGCACATATCACGTATTCTCTGCACATATATACTGCACTATTTAGTTGGCTTTATGCGTGAATCCTCAAGGCTGCTCGGAAGCCCGCTTCTCTAACTCCTTGATGATGGTGTCGACAGTCCATTCCAAAGTGGTCTCCATATCGATGTCGAGTCCCTTGCCGACCTGCGCCTTGATGTTCTTCTCCCTGAGGACTTCTTGGCTCAATTCGCCTTCCACGTTGCCATCCTTGAAGAGCCACGCATGGGATTCTACATAGTTGGGCCAGACAATTGTGTCCACATATCCAGGGGGGTCTTGCCAGAAGCCCTCTAGAGTGACATAACCGTCACGTGCTTCGCGACGTTGGGTCGCCTTGGCACGGCTCACGAGAAGAAACAACTTAATATCGATAAGCCTCATTGTGGACTCCATCTCCTTGCAGTAGAGCAGGAACCCATCGAATAGACACACGCTGAGCTTGCCTTCGGTGAAGATGGCGTGCCCCGGGTTTCCAGGTTGAAGCCAGGCCTCGACCTTTGCCTTGACGGCCGAGATCTTGGCGTCAGAGACGGGGCATTTGCCGACGGAGTTTTGATCTTCCTTGGAGTCTACAAAGGGCTGGCAGGGCTTCATGTAAGTGGCGGGATGACAAATAGCATAGATAGTGATGGCGGCGTACCGGGAACGTTCCATTCTCACGGATGTGAGTGAGGGAATTCTCCATGTCTGGGATGGAAATTGCTTCCGGGCAGTCCCAATCCACGAGGCCATTTTTCGTCGGCAGCCTGGGGAAGTGGTGAGTGACTATCGTGTATAATCGGATGAGTACACTCACTCAGACTCTGCCTTGTAGAAGTCGTCTTCATGCAATATGAAAGTGTTTGGAAAGATGTCTCTAAGCAGGCGAGCCAGTGTAGTCTTTCCGCTGGAAGAGCAGCCGCTCAGCCCGACAACCACAGCGTTCTTATTCGCCATCTTGATAGGTCCCCGCGATGAATACCTAATAAGTGTTTTTGTGAGCGAAGAGGTTCTTCGTTGTTTGGCAATAGGAAGTAGTCCTAATGACACTGCGGTGATACCTTTAATAATTATGTTACTTATCCTGTCCGAGAAACGTGTTATGGCCAAGACGTTGGCAAACGGGAGATAGGCAGAGCCAAGTCCTCATCTGAGATTCTCATACAACTTGGCTCAGATCTCACCCAGGTTGATAGCGAACCCCCCACCACTTACCCCTCCCTGGTTCAGAGGTCAAATGGTGGAGACGAAGTCCACTAAAGGACCCCCGGCAACAGCGGTCCAGGAAGGTTTCAGCCACATACAAAAGGGCAAGGCAGGCCAGGCAAGCCCCTAACGTGCGTCATTTGGCGGTTCCACTCGCGAGCAAAGAAGCAGGCAAACCCGACATCTTGAAAAATCCCATTCCCACAAGTTCACCCTAACTTGCCCGAGCTGCCGTATCTTAACGTGTCGCCGTTGTATAGTCACCCTCGACTCTTCCTCTCTCGTCCAGCCTAAAGCCTCACTAATACTTGAAGAGACATTTCCCACAATGGCTTCCGAGGCAGTCGTCATCTCGACTTCCATTGTCGCCCTGATGACTGGCTTCATACTCGGCGTATACTCGATCCGCGGCTACCTCATCTCCCCAGAGCTGCGCGCCGAAGCCCGCGCCAACACGGACGACCCCGTCGAGAGCGATGAGTCCGACATTGACGAGGACGATACCGTCCTTGACCACGCGCCGAACTGGGCTAATGGCGAGGCCGCTGACCGCCGTGACGGCCTACGCCAGCGCAACATTGCATCCTCCGAAAAGACCGCCTCCTCCAAGACCTCCAAGAAGCCCAACCCAAGCGCCGCGCCGCTCGCCGACTCTAACGAGGAATGCAAGCTTGTACTCGTCGTCCGGACGGATCTGGGCATGACTAAGGGTATGTTTATTCCCCGCGCAGCTTCCAATTCACCAGGAAATGCCTCTCAACTAACACACCGTCACTACAGGCAAGATGGCAGCGCAAGCATCCCACGCGACCCTTGCATGCTATAAGTCTCTCTCGCGCGCTGCGGCCAAGGACCCCTCGTCCTCCGCGGCCAATATCCTCAAACGCTGGGAGCGCCTCGGCCAGGCCAAGATCGCGGTGCAGATCAAGGACCAGGACGAGATGCTCGAGCTCATGGGCAAGGCGCGCAGCCTGGGCGTCACCTCCGAGGTCATCGCCGACGCCGGCCGAACGCAGATTGAGGCCGGCAGCCTGACGGTGCTCGGCGTCGGCCCCGCCCCCCGGAGCCTCGTTGACCAGATTACGGGCCATCTGAAGCTGTTGTAGAGATGGAACGGGTGTGGCGTGTTTGCGGTCGGCGTGGGTATGGATGAATCGTATTGAAACATAGAACTCTATTGGAACATACACGAAAAGGAGCATAATGGCATGGCGTACGGTACATAAAAGTAGGCGATGGACTTGAGCCTGTATTTTTCTTTGCATATTGACATGGATGATGTCCTCAATGATGATAGAAGGACAACACTGACAAAGTTCCTAGTCGATATTTGTTGGTATGAAACTGTGCTGCAAGCCCCTTGGAAGAGAACGTTCAAAGATAAGCCATAACATCACAGGGAGGTAGCAGACAGTTCATAAGCCACCCTTTCCATGCTTTTGGGCCAAGTCCGGGAGTATCAGAAGGACCCTCAGCTTTGGGTATCCATGGTCACTAAGGGTGAAAATGCCTAAACGCCTCTTACATGCAACAAACTCCCCGGTCCACCTTTTAGTCAACTTTTACAGTATATGCCGTGCCGCAAACTAGTCCTTGCGCGCGAATCTGGACAGCGCCGGGCCGAGGTCAGCCTCGACCTCCTGGTTCTTCTTCTTCTTCTCCTTATGCTGCTTTTCCCAGATCTCATCGATCTTCATCCTCTTCTCGTCGATGATATTCTTCTTCCTCTGCTTGCGCAGGTACTTCTTCAGCGCGCCGTTCTTGCCCCTCGCGCGCTTCTTGATCTCTTCCTCGATCGAGAGCGGCTTCGCGTCGAGGTCCTTGTCGGCCTGACGCTGCTTGTCTGACCGCAGGTCAATGTTGCCGATGAAGTTGGGATCCAGGGCAATCATCTCGGGCTGCAGCTTGTTCAAAAGACCCTTGACCTCGGCCTCCTGTCTCTGCTTGGCCGACTCGAAGGGGTTGACCTCGAGAGCGTCGAAGTTGGCCTCTCCAGCGCCGGGGACGATGATGGACGAGAAACCTTCGTCGTGACCCATGCCAAGAACATCCTCAAAAGGACACCATCTCACCCGCTCGATGCGCTTGCCCTCACCGCCCCATGCCATGTATGGGCTCTGCACCTTCTGCTGGACGGGCTCGTTCTTGTTGAAGAGGTCCTTCCAGACGCTCGTTTGCGTGCCCCATCCGACGGCCGTAAGACCCGAGTCGGAGATGGCTACCGAGGACGCGGGTTGCCTCGTGAAGTACTGGTTCACCTCCTTGAACATTCTTATGTCCCAGACCGCCATCTTGCAGTCCTGGCCTGTCGAAACCATGTACCGACCCTCCCTGTCAACAGCTAATGACCTCACAGGTCCTCTATGGGCCAGGAGCTTAACAAGGGGGTCAGTCTGGTTCGGTGACCATAGTGTTACTGTGCCGTTCTGGTGTCCGACATGGAAGACGGCGTTCCAGGGGTTCTGGGTCATGGCTGTCGGGGGGCCAAGCTTGGTAGGGATCTCGGAGACGATGTTACCGGTCGAAACGTCCTGATACTTGAGGAAACCAGTCGATGCCTGCGTTTGTTAGAATGACCCAAAATCGTGTGCACTATGAGCACTCACCACCGTGCCCAAGAGGAAGTGATAGGGGAGGAACTCCATATGCGTAACCTCCATGTGTTTCCTCAAGCAGTGGATTTCCACACCGTTATGGTCGTAAATGTAGACATATTTCTTCTGCGCAACAGCGAAGAACTGGTTGTTGTGCAGCCACCTCGCATCCCTGATCGTCTCGCCAAGCTGGATCTCGCACCCCAGTTTGCCTTCCCTCCAGTCGAACGTCGCAAGATGACCTTTCCGTCCCGCCAGCAGCAATTCTCTGCCGTTGCGGGTGTACTCGCCAACGTATGGGCCGAGCTCCTCCAGCTTCAGCTCGAAGCGCTTCTGCGCCGTTGTGACAGCGACGCCTTCGACGATTTCATCTTGGCGGACCTTGTAGGTCCTCTCTAGTTCCGTTTCGGGTTCGAGGAAGCCGCCCGAGTTTTCGAGCAGAATCTCGGCATCCTTGGCCTTGATGGCCGCGTCGCGGTACTTGTTTTCGAGCCTCGAGAGGTTGGTGCGCAACTTCTTGTCCCGGATCGACTTGACGTTGATACTCTTGCCACGGCCGTACGACTTGTTCGCCTCCTTCAGCCTCCGGATTTTTTCCCGCTCCTCGCGCGGGATGAGATCGGTGCGCCTCTTCACCTGGACGGCGCCATTGGAGTGTGTGTTATTTCTGGATATCGTTTGCGTTTCGGGGGTATCGATCTCCATGGTGGGCGGCGCTGTCAGGTTGCTACCTTTCTGTCGTGACTACCGTCCCGAAATATCCTGGCGGAGCAAAAAAAAAGTTGACCGACCTACGAAATTTCACCCAGTTGTTATCGCCTAGGATGGACTGGTTATCGGTAACAGCCATACAATTGGCCGCCATGACTTTCTGGTGGGCCCTGCGGGGGGGTACGGTCTTAGCGATAAGAGATACGCAGTAGCCCACGCACGAAAAAAAAGATTTTGATAGGCAGGACCCCGCGATCGCAAAACCGCCGAGAAGAAAATACAGGGCCAAACTGCGCCAAAACTCGAGTTACCTCAACACCCCATCCTCGAATCCGACTAGCAAGGCCTTCGATCAACCTGGCTTCATTACCATTTCGATTTAAGGCTGGGGGAGACGGGAAACCGCCCGCCGCGACCATGAGTCACTCTCACAGACCGACCACCAAGGTCACTCACAAGCCCTTCAAGTCCAAGCATGCGACCAAGGGTGCGCTGAGGGATGCTGCCAAAGGTTCGCCCCCCAAATTTCTTACCGCCCATTCTTCAGACGAGTTGGCCAGTTACGGACACAGCATACTAATATTGCATCTCTCAACAGGCAGACTTCCCGGCGAAGAGCGCGGCCAGCGAAAGACGCCCCACCAGCAAGTCATGTCCAAGTTCGACAGACGAAACCAGGCCAAGCAGCGCCAGATTTCCAAGCGCAAGGAAAGATTGGAGGAGGTTTCGATATTTATTGGAAAGGATGGCGCCCCGCGAATTGTTGCTGTCGTGCCCTTGTGTCAAGATGGCGACGCCGCGGCCACTGTCAAGCAGCTCAACGACAGCGTGGACATTGAGGCCGAGGTCGAAGAAGCACCGTTCCGGGTCTCGGTTGACCGTTTCAAGCAGAAGGTCCAGTATATCCCCCTGAAGCGGGATCTGAATGCCGTTCTGGATGCTACACGAGTTGCGGACTTTGTGGTCGTCATGCTTTCGGCAGACGTCGAGGTCGACGAGTTGGGCGAGTTGATGCTGCGTGGTCTCGAGAGTCAGGGTTTGTCGACCCTGTTCACCGTCGTTTATGGCCTGGACAAGATTGAGCAGGCCAAACACAAGCAGTCAACACTTGGCTCCCTCAAGTCATACATCACCCACTTTCACCCTGAGCAGGAGAAGCTCTACCAACTGGAGAACAGGCAAGAGTGCGCGAACCTGATGCGTTCCATCTGCAACACGACGCCCAAGGGCGTTAGGTGGCGCGAAGACAGGAGTTGGCTCCTGGCCGAGGACATTAAGTTCCCTGATTCCGGACTTGGCTCCACGGTCATTACTGGTGTTGTGAGAGGGCGAGGCTTGAAGGCCAATCGTCTAGTTCAATTGGGCGACTATGGAACGTTCCAGGTTGAGAAGATCATAGCGGCCCCGTTGCCCAGGAAGCTGAAAAGAGGCGAGATGGCTGTTGAGGAGACCGAGACCGAGGAGATTCTTGATACCCCTGATGAGGACCAGGACGACCTGGCAGAGCTGGCGCCCGACGCCGCGATGGACGATGATGAAATGGAAGCCGACGGGCCTCCAGAGATCAAGAAGGGTGTTCTCCTCGACGACCACCACTACTTTGATGACAACTACTATGAGGCCGCGGAGGCCAAGACAAGAGTGCCCAAGGGAACCTCCAACTACCAAGCGGCGTGGTACCTTGGCGACGACGTGTCAGACTCCGGCTCTGACATGGAGGACTACGAGATGCAGGAAAACTCTGAGGAGGATGAAGCCCGTCCCGAGGACGGTCTTGAGGGCCAAGCGCCAAAGGAGCCCACCGAGGCGGCGCCTTCAGAATACGCCAAGTCCGAGAAGTTTATCGAACCAGATGAGGAGGAAGATGCCGCCGGCCTGGCAGCCTACCGCGCCAGAAAGTCCGACGAGGTCCAAGACGACAAGGAGTACCCTGATGAGATTGAGCTGCACCCCGGCGTTCTCGCACGTGAGCGCCTGCAAAGATACAGAGGTCTAAAGAGCTTGAGGACGAGTGAGTGGCTCGAGAGCGAAGACCGGGCCTACGAGCCCGAGGAGTGGCGCAAGCTCCTGCAGATCCGAGACTACCAGGCGTCCCGGTCCCGTGCCATGCGTGAAGCCCTCGTCGGTGGTGTTGCTCCCGGCACGAGAGTCCACGTCTACCTTAAGGGCGTCCCAGCGTCATTCGAGAAGTCGTACCAGCCTAGCAAGCCAGTCACTCTCTTCTCGCTGCTGCGCCATGAGCAGAAGAAGACGGCCATCAACTATCTCATCAACCTAAGCGCCGACTACCACCGGTCGATCAAGGCCAAGGAGGAGATCATCGTGCAGTGCGGCCCCCGCCGCTTCACCATCAACCCCATTTTCTCCCAGTCGGGCAACACGCCCAACAACGTCCACAAGTTCTGCAGGTATCTCCATCCCGGTCAATCTGCCGTGGCCACCTTCATGGGTCCTGTCACCTGGGGCGCCGTGCCGGTGCTTTTCTTTAAGCGCTCAACGCCTGTACCGGAGGGTTCCGAGGAGGCTGAGAAGGAGTCTACCCTTGGCCTGACGCTGGTCGGCACGGGCACGGCTCTGCCACCGTCAACCTCCCGCGTCATCGCTAAGCGAGTTGTCCTGACGGGTCACCCGTACCACATCCACAAGAAGATCGTCACCATCCGCTACATGTTCTTCAACCGAGAGGACGTCGAGTGGTTCAAGGCTCTGCCTCTGTGGACCAGGCGTGGCCGCAGCGGCTTCATCAAGGAGCCCCTCGGCACACACGGATACTTCAAAGCCACCTTTGACGCCCGCATCAACCCGCAGGACTCGGTTGGTGTCAGTCTCTACAAGCGCGTGTGGCCGCGCAACGCCATCCCCGTTCAGGGGTCTCTTCTCGAGCCTAGTGTCGCTGGCCAGGCCGAGGAGGGTGATGTGATGATGGATTAAACGGATACCAAAAAGCATTGCAAATGATGAGATGGAAACGCCAAAAAAGGAGGAGTTCCGATAGAAGATGGGAGAAAGCATAGATATATTAGCAGTAACGTCGGCTATAGATACAGGTCTGATGCCATCCTCCGGAGTTTTAAAAGGGATAAAAATGCCAACTTTTCTTCACTTTTTTTTGTCGCCCTCTCTCTCTTTTACACGGCCCAGTCGTGAACACGGGCCCGCGGTCCTCCCACTCCCACTCCGACTCCGGCTCAAGCCTTGAGGCTGTCCAGGCCCTCCGTCGGCCGCGGGCCGCCCGCCGCCCTGCGGTTCTCCTCGGCGCCGCTTGCCTTCCAGGCGCTCAGGATCAGGTTGACGATGTGGTCCACGGCGACGTTCTTCTTGACCTGGGCGAATACGGTCGGCCCGCCCTCGCGCATCTTGCGGGCGTCCCTCTCCATAACGCCTAGGTCGGCGCCGACGATCTCGGCAAGGTCCGTCTTGTTGACGACCAGCAGGTCACTCTGCGTGATGCCGGGGCCGCCCTTGCGCGGGATCTTGTCGCCACCCGAGACGTCAATGACGTAGATAATGTAGTCGGCGAGCTCGCGCGAGTAGTTGGCGGCCAGGTTGTCGCCGCCGGACTCGATGAGGAGCAGGTCGGCGTCGAACTCGCGGTGCAGGTCCTCGAGGGCGGCGAGGTTGGCCGAGATATCCTCGCGTACGGCGGCGTGCGGGCAGCCGCCCGTCTCGATGGCGCGGATGCGCGGCGCCGGAAGCGCCTTGTGGCGCGTGAGGAACTCAGCGTCCTCACGGGTGAAGATGTCGTTGGTCACGGCGGCGATGGAGTACTTCTCGCGCAGGGCGAGGCAGAGGGCGAGCATCAGAGCCGTCTTGCCGGAACCGACAGGGCTGATGGTGGGGGGCATGTCAGTCTGTGTTTTCTCTCTTTGTTTCCGACAAAACCTCTGATTCTGAGTCTTCCAATTGAGATTAAGCAGTTGAACTGGGCCCTCATCCCAGTTGGGATGTGGTGGCGCCGAGACGGGAATATGAGCGGTTTTCAAACCACCCGAGGCAGCTAAAAGCAAGGAAACAACTCACCCTCCGATACCAATGGTAAATGCGCGGTCACTCCAGTTCCTACCTTCGACAATGGGCATCTCTCGGCCGAGGTAGCTGCCGGGACCGTCGAGGACCTCATGAGAGTGACCGTGCTCCTGGGCGTTGAAGCCACCCTCGTGGGAGTGGGAGTGGCCGTGGGGCCCGTCGTGGGAGTGCTCGTGAGACATGTTGTGCTTGTGTGTAAACGGATCTTTTGCCGCACAGTGAATAGATGAGTATGTGAAGCTGTTGTCGAGTTGCTTCTAGACACTCAGATGCTATAGTTTTGAGTTGCAGCGAAGGGAGCTCGTTAAAACATGGAGGGGTTATGTCAGAGAGCAGCCCGTGGGATCGCGGGGTTTGACAGCTTATCGACGCGATAAGAGGTGGGACGCATCGCCCCTCCCCCACGGCCGCCGCCGGCGCATGGGGGATGCCAACACTCCCACGGGTTTGATCGCCACGAGTGATTACCAAATCCCACCATGACAGTGCACGATGCTTGGGGGTTCTAGAATTGCATCTTCCAGATGCCGAATTGCACCTATAAGTCTGCAGTGTCATACGAATAGTAATGTCGCCCGGGCATAACAAGCCACCTCTACCTCTGTGATTCCGGCATTCATCCTCGTTTCCCGCTACGCACATGCCAAGGGCTGTAAGCCCGTGTCGATAAACATAACCAAAATAATCCCCTTTCAACGCCAATGAATGCAAAGACAACCTTCTCATTCAAGCCTTAGCCCCAGAACCTTTACTCCCCTCGCCCGCCCCGTCCTTGGGCTTGGGCTGCTTCGGCACTCTCTCATATGCATTCGGGCTAGGCCTCCTTGTCTTCTTGTCCTTACTACTTCGACCACCCTGCCTGCCGTGTCTGGGGTCGTCGTGGCCATGGTCCCCGCAGTCGTGGTCATGATCCCGCTTGGTACCTTTGCCCTTGCCCTTGTGGTCGCCCGAGGGTATCCTCCGTCTGCCACCGTCGTCTGCTTCCGAGTCGGACGAGTCGGAGGATGAATCTGACGAGGACTCGTCGCTGGACTCGTCGACAGCCTTTGGGCGGTGGTAGATGCAGCAGACTATGGGGCCGACCAATCAGTTCAAGAAAAGGGAAAGGACTAATAAGAGCGAGCGCAATTGCGGCATACCTTTTGAGCTCTTGCGGCCCAGGCCCTCGTTGTCCACCACGTCCTCAGCCCAGCGCACCGATTGCCGTGACGGAGCATGCGCGCCCCTCAGCCGGAGGATCGCTTGCGTGCCCGTCCTGCTCTGCGTCTCCGTCTGCGTCTGGGAAAGGCCAGGCGCCAGGCGCTGTTGGGATCGTTCTTGTACGGCGGCCATCGCGATGATGTCTTGTATGTGATATGCAATCTTTTGCGCAGAGAAGGTTTGTTGGTGGGCTGTCGAGTGCAGAGCGCCCCCCTCTTAGAAAGCGGAGGCAAATTGTCACGCTGGTAAATACTCAAATCACAGCGGTTTGCCGAAAATTCTCGAACACTTAGTCCTGTGCAGCAGCCGGGGTACGCAGTGTACAGGTACGTAATCGGCGTTAGCTCAAACTGCTTCAAGTCCTCGGGATCTGTCAGACGGCAGGCAGATCGAATATATTCAGGGGTCGTACTAGGGGGTTGCTGATTTCTCAGTTGTAGCGGGAAGGAAAGGGTGGCATGCTTTTTGTTGTTTTTTGGAGGGGCGGGTTCTAGGCCGATAGTCACAGAACCAGGTACATTCCTTGTTACCCCACGTCATTCGCTGGTACCCACAGGCGTGACCGGACCGCCGATCCAGCGACAGCAAAGAGCCCAGCCATCTCAAAGAACGGTGGTGCTATCACAGGTTCCGGGTTCGGCCTATTCCTCTTACTTGCAACGGTCCGGGCCGGTCTAGCAACGGCCAAACTCCTTTAGAGATCGGTTTGCATGCAGGGCTAGTGACGCGCCGCGCATTTCACGTGTAAAGTGGTTTATACAAAAAGTTGATGTCATGGCTCTCTCGAGGCCGGATTGGCGTCGATGACGTCCCTAGTTCATATTTCACATACTAATATACTAACACAGAGTGTTTACATGATGATCATAGTTTTACATGGGGTTTGAATAGTATACAGAGTGTGGAGTTTGGTACAGACAGTTACGCGGCGGCCTCGGCGGCCTTCTTGGTGCCTCTGGCAGCCTTCTTCGCCCCCTTCATGCTCTTACGAGGACGGCTCTTGATGTCTTTCTTCGGCGACTTGTTGATCAACCACGCGTTCATCGGCAGGCGGGAGCCGACAAACCTGCCCTCGGGAGACCAGACCTCGACGACGGGCCAGTGCGGCTCGTCAGGCTTTGCGTCGGGCTTCTTCTCAACCTTGGGAAGAGACTGACTCTCCGCTGCCTTCTCCATCTTGGCAAAGGGGTCAGCCGGCTCGGTCTCGGTCTCGGCCTCAGCCATGGATTGCTCCGGAATGAACGGCGCACAGCCTGCGAAGAGGTTCTTGGTTCGCACCTGCGCCACGATCTCGACCCAACCGCAGCCCTCGATGAGAATGTCGATCGCCAGGACGCGCCAGGGCAGGTTCTCGACCTTCATGCCGCCGACCTCCTTGCGTGTGAGCGGACCGGCGCGCTCCTTTGTCACGTCGTAGCGCAGCTGGAACTTCCCGGCGAGCTTGATCTTGTCGGCGGTACCAGGCATAGCGATGTTCGGCACGCGGTGAGATTCTCTCTTCTGCTCCTGGAACTCGATAGCCTTCTCAGTGGCCGTTACATGTTCGGCAATGGGTGTGAAGTTGTAGGCGAGGAAGACCAGATCTGGGGTGCTGGGCGTGATGCGGATCAGGCTTCCCATGAGGAGGGACTGGCCAGGCTTGAGAGTGCGCTGCTCGGGCTTGATTCGGTTGTGCATAATGACATCTTGTCGGCGCTCCGGCTTGACGTAGTTTTCGAGATCCGATCGAGCGATTCCTGGGAGGTCAATGAGCTCTCCCTTGCCGTTGCCGAACGGAATCCGAATAGGGGAGGCCGTGGTGCCTGGGAGGGAAGACACCGTGGGCATCTCTGGAAAGTTGGTTTCGTTCCGGGCGGGCGGCAGCAGCGCATCCACGTCTAGGCGATCCGCCTCGTTCTCGAACGCGTCCCCTGTCAAGTACGTCGTGCCATCGCCGTCTTCCTCCTTTGCGAACATGGAGACCTCGACGTTGTGCTTAGAAGGGAGGCTGGCCGTCGTGCCCTTGGGGAACACAGACTCGAACAGTTGGCTCTTGCCAACGTTGACCTTCCCAACCATCCAGCCAGCGCCTCCACGCTCGTAAATCTCTTGCTTCAGAGGCTTGGTCCACCAGCCCCTCTGCGCGCTGACGCACTTAACATTGCCTAGTCTGATGAGCTGGCCGAACTTTCCCAGCGACCGGCGCAGCACTTCTCTCAGGTACGGCATAAGGGCGTCAACCTGCTCCTTCTTCGGCGCCAGCAGGTCTGACCTGGTAATGATAAAACTCATGTCAAACTTGCGGTCCTTGAAGTAACGGCCGGCTCTGTTTCTGCGGTTGCGGTGCTTCAGGTTGGCGTCGAGGACCTGGTGCAATTTCGGCATGAAAGACATGGGGAAGTCGGCGGCGTCGATGACATGGTAAATGTGATTGTTCTTGAAAGGTGACTCCTCGATCGTCTCGCGTAAGGAGTCGAGGGTGGGATGGTAGATCGGCTTTCCCGAGTGGTGGTGAACCAGTTTGTGGCATCGATCGCAGAGCGGTGCTCTTTTAGTCGGAGGGCGGGAAGCTATCTGTAAGTCAGTAACTACAACTCCCAATTCTAGCTATCGAGACATACCGAATCGGTCCGTGTCTAGCTCCTCGCCGTAGCGCAGCGTCTTTGGGTCCAAGCCTAGATGCGCAAGCTGCTCTTCACCCAGGTTCTTGAGAGCCTCGTCGACGACCTTATCCTCCTCGCGAAGCTCCTTCCCAGCATCGTTTTCGCTTGCGGGCTTAAGGAACTCCTTTACGGATTTCCTGCTCAGGTCGTAGTAACCAGCTTGCCCGGCGTGCGTCATTTGGGTCAGCGCGCCGCAGCCGCTGCACTGGAACGGGAGCTTCCTTATCGGGAGCTTTTTCGTCGATTCAGTCGTGGGAAGTGACGACGGTGCCTCAGCTGTTGCGTTGGCCTCGATATGTACGCACCGTCGTTGTCTATAGGGGAGTTTCCGATGCGCCTTGGCCGGCGCAAACGAGGGTCGCCCGGACGTGGCGCCGAGAGAGGGACATAGGTAGACCGGCACCTCGCCCAGCGCGGCTAGGTCGCCAATGCTCAGGGCGCTCCTAAGCCATCTTGACGATAGTGCGCGGTGCATCTTTGCACAAGGGGGGATGAACAAAAAAAAACCGAGGGAAGTAGGGCAGGAATGCGAAATTCTTGCAACTTTTTCCTCTCTTTTGCTTGGGGAGCTTTCCAAAATTTCAGATCTGCTGCGTTCAAAGCTTCCGTAGAGAGATAAGATAAGCACCCCCCTGGACTCGAGCTTGTTCAAGCCTATTAAACGGCGGACAAACCAACCCCCGACCCCCGAAAAAGCAAGGGTTGCGGGCAATTTTCAGCACTTCAACCACGCGATATACTGGCGGCATTCAGAAGTGGACTTTGAAGGTTTGGCAGTGATACCCTCCAGGTTGTGATATATCTGGACCTTTTCGACAAAATGGTTCGCGTAGGCCAAAGATGGCATGCTCTAAGAGCTGTAAGTTGCTCTACAAATGTTACCCTTCGTCTCAGTATCAGTCCGGATGCAGCTAACACTTGCCATTAGAAGGTACATAGCATTGCTCGAGAACAAACCCGGACGTAGCTCATGGGACAGCTTCAATTGACACAAGAGAAACCCACCAGATTCTAAAGATACGCTTCGGACCCGGCGCCGCAACACTCCCTCCCAATGTCACGAGAATACACATGGAATTCGCCAAGCGCGCAGAAAACGGTCACGTTGGCCCCAAGTCCGTCCACCCTTTCCCCATTACCCAACTCGCTGCCCTCTCAAGCGCAACATGCAGGAATATACAGACGACTGACCCGTTCTAAACATACAGAAAGTTCTGGCGTGAAATGCTTCCCCGTCTAAAGTACTACAATCCTGCCGTCCCTATGATTGTCAACCGCAAGGCCAACACCGAAGGCGCCGCCGTCATGTCCGTCTACTTCTCCGCCACCGACGCGCCCGTCGACCCGGCGACCCTCCCGCAGCCCCCCTCTTCGGCCATTGACAACAGCAAGGCCCAGCCTCCTCTCGAGGGCGTCGAGCGCGTCGTCAAGATCGATATGAAGGGCAAGCACTCCCAGGAGATCCTCGACCGGTTCCTCGCGGAGACCAAGGCCGAAGCCATCCTGCCGGGGCCCGAGGATGAGAGAGAGATGAAGGCCGCCGAGGAGCTTAGGATCAAGGGTGAGAAGGACCGCCAGCGAAACCTCAAGATCCGTGAGGAGGAAAACAAGGAGAAGGCTATGTTGGCCAGGGCGCGTGCTGAGGTTAGCTCGTAGTATGAGTGAGGGAAGACATGTACGAGGTGAGCGTGAGCGGAGATCAAAAAAGTGTATGAATATCCTGTACAAAATGTACCAAAAAAAATCTCTGCGTGAACGGCATATCACAGGGAAACCGACAGGCTTGGTTGGAAAGGTCCGATGAAGGTGCGTAGCGCAGCCGTAACAGCTGTGCCAACAGAGCAGAACGTTAAGATTGCGGGAGACTTTGTGGCGTAAAATGAAGTATTGTTCGTTATATATAGACTAGTTGAAGACTTGATGACCATCTGCATCCAAAAACAAACCCTCATTCCCCGCCCCCCGCTGCCCAACCAAAAACCAAACGCTCTGTGAGCCGGTATCAAGTTGACCGACAATCGTTGACACATGTTGATACCCGTATCAGACCAGTGAGGCCATTATCTTTATGTAAGTCCAATATTGATACTCCCCAAGTTCATTGACACATGAAACGTTTATTTTAACCCAAAGCCTTCGCTTTCGTGTACTGCGGTCCACAACATGCGTTCTAGCCTCTCCCTCGTCTCATAACGCCGCAATGCGAGCATGTTGAAGCAAGTTCGGGCGATAGGGTATCTATCCTCGTCGTCGCCCAAGCAGGTGATTTTGATCGGGAGGAGAGCTGCGCCTATGGCCGGTACTCTATCAGTGCCAGTGATAAAGGAGAGCAGTTTTCTCTGTTTGTCTGGGGAAGCATCCTTGAAGGTGTCCCAGAACCATCCCACGACGGGTTCCACGCCGTCGGGGTTTCTTGTTCCCCAATTGTCGTACTCGGCCACACCCCTTAGGGCATCCACATCAAGCGCCGTATCAGACCCTCGAACAAGTAACTCAATCTCTTCGGGCCGGAATAACGACAGGGCGTTGCCACCACAAACTGTGTAGAAGCCGCGCTTGAAGGGCTCGAACTGTCGAGCGACTGCCGTTTCGAGGAGATATCTAACGTGCAGACCGACGTATTCTCCCCTGTTTGCGTTGGTGACTGGTTTTGTCTCGCCTCCCGGACAAAGCGGGACTTGCATCACAGTCCCGTACTTTTCAACATCAACGACGAAGTCGAGTTGGAAGGTCGTCTCGACGTTGCCGTCGTACTCCAGAAGCTGTCTGAGGCCGGCCGCCAGTCGCGGTCGGTATTCTGCGAGATCTTCCAGGGTATAGTTCATGGTTGGACGAGGGTGTGCAGATGGCCCAGCCCAGGCTGTAGGGGCCGATGCCAGCAGCTTTCGGAAGGCGAACGGAGGCAACGCCACATCCAAGATGGTGGAGTTGTAAATGGCCAAACCAAGGACAACGCCGACAAGGAAGAACTGGTCAGATGTCTCAAAGGAGTTGGGATTAAAGTAGCAGAACTGGGAGTCTTCATCGTAGATAAACATGCCTACTGCTTTGTTAGGAGGTGTTTCAGGATCGACCGAGACCAATACGTACCATGCTCTGGATTGAACACCTCACGAACGAGGAGAAGAAACCATTCCTTTTTGAGGCCTCCTGCATCAAGGCCCTCCTCGCCCTTGAAAACAATGCGTAACCCCTTCTTGATGTCTTCGCTCCCGCTTCCGATGACTTCACTGACAGCCTTCAGACTGTCGTCTACCAAGCACTCCCGCCTAACGTCGAGTACCAGGAATTGGGTGATAGTCCTTCGCGTCATGATGCTGTCAAAGAAGGCGTCTCGCGCTTTGGTCATTTGTTGCCTACGCGCGTCGTGCTCCAATATCTGCGACTTGGCCCATATGCTCAGCAGAAACGGGTACTGGCAGAATGAGAACCTGCCCCGTTTCGACTCCCAAGCTTCAAACTCGGCCACCAGATCTGTATAGTCGATCATAGTGTTGTAAAAATCACTTGTTGGGATGATCTGCCCATGTGCTTGGATGCCGCCTCTATGGGTGCTGCTGCTCATGTTCCTCGACGTCTGATCCGGCCGTCGAATGTGAGTCATATTGTTTGCCGCAAACACTAGAGAAAGGACCCGCGCAGCCGCCCGGATCTGCCAGTCGTCATTGTACACCATCTTCTTCGGTTGCTCCCTTTGCTTTTTTGAGGTGCCACGCTGTGTACCTAGCGCAGCATGCAGCGAAGCTGTCGAGTGCCCAGCACTCATGCTCGGAATCAGCCCAGCCGTGATGTCCACTTTGACCTCGTGCTTCTTTTCGTTTTGGCGAATGAGTCTATACGTCAAGAATCCTGCCGCGAGGTCCTTGATCTTGATGAACCTTTGTTCCGAAAACCGAGCGAACCATGTGGTCAAATAGTTCTGACACGAACTAGACGAGTTGGAGATCAGGCCTAGAATTCGCTTGATGACGACGGAGTGCTGTCCAGACACAGGACCTGTTTTTAAGGTCGGTCTATCCGCTCTCAATGCCTCATCGCTTGCCAGCGACGGACGTCTATCGACGCTCCGCCTCCCCTGGAAAGTATTTGACTCGCCGTGGAGCAAGGGGTTGTCCAAAATTATGAGGAGGTACCTCAGGTCTTCCGGGTCGGTCATAGGACGGCCAGGTCGCTTGAGTAGTGTCTCGGTAGCCTTAAGCAAGGTCCTATGGGCGTGGTCCTGACCGAATAATAGCTGGGATTCCAAAGCTCGGAGTTCTGTGGCCGAAAGGGGCTCGGCCCCCGATTCTCGAGTCAACTCTTCATAGATGGACATCCAAGATTCAGCCGCGTTGATCACGGATCTGTACCACTCTACAACATCGTTCCATTCGACCTGTGGTGAGCGCGGCGTGATGAACGAAGGCACCTCCTCGGTCCGTTGTGATGCCGACCGCTTAGGGCGTACCCTATCCGGTCCTTGGTTGCCGGCCCACCACGTGCCATTCTCAGCGAAATCGCCGAGCAGCAAAAGCTTTGGATCGAGGTCACAGATGGGGGATTCGGTGTAGTGCTCTGCATGCTTCGCCTCAGGTTTAGCAACAGCGGGCCGCCGGGAAGTAGACTCGCTTCCTGATCGAGCAGGCATGGCAGATCGCCGAGACAAGAATGACGAGTTCACGCAATGAAATGAGCTGAAGCAGGTCGTGATATAGTCTTCTAGCGGTTTGAAGATCCTCTTCGGATAGTCAACATCCCAGTATGCGGGGTCCGTCGGCTGGGGCACACTGCCTTCTGTCGTGAGCTGCCGCATAGAGGGCCTTTCGGGATATGAAGATGAGAAGGATCTTGTCGTTGGGGGTACGCGAAGGGTCCCGGGGCGAAGCGTTGGCTGCTCGGGAAAGACGTATGTCGACCCGTTGCCCTGGCTTTTCTCTCGCTTGTGTTGTGGCACACCCGTAGTCCTCACGGTGCATGGTCGACCATTTTGTTCTCTCAAAATGCTGGAAGACGCATGCTTATCGACATTTTCGCAGCATTCATCTTCAGAGCTCGAAGACCTCCTAAGCGCCTTCAAAAGATGTGCGTGGATACATTGTCTAATCAGTCTTTTAGTCTGCTCGAGGGAAATGGGCCTGGCGTCGTATCGTTCGGCTGGGGGAGTCGGTTGTTTCTGAGGTGATGGTGAGTCTTGGGAGGGGCGCTGAAGCCACTTCGGGCCGCTGTTGGCTCTTGTGCCTTGCGTATCGGGATGGATATCGTTGATGGTTACACAGACGGTGCATTTGAAGACTTTCAGCTCTCGCGGCCAACGCACGAGTGACCCGCAAGTCATGCAGTTGCCTGTAGCAAAGTCCCTGCTGCCACCATTGGTACCTCCCCTTTTGTGTGTACTATTCCCCGGCGGCTTTGTCATGACTGGCGCATCGTCCTCTGAGTCGGTGTCAGGGGCAGCGCCGGTGCGCTTCTTCTTACTCGAGAACAGCGAGGGAAACGGGTGGCTCATGGAGCGCGAATGGGTCAGTCGGCGCGGGCGTCTTGGGTGAAAATCGGATTCGGAAGAGCTCGAGTCGGCTTGAAGGTGCGGACTATCCAAAATCGCATAGTCGGGCAGTCTTCCCAGTTGGCCAGGTGGTGCAGTGAGCGAAGGAGTGTGTACTCGGGTGATCAGGTCGGCGGATGTTTGACGGAGAACAGGAGGGCGATGAGGTGGAGCATGACGTTGCGACCATGGGGCCATCTTTGCGAGCGACGTCGTCTGATGTCTGCGACAACGGTGGTAGCAGGGGCATGGAAGCAGCTTCCTCAGCAAGCAGCGAATGGGCGTGGAGAATGGAATATATGATGCAGGAATGGCGAGATTAAGCTTTCTCAGAAGCGTGCTGCTGTGGCCGAGGAAGGCGGTTTGAAGCACGAAGGCGGTAATTATGATGAAAATGAGGGGGGAGGGAGCGGGTGGGAAGCGAAGGGAGACCTAAACTCTGGTGTATGCGTATGCGCCTGTGCCTGTGTCTTTGTCTTTGTCTCTCTTCCAACCCGCGTGCGAATGCAGGATGCCTCTAAGTCAAGGACAAGAGAGACAAGACAGCGCTGCAGGGGACAGTCTCACGATGCACGACGATGCGGGTATCGATGCACAAGGGGGACAACTCGAGATGTGGCGTTTGCAGGAATAAGCAGCAGCAGCAGCAGCAGTGGTCGGGTCTCGCTGCGAGGCCAAGGAACTACCTAATAATTGCCAGGCGGCTGAGAGTCGATTGAGGCGTGGACAAGGAAGCGCAACGTCGTCGTTGTTTTTGTTATGGCCCCGTAGGTTAGGCCGAGTCGAGGTAGGGAATTGACCACCTCTACTCCGTAGTGCCCAAGCCAACAATTTGCGCCGTGCGCGCGATGACATTAGACGTTGCGACGGAAATCCCAAGAACAATTCGGATGTCACGTCTTGGACCTGAGCGCGGCGTGGCGGGCCTCCAGACCATCCATCCCTCAGGTCCGTTCCTTGACTTGAGATGGGGATTCGAAGGACCAAGACGACGGCGGAAGGCGAGTCGGTCTCGGCCGAGGGGCCTGAACAGTGGAACGGCAACAGTCGCCCGACCCAGAAAACAATCCCCTCGGGCCATGTTCTCTCATCAGACTCGCCTCGTATTCATCGCTGGGCACGCGGTTGGCTTCCTATTACCATGCCGAAGAGTCGATTGATCCCCGCCACGCACCGTGGCTGGCCGGCGCCATCCATCCCTCGTTCCAAAGAGGGTCTGTTTCGTCTCCCTGGCGTGGTTATACGGAGTATGTGGTCCTAAATTGTCACTTAAAAAACCAGCCATCTCTGTGAAGGCCCTTGTATCTTGTCGCATGAACACTAAAGAACTTGCTGGCTGTATCCGTAATAATAAATATCCCGGAACCACCAATCGTCCCCAGCAATGCTTGAGGTGCTAACCTAACCCAAAGAACACAAGTCTGGACCCTGTGAAGTGGATATCATGCTGCAATGTCAATAGGTAGTAGTACTCGGTATCCGTACCTATGGTGACCGACCAGCCATTTTCAGCTCAGCTTTAACCAATCTTTTCCGGAGATCAGGGTCTACATACCAATGGAGCCGACCATTCGAGGGGTCGTTCTCGCTTTTCAGTGCAACGCAACCCCCCTACCGAGCACGCGGCTTCCAATAAAACCGACCGGTTTTACCTACCAAAGTGAAAGCGGTTGGTCCTATCGGAACCCGAGTGCCTAGGTACCTGCCTAAGTACCTACGGACCTGCAAGGAGGGCACCACTCCTGCGTGCCTTACCTTGCCTCAGCACGCCCTCAGCAAGGAGCGGTCCAAGGTTGCACTTCCCCGACCCGGCATCCGGCGGATGGACGGTATGTTCCTTCCCCCCAATCCACGTTTCCCAATACCAAAGCTGGCGCCAATGCCAATCTGCGCCAAGCTCGGCTAAACCCATAAATGAAGGAACGAGTTTGTCGTGCATCCCCGTTTCGTCCTTGTCACGCACCGCGCATGCATCTTCTCTTCTGCCCCTTCTTGTGACACTTTCATCCTCAACTACCTGCAGGCTTTGCGGATAAGACACGCGCACAAGTTACAACAAGCTACCTCGGCTGTTTCACCTTGTCTACTCAATCCTCGAATATACTTCCGAGTCGTGCACATCTGGCTTCCCACCAACACCCTCGTCGTCTTCGGACAACAGGGGTTCCGGGGCTGACCCTGAAACCTATTCTTGTTTGGTATAGCTAAAAAGCTCTGGACGGGGCAGCTCCGCAACGTCGATTGATCATTGCCGGTGTAGGTTGCCAAAGATAAACAACAACGAAAACGCATACGCGGCCGAGCAAACGACTACAAGGCTAATGGCGGCCATGCCAAGCAGGGCTTTTTGACGGAAAACGTGGATGCGGAAAGGTGCTGCTCATTGGCCAGCCACCACTCGCTTATCGTTACAATGCTGATGGAACCAGATCTAAGCATCATACATCAAAGAGGAATGTAGCGCCCGAGTCGATGCAAACATATGCGTATTCTCATTCGTCAAATATACAGACAGTTAGCTGTCCATCGGCCGTCTCCGGTGCCCCTACAGCATGTTGGCAAACTGAGGTGACACAGAGAAGGATACGTCGATGAACTTGATCGTCTCGTCGCACCAGTTCGACTCCTGGGTACCAACGCCCACCAGTCTCGCCTTATCCGAGGCCTTGGCGCCCTTTTTGATACTGCCCTGGAACGTGGTCTCAAAGTCGCCCTTCACAATCTTCAGGTCGCCCTTCAACTCGGACAAAACTTCACCGCTCTCGTTGCGGATCTCAAAAATGCTGACACCGTGATCAATCTCCAACGGGCTGGGGTTGTACACCTTCATTGTGTTGACAAACCCTCCGCCTCGCTCTTGGACGTTGACCTGTGCGATCTTGGGGCCGCCCATGCCAATGATGTGCACGTCCTTGGCGTACTTGACTTTGGCTGACAAACCGAGCGCCTTGATTGTGCAGTCTCCGTTGTCGAGATGAAGCACCAGCTGTTCGTCGCACATGATGGCCTTGACGAACGCCTTGAAGGCGTTGCGGTCGACGATCTTGATGACTTGGTCGCGGACAATCACATCCGTTCCGCCCGACTTGGTCTTGACTTCGGGGAGGTCCAGCTTTCCAAAGCAGGCGCCGTTGAACATCATATCGACCGTCATTGGTGCCATGGTCGCGCCCATCGGTCCGGTGCCCGTGACCCTGCTCACGATGGTCATGACGAAGGATCTGAGGGTTGCAAAGTCAGCATGGCATCGAGTCGGGGCGGTGCCCAGTCTGGGACCACTCACTCCGCGGTGGGATTGGAGATCTGGATCGTTTCCACCTCCAGCTTGGATCGGTTCATAATGGCCTGAGTGATTGCCTCCATATTGGCTAGTGTGCTGATTTGTGGATCGCTAGAAGATTGATGACGTTGACTGAGTTGATAGATTGTTTAAGTGAAGAGTTGAATGCGGTTGAGGCTCATTGACTAATTGACTGACTGAGCGATTGGTAGACAAGGTGAGGAGCAGCGACCTTTATACACGCTTGCCATCTCATGTCATCTAATAATATACTAGTCATTTCCGTGCCATGATGTGACCCTTATTCTTGTCAAGACACATGCAGAGCTTCAGCTGCTTTGTTTTTGCCTCGGAACTCGAGTCTTGCCTCCAACAAGCTCAGCTCCACGGTTCGCATAGCTCTTCGCATAGCTCTTCGCATTCCCTGCCACACGCTGTCCACGTTAACAAGGCCCTCCTGATTGTTTCTAGTGGGGTATTTATCGGACGAAGATCCTCGCCCGCTCGGTGAGCCCTCCTTGCATGTCAAATTAGTCACCCAACAATCCCCCCTCAAACACCAACTTCCTGTACATTGAAACATCATCAGAGCACATCTACAGGGCTACGCAACCAACCGGACAATGCACCTGTACCCGCATTCGCACTGCTCACAGCAGCTACCAAGCGACGCGCAGGCAATGGCCAGCTGCTCAATCCATCTCGGCACCCCCTCCTCCAAACAAAGCTCGCTTGGACATCCGTTTCGGGAATGCATTGTGCAGTTACGACCCCAACTCCAACTAACCTCCGGGGACCCGCGCCTCAGCTGGCGGCAAGTCTCACGTCGTATTGATGGATGTAGTCGCTCTAGGCCCCCATAAGGGGTCTAGTGCAGTTCACCCAGTACAAATGCAATGTTGTCATATGTCCCCTCGCGTTCCCTAACCGCGTGTCAGCGGCGCCGGAAGGCCGTCTCCGTCTCTTCGGGATCCAGGAGGCGGCCCTGCGTCGGGCTTTGATTGCCGCCTGCCGATTTCGACCAAGGCTGTCCCAAAACGTTGTGTGGGCTCTCTCGAGACGGGTGAGAGGGTTGAAACATGTCGACTCTATGCCGTGTAAGTTACGTGTGGCGCAGGTTTTTGCGTGGGAGGGCCATGTTCAATCTCGGCATATCACCGTCAAGCAATCAAGAATGTCTTTTGACATGTGCTTCACACTCGGCTTGCTCGTCGGTCTCTTCCGAAAGGGAGGAGAGTGCGGGGATGGGGGATGACGTTGGGCTTGGAGATGTCACGACAGCAAACCAAACATAACCCCTCTCCCCAAAAGACAAGGGGGGGGGGGGGGGGGTTCTCTCGGAGGGAAATGGGTTTACCTTGAGGCGACGTTATGTCAACAGGTGTGGAAGGGCCGGGAATAGTTGGCAAGTTTAGCTTCGCCATCCAGGCGATGCGGAGCTTACTTACGCAATGCCTCACTCCTTTTGAACCAACAAGTCATCTCGTAGCCCGGTGTCCAGATGTTTTGCGCAACACGGAGGAGAATATCCAGCCCGTGGCGACCGTTAACACTTGCAGCACGTAACTTGCAGCAAGAAATGGCTCTGAACCGGTGAAATTGTCGACGTTGAGCGAGGCAGATTCCGCAAGATCCGGTCTTCGGGACTCAAGTGTGGTTCTTCGCTCTTGCAATCATTTCTTTTTGACTACGGTGCTATCTTCTCGACTGTCTATCGCGGAAAGAGAGGGAAGAGAGGGCCAAAAAGACAAACATCAAGCTTTTGTGCCTTTTCGTTCCTTTTTCTCTCCCGCAATTACCGGACAGAAAAGATATCCCCTCAACCCGGACTACTATCGTTGTCATTCATCAACCGTTCCGAAAACACATTCTCTGTGTCCACCTTTTGATAGAAGCTCAGCTACTCGCCATTGAACACCGACCGACCCGACAAAACAACCACCCTCGTTTCTCTCTACAACCGTCCCGCCAACCTCTGACTCCGATTCGATGCTTGTCTGGAAACAAAGTTACGAAATGAGATGAGCCCAAGCAGAGACTTTTTCTTGTGTATAAACAACACCAAACAACGACAACTGTGCAGGGCAAGACAACTGGAAGTCTTCTTTGCAAAGACCAAGGGGAAAGTGTTCGGTCATGTGCACGTTGTATGAGAGGGGACGTTTTCTGTCATGCTGATACGCACAGAGAGCCCTTACACTCCAGTGGCGTCGTCAAAGACGATGGCGGCCTTGATGGCGCTCTTGTTCTTGATGGACTCGAGAGCCTCGCCGAACTGCTCCAGCTTGAAGGTCTTGTTGACGATGCCCTTGGTCTTGACCTTACCGGAATCGAGGTAATCGATGGTGGCGGCTGCGTACAAAGGGAAGTCAGTATCAGGGTCGCAGCAAAAACGACTTGGCAAAAGCCTCGAGACTGATCGGGGCGGTACATACGGAACATGTAGGTCTCGGAGAAGGATCCGAGGATGGTGATCTCATCGCCAAAGATCTTGGAAGGGGGCCATGAGACGCGTGCGGAGCTGTTGTAGACACTGAACGAGGGTGGGTTAGCTGACTGCCGAGTTCCTAGAGAAAGGTCCGCTGTTGCCTTACCCGTAGACGACGAGCTTGCCGCCACGGCGGACGTAATTGATGGCGTCCTCGAGGATCTTGACAGAGCCTGTGGCCTCAACGACGACGTCGAAGCCGTACGGGTTGTCGCTCTTGAGCTGGGAGAACTGGACCTCGGGGTCGGAGCGGGAGAGCTCGATGTAGTTGTCGGCGGCGTCCAGGCTGCGGGCGAGGTCCATCTTAAGACCTTGGGGCGCGGCGATGGTGACATTGCAGCCGCCGTTGTGGCGCATAAGCTGGGCGAGCATCTGCCATGAACGTACGATGATTAGACCGTCGTATTCTCTCTTCAAAGGTATTCAGGGAGGACTTACGAGACCGGTGGGGCCGGCGCCGAACATAAGGACGCTGGAGCCGAGACGGGGTCGGATCTTGTCCAGGCCGTGGCAGGCGCAAGAGGCGGGCTCGAGGAGGGTAGCGTCGACGTCGTTGAGGTTGTTGATCTTGAAGACCTTACCGGCCGGGTAGGCACAGTACTCGGCAAAACCACCGTTCATGGTGACGCCGTGAGCCTCGAACTGCAGAGGACGTTAGTTTCGTTCCTTGAAGTAATCATTTAAGTCACAAGGTGGTGTTAGGGATCTCACATGCTCGCAGAGCAAAAGCTCTCCACGGCGACAGTAGAAGCACTCATTGCAAAGCTCGCTGTTGTCGGCGGCGACACGGTCGCCCACCTTGAAGTCCTTGACTTTCTGTACTCGGTGTCAGCACGGTTCGCGCGCCGTTATCGAGGGTCAAGTGGGCTTATGCGTACGGGTCCGACAGCGGCGACGACACCGACTGTCTCGTGGCCGGGAATTAGGGGGAACTTGGCGATGAACTCTCCCTCGTGGATGTGCTGCCAATAAGTGTCAGGATATCGCCCAAGAGAGCACGTTCTAAGAGTTATGCTTTACCAAGTCTGGCATTCGTGTTAGTTGTACATGGTCCCAGTTGTTTTTTTCTTCCTCCGTTTGCACGGAATGTGTAGTGCAGTGGTGTAAACAGCGATGCGGAATTTCACTCACCAGTGCCACAAACACCGCAAGCTCGAACCTTGACGAGGACGTCATTCTCCCGGAGCTCTGGAAGGGGGACCTGGACAATTGACCAGTCCTCGGGCTTCTCGTATCTGAATGAGGGGTCAGCCTGTTGCTGATGGAGGGGGCATCTGATCCGGGTAGCATAGTTCCGCAGGAGGTGGCAATTCGTCGCAGGAAGTGGGAAAGCTGAATCCTAACAAAGGGGGGAGGGGAGGCATACCGGAGAGCCTTCATCTGCTTGGGGAGGTTCGACAGGTTCGCCATAGTGGGTATACTGCTGGCTTAGGACTGAGATATTGGATAGATACTATTGTAGCTTTGGAAAGCCGAGTCAGTGTATATTCTCCGTGTAAGTGACACCGGACTAGAACAGATTGAGGTTCAACTGGACACGGGGGCTGGTGACGTACGATAAACAAAAGCTCACGGACGGGGAGAGAAGGTGAGAAGCAGCTTGGTTTCGACTGTAGATGGACGACCAGGAGGCGACAACGGCGGCTTTATATACCTTCTCATAAACAAGGCCATGCTGAACCTGCGCGGGGCATGGACGCATCTTGGGATGGAAATGGGGACCAGGGTCCAAGGCGGCGTTGGCTGGCATGTCTGAGTTCAAGGTACATACATCTAGACCCTCCCTGGGATTTGCATTGTACTCCCGAATCGGCGAGCTTCCATGGATACACCGAATGATGTCCGTACCTCTTCTCTAGTCTGATATAAGACACAAGAGTGTGGACAGTGTGTTGGTGTAACTGCATCCCGCATCCTGCACCCTCATCTGCGTCTTCGTCGACATGCACCTACGCCAACATAATCGTGGTACATACACTAGAAAGTATACTAAACCGCGTGCAATACTTGGGATGTTCTGGCCAAAAAAGCTGATCGGCGAGAGGGGAAACCCACCGAGAAACCAACGGAGCTGTAGACGAAACGGCGAAGCTGAGCAGAGCCCCCATCACCATGCCACCCCTGTCCAATCTGGAGGTGCCCCACCCCAAGAATTCCCCGCCGACTTTGACTGACTGCATATGTACCGGGCGTCATCACACATGGCTTAGTAGCTATACTTTCTAGCGTGGAAAAATTGGGGTGGAATACCGGTACACGGCGGGGAGCAATTAGACTCCCTAGGGATGGAAGTGAACTGAGGGGCAAAGGTACGGCAACGCGCCGCCTATCCCTCGACCGTCGGACGACTAGTCCAACACTTTAGTTTATCCCACGGTACGGGATCAATCACCTCTGATCGGGCCATTCGGAAGCGAGAGATTGGCGAACAAGATACATGCAAAGGAAGGGGAAGAAGGACGGTGGGCTTTGGACTGGAATCGCGACTGACAGAACCTGAACAGTGGCCATCCCGAAAACCACTGCCTCTTCTTTCTTCCACTCTCCTCTAGCTGCTGAGGTCCACTTGGAGCGCCGCGGTGCTTGTCTCGCACATCCGGCACTCTCCTCGCCAACGTGCATCGCCTCAACAAAATGTCCCTTTCCAAGGCAGGTCGAGGGAGAGTGAGAAGTGTGGTGACACCTCACGGCACATGACATAAACTTACACTAGTCCCCTGGCCTCGACCACGCCTGCGATTCTCTCCTTCACGCGCTACCCTGGGCGTGGCCCTTCCACCCGGCCGCTCCCCCGGTTTGCTGACCTCAATTTTTGGCGTAGAGATGCCGCCATCCCGCATGGAGTTGACCTTACATACCGGTTTGGCGTGGGAAGGCAGCGGCGGCGGCTGGATACTCACTCTGGTATGATCCTCCTTTCCATCCCATGGCTCGGAAACCTCAATACATCGCGTCTGGAACCCGGTGTAAGTGCAGGAAGGCCGGACAAGGAAGACAGGATAGGTCGTTGGGGAAGGCGACCCCCTACCAAGCCAATCCGACACATCCGACTCGCTGAGACGAGAGACACATACAACAATAGAACACACACATAGTGTGGAGAGAATGCTTGGGGTCCGACTCACGCGGGGTACGAATGAGACTGACACAGGCCGAGAAATCTGATGGTCATGAGCTTTGCGTAGTCACCGCCACTTCTCGCTCAGTCGTCTTACGAGCGCACCTCCTCGGCGCCCCTTCCATCTTGCCATCCTGAACAATGATCGAGACTATGACGCATGTTCACCAAGGCACGGGGATAACACGCGTTGCTTCTCCGCCTCGCGGGGGAAGAAGGGGGGGGGGGGGGGGGGGGGGGCGGACTTCACGCTCACAAACAATACACAGACACACGCATCCACGCACACACCTGGATGCAACTCGGAGTCTGGAACCATACGTTATTCGTGCAAAGCCTGCTGAAGCTATCCTACGTATGTCGGCGCTTACCCCAGGCTCTCAACATTCCTTCATAGACGGACCCCTTTTCTCGTCCGTCCTCGACAATCCAGGAATCACATCCACGGATGTCCTAGTTTCTTCTTCTTTTTTTCTTTTTTCCCCATGTTTTCTTCGGCCGATCTCGACATGCGGGGGAGTCTCGAACATGAACTCTCGAGATGCGAGTACCGCCCCTCCACGTGCTAGCCGGCAGACACTACGTGCTCATCACGGCGTGGCAGAGAAAGGAAGATAGAAAAAGGACGTTTCACAGTTTGGAGGAAGCAGCACAAGCTGCATGCTGCAATTCATGACCTTTTGATGCAAACGATTTCCGAGGATCTAACCTCCAAACTCCCACGATGTTTCCCCCGTAGTCTGTGACGTTAACAGACGCGCGACTGTTCCGGCCATCCACTTTTTAGAGTACATGTCGGTGCCTTTTTGTTTCTGCCAATGCGTCTCGAGAGTAAAAGCCGATAGGAAAGGACCTTCTTACGAAGGGGGAGCGGCACCACGGCCACGGCCAAAGCCACCACGGCTGCAGAACTGTTAGCAGGCATGTCCCGTAGTGTATCTCGAATTTTCACAGGGGAACGGCTTCGCGCCGCACCACCGAGGGTTGAGGCTCACAATTGGGGCTCGAATCCACCAGGCGCACCACCCTCCTTGCCGCCCTCGCCAGCATCACGGCGGCGGTAGCCACCCTCACGGTCACCACGGTCGCCGCCACGGCCACGGCCGCCAAAGGGTCTTCTCTCGCGCTCGCCCTCGCCGAGCATGCCGCGGGGGGGAGCGTGGGAACGCTGCTGCTTGATGTGGGTGGCGGGGACAATCTCGGCGGGAAGGTGAAGCCACTCGCGGAGGTAGTCAAGACCCTCGGGGGTCAGGGTGTAGTAGTAGTATTGCCACGAGAACTGTGTCTTGACATAGCCGCGGGAGTTGAGCGACTGAAGGGCCTTGATGACGAACAGGTTCTTGGTGTCGATGTCGGGGTGCTTGGGGAGGTTGAAGTCCTTCTTCGCGACGAGGACACCCTCACGGAAGAGGTACTGTAATTTTTGTCGTCAGCAAACTGTCACTCCTCCCACTTTCTGCGCCGCGCGCCTGCGAATTGTAAGTCTAACCTCGTGGATCTTCTTGCGGTCGGCCTTGGGGATCAACATCGTGGCGGTTGTCGCTGGTCGCTTGCTCAGGTCGATGTTGGATTGTCGAGTTCGGCTTGCGGTCAAGAGCGTTCGACACAAAAAGAGCGAAATCTTTTGGTGGGCTGAGGTAAGTGCGACCAACCCTAGCCGGTGTGGTCTCGAAACCTATTTTCTCGGCAGGCAGATGGTCCGTGCCTCGCTGGGGAGTCTGCCTGTACGTACCACTCTAGCCACATTTTCCAATCCTCTCATCTGGAGGGTCCGTTGCCACAGTGGCTATGTGGCTGTGACTCGCAATTGCTATCTCCGACGGGGTGTGACATGGGAAATAAACACTTGGTAGTGCAGCCAGCCCGTTCTGCCTGCACGTCTCATCAGCAGTCGCAACCTACCTCGCTGTCGTTACTTCTAAACGCGACAACGCCACTCCAGAGATTTCACGAAACGCATTTTTGCAACAGAAAAAGATAAAAAGACGATCATGATGGCGGTCAAGAATGTCAACGTTTTCGTCAGCACTTTTGCAGGATTGGGCCTGCCGTCCACTCTGGTTCTTCCTGTTCCCTCGACAACGACTCTATCCGACTTGCGATGCCAACTTGACGAACGTCTGCCTGCGACGGACAGCCGACTGATTCTGACGACGGTATCCAACAAGGAGCTTCCCGCATCGTCCACAAAACCAGTTTCGGATCTCCTGTCGTCCATAAACGATGACTTTGTTTCTCTGCGACTGTCGGTGCCGCTTTGCGGTGGTAAGGGTGGTTTCGGATCCCAACTCCGAGCTGCTGGTGGCCGCATGTCCTCCAAGAAGAAGCGCAACCAAGGAGACGCAAACAACTCTAGCAGAAACCTCGACGGTAGACGTCTGCGCACCGTTACTGAGGCCAAGGCCCTGGCCGAGTACCTAGCTATCAAGCCTGAGATGGAGAAGAGGGAGAAGGAGAAGCGCCGCGAGCGCTGGGAGCAGATTGTCGAGCTTGCAGAGAAGCGTGAGGATGAGATCAAGAACGGCAGCAAGGGCCGTCTTGATGGCAAGTGGGTCGAGGACAAAGAAGAATCCAACGAGAGAACTCGTGAAGCCGTACTTGCCGCTATCAAGACTGGAAAGTACAAGGACAACTTGCTCGGCACCTCTCATGCATCGACTGGCTCAGAAGAGACAGATGACGCCATGTCGAGTGATGATGAGAACGAGGAGGGGGGTAGTTCCAAGGAGTCTACCCCTCCGTCAGAACCGGCCAAGGTATCCAAGGATAAGCCGAGAACATTTTTCGGGTTCGACGAGGACGACGAGTTCATGAGCTCTGATGATGACGAGGTCGACGTGAAGAAGAAGTGAGCCTGAGCGTTCCTTTTACCAACCTTCTAGTCTTATCAATATCATGGTTTTGCGCATGGAGTTCAGGATTGGTGGGTAAACCGCACGGAGTTTCCGGACAACCGGGTCAATGGGGTGGTATCAAAGGTTAGGCAATTGTACAAATGATCATATGGGCAGACACTACATATAATTTTCACAAATCGTATTCGGCGCCCGCGAGCGCCCTCGGCTTCATCGCACGACACCTTCCGATGCTCTATTTGAGGTCTCGATCCATCTTGAAGGAGTACAGACGCCCGGCTCCTCTGTCTCATCTGCTCGCAACCTAGTCTAACATCGCTTATTCGTCGAGCTTGACGGGGAAGGTGCCAGCCTCTGTTCTTTGTCAGCATGCGCGTCTTCAGCATACGGGCGAAATGCTGACCTCGCTGCTCGTCCCAGCGGGTGTACCAGCCGGAGGGGCACAGGGAGCGGTAGCCGAGCCAGAACTGCGTCTTATTAGTTCCAGGGTGCCCGTAAAGAATCGTTATGAATAGTCCGGACCTGGCGGCAAGGGGCGAAGTCCTCGCCCTTAGCATTGATGCACTTGTGGTAATCAACGTAGTTCTGCCAGCAGTGCTTGGTCTGGTTCATGTTCGGGTAGCGGGCATCGGTGCCTAGTCAAGTTCGAATTAAAATCAAAGTTTCAAGATCCCCGGCACAAATCGGGGTGACGCTGTCACGGGTTTCGGTGGTTCGGGTGGAAGGTCATACCGGCTGGAAGTTATGAGTTAGCCTCGGAAAAGGATCAGGCCATACTTTGAAGAGGGATATTTCTTTCGCAACATACCAGTGACGAACTTGAAGGGCTTGGTAACGAGTTCCTGATCGTCGGCCATTTTGACTGCGTGCGAGTTCAATTGACAGGGAGTCGGTTCGGGTGATGGGTTAGAGTAGGCAGCGGCGTGCGATTGGTGTTGTTGCTTGGAGAGCAATTGAATGGTCGTTTATGCACCGAGAATCAGGTGGTGACGGGCAAGAACCGGGTCGATGCCTGAGACGGCCAATCAGGCCTCAGGCATTGAAAAGGTGGGTCCCAGCTCCGGTTCAACATCAGAAGACCGATGGGAGTGTGGTAACTTCCACTCATCTCGAGATCCAACCTCAGCTGTACCGAAAGGACCGAAAAATCTCCCCTCTCTTAAAGAAGACAAATACAGTCAAAATGCGTCCTTCTCTCGCCCTCCGCGCTTTCCGCCCGACTATGCGCAAGATGTCCCCCGTTCCCGTACGTTAAATTTCGCTGGTCCGGACTGGCGCAATCGCTAATTATGACGCTCAACCCTTAGGCCGAGGACCAAGTCGGTACGTCGACAAACCGCTTCAGCCATTGAGGCTTCCCGCGACACAGGGCATCGATCTCGACGACAACCCGAGGAAGTGCGAATTGACTGGCAGCAGCTGACGTGCATGATTGTAGGCCACACCGTCTCCCAGAGACTGCGCAAGCTCCGCCAGATCCCCCCCGAGCTGATCCCCCTCGGTACGTCACATGACATCAAAGGTCATAATGGATTGCCACTGATAAAGAATAGGTGTTGTCGTTGGCTTCGCTCTGGCCGCTGCCACCTACTCCGTCGCACGTCACTTCATGACCGACAAGACCATCCGCCTTAAGCGCCAGGGCAAGTCTGCTGCCGCCGAGTCCGGCCATGGAGAAGAACACTAAGCGGAGGTTGGGAGAATTGCGGGAGACAGTTTGACCAATGGCGTCAATATGTTATTAGGGATGATCAGTTTGTACATGACAACGACAGACAGATGAAGAGGCACCAGAGACGCTGCCGCTTTCAGTTTCCTTTCTCAATGTGCCTCGCGCCCTTAAGTGTTAGAGAAAAGCCATGTCCATTTGTACAATCAGTAAACCATGTAAACGCCGCCGCTATGCTTGTTCAACAAGACCAAAACCACTCTCCGAATCGTTTCATTCTCACTCTGGCCTAGGACCTGCGACGTCAAGCCCCTCCAGACCTTGCATGGGATCGTCTCCACGCACTTCGACCTCTGTGATTTGCTCTCTCGTGACGCCGTCCTCATCCCCAACCGCATGTTCTGCCAGCCAGCCCTCCTAAAGAAAAAGTCAACATGAAATACATGTGCAATCTAACGCATGAGTAGCTTACCTGTTCCCAGACAGCCTTTTTGCTTCCTAGGCCCTCATCTGCGCTCTTCGGTACCTTGGCCGCTGAAACTTTGATGACTCGTCCGAAGAATTCAGACTGGTCCATGTTGTCGATGGCTTCTTTGGCATCTTCCGCGTCCTCATACTCAACGTAGGCAAAGCCCCTGTGGGGATCGGTTGAGTTCGGCTTGTCGTTCTTTGGCAGCGACACATCGGCAATTTCGCCAAAGGGGATGAAGGCATCGTGGACGTTGGAGGCCGTAACGATAGAAGCCAGCCCACCCACGAACACGGTCGCCTTCCAGCGCGCAGCGTCGGTCATCTTGACTTGAGTATGGTTGACCTGCTATTGTCTGAGCGCACTCCGTGATCTATATGAGAGGCGCAGCTGGGTGACACTCCAAGAGTGAATCTTTCGGGTAGTGGGGTTTCTGTGCAAGAGCTCCTCGCAACTCTCCATTGGCTGGAACCACAAGGGAGCTGTCTATAATGATGCACGTGACGCCGCTTTTGGTGCTAAATGTCTAGTGCACGGTCCACTGGGGGTGGGGTGGACTGCAGTCACCTTAGGCCTTGAGCTCGAACCTGGACGTGGGCTGCAATCTGGCATCATATTTCCCGAGTGCCAGCGTATTACTGTAGGAATCCGAGTATCGAACAGCCACCTGTCCCATAAAGATTGGCTGCCATTTTTTCAACCCCAAAGAATCGCGGCACTCCTTGCCAGATCTTTTGTAATCAATCTTCACCAACCAATGCCATTTTACAGCCGCATTTGAGTTGTCTCGACTGGCCGATCCTCCCTTACAGCAACGTCCATCCTCCTCCCTGAGTGCAGTCCTGGGGACTGAGTGATTCTCGCAACCATGGTTCGCCTTCGCGAGATTCCGAGGACGGCGGCCTTTGCCTGGTCCCCCGACCCATCCAAGCCCCTTTTGATCACCGGCACTAGAGCTGGAGCTGTTGATGCCGACTTCTCTGATGAGACTAAGCTGGAGCTGTGGGACCTCAACCTTGACAACCAAGATCAAGGCCTCGAGCTGCAGCCCATAGCTAGCATCAGCACCGACTCGAGGTAGGCCTTGCTGCTGCTGCCACGCAATCAATCCGAATATCTTCGCTTACGGCACTTAGATTTTATGACCTTGCCTGGGGCCCTCCCGATTCCGATCACCCCAAGGGCATCATCGCTGGTGCTCTGGAGAATGGTTCTCTCGACCTTTGGGACGCAGAGAAGCTCATTGACGGTGCTGAAGATGCCTTAATGTCCCGAACAACGAAGCACACCGGTGCAATCAAGTCTCTTCAGTTCAACCCCCTCCGCTCCAACATACTCGCAACCGCCGGCGCAAAGGGCGAGCTATTTATATACGACGTCAACGATGTCGAGAACCCGTTCCGACTCGGTACCGCTGCCGCCCGCGCAGACGATCTGGAATGCGTCGCTTGGAACCGCAAGGTTGCGCACATCTTGGCTACTGGAGGATCCGGTGGCTTTGTCACTGTTTGGGATCTGAAGACTAAGAAGGCTTCCTTGACGTTGAATAACAACAGGAAGCCCGTCAGCGCCATCGCCTGGGATCCCAACAACTCGACCAAGCTCCTGACTTCCACATACGACGATACCTCCCCCGTCATCTTCCTTTGGGATCTCAGAAACTCCAATGCGCCGGAGAGGACACTCCAGGGACACGACCAGGGTATTCTGTCGCTGTCTTGGTGCCAGCAGGACAGCGACTTGCTGCTTTCGTGTGGCAAGGACAACAGAACCCTGGTCTGGAATCCCCAGACGGGCGACCGTTACGGAGAGTTCCCCGAAGTCACGAACTGGACCTTCCTCACTCGATTCAACCCCTCCAACCCCAACCTTTCAGCGACCGCTGGCTTCGATGGCAAGATTACCATCCAGACCCTCCAGAACACCAACCCCTCCAACACTCAGGCCTCCACCACGAACAACCTGGACGGCGAGGACTTCTTTACCAGTGCCCAAACGCAGCCTCAGGGCGCATCTTTCTCGCTGAACAAGGCGCCCAAGTGGTTCGAGCGCCCCATTGGTGCCTCTTTCGGATTCGGTGGAAAACTGGTCATTTTCAAGCAGAATGCTCAGCAACGGTCCACCAAGATCTCGATTTCGCAGTTCTCTGTGGACTCGTCGATCGGTGCCGCAACGGAGAAGTTCGAACAAGCTCTGCAGTCTGGCGACATTGTCAGCCTCTGTGAGTCTCGCAAGGAACAGGCCAAGAGCGAGGAGGAGAAGGCGGACTGGCTCGTTATGGAGACGCTCACCAGCGAGAACCCGCGAAAGCGTATCATCGAGTATCTTGGGTTCAAGGAGGACGAGATCGCTAATGGAGTCTCGAGCAAGGGCGAGGAAAAGACAGAGGAAACCTCAGATGACAAGAAAGAGGAGACCAAGGAGGGAGACAAGTCCGACAACATGTGGGGTGAAGGTGACGGTGAAGGCGAAGAAGACTTCCTGTCCAACCTCTCAGCAAACAAGGGGGCGAAGACAGACAGCCCCTTCCATTTGCTCGCGGATACCGACACCGCAGTTGAGAAGTCCATCACCAAGGCATTGATGCTCGGAAACTTTGGCAAGGCCACTGAGATCTCCCTCAAGGAAGAGCGTTGGGCAGATGCTTTCCTTATTGCTAACTGCGGCGGACAAGAACTTGTGGATAAGGTGCAGACTGCCTACCTGGCTAGCAAGGACGGAGTTCCTAGCTATGTCCGTCTTCTCGGCTCTGTTATCGCCAAGAACTTGTGGGATGTCGTCTACAACGCTGACCTTGAGAACTGGAAGGAGTCCATGGCCATCCTGTGCACATTCTCAGACCCCAAAGAGTTCCCTGACCTCTGTGATGCTCTTGGAGATCGCATCTTTGAGAGCGGTTCCCGTAAGGATGCCTCCTTCTGCTACCTGGTTGGATCGAAGCTTGAGAAGGTCGTCTCCATCTGGATTACGGAACTTGAAGAGGCGGAGCAAGCTGGCGTACAGGAGCCGAGCGACGATTCAACGTTTTCCGTTCATGCCCGTTCGCTGCAACATTTCATTGAGAAGGTTACCATCTTCCGCCAAGTCACCAAGTTCCAGGACTCCGGAAAGGATCAGAGTGCCGACTGGAAGCTGTCAGCTTTGTACGAAAAGTACACGGAGTACGCCGACCTTGTTGCCGCTCACGGTCAGCTGGAGGTTGCGCAGAAGTATCTGGATCTGCTGCCCAAGGACTACCCCGAGGCCGAATTGGCGAGAAGCCGCTTAGTGCGTGCCACCCAGAAGGGTGCAGGCGCTCAAGTTACTGGCAAGAAGACAGCTCCTGTTCGTCAACCTGGACAGCTTCCAGTAGTCAACAACCCACAGGCCACTCCGGCTTATCAGCCCACGGTCCCTACTCCGCCCTCTGGCCTCTCCAACCCGTACGCACCGGCAGCCCCAGCCCTCGTCACTCCGCCTGCACCAGCAGCTCCGTCAAACCCCTATGCCCCGGCCGCCCCAGCCATCGGTGGTTACGCTCCTGCTGCCACTCAGTCTCCTTATGCTCCGGGACAAGGTTACCAGCCTCCAGTTGCCCAGTCCTATCAAGCGCCTTCGGGCTACGGACCGCCTCCCAGCAACTTCGGTGCCGTGCCGCCGCCTCCCCGTAACTCTACGCCCACTTCGAACTTCCGCCCCAAGGAGAGTTGGAACGACGTTCCATTGGTTGCCAGGGCACCCCCACCTAGGAAGACTACTCCCAAGGTTGCCACCATTAACTCGCCCTTCCCCAACCAGGGAAACCAGCCAGGACCTCCTCAGAGCCCTTACGGACGCACTGGCTCGACGCCCCCCCCACCTCCTCCCAAGGGTCCGGCACCGCCTCGTGTCACGTCTCCTCTAGCTGGACCTCCTCAGACCTTCCAAGGGCCACCTAGGACAACATCAGCTGCCTCAAACGCGTACGCTCCGCCTCCGCCCCAGTCCGGTGCAGCTCCTTCCATGGCACCTCCCTCCATGCCTCGCACCGCATCGCCGTACAACCCTCCTCCATCTGGCGCTCCGCCTTCTAACCGCTATGCGCCTGCCCCCTCAGCGCAGCCGCAAACTAGCCAGCCGCCTTTGGGCTCTTCGATACCGCCCCCTGGAAGCCAGCCGCCGCCCAGGAACCCCTATGCGCCGCCGCCCCAGTCGGGTGCGCCACAAAGTCAGTATGCGCCTTCGCCGTATGGTGCTCCGCCCGCCGCAACCTCCCGACCGCCTACTGGACCTCCTCCTTCGAGCGGACCCCCGCCTGCAGCTAGAGCTCAGCCTACGCCTCCTCCTCCGAAGGCTGCAGCCGCTCCGTCCAAACCTAGGCACCCCGCTGGTGACCGGTCGCACATTCCGGCCCATGCCCAGCGGTTGGTTGACGTGCTCAGTTCGGACATGCAACGGGTGGCTTCCCGGGCGCCTTCTTCTTTTGCCGCTCAGGTCAAAGACACTCAAAAACGTCTCAACCTGCTGTTCGACCACTTGAACAACGAGGAGCTAATCAAACCCGATACTATTGACCAACTCTGCGCACTGGGTGAGGCCATTGAGCAGAAGAACTACGAAGTGGCCCAAAAGATCCAGGTTGAGATTCAGCGGGACAAGACGGATGAATGCGGCAACTGGATGGTAAATTTATACTCCCATTCGTTCACCCGATTTTGATTACTAATATTTGTTAGGTTGGTGTTAAACGGTTGATCAGCATGAGCAAGGCCACTCCATGAGGGCTTTGTAAAAGGACGGAAGACGGCGTGTTGTCGAATATGAGCAGTTGATGATAGCCAGTTGCGCTTTTTACGTATACACTAGAGTTTAAAATGAAAGTGAATTGCCCAAGAAGCTGCTTCCGTAATATGCTGAGATACCGACAAGAATAGCATCTGAGATCTTATAGGTATGCTCATTCAATGTTACCACTGAACTTGGTCTGTCCAACAACGAGAAGGAGGAGAAGGAGGAGAAGGAGGAGAAGGAGGAGGAGGAGGAGGAGGAGGGGAGGAAGAAGGGGAAGAGGAAGAAGAAAAGAGAACCTAATCAGCAACAACAATATTGAGGGTCTTTTAGGGTACAGTTCAATTAGATAGTCGATACTTGTAGCCTCCGTGGGTGGTAAGCTCATCAACCAGTGACATGCGCAAGCGAAGACAGTGCTGGTGGGCGGCTTGAGTTCAAAGCTGGCCGATTCCCCGATAAGATAAGCGCAAGCTAAGGCCAACATCATCCACAAAACGTCACTCACTCTTCACCAACCTGTCTCCCCACCAGTAGTCAACCACTACACACAAGATGACGGAAGCGACAACAGACGATGCGGCCGCCCAGCGCGCGGCGGAACAAGTTCGAATCCGTAAGGCCAAGCGGGAGGCCAAGATTCGCGCCGGCGGTGCGTCGAGATTGAACAAGATCACCGGTTTAGGTGGAGGATTCCAGCGAGGTAAGACCCAGCAATGCCTTGACGGTCGTGGCTGCGTGGCCACATTTGCCATATTGCCTGTTGGTTGAAGAATGTAGATAACTGAACTTCTTATTCCAGATGATCCCGCTCCCACTCCCCCGTCGACCACATCATCCCCGGCCCCCTCAGCGACATCGGGCCTCCCTAAGCCCAACGCGAGCTCCGAACATGCAGACCCTGAGGAGATCGACATCTCCCAGCACTACTACGAGCCAGTCTCAACTCCCCGTCCCTCTGCCACAGGCCCTCCCCTCGACCCCAACGCCATGACCGAGGACCAGCTGCGCCAGATGATGCTTGGCTTCGACAGACCTGGTCCCGGCGGCGCAGGCGGAGCCCCGCACATGAACCCTTTTGCGGGTCCCGGCGGCATGGGGGCAGGCGGCATGCCCGGCGGCGAGGACGACCCTCTGATGAAGATGCTCTCACAGATGATGGCTGGCGGAGGAGGTCCCGGCGGCATGCCCGGGTTCCCCGGAGCCGGCGGCGCGCAGGGTGGCTTCCCTGCCGGATTCCCTGGAATGCCTGGAATGCCTGGCATGCCCGGCATGCAAACGCCCGAGCAGGCCAAGGCCTCATCATCTGCATACCTCTGGCGCATCGTCCACGCCGTCTTCGCCATTTCCCTGGGCTTGTACATAGCCCTGACGACGACCTTTTCCGGCACCAAGCTTGAGCGAGAGCGTACGGCGCTGGCATACAACTACCCCGCCGGTAGCGACGAAGCGGTCACTGACGTCAACAGCATGGAGAAGGGCCGCGAAGTCTTCTTCTGGATCTTCGCAACGACCGAGGCCATCCTGCTCACCACGCGGTTCTTCATCGAGCGTGGCCGCGCGCCGGCCGGAGGCATGCTGTGGACTGTTGTTGGGTTCTTGCCCGGTAACATCAAGACCTATGCGGCGACACTACTCCGATACGGACAGATTTTTGCCACGGTCAGGAGTGATATCCTTGTCTGTATTTTCGTCTTGGGTGTCGCTTCGTGGATACGTGGTTGAGAGGAATGGCTTTGGAGTGGGGGATGTTTGCCGTCAAAGGCATAATGCGAAGACGGTACTCGGCCGTATCTTGGTTTGGCTGGTCAACTACAGCAACGATAGCCGAAAACAACGACAGGCATTTCATCGTTCACTATTGCTACAACCGCTAAGCGATGAGCAGCCGCAGCAAGTCGACAGTCAATTAAGTATACATTACAATGTCCCCTACCGGACTACTCTTCCTTGGAAGAAGCCAATTGCACTATTAAGTCACATAATACCTAGCGCGTGAGGACTAGCAACCGGAATCAGTACTACCTAGCTTCCGGTTAATTTTACCAAGAGGAAACAGACTTCTGAGTATCGCCAGGTTAGCACAACTCACCGGTGGAACGTAGACCATTGCTGATCGAGAGCAAGCCTAAGGTGCTCTTAGTTTCAAAATCAAAAGTGTCACATTCTCTGATGGTGCCTAGGAAGTAAGTGATGAAGCATGAAAGCTGTAAAACAAGAGATATTGATCCACGGGGGTACCGGCACGCAAACTTGTTACATAGCAGTGGTACACGGGTGTGGTAAACCCAAAGGCAAAACTCAAACGTACCGTGTAAGTGATTTAGTAGTCATCTGAGTTTTTGCACAGAGGTGCGCGCCATGGTATGCAAAGTGCTTCCGACGCCACGCAAGGCGGCAGTAAGAAACGACATTTGCACAAGCCAGTGTTCTGCCGTCTCTCACAAATGCAGCTTCTTGTTCTACCATCCATCACTTCTCGTGTACTTCCCACCCCAAACTGGTGACGTATTTTCCATCCAAACAAAAATCAACATCGTCAAGACGCGCGTCCCGCTCCCCAACACGATGGCTGTATCCAACACTCAACGACACACACAAAACCAGGACCAGGTCAACGACAACCCTCTATTCTTCTTCATGCCCAATGAGGAATGGGGGGAGTTTTGCCAATGGTACAAAGCTGTTTTCACTGTCAGCAAAGAAGAAATCTCCGGCCTAGTTGGCCATGTTGTCGACGATGCGGACCCACACGGAGCCATCACATTCAACTGCGCCGAGCAGTTCATGATGTACTGCAAGGCCGCAAGGTTCCACGATTACGAGACACAAGCTCGCGTGCTTTCAACGAGTAGCCCCAAGGAGCAGAAAGCCCACGGACGGGCAACAGCCGGCTTTACGCATGAGAATTGGGACCAGGTCAAGAGCGAAGTCGTTGTAGCTGGCAACATTGCAAAGTTCAGTCAGAACCCACATTTAGGACGCAAGCTTCTGTCCACGGGCGACCGTCTGCTGTGCGAAGCCGCCTCTAAAGACCGCGTATGGGGCATCGGATACGCGGCAAAGCATGCCATGTCTCAACGACGGCATTGGGGGGGGGAATCTCCTAGGCAAGGCGCTAATGGCGACAAGAGACCATCTTAGGGCCGAACAAGCCCAGAATAGACAACCTTGAGAGCTATGGAAGGACTGCATCCACAATCAGCTCCCTTAATCTGCATATATTGGGTATGAGGAGAATGACAGTACAACTCATGTTGGAAGTCGATGAAGAGGAATTTCCCAGCAACTCAACACACAGTCACGCGCACACTCATGACTTCATCTGCAGGACCTAGGATTTGCAGAGTTGCAATATTATACTAGCCAGATCAAGAGGTTTACTTCTGGAGCATGAGGAGCCGATGTCTAGCTACTACTCGTAGCTAGAAGAGAGCCGATGGTACGGGGTGAATTGTTAGCGTATCGAAACATCCAATTTACAGTTTCAAGCAACTTTCCTATGTTTTTTCACCTGATTGATTGTTCAGTTGGCAGGTACTATTGGCGTACAGCCTTGGTACTACTCTAAGTATGTTGGCTTTTCCGTGGTATCGTCAGCACCCTGATCAATTTCGTTTGCCTAATGCTTTGCCAAGGCTTACAGAAACTGTCTATCCATCTCATGCATCAACACCGTTTGGCATATAATTGACTGGTGTGAATCTCATTATATCAAATGCATGTCTACCGACATGACTAGTGGTTTACTGTTTTCATTGCTTACCGAGTGTTCTATAGACAACTAGATCCTAACCAAATCTGATTCAAAGGTCGAATCCTCATTTGGTTTGAGTCCCTACCAAGCCAAAAAGCAGCCTACCGGATAAGTCTGAAAGTTTTGCCAGTTGTTGACACAAATCTCAATGTTAGCTTTTGTGTTTTTATCTGGTTGAGGTATTTTTAGCCGTGCCTTCTCCTTTGAAGTTATGAAGCACACTGTCGGGTCCGTTCTATTCTTTTGCTCTCTGTTTGCTTGAAAACATGCAGAAAAGGTGAAAGATGTCGACGTGGTTCGATTCTGAAATGTTTCAGTTGCCTTTTGAGCATTAGTATTCTGTAGAGGCAATCGACAATCTTCTCCGAATCTCTCCCATTAGTATTATATCTTTGGCAGAGAATCTGGTTGGCCAGGCTTTCGATATATGATTTTCGAAGTTGTATATAGATTCTTTGCGTTTCATCCTTTCCTGTTGGTACCGAGGTATAAAATCCATCTTGAACAATAATTATATTACACAAGCATTAGTCCATTGTTAAGATCCGTGGACTACCTCAGACCATCACTTCGACGACAAGATGTCTGCGAACCACATTTTCAAACCCCCAGATGCCTCTAACATCCAGAATCCAGGGCTTCCAAGCCCAAGAACGGGCCATGGTGCTCGACTGTTTCACAAACGGCGCTTGGATGTCTGCAGCGAAAATGAGTAGTGGCATATACCACTTGATCTTTCTCTTCAGTCCGAGGAGGCCTTCGAAGAAATCCCGGAGTATCTCATTCCATGTGCCATTCTGATATATCTTGGATTCTCTGGCCAGAGGGCGTCTGTAATCTGGAAACAGTGGACGAACTGGCCTGCCTCAGGCCTTGGCGGCGAGATTGGCCCTCCAACCGACTTCAACAACTGCCGCTTCTTGGGTGTATGTCAGCGGCGCCACACCCACAGGGGCTCTAACTTCTAGGGAAAGGAATAAGCCGGACGAGACAAAAATGATGCACTGTATGATTTGTAGTGCCATGGTGTAAATGCCGCTGGCAAGGTCTGCAGTTGTACTAGCTTCGCCGGCCTTGCCGGAGGCCAAGATTCCGGGGGCTCGGCTACGTCCGGCCCCGAGGGACTGTATGCCGCTGATCGACCACTAGGAAAAACTGCAAAGTTCATGTCCGGGTTTGCAAACATTCCAATTTCAACTTCTGGTAGCTAATTATGATAACTCAGGGCAAGCACCAGAGCACTCCTCCCCCATGCTGCCGACACGATGACCTCATCGGAGGAAGGTTAACGATTGATACATGCGAACAGGTTCACACATGTTTTGTCAGCTTACTTATCAGCTAATTTCATCGTCATTATGATTCGGTGCCGATACTGTTTGTGTTACTATCTTCGCAATTGTACTGCAACGCCGTTGGGCTGTCGGGCTGGGATTGGGATCTATTGCAGGACATCCCACTCTCACAACCTGCATGACTGACCGGTCTATGGTGTGTGGCTTTTATACTTGCCTACTTCATTTTCTGATAACAGAGAAAGTAACAACTCCTAAGTATAGCGTGAAACCAACCCATATGCACAAGACGGCAAGAGCATAACTTACTCAAGCCAACTCATGTCGTCAAGAATCCCATAGGCAGAAAAAGGACTTCACTGGCCGATGGTATGGAAGGGAAGTCCAATCTCCGAGCCTTAAAAGTGATACATGATACTCTTTGATGGGTTGCTCTGAGTGGTTCGACTGGCGTATTTCCATAGCCCGGCAGTGGAGGGGGGAGGAGGCTGGCGCTTTCCCACAAGCATCTCCTTGCAAGCACTCCTGAGTGGACTCGCAGATTGATTGGTTCTCACCTTCCAAATATCACATGAAGTTGGTGGGTGTTGACGTTGACACTGAAGTTCACGATCATGGTTCACACTACCAACATGTGTAGCATACGAAACCCGAGACCAATACCACCAACCATACCTTCTATGGTGATCCTCTCATAGGATATCACCCAAAACACACACACACACACACACACACACACACACACACACACACAGAGAGAGAGAGAGGTTTTCTCAAGGTACCAAGCAAGTCGGGTTAGGCGGCTCTTGAGACGCCATTTGTCATCATCAACGCTGACATCGCATGAAACCAAGGTGCAGAGACAGCACTCCAAGCCCCTAAGTTACCGTATCAGGAAACCCAACAAAATAAGCACCAACTTGGAGAGAGGCAAAGCGTTCACAGAATAAAGAGCCCGAAACGACGCATTCCTCCTTCTCACGGAGCGGAAGGGGAGGGATCGGGTACCGGAATAATCCTAGCCCCAGAGGTAGCGTGACCCACGACACAGCGTTCTCCTCCTCCTCCCCTCCCCCTCCAACCGTCTCCCCCCTTCGCCCGCCCATCTGCCCGCTTGCCTTCGAATAAGCACCTCCTCCTGGATGTCGTCAATCCGTCACCGGCGCTCCCGCCCTCACGATACCCCACGCCTTTCTAGTCACCGTTCGTTTCCCGTCCAGGGCAGAACAGACACAACGCCAAAGTAGTACGGACACACAGCCAGCATCCAACCTGTGCAAGAGCCCCTCCTCTCCACGGGCGGGCACTAGCCAGTAGTCCAGCACCAAGACACCGTCCACATACGTTCGCCGCCATCAGGAAACCTGGCCAGCCAGCCAGCCACAAACACCTCCCTCGTCGAGAGCACTCGCTCGCCCAGCCCAGCCCAGCCCAGCCCAGTTCGAAGACTATTCGTCCCCCCTCCCCCCTTCTAGGCTACCATCACCGCTTTGTCCCTTTGTTCACGCACACCGTTTCCTTATCGCTGCCAAACAGGACCTTATCGAAACACCCTCCCGGCCTTCGTCACCGCCAGCCGCTCAGATCCCCCTTCCCCGATTCCTTCCTATCCGAGTCTCCTTCGGTAGGCTAGCCTTTCTGGAGAGGAGGGGGGCGGGGGATCGCATCAGCTTACCCCACCTTCACATCGCTCTTCCATTACCGCAGACACCGACCGCACATGACAAGATGCGGGAGGGGCCAGTGACATATCGCCCGAACTAAGGCTTCTGTAGAATGTAGTGAGAAATTGTACCACACTAGCATCCAACCATGCAGCTTTCATCTCCGGAATAATATCGCGGAATGGATGCAGGCACGGGTTCGAGTGAAACAATGTGCCACCCTGTCGGCTGGGTAAAGGTGGGAAGCTGTAATACCCAGTAAGAACGCGTACGTGATCGACGTCGGGGGGAGAAAAAAAAAAGAGGAACCTGCGGGGTGCATCTGCACCACGCGAGCTGAGCTTTCACATGTCAAAAACAAGCTGGTGACTCTGAGTACCAAGTTTGGGGCGCAACAAACCCTTGCAGATTCTTGTGTGTGTGTCAGTCATCAGGGAGCGAAAAAAGTTGAGATGGCAGATCAGCTCAACAGTTGAACCGGATCAGAAAAGAGCCGAGTTTCTTCCTAACTGACACTTGTGCTATTTCCACGAGTTTCCAGTATAGAATAAATAAGTGTCTTTCATTGAGCAGATAAATATGAAAACAGCAGTGTGAAGGGTATCAACTACAAGAGCCTTCCCTGATAAACAATGGTGAATCTGGGTAAATCTGGTTCCGCATGTAAATCATCGTCGCCTCCCGTACACGACCCGCATCAAGGCCGGGATACTCATAAATCACTCTCATAATCATCCAACTTGCTGCCCTTCGGAAAACCCCGGCTTTGATGTGTTCTTCCTCTAACCACATAAAGAGAGTGTTCCAACAATGTGATACAGAGACCTCATGCTCAATATTCGGACATCGTCTCATGGGGCAGGGAAGTGCACCAGTCGTACGCCCATGTTATAATGGCCGTATTTCCAGGGTATAGTTACGTTCTCATTACCGGATCACAAGGGCGGTTTCCTGTGCCCTGAGCTCATCGTTGCCCTTCATTATATCTTCGAGCCACTCGGCGGCCATGGTCAGCATGGTACTTTTGCTGAAGCCGCCTCCCTTCAAGCCTGGCACGAGTTCGCAGAGGTCATCGAAACCTTCCTTGATCAGGGTTCGGCGCTTTTGCTCGCTCTTGATGTGGTTCTCTCGCTTCTGTGCTTCCGTCAAATTCTCACGGGGCGGCTTGGCCCCTCCCGTGCCCGACTTGCGTCTTCGGCCGGCTGTGCCGTTTTCTGTTGGTGATGTAGCGGGGATCGAATCGACCTTGGTCTTACGTTTCCTCGCCGCCTTTGTTGCCATACCATTTTCCTCTTCGTCTTCGTCGAGGTCTTCTTTTGTATTTCTGCTCTTCCTCCTCTTCCGCGGAGGAGCGTCCGCGTCTTCCTCCTTCTTCAGAATCTCCGAAGACTTTCGACTGTGTCCCTTTCCCAACGCATGCTCGCAGTTGGGGCTCGGTGGGCGAGTGTTATCCGTGCTTTGACTTGGCTCGAGGCACTCCATATATCTCAGCTGGACTTTGGATAAAGCATCGTACGTTTCTTTTGGGTCCGGGACGAAACTGTTGGAGCGGTTGAAGCGAGCATCCGAGCCCCATTGGACATCGATATTAGCAGTCTGGTTTGCCCGTTGTGCGGAAACCCTCTCTCCCGGAGCGGGACTGAAGAACATGTCTGCGAAGGTGCTCTCGTGGTCGTCAACGAGGCTAGCCTGAGCTATGCTGCCGCGCTCAGCACGCTTGAAATCCTCCATAGGCTGATGTCTGAGGTGGCCGACTGGGGGCCCGAGAGAGTGCGGTACATCCCTACTGCTGCTGCCAAACATCGGTCCAGACCCGCTCGCGTTTGATCTTGACGATGAACCGTTGTGTAGTAATGTGCTGGCAGCTTGGAGAACGTCGGCTGAGGCATGCTGTTCGAGAGACGGGTGTGATTGCGGTTGATGCTGCGGTTGCTGTTGCTGCTGATGTTGTTGCTGCTGATGTTGTTGCTGGTGGTGGTGGTGGTGGTGGTGGTGGTGCTGCTGCTGCTGCTGTTGCTGCTGCTGCTGCTGCTGTGACGGAGGAGGGGGAGGCGGTGGCATCAAAGTTGAACTCATTGACATCATGTCGGAAAAGTCAGTATGGGTCATGGCATGCCCAGGGGAGGCGAGCGGTGGTGGTGCGGGCGACTGGCCAAAAGACGTGGCTGTCCCCATAAACTGGGGTGGTAGATCCAACCAGGCATCACTGAAGTTGAGGCCTTCACCAAACGATGGTAGGTTGTAGTGGTCGGCCGTCATGTCCTCGAAGAAGGAGCTGAGTAGCTTGGTGTCATTGTCGGAGAGGAGAGGTGCGCCGGGGGCGGGCTCGGGGGGGTCGAGGAAGAAGTCTTGAGAAGAATCAACGGCATCTGGGGAGGCAGTCAGCGAACATTTGACTTTGGCGCAAGGCGGGAAGGGGGGAGACTTACAGCCGAAGGGCAAATTCGGGTCTGACGGCTGCGTCGAACCCATCCTGGGACGTTGTATGGCGAGCATGGGTGCGTCTTGTGGCAAATGGACGGTAGTCGTCGGATGTGCTGCTTCTGGTAGAGAGAGACGTTGAGCGATGAGGCTTCATGAAAAGTGAGGAGAGAATGAATGCGAGCGACTCGGAGGCGAGGATGCGCATTCCTCTGGGCAAGCCGATATACTAGAGGGGCATGGCAGGAGGAACGGAACGTGTCTATCAAAAAGCGCAGCGCGTCTAGACGAAGAAGAGGCTCGGTTGGCTGGGCTGGGCTGGGGAGAGGACGTGCGGAGGAGCGGCGGCAGTCAAGTAGGCAGCGGGCAGTCGTTGGGCTGTCTTGTGATTTGGCGGGGTGGCGGATTGTTGTTGTTGCGGCAGCAGAGCCCGCAATGGTGCTGCTTGATAGGAGTGCGAAGAGGTTGGTGGGTGGTTTTGGTTGTCTTTAGGTGCGCGCCGTGGCAGAGCAGCAGGAGTCGGAAGTGGACGCCTGGCGGGTTACGTCGAGGCGGAAGTGGGGTGGTGGCTGCGCTTAGGCAACGCACCGGGCTTCTGGATCCCTAGTGCTAAGGGAAAGGATGTCTTCGTTCTCGTCTCGTCCGACGAGAGGGGGGGTTAGGGAGGACGAGGTTGAGGATGAGGGGGAAGAAAGGTCGGATGGCGAGGACGGGGCCTTGTGAATAAAGGTCGGAAGGGTGCTGTATAAGGTAAGGTACGGTGAGGTAAAGCTGGGGAGGTAGGTGCTGGACGGTGAGGTGGGCCAGAAAGCTGGAGCTGTAGGGCAGCGAGCGGGAATGAACAGCTCGTGGGTAGTTTCCAAGGTCTAACCCCGGCGGACGGTTATACGGCCCATGCAGGGCTAAGAATACTGGAAAGACCCTTGAGACTGGTCGAACAGCAGAAGTAGAGAATGCAGGAGGGGAGGAGGGCTACGGCGACACTCTGGCGAGAGCGAGCTTGGAGACGAGGAAGGTACGTGTATAGGTATGTCGAAGATGGGATGCGAGCTCGAAGCCCATTTGAAGCATTGGACTGCTTTGCGAACAGACTTTCTGGCGGCCGTGGGCGCGCGGATGCGTGATGTTGAGGTTCCCTCACCCGTGTACTTGCATATCCAGGTTCAGCAACAACCGTGGTCGGTTATCAAGATAGCAGAAACCAGTGATGACAGGTGAGTGTGAGTGAGACGGAACCCCAATCACCTTTGGCCAGATGCAAGCTACGTAAGTAAGACAGATCGGGAGAAGGACGTGCCGGAAAAAGGACGGGGCTACGGCGGCAGCCAAAGACCCGTGATGTGGATTTTCTTTTCTTTTTTCCTTTTCAGCGTTCTTATTTATTTATTTCTGTAAAAGGTAGATGGGTACCTCGGGGAGGTAGGTGGGAAATGACGAGCAGGTAATCAAAAAGGATGACCGGGAAAGAATGAATTGGTCTGGGGCACCAACAAGCCAAACATCCACCCCTGTTGTTGACCAGGGGGGGGGTGGATGGTTGAGAGAGAGCCAGTGCTGCCAGAACGCAGAGACAGAGACAGCGACAGAGAAAGAGGGAGTCGCAGGGCAGCGGACAGGGCAGGACAGGGCAGGTACGCAGTAGCCAGTAGGTTGCAGCGGGGCGAGAGGGAGGAGTGGGGTTGGCTAGGATGGCGGCACGGTCACCTGCATCGCTCTGCAAGCCTCCGCAAGTAAGTAGATACCTACCAGCTGCTGCTGTATCAAACAGGTTCATACATACCTAGGTAGGTAGGTAGGTAGTAATAGTAGTAGTGGTATCCGTAGTTGTGCTATGTATGGAGTATGTCGCACGTAAGGTACCTACCTTCCTAGGTAGATAGTTACAGAGGCAGGCACAACAGGCACGGCCTCCATACGGGCGAGTGAGTGTGCTTAATTCTCCTGGAAATAGGCTATCGTAATTGGCCCAACTCGCCATCACCAAGTGGGAAGCTGCCGGTTGATTGAATTCTTGCCCTCGCCTGCCCAACATCTGGACAGGAACGGGAGGCTCGATGAGAGAAAGGGAAGGAATACCTAGGTAGGCAAGATCGGTGTCAAAGCCATACAGCACCTAAGGCGCGGACATGAGACAATCCGAGTATATCGTTAAAACGGTACTCCGGTATTGCTGACAAAGAACACTTGTGCGGGCTTGGGGTCGTACAAAGGGCGGTCAGCAGACAGGCCCATAACCGGTTCTGATTTGTTCGTCGGGTCCCACCTCAACCATTTCATCAGGCGCACCTAGCGGCCTCGGGGTTGATGCATCTCACCACTAGGTATTTACTTGCCTTATCCGCTTAGTGCTCTCTAACGGGGCATCACATGCCAACTTCTCTCACTTTCTCCTCAATCTCAATCCCTCCCTCCTCCTCCTCTTCCTCCTCCCGCTGTCTCACGCTGTCGGTCATGTTCTAGTGTCATCCCCTCCCCACCTCGCTGCCCCAGAAATTCCTTGGCGCCATCCCCGATGTACATCGTACATCGTACTGGATGGGTGCTCCGCATTGTCGCACCCTAAGCTTTCCCCAGCACTTATTCGTACCGCATCTCAACTTGGAGTAGCTTTCGAGGGATCCGTCCCGCAACCCGCCCTGAGAAGTTTGTTTGACTCAACCTTTGTCTTTCACGTTCCTTCCTCTCATCTACTCGTTTTTCGGCCAAACTCGTTGCTTCCAACTGTCGCCTGGAACTGCATCTGTAACACCGCTTCGCCCTGTCCCTTCCTCTCCCGGCACTGAGCCTGGATCTACCCTTGTCGCTTCGCCCGCAGCAGCTTTGCTTCAGCCTTTGGGAATCTTGACGGCCTCACCGGCCGATACGCCTTTTGCTAGCGTCGACGGATCCCGCTAAGGCACCTCACAGACACTGCATGTCCAGCCTCTGCTAAGAAACATCGAGACAAAGAAACAAACACAGCCTCAGTCGATGCGAAACGGCTGGTTGTCCCAGCCTGTCTGTGTTTACCGCCCACGAGCCCAGTCGACACTCGACACTCGACGCTCGACTCTGCCTGGCTATTTCGCCCTTTGAGAGAGCGCAGACGGAGCCATCGCCGACCTTCTTGCCGACGGCCAGTCGATCGCATTGATCGATTCTTTAAAGCACTCGGCGCTTCACAAGCACTCAGGGAGGGCCCCCATCCGTCCCCTGTTTAGCATCGCCTGCCACCTGCCGAGCCAACGCAAAACGTAATTCCCTTCAGGTTCCCTTCGACCGCACAAACTCCAGACCCTGATGGAAGTATCTTATTGAATGCCCTCGCACTCGCATGGATTGCTGTGCCTAAGCCCCAATGTGGCTTAGCTGCGTCCAGTCTGTCCTTTATTGCCATCTTTTTGTCTTCCTTGGTTGACAGCGTGAATCTCCGCGTGACAAGCCAGCTGATCGAAACAATCCTGCGGCCAATCATATCTGACAGTAGTTTGACTGGAAGAAGTGACCTACCTCGGTCACGTTTGCCAGATTCAACCTCTTCTCCAGGGGGGGGAGTGCCGAAGGATCCAATCGTCACAACCACCCTGGCCTTCCTTATACTCTTCCTAGACAACGTACGTCGCCCATCCTACCCTCCATTACGCCGTGGGACGCGATATTTCCCCACAATTTCCCGTCCTCTTCATCTCGCGCCACGCAAGGTACGGACACATCATACTTTCGACACTAGAGCACAGTTCCAGCTCTGCCCTTGGTGTCGGCCAGCTCTCTGTGGAGGACCGTTCGTTCACGACACTCGACGAGCCAATTGAGCAATCTGGCTACCTTACCCTGGTAAGACGCGCCCGATAGTCCATGAATATCATTTGTATGCTGTCTTGTTATTGTACAATACCCTGCTACATACATGCCGAGGTTCCCCCCCCCCCCCCCCCCCCGCAGATCGTGCCTAGCTGCATCCGAGGTATCTGGACAACTTCAAGTGAAGTCGAGCCCAGCGGGGCAACGCCGGAGCTTAGTCTTCTAACCAGATACCTGTCCTCACCTCGTCAGTTTCGCAACGCAACATGATTCGTACGGAGTACCCTCCATACGAAGCGGGCAGGCTATCCGCTTGTCGTGTCTATCCCTCCATTACCTAAGGTAGTTCATGCGTTACCACGGTTCAACCGCGGGTACGCCTCCCTACCTTCGCACTTTGCTGGTCGATGTCTTTGCCCAGAGCAACCATATCTTCAGCCACATCTTTCTTTTCAAACCCCCTTCTATTGAACTCAGTTTAATCAACCAAGTTCGCAGCTAGAACCCGACGCTATTGTGCAATTACATGATTGCCATAACCCTCTGGGGTGCACAGACGCATTGCTTGCTAACTTCAATGCGCATCGCTGATTCTCTGCCCCAGGGACCATTCCGAATTCGACGTCCGGCAGTTGACGCCGAAGCCTCATGGCTGTTGTTACACCTTCTCCCTCCGCAATGATACATCGGAGTCAGATGAAAATTCGTCGGAAAAGCCTGATTGAGCTACCTGGGATCCCGCCAATCCTACGGCCCCTTCTTCGGGCGTATCTGCTTGGCTATGCTTCCGCTGTCGCCCCCAGGATCTTGACACTGTTGATGCAATACATTACCAAGAAGCGCCGTAGAGTCTCAAAGGAGAATGGACAGTGCGACGGTTTTGTGGAAAGGTTCAGGCAAATTGTCCTTACTGGTCTAGATCCCCAGCGTTTCCCAACCTTTTGCGCCGTATTAGTTGGCGGCAGCACCTTATTGGAGGTTTGTCCACCCGATATTAGTAAACCGGAGTTGAATGCCGGCTATGCAAGAGATGCGGGGTACTGTGTCGTCAACTAGCTGAAAGAGGGTTGCGCCCCTGGCATACTCCTCTGCTCCTAGGCCACTCGCAACCAAAAGCCTGGCGTTCCAACTATGTTTGCCTCGTATGGCTTGACTTGTCCTTGGTCACTAACACCTCCATCCTGATAGGAACTTCTTCGGCAATTATTCCAGCGCAGTATCAAGGGCCTTGCCGAAGAAACACGCACCAGGTTCGTAGACTCAATATATCCATCGCGGTGTTGCTCACGGACCATTGGTTATTAACACTCGAGCCAGATTGGCCAGATGGTGCGCTACGTTCACTGCTGCGTGGTTTAGCCTGCAGCTGCTGCAATCCAAGAAGAGTTCGGCTTTTACGGAACATGTTCCAGTCAAGTCTGACTTTCCTCCTGGGGCTGAAATGAAGGAAGTCCGATATGCTGGACGGACTCTTGACCTGACCCTTTTCACACTAACACGGGCACTCGATGTCGTTGTTGGGGAGCTTTGGGCCCGTAGACGCGCAAGCCGCATTGCCCAGGGAAGCTGGACTAAGGTTGGCATTCTTGCTTTTGTATTCTTCGAGAGTCTAGTTGCTAACTTTTCGCAGGCGGAGTGGATCGTCGGCAGATTCACCGATCCCTGTTTGTTCGTCACCTCGTGCGCCTTCATCATGTGGGCATGGTTCTACCACCCCTCACGGCTACCCAGCGCCTATAACAAATGGATCAGCTCGGCGGCCAACGTCGATATGCGGCTCATCGAGGCCCTCCAGAAGCTGCGCGTCGGTGACATGACCTACGGCCGGAGCGAGCAGGCGGAGCTGCTGCAGGGCATGTGCGAAAAGTACAAGTGGCCGATGGACTGGGGCGACCCATCAAAATCCATCCCGATCCCTTGCGAGATAGTCCACATGGGCTGCGGCCCCTCGTGCGAGCTCCACGCCATCAGTCGCTTCTACCGGTCGTGGAAATGGTCCATGGCCATGTATCTACCTTTGAGTATGGCCCTCCTCCTCCGGGGCCCGATTAACAAGAAGAGCGTCTTGCGAGTGCTGCTCTCGGCGTCGCGGTCGTCGGCGTTCCTGGGCGCATACATCACGCTCTTTTATTATGGCGTCTGCCTAGCCCGAACAAGGGTCGGGCCTCACCTCATCGGTAGGGACGTGGCGGCGCGTCAGAAGATCGACGCTGGCATCTGCATCCGTACTGGGTGCTGCCTGTGTGGCTGGAGTGTTCTCATCGAGACCGTCAGCCGCCGTAAGGACATGGCCCTCTTCGTCGCGCCGCGAGCCATGGCGACTCTGTTGCCGAGGCGTTACGGCATGGACAAGCAGTGGAGGGAGACGCTAGTGTTTGCCGCCAGCACGGCAGTCGTGTTTACCTGCATCCACGAGAACCAGTCTCGTGTGCGAGGTGTACTGGGCGGTGTTTTGGGGACGGTCTTGCCTTATTAGATAGACAGACACTTTCGGGAAGATACACGAATGGACACTGTTGTACGTTGCAGGGCGGTACTGGCATAAACATTCAATGGCTAGAAGGATTTGTACCTTGTATAGAGCATGAGGCGATGCATGACCGGCTATGGATGTACGCCTTTGTATTGTAGTACTTGGCTTGGGCAGAGCAATCTGGCGTTGAGATCTAGAGAAACAAAACGATTGTCGTAAAGGGGGGGACGGAAGATCTTGAAAATTGATATATGGCGCATACGCGGTCCCGAATAGCAAAGCCTTTACAGGTTTCAGGCGCCGTAACGAATTGCTAACACACCGGGGGTCATGCCGAATCTTAGACAGTCTCGTTTCGATTCTACAGACATGATTCCAGCATCAGTAACGTTTGATGGCAGGGACGATCACCCAGATCACTGGAGGTTTGATTGCTGAACAGCCTGCGAATCTCCAGCGTGGCAAAGATGCGGCCAGGACCCAAACCCAACAACCTCAATTACCTGGACTTTGAGCGTGCTCTACTTGCTAGTCTAGAAATGAACTTGAGAGCAGTGCTCTAGGAAGGCTGTTCGTGTACCATACTTGGAACACAGCTTGTTGCTCCTCGCTACCCATTCGATAGGGCGTTTTGGGCGAACAGATGGCTTAGACCAGTATGAACTCGAAACAGTTCGCAAGGTTCTATTATCAAACTGGGTAGCTTGAAGACGATCGGCCCATCACCATTGGCCCCGAGTCGGCCCCTAACAGCTTGGACGTCCGATCGGGGGTCCGTCGGAGATCAACAGCGCAGCCGGGCCGGGCCGGGTGGCGGTGACCCCCACCCGTCATCAACCTCAATTCGATCCTTTGGCTAGGTCAATGCAGTATCAATGGTGTTTGCTATCACCCCAACATCTCCACATTCAAGATACCGGCAGCCACTTAGCCGTCAGGAGCCCATGTCCTCACTCCGGTACTTGATGCTCTTTGCAGTACGCTCGTCACAAAGCGGCCAATGAGCGCCCCTGCGTGATATTGAATATGGAAACTCGGCTAACAATCCCACCAGGAAACCCGGAACCTCATACACCGCGGTGACACACACACACACACACACACACACACACACCCTTGAATATCGGCCGCTGCGAGTTATTGCAGCTCTCCCGTCCATTTCTTTACAACTGTGGCCCCGCAGCAAGCCACGGCTTTGTTCACTCGAAGCGGACGACAGGTGTCACGGGCTTTCAAAACTGCTTACAACTAAGTTGTCTGCGCGCGCAGACAGGGAAGGGGGCGGGATGGGCAGCGCGAGAAGGCAAGGGAAAATAAATGAGGAGGGTAAGCGCAGAGAAAACGCCAAGAAAAATGCCGGAAGCAGCTCAAATTGATAAAGCGCCTCTTCCAACAATAAGCTGTCAGTCCTTGGTGGACTTTCCCCTGGTTTGCTGCCAAGCTAACATATCGAGCTTTTAGCCTAGCATTATGTCGCGTCTTTATTGCAGGATCCCCCCCTCACGTTGGGCCACGTCGCGGTGTTCCTTTGGGATCGGAATGCCGTCCTGAACCCCTGACATCCTCGTGGGCTTGGCTGTAAAACATCTCGTTGTGATTGGCATGAATCATCCGGGGGCCCTGGGTCCATCTATCGGTTTTCACACATGGTTTGCTCGGTGGCGGATGCGACACATGGAAACGATATATACTCTGCGGTGTGCCGGCTCGGTCTACTCATAACTGCAGTTCAGGGCAGCGGCATTTGCTCACAGTTCTCCTGTTTCGCCGGGCTCTTTCCTCACGCGACTTCCAGTATTTCACTCTGTCTCTACCTTTGAGGCCTTCGAGTCTCACCTTACCTTCAAGTTTCTCCCTCTTCCTCCTCATTACAACCACTCAGGACCCAATCAAACAACCAAAATGCGCTTTTCCGTCCTCGCAATGGCGACAACACTCACGTTCCTCGTCGCCGGGAACCCCTTCCCCCCTTTGCACCCTATCCGCCGCCCCTTCAGGATGCCGGTCACGAACACCACCTCGCAGCCCGTGAACATCGGCACCATCGTCTTCCCGGCCATGGACATGCTCGACATCTTCGGCCCCCTCGACGCCCTTCAGCTCGTCGCGAAGAACCGCCACCTGAACCTCCACCTCGTCGCCGCGACCCTCGACCCCGTCACCACCGCCCCGCAGGCCGCCGGCATGAATCCCTTCAACTCGTCCTTCTGGCCCACGATCCAGCCCACCGCCACCTTTTACGACGATCTCGACCTCGACGTCCTCATCGTCCCCGGTGGGCCCGGCATCCGCGCCCCCGGCCTGGAGCCCATCGTCGAGTACGTCAAGCGTTACTACCCCCGCGTGAAGCATCTCATCACCATTTGCACGGGCACCAGCTTCGCCGCCCGCGCGGGGGTCCTGGACGGCAAGAGTGCCACCACGAACAAGGCGGCCTGGAAGCTGATCACGGACATGGGGCCGAACGTGAAGTGGGTTTCGCCGGCGCGGTACGTGAACGACGGCAACGTCTGGACTTCGTCTGGTGTAAGTATTATCTCCCCGCATCTTTTCCGCATATTGCTTTGGGTGTTATAGCGGTTCATGTTTCTGAAGACGTACTAAAATTTCAAAATCCCCAGATCACTTCCGGTCTGGATTTGATCATCGCTTTCATCCACCAGATCTACGGCGAGGAGATGGCCACCAAGATCAGCAGGATTATGGAATACATCCCCAACGCCGCCGATTGGGATCCCTTTGCTGACATCAATGGCGTCGAGCCCACGGGCCGCTACTGAAGGGGGACTTACAAGAAGGGGGAGGACCTGGGCATTCTACTACGATAGAAAGGTGCATATCAAACGCATGGTAGGGCGATCGATATCTTTTCTTTTCTTTTCTAGCGAAGACGCTACACCAAGGTGGGAGCGGACTTGATATTACATGGCCGAGACGGCTGTTGAAATTAGAGTCTATATGATGATTTTATTACCTCTACACAAAGAAACTCCTTGCTGCGAGAACTAGGAACCGAAAGAAACAAAACTTGACAAATTGAAAGACCTGCCTTCGTCTCAAGAAGACTTGGATGCCTTCTCGACCTCCAGCAGCTGCCGGATAGAGTCGCCCAGTGTAGCGCTCAGGGGTGTGTATTCCAGCCCCAGGATCCGCTCGGCCTTGCCCCCGTCGACAGAGTACCGCTCCTCCGTCTTGCCGTATCCCGGCCGTCCCTCGGGAACCCTGCTCCTGACCTCGGGTACCTCCTCGCGGATGACATCGGCCGCAGTCTGCCAGTCGAAGCCGCCGCCGACGAGGAACCGCTCGCCGCCGGCCGCAGGCGTCTCTATCGCGCCGATCAGTGCCCGCGCGACGTCCCGGACGTCGGCGCAGCCGCCAAAGTCGGTCGGTGGGACCTCCTTCGCGTCAACCAGCTTCCAGAGAAAACCCATCGACTCGCTCAGGCGGTCGAGGTCGGGCGTGCCGAGGTAAGGGCCGAACACCCAAGGCGGGCAGACGCTGGCCAGTGTGAAAGTCACGGCTTGGTTCTCGCTCATCCAGCGCCACATGGCCTTCTCGGCGAGGGCCTTGGAGGCGCAGTACGCCTCGCCGCCGCTGTCCGTCTTGGACGCCTCTTCGTAGCTCATCGGGTTCCAGTCCTTCTCCGTGTAAGTGTATCCCGGGCGGTAGCCCTGGGACATGTCGACGATGGAAGCAAAAGACGAGACGTTGACGATGTGCTTCACGTCGGGCCCGTACTGCCTCGCGGCCTCGAGGATGGCAACAGAGCCGTTGATGGCTGGCCGTAAGAGGTCCGTCTCGTTGCTCTTGGGGTTCAGAATGAAAGGAGACGCGGCGTGAATGATGCCTGTGACGCCGGCGAGGGCGTCCTTGTAAGATTCGTGCTCCGTGATGTCTGGGACGATGGCGAAGGAGAGGCGGTACGCGGATATAGGGAAGAGGGCGCGGAGATTGGCAAGGGAGGACTCTGAACGGGCTGTTGCGCGGACATTATAGCCCCTTTCAAGAGCATAGCTGACGATATGGGTGCCAATGTAGCCGTTGGCGCCGGTGAAGAGAAGGGTTTGGTTAGACGTCATCGTGTTTGCGTCGACTCTTGTGATTTTGCTTGAAGTGAGGCGGAACTCCCTGTAAGTGAGTTCAATGGTGCTTCGCGGTTGAACTAAGAGATGCTTCGTTGATGTGGGTTTCTGACTTTGTTGTTGCTGATGCTTTTGACCTCAACCGAAAGCCCCCGACGAACCTGCCTACCTTTATACGTACGAACGAACCCAACTGTGAATGGCTTCATCGTGTAACCAGAGTTGAGGCGGTTTGGATTTAACATGTTGGAGCCGGCGTCGGGGACCCCGATATGTCGTCAGAACAGTCGCTTACACCACGGGCGATATGCTAATCGCCGATGCACCTCGACAGCGCTCGCGCCTGCAAACTGCTTCTCAAAGTTGTCATTAATAACAATAAGAGTGACATCATCGAGGGCAAGCAGACGATCGGGGTAGAAACTGTGTCAATGGGAACATCATGACTCCCAAATAGTTGCGCCGATGCCTGGTTTCGGCGATCAGTCTATTTGAATGTCCGACGATGAGGAAGGCTCCTTTTCGCCGTCACCCTCCAAGGTGAAGACGCGGCGATAAGGTGATGCGTGGGGGAAACCGTGGGGGTACCGCTTGTCAGCAGCATAACTTTGTACGTTTGATTAATAATGCACGGAGAAGCAGTTGCGCCGAACTTGAGCAAGCATTAGGGCCGGTGGGGCAGGTCGACTCGGTGTAAGACAATTCACCGAGGTGAATAATGTTCACCGGTACCATAGTGTAAAGCCGAGGATACTTCGACCCCAACGGTAACGCTACGGGTTTGTCCTTCCCCGTTCAAGTTGGAGGATGGGGTCTGTGGACAGGGCCATCATGCCGTTAGCACAGAGAAGAAAAAACGCGAACATCCACAACTGGATCACGACCCCGTCGTGGGAGATGAATTATTTGTTGGCACATTCGTCTCTAGGTCGCGACATCTCATGAAGGCCAATCTCACGCTGTTGGTCACGAACGCTAGCTTCAGCGCGGTAGCCGCAAAAGATATAACCCACAAATTATGCAAACTCAAGAGTACGGATAGATGACGACTCGATAGGAATCAGAATGCTTTGTGTGAAGCCTGACTTACACGCCCGCAACCCAACCCGCAGCTACCCGGCTTGCGATGCGGGCTGGCAAGTGGCCCCACCGACTCGGACACGAACCCCAGGCCTTGAAGAAGAATCTCTGAGGCTAATCGCTGCTAGGTGAGACGAGTCCCAGATCTCCAGGCACGAGGTCCTGTACCCCGGCTCGGCAAACTGTAGCTCATGTACGGCATCGGGGCAGCGGTCGGGAGGAACCGGAGCAGAAATCTGGGGTAGGTCGGGTCGAACCTCGACGAGGGCGCACCATTCCGGGGCAGCTGGCGGCAAACGGGGCCTGTCGGAAAGCCTTCTCGATCCCCAAGAAGCCACGCCTGCTGCCGTGGTCCATGTAAGTCGCGAGTACCCATTTGAGGGTGGGCTCGGAGCATGAGAAAGGGCCAGCTGTGATGATGTGGGCTTCCGAACGGGACGAGCGTCAGTAACATCCTCCTAGCCACAAGGCTGATGATACGGTTGGTAACGTGCGCCCTTGGAATGTCAGATTGATAAGCTGGAGGCGAATTTCTGCGGTTTTCAGTCTCATGATCTGACGCAATCTGGCCATTGAATATCGGCCCGTTCTATTGGACCGAAGGATTTCACCGAGTGACAGCTCATTCATTTGAGTTACGCCGTGGTACGGCCAGAATATCATTCAAGGGGTTGTGCCTTGCCAAAAAGGGACCGGAAATGACGACAGCGTCATATCATGCCAGGCCAACCGATGTTGGGACCATGGAAGATGATCTGACCTCGGCCATGTCGGGCGGCTGGCAACAATATTTACTTGGGCCGCCGACGGTAAATACTTCGGCCGCGGCATTGACGTTGGCGGGTATCTTCGGTAGCCATGTCATCAGTTCCGAAGCATTCGGGAGCTCCAGAGACGATATAGGCGAAGCCAGGAGCTCTTGGGGCCGACGAAGCCGTGATGCTCCGGCATATCGGGCCAACCGGACTGGTCATTGGGTTGGGTGAGTCAAAAGGCAGATCTCGGGCCCCACCAACCGCCGCAACGCACCAGCCTTGTTTTGATAGACCGGGGTTTGCAGTTCAAGCAGCTGGCCAGGAACCCCCCCCCCCCCCCCAAAATGACAGAATGGGTGGTGTACACAACTGCCAACACCCTTGGTAGTCGAGCGCTTGTGCATACGCACGAGTTTAATGGAAGGGGTTGGATGAGCATGAATGGAGTGGTTCCTTTCCCTTTCGCGTATGCATCCTGAGCTTCTAACGTAGAGTAGACAGACGACAGAGCCAAATATGGCGCGGTCCATATGGGGGGTACCGAGAACGGAGTCGTAAACGGCCCTTCTCGACCATTTGTCTCTTTGGGGCTAAGACCGGCTGAGTCGAGGCTGGAAGTGCCTCATGCACCAGGCAGAGTGTTTCATTAGCTGTGCTCAGTCGAGCTTGGCGGGTTGGACAATGGAGCATTGATGAGTGATTTATGGAGCTGTCGATATTCATAGGTAGCTAAGCCAGACTGGAGTAAGACTGTAGGAGAGAATGCGGTGGCAGGGGGGGACTAAGATCGGACCCTTGGAGGGGGGCGGAGAATGAAAGCTTTGGCGCGGTATGGCGGGATGGACGGTGAGAGGGGCAAACGAGCCGTTTGAACCAGGTGTGCCTGTGGCATATCGTGTCTTGGATCCAGTTGAGGCGGATAATAATAATCACAATCGACAGCATTGACCAAAATAAACTGGAAACGGTGAGCGATAAGCTGGAGCATCGAAGGTGCCAGAGCTTTTTTTCTGTTTTGTTTTTGGCGTGGATCATGGTGGTCGTGGTTGCATGGGGAGGTGGTCGTGGCAGTGAGTGAGTCCACCGGGGGGTATCGGACCTGATGTTGGACCGGGGGGGTAGCTATGTGTGTGATGTAACGAGGGGCAAACCAGCAACAGGAGCAGGGCCAGGGATAAGGTGCCGTAGCTGACTTTTTTTTCCACCTTCTCTCGCTAGTAAGCAGGTGAGCTGCCCCTCCATACCCCTCCATACCTCACCTCACCATTCCTGGCCTCGACAAGGCTTGCACTGCTCGAGTCGTTGTCGGTCCGGAGTCAGTGAGAAGTGACACCACCACCAAGACCCGCCGGGAAATGCACAAGAATGAGCTGAGCGTGTTGCAAGGTCTGGGAGGAACAAGCGGTTATTGAGTAGTTCTTCGTAAGATACGATATGTAAGGAAATGAGCACAGACAGAGTTGAGGTGTCAGGGGGGGAAAGTATTGAGGAAGAAGGGGACGTTGACGCCACGACCCCATCATCGTCAATCAATATTCGGAGGTACTGCTGCACGAACTACCTCACTGGTACTAATCATCGGGCTGTCCAGAATGGGCAATTCCAGTTTCCAAGCACCAGCACCGTAATCAGAATTCAGAACAGCAAGATCCCATCCTTGCTCTGGATCCCCTCGTAGCAATTGGTCCAAGAACCCGGAGGGGGTATCGTATCGTACTAACGCCACAACGCTGAAATTGGTGGCAGCAACTTCCCGCTTGACGCCCCGCCTCGTCCGTAAAAAGACGCACCGCACCTGCCTCGACCGAGTGGATGAGAGGCAACGGACAGGCAACAGACAGGCAACAGACAGGCATGGATGGCATGACATGGGAAGGAAGAGAGAGGTACGGAACCCGCGTTTAAGGCAAGAAAGAGCTTTGCGGCCTGAGATGCTGCTGAGCCGAAAAAAAAGGGTGTGTCATTCATTCGCTCACCCACCGCTCACCACCTGGCGTCGACCAGGCAATCGCCCGCTCATCACCTCGAATCACCGAGTCACCTCACCCGTTCTTGGGGCCTCACTGGCGTCTGGAACCACCCCTGCGGAGTGGGAGTGGGCGTGGGCGTACCCGGTACCTCTAACCTGCGCCAAGTCCGCCTTGGAACTGTTTCCCACACCTCTCCTTGCTACCTTGCTCCCGGCTCCCGGCCAGCTCCTGCTACCTACTGCTCCTACTCTTCCAACGGCCGTCGGCGCTGCGTTGGATGGGTAGGTGAGGTCGGCCAGGAAAGACTACCTACCCCACCATCTTTCCCTCAACCAAATTTACTATATCTCGCGCGCCCTTCCACCACCTCCCCTCCGTTTCGTCTCTCTCCTCTCTCTCTCTCTCTTCTCTTGTCATTGAACACTCCCCCACACATCATTCCATCTTTGATCTCGTCGAACTCTCCGACGTGATAACTTTTCAAGGTAAGAGCTAGCTTCTGATAGCTTCCCCCTCCAAGCTTCTTCTGCTTTGCACAAAACATTCCCATCACCCCACCTCGCAGCTTCGATAACTACCCCGCCTACACGTCGGACCCCCATCACTGAACGGTACTCCTGAGCAAACTCAACTGACATTTGCAACCCTCTCAGAAATACCTCAAACACACACAACAACAAACATCATGGCTCCCATCAAGGTCGGCATCAACGGCTTCGGTCGTATCGGTCGCATTGTCTTCCGCAACGCCGTCGAGCACCCCGAGGTCGAGATCGTCGCCGTCAACGACCCTTTCATTGAGACCAAGTACGCTGTGAGTACCACCCCCGCCTTCACTCATCCAACATCGTCATCATATCACGTCCGTCACGACACAGCTTCTTTGCTTCCCTCGCACCATTGGTGAACTCGGAACAAGGAAACCTGTTGTCAATTCACCCTCTCGGACTCTTATGGCTTGAGTTCGAGTGGTTCGAGTGGCACGCCAACCCTTCCATGACCACCAAACAATAGCCAAGTGCCCCATACTGACTCGTCTTTCAGGCCTACATGCTCAAGTACGACTCCACCCACGGCATCTTCAACGGTGAGATCAAGCAGGAGGGCAACGACCTTGTCATCAACGGCAAGAAGGTTAAGTTCTACACTGAGCGTGACCCCGCTGCCATCCCCTGGAAGGACACCGGCGCCGACTACGTCGTCGAGTCCACTGGTGTCTTCACCACCACCGACAAGGCCAAGGCCCATCTTAAGGGCGGTGCCAAGAAGGTCATCATCTCTGCCCCCTCCGCTGACGCCCCCATGTACGTGATGGGTGTCAACGAGAAGTCCTACGACGGCAGCGCCGACGTCATCTCCAACGCTTCTTGCACCACCAACTGCTTGGCTCCCCTCGCCAAGGTCATCAACGACAAGTTCACCATCATTGAGGGTCTCATGACCACTGTCCACTCCTACACCGCCACCCAGAAGACCGTCGACGGTCCTTCCGCCAAGGACTGGCGTGGTGGCCGCACCGCTGCTCAGAACATCATTCCCAGCAGCACCGGTGCCGCCAAGGCTGTCGGCAAGGTCATTCCCGAGCTCAACGGCAAGCTCACCGGCATGTCCATGCGTGTGCCTACTGCCAACGTCTCCGTCGTTGACCTGACTGTCCGCATTGAGAAGGGCGCCAGCTACGACGAGATCAAGCAGGCCATCAAGGAGGCCGCTGACGGTCCCCTCAAGGGTAAGCTTCTAATGCCCACTCCTAATGTCGTTACCGACTTTCTTGAACGCGAGCTAACTTGACACAGGCGTCTTGGCCTACACCGAGGACGACGTCGTCTCCACCGACATGATCGGCAACCCCAACTCCTCCATCTTCGATGCCCAGGCCGGTATCTCCCTGAACAACAACTTCGTCAAGCTGGTCTCCTGGTACGACAACGAGTGGGGTTACTCCCGCCGTGTCCTCGACCTCCTTGCCCACGTTGCCAAGGTTGACGCGTCCAAGTAAATGTGCGGAACACATCAGGACGTCGTGGAGAGGAACCAGGACCCAACCGGTCCTTTTAATGAGATAAACAACGACCAACAAAAGCAGTAAAATGATGATGGGCAGTCTTTCAGATGGGGGAGGGGGCTATGAAGACGATGAGTCTCCAATGTCCGGGAGGATGATGGTTGTGTCTTTCCTACAAAGAAAAAACTCCCAAATTACATGTCCGTATGACGTCTATGAAATAGATTATGCCTACCCATCGCAGTCCACGTCTGGTGCCTATTTGCCGAGTGAAACGCGGTGAAGAATACTGAAGCGCAGGGTCCCTCTTATCAGCATGACACTGCGGAGGTTCAGTTGTTCCGCAAACCATCTTCTGGACTGGTTGGTGCTCAGAGCTGTGAGGGGTTGCGGGTGCGGGGTCATGCCACTCTCCCCATCTTGCTTCTAGTTGATTGAGATCACCAATCAACCAATGAGACCGGTCCCAGGTCATACGCATCAGTGGCACATACGAGTGACAAGAAAATAGGGGGGAGGTAAAGAAGACAAAATGTTTTGGCGAGCCTCTTTGGCGACAGTTTCCTCTACCATTCCCGCGAACGAGACGCTTAACCAGTTTCGTCTAGCTTATCTTCCTCTTCTTCCTCCCCGTACTCCGTACCGGACGACGGCTTGTACGGCCGCCCAACCCTCACCCGCTGACATGAGGATTGCCCCTATTCCACATGACATGATGATGCAGGATACAGGAGTAAAGGGGATGACGTAGCGGCAATGCATACACATAAACACTCACACTCACACACACATACACACAATATGCGAGGGATATCTTTTAAATGTACCGAGAAGAAAGTCCACAGAGAGGGAGAGAGGGAGGGAGAGAGAGAGAAACCCTTGCTTAATCCCGTAGAACGCCAAGCTTGAAAGTCAGAAAAGAAAAAGAAAAAGAGCTCTCGAGTTCCGAGATTGATGAACAACACACACGCAAGAGCGGACCTCGCGCGTACCTCTCTCGTCTCGCCTGAAAGGTTTGGTCTTCTCGTACAACGATTTCTTTTCATGCAGTCCGGTTTTGGCTTGTATACCACCCCCACTGTCTCTTGATCAATCCCAAAGCTACGTTGGCGGCCTCCAGGGGGATCACAGTCATCTTCTTATCAGCCATTGTTTGCGATTGGCAAGATAATAGATACTGTCCATTATACAGTCCGTAAAGGTAGCCCTGTCGTCCTTCGTTTCCCTGTCCCGTGGGTTGCGACAATGTCATCATACGAGAACGATGCGCCCTCTGTTACAGTAAAGGATGTGTCGTCGTCGACCTGACCATTTGCCGGCGTCTTGCTTCCGTCGACAACCTATGACGATGTTCCGTTGGCGGCTGATGCAGTGACCTCGGCGCGCCACGAAACGTTTTCCTCTTGCGTCCACCGGCGCATGATCCTCAGCGCCGACGCCACGGCATCCTCCACGCTCGTCCACGGACCCATGTTGGTGCGCATCGCCGAAGCCTCGACGCGCTCGACGGCGTCAAATGCCGACTTCCACACAGTCGACCGGGCTCGTTCCGCACCGATAATATGCACTGCGTGGGAGGCGGGGTCCAGCGACCAGTAGCACTTGATGAGCTCCTCGTGGATTACGCCCTGCAGCTGCCAAAACAGTGCTTCCAGCGGCTTACTCTTCCGTACGTCGTGGCGCATGACGTTGAGCAATGGCAGAATGCTACCCCATTGCTTGGGGTCTTGCGCCTTGTTTTCCATTCGCCGTGACTCGACCAGCGCCCTGAAGCCGACCATGAATGCCAACGCCGTTTCCAACCCCAAGATCATACTGAGCTTGCTGTCCGAATCGGATATAGGAGCGCCGCGGTCACTGTTCTTACGCTCCAGGAGCATATCGCGCTCGTGCTTTAACTTGGTACCAAGCTTAATGTACCGGCCCCAGCGATCGCGCAGCGACTGGACCTTGGACGGATTTGCGGCCTCTCTGCTGTCGTCTCTCGTTTGTGGCCGGTCACGGTCTGACGAAGGCGGCGCAGCGGGGGTAAGGCCGCTACCGTCTCCAGGGGTATTAACCGAGTTGCTCGACGCCACCCGGGACATCGTTGTGGCCGCCTTCGAAGGCGTTGAAGGCGTGACCAGCTTCGATGAACTTGTGATATCCGAAGTCCTGGGCCGCTTCACTGCAATTGAATCGCCAATGTGTTCGGCACTGCTGATGGGTCGCTTCCGCGCCTGAGGTGGCGCTGGAGGCTCTATACTCACTGAGCGTTCTTTCTTGACGTCTTTCCTCGGCGGCAGTGCTAGTAGTCTCTGCACAGACTTGTTGTACTTCTTGCTGTACTTGAGTGTCACCATGAACCTGCGCGGTCTGTCCTTGACCTTTTCCTTTGGTTCTTTCCGATCTTCGTCCTCTTCCTTGACCACGATATGTGATCTCTTGCTAGTTGTCGGAGAGTCTGGAGGATATATTCTTTGACCCGAGGCAGAACTTTTCGTTGGGGTCTTCTTCATTCGGGCTAGCTCCTCCTCGACTATCGGGGGCAACGTTGGAGAGAGTAGTTCCGGAAGGTCGATGGGGGATTTTGGTCTCTTAATAGGCGGCGGCGGTTCTGACTTTAGGGATTTCAGCGGTCTGTTGTGCTCGCCGACGTCATCCCGCCTTTTTTCTTTGGGACGGGAATCGGATTCATTCGGTAGGTGTAGAGGAGACAGCAAAGGCGGGACTGCTGACCGTGACGAAGCAGGTTCAGCCCTGGCTCTGCTCCCGGATGGAGTCGGTCTGCTGCCATTGATGGAGTCGCCTCGCGCACGCGATACGGGTGATTTGTTAGCGCTTGACCCGGAACCAAGCGCTGACTTTAGACCCGATCGTCCATTGGGTAATGACGAGAAGCTTGTGCTCAGTTTGCCATCCTTCTGCGGCGTCCTATCATGCGATGAATGAACATCTTTCCTCCTTGGGGTATCGTCTCGGGGTGTTCGCAATCGTTCGTCCAACGGGGTGCTAGCTTCGGGTCTCGCTCGCTTCTGAGGGCGCAACTCGTTGTCGGCATCTGCGTTCCGTTTCCGCTTCTCTGGTGTATCATTGCTTTCTTGAGCTGTCCTGGCCTTAGTTTCAGGTCTGCCCGTCCTACACTCAATCAGTCAGCACACCTAGTGATGGCGCAGGGGGTGCGCGAATTCAAGCCGTACCTTTCATCGTGGGTATGTTCACGCGGCCTGTGCGCTTTGAGGTCTTTTGATGCCTCGGAATCGCGACTCCTGTATGCGTCCATCTTCTTTGGTTCTCGTTCAATTCGACCGTCGGTCGCTTCCTTTTCCTTCCGCGAGGTGTCCGGCTTCGGGGTCGTCCTTGATTCGGGAGGGGAATCCGCCGCCTTCTTCTGCTTATTCTTATAGTCACTCAGTGACAACTTGGTCACGGCCTTCTTCTCCATCTTTGTGTTCGACTCCTTGTGGGCGGTGGGGTTCGGAGGTTCCTCGCGCATATCATAGTACGGACGAGTGAGCAGCATACCGCGGTCAGCGTCGGACAGAAGCGTCATGTACTGCAGACGCGGGTGCTTGAATTCCTCAAAGGACTTGATATGATCGGGCGGGACGCGAAAGCGCTGGTCGGGGGACACAGAGAGGTGATGCGGTCGGTCGGGCAGGATGCGCTGGGCCAGCAGTTGGACCTTCTTCGCCGCTGCTTCCATGGTTTAGTGGCGTTTGCATGCCGTGGGGGCATGAAGGGGAAGAGCTCGCAATATGCGCGATTAGGGACGCGATGATGGTGGATGGGGGTTGTTGTGGCTGTTGGGATAGCGAGTGTTGGGGGGGTCGAGGTTGAACAACAAAGGTCGCGATGGCGACAGCCAATTCGGGGTCGATGGGAGACACGGGAGATGGAATGGGCGCCGGAGCAGAGCTCAAAGCTCTCTCCGCAGCCCACGAGAAGTGTTGATTCGAATCGGCGACTATCAGCGCCGATGACGAATTGCGTTGTTGTTATGGCCCAGACGGGCGTGGGCGACGATATGTCGTGATATGATGGGTGTTCGGTGCGGCCCTTATCTGAGCGACGTGCAGCGAGGGCTTAAGTGTATTTCTGTGAAGAATCGGAGGAAACGCGAGCAGGTGGCCCGAGACCAAGCTATCGGCGATTGGTACGGCCGGTCGCTAAGTGGAATGATTGCGATCGCGACGTGATGGAGGTGTCGGACGAGATGGTAAGTGTTCGTGGAGAGTTGAGTGTGCCTCGGTTTGCCACGGACGTGGTCATTCGGCAGGAGGATGAGGTGGAGGAGGAGGAGGGTGGTGGTGGTGGTGATGATGGTGGTTGTCGGGGTCAACGTCGTGATCGTGGTCGTGGCAGGCTCCGAACATCAACCTTGCATCGGCAGTAGCGAATATGAGCCGCAGCGCATTGCCCAGCGTGACCTGCCGCCGCTGCAAAATGCGATGGGATGCGAAGCGACGCGGCGCTTGAGGATGCAGGTCAATCGACGCGAGTTTGGGGTCGGGTCGGTGCGAAGAGGTGTAAGAGCGACTCAGCAGAGCAGTTGCGCGGGATCCAAACGGGGTTGAGGACGGGACGACGTGCCGCAAGTCGATGATACGGGGTGGGACAAGGGTCAAGGTAGGAGGTGGTATTGGAAAGGGTCAAGGTCGCGCGGGTCGATTCGTGGTGGTGGACGTTGGGTGGATTTGGACGTGGATTGGAGGTCCAGGTCACAGTGCGAGAGGGATGGGGAAAGGAAGAGAAAAAAAGAGGTATGGATGCCCAGCCAGGCCCAGCCCGGCCCAGCGAGCAGCAAGTGAGGTGAGGTGAGGTGAGGTAGGTAGTGAAAGAAGGATTTGGCGGGTACGAATAATTAGAGATGGAAGAGGAGGTTAAGATTTAGTCCAACTATGATCTAGCTAGACCTTAAGGGGGTGAAGAAACAAAGGTGTGCTAAATGCGAGGAGAAGCCGGGCAGGCAAAGGACGAGGCAGGCAGCAGAATTGACAGAATTGAAGGCCAGACTAAGCCAAGCCAATGGAAACCACGGCAGTGGGATGCATACGATGCGAAAGGGAGATACATACACATACCCCAATAGCACGTAGGTAGGTAGTCGTAGATACGGATAGTGTACGGGTAGATGGAAGGCCATTGGAAGTCCAGTAGGTAGGTGACTAGGAATTAGGTGAGGCGCGTGCGGCGCTGCTCCCCCAAGCCATCCCATCCCGACTGCACCATTCGGTCGGTACCCAATTGCGCGGTACAGTGGTAGGGGTGCCGAGATTGGTTGGTTCTTTGGGCACCACCCTGTCCGTACCTACCTACCAGGTAGGTAGTGAGTTGTACGATACCTACTGCATGCTGTTCCTCTGGACTGGCAGGGGGGCACTGACTGGAGAGCATGAGACGACCTGGTTGGCAATCAGTGATCACCGTCTAAACTACATCTGGCCTGCGACCGTGGACACGATCCCAGGCGCGCGCACTGGAGGGGAGGGTCTCTCCTTGAGCTACCTTGCCTTGCACACAAGCTCAAGTGGTCCACGTCTCCTCCCCCCAGTGTGAGTGACTGCAACGGGTGTGAGATGGGCCGCCCATTCAGGAAGGATTGGATGTGCTCGAAAATGCCCGGTACCCACTATACTTTGTATTTTCCTACTGTGCCTATCTCCCTACTCCTTTCCCACCCGACTGAGTCTGCCCAGTACAGAACAGAATCTCGAAATGAGGCAAACCGCTGCTTCACCGTCTTCCAAGGTGGATGCCAGACTGTACTGTACCTACCTAGGTAGGTAGGGTAGTGTTTTAATTGGCCCTCCTACTAAGGTACGGAGTATAGACAATAGAGATAGAGTCATCTCCAATCATAATGCCGTCTTTACCGACAGGCCCATCTGGAGAGGACTGCTCAAGGTAGAAAAGTATTTGCTTGTTGCTGCATAACGCACTTTGGTATCTCAAGCCAACCCGATACGCCGTCGCCGAACCCGTCTTTGGGATAACATCTTACTTTGCGAATCAAAGGCAAGCATCAACTCACTCTCTCAACGACCTCCGTTCGGCATGCCCACCTGTCCCATGTGAGGGCTGAGCTTCCGTTTTTTGTTGGCCAACTCTTCGCTTAGGCTGACGAACCGCTCCAGCATTGCCAGTCGCTGATCGTACGCAGTCATCTGTTGAAATATTCTCTCAACCTTGTGTCCGATAAATGCATCGCCAGGCTGGTACCTGTCAATGTATTGGACAATGGCCTGGAAGAGGCTTTCCGTTGTGAGGTTGTTCATCTGAGAATTGAGACTCTTAAAATTCTGTTGCATGAAGTCCAGTCTTCCCCCAAACCTTTCTCCCATCGCTTGCAGCGCTTGCTCAGCAGTCCCTAATCGGTTGCTTGTCGTGCGCACCTCAAGTTCAAGCTGGCCTACCCGTTGAGCCTGTGCCGCCTGGCTTTCGCTCGCGAGTCTGACCAATTCCGATATGGCCTTGATGCTTTGATCCGTCATCGCCACCTGAGCCCTCAACGCTTCGACCGCAGCATTCATCGACTCTCCCTGCGTTGGCCTGTGGGCGATTACGTCTGAGGCATCCGTCGCCTCCGAAATAGCGCTGGCGGTGTGGTGCGGTCTCTTTCTGGAAATGGCCTCGAGAGCCGTGAGCCGCGCATCATGCTCCTTCCACTTTGCCTCATATTGAATGCCCCTCTGGTCAGGGGCCGGCGTGGATACGCGGCTGTTTTCCAAGCCACCAGTCGTCTTTTGGCCAGATCCTTTCTCCAGCGTCTTGACTTGGTCTTCTAAAGCCTTGATCTGCGAGGAATGATCATTTTGCTGCTTCGAGACCGTCTGCAATGTTGGAATCGAGCCCTCTACGGCATCCACCCGTTTCTTCAAGTCGTCAATCCAGCCACTGAATGTCTTGAACACGGCAGTGTTCATGGTGGTAAAGGTCTTGACAGGAAGGAACGAATCCCCTGCCGGCGGTTCATGCATTACTGACCGCAGTTTTCTGACGGCCGACTGCGATTCCTCTGTGCCTGAACGGAGCTGTGCCATTTCAGATTTCAGCTGCTCAGCAATTGCCTTGAGCTGATCAGTGTCGGATTTGAGCTGCTCAGTGTCGGACTTGAGCTGCTCCACGCTCGGCCGGACCACAAGCGCATCGGACCGTAGCTGGTCTGTGCCCGACTGAAGTTGCTGGACTCCAGACTGAAGATCATCGGTATCCAATCGGAGCTTATTGTTGTCCGCTCTGAGCTGACCGTAATCTGCTCGCAGCACAGAAATGTCATCTGCAGCCCTCTTGGCGTTCTGTTCGAGTCGTGGCAGTGTAGCCGCGAGAGAATAGCAGCCTTCGGTGATGAGATCGACATCCATTTCGCCAAGTTTCTGGTCATGCCTCGCCACTTGTGCTTCCAAGTTGGTCAATTCGGTTCGACATTGGCCTACCATCGTCTTGACTTGGGTCAGATCTCGCGAGGTAATCGTAGTGGTTTGTATTGCTGGAGGCAACGGCGCCGCCTTGGCTTCCTCGTCTTGCAACCGCTTGATGGACGTGTCATGCTCGTCGAGCTTGGTCGTCAGAGATGTGGATTGGTTTTGGAGGTCTTGGACCTTCTGTTTTAGGGTTTCGTTCTCGATGCCCAGTATCTTACGCTGAGCTGTTTCGATCGAAAGCCCTTTTTGAAGGTCTTCTATTTGTTTCTGTTGTTTTGCCGCTTCTTCTCTGTGCCGCTTGTCAAGCGCATCTATGCGGGAGTTGAGCTGTGCCTCGAGGTTTTCGGAGCTGGGCTCAGCTGAGCGATCATCTTTTTCTTGCTGCTTGTCGGCAAAAGCATGGAGCAAGGTCGCAGCGACACTTTCGGCTGCAGTGAGCCACTGCTTGTCTGCGAGTCCAACTTCCTTGCATAATGCATCCAAGTCTTCAGCGTCCCTCTTCTCAAGCTTACGATGGTAATCTTTCAAAGACGGAAACTCGGCATATCTGGGTTGCGCCTGAGCATGCTCCTTTTCCCTAGCTCGAGCACGCGCCTCAATCACGTCTTTTTGAAGCTGCAACGCACCCTGCTCATTGCTCCGTTGTGAGAGCTCCCGCAGTGCCGCGATCATCTTAGCCATGGATAATGAGTCATTCGCCAAATGTGGCGTCGGCGGCGCAGAAGATGCTGGCGTTGTCGGTATCGTAGGTACTTTTCGAGGTGCTATTTTCACCAAAAAAAAAAGAAATTAGCTGTGGCACTCGCGAAGGAAATCTTCAAGTAGCCATACGTGGTTCTGGGCCCCGATTGGGACGTGGATCTGCTGAATTGCTCGATTTGGTATGTACCGGTGATGAGACATTCCGATGCTGGGGGCGATTTTCTCGAGGCCCTGTTGGGAGCCTCAGATTCTCCAAATCTTTAGGTCGATCGCGATCCCTTTCCCTCTCTCTCTCTCTTTCCCTCTCTCTCTCTCTTTCCCTCTCTCTCTCTCTTTCCCTCTCTCTTTCTCTGTAATTGCGTTCTCGGTCTGGAGAGAGCGAGCGAGAGCCGGAACGATGGAAATCGCGACGATCTCGACGGTCTGATTCACCATCTCGTCGATTCTGGTAGTTGAACTGGCCGTCGAATCTATCGCGGACAGCGCGATGACCTTCGTTCGAATCGGAACGCCTGTAGGCCATGTTGTGATGAAAACCCAGACTATGGCGGTCGTCTTATTCACTATGAGGCCATGTCCTGACCACGTACTTGGTTGGCATGTAGGCAGATGTTCAAGTGAATGTAAGGGGTCGAGGACAGGAATCAATGTGAGACAAAAGGAATGAAAAGAATAAACAGAACGGGGGGGGAGAAAAAAGGGCGTATGGTGGGATGGGGAAGGCAAGGATGTCGGGCGCGTCGTTGTCGTCGTTATCGTAGCGAATTATTGCCAAGCTTTAGAGAGATGAGCAGTGCACGAAGTTGTCACTGTTTGAAGGCGAACTGTTGCTCCTTTAAATCCGCTGATTTCTGAAGCAAGAGGCACCCTGCGCTTGGGCGGTCAGTCGCGTGTGGTACCGAAAACCGTGCCGGCCTTCCCCTCGCAAAGAGCACGCCTGCTCACTTCGGCAAACCCAGTTTGAATAGCCCAAGACACTAATAGAAGAGGGATTTGCAGCTTCTGGATGGGGTGGGTTATGGGTTAGCAGTGAAACGGAGCCGGTTGTATAATAGCTGCAGATGGGTTACATATTCCTGGATGCTTGTGGCCCGGGCACGGGTCGTTTCTCTTCTCCCAAAGTTCGTCGCTGAGGAACGAAGAAGGTATAAATACTCCGTACATGAGTTTCAAAAAGGGGAAAGAAAGAAGCTGGTGTGCTGGCGCAAATATGCAGCGACCCGAAATGGGTTTCTGATCGAATTTTCATGGTCCAAACAACCCTTGCGATTGGCCAAGTAGGGGTTGGGTTAGGTACCATTGAGTGGTGTCTAGGTAGGTACCTAACGGTAGGTGGTTTGTCCAGTTTAGATAGGTCATTAGTGTGCTCCTACCTACCCGATCGAGGGGTCCTGGTTTCGCGTCGCTTTGTCGTATGAAGTGACTGGATGGGGTTTGATGACGGATGCGTGTTTGCCTCTTTCCGGCAGCAGGACAAAACATCCGGACCAACTAATGTAGTTTACAGCAGGGGATAGCGGGACTAGGTATGCCTGTATCACAAGTGTTTGTTTGCGCAATTCCGCTTTTGCCCGCCTGACTAAGTAGGTACTCCAGGCTATCATGCACCCTCACAGTGAGCTGCTACCTGAGGTTCTCAACATCAAGAGAGCACAAGAAAGAACCAGGCACATTCATTCGGATATTCATCCATTCATAAATTGTCATTCTTCTAACTATCATTGCTATTATTATAGTTATTGTTTATATTTGTGTTTTGCCTATCCATCTTCCCTTCTCGCACACCCACCTTGGGCTTAACAAGAGACTAGTTGCGCTGATATTGCTGCGTGGGAGTACGGCTAATTTGACGTAGGCGATTTGTTGATTTAACGTATCTAAACCCCTTTAAGTAAGAAGCCCAATGCCACAGCCACACAATAGGCCCACCCGCAAAATCTTGATGTACTTCAGGATTACAGTACAAGCTACAGAGTAGGCAAAACCTAGAGGCAAAAAATAGGTAAAAAAATAAAAGGGATGGTCTTGGCCCATCCCGACCCGGACACTCGGGGGACAAAAAAGACCGCTGGTTTTGAAGAACCTTATCTTATGGCCCTATTGCTTTTAGATACCAGAAAATAGGTAAGATGTATACTTTTATACACTTTATAGACTTTCTTGTCTTATGAGTCCTCACAAATGTATATTTTTAGCATGTAAAAAGCTGCATTGCCTATTGCAGGAGCTGTAGTACTGGTGGTGAGGGTGGCTGTTGTGTAGCGGGAAACCGGCGGTCTTTTTTGTCCCCCGAGTGCCGGAGCGCAGCGTAGGAAGCAGGCACGCAGGGTGGGATAGACCATTCCAACCCTCCCTGGCGGAGCCGTTTTGTACCTTAGGGGAGGTGGTACTTTTGTGAGCATAGGCCTGTTGTGGCTGCGTGGCGAAGCTACCAAATGCGGTTAGACATGTCAAATCAACAAATCGCCTACGTCAAATTAGCCGTACTCGCTGCGGGGATCACAGGACTCGATCTAACCATCTTGGGCTACCAACCGGGCTGTAGTTAACAAGCATTGCGTCAAAGCAAGCGCGAGTGTCAGGCATGCCCGAGGCATCATCGCATGTATATATCTAGATGCACCCTACAGATGTCAATAGGTAGTACATAACACATCCCAGATGCAACCTCAATGGCCTACCCCATGGTGTGAGTAGCTCACAGTGAGGCTAGGTATTGAGTTGGAGTTGTAGGTAGCTTAAACTGAGGTGGCACAGTGCCCGGGGTTCTCACTGTGGCGCCCAAGCGCTAGCCGCGCCACGTTTTACTTGTGGCAGACTGAGGTAAGCGCGTTCCCAAATTTCTGAACGCGCATGCCCAGCCTCTTTGCCTTGGTCGCAACCCATCCGCCGACGAACTAGTTGTCTTTGCGCCTCATCAGCGAAAATCAATACGGCACCTCCTCCACTTCATTGGGATAGTCAATTGCCAACGCCCAATCCACGCCCTTCGTAACCCGAATTGATCAGTAATCCGTTTTCAAGATGGCTGCGGTATGTCGTCTTCTTCACCCAGGCGCTTGCCCTTCATACTGACAGAACCCGCAGCCCGTCATGACCGTCTCCGAGAGCAAGGAGCTCAGAGGGCTCAACCTTATTGCAGCTCACTCCCATATCCGCGGTCTTGGGGTCGACAGCACAACATTAGAACCCAGAGCGTCGTCGCAGGGTCTGGTTGGACAGGAGAAGGCCAGAAAAGCCGCCGCCGTTATTCTGCAGATGATCAAGGAGAGCAAGATTGCTGGAAGAGCCGTGCTGATTGCCGGCCCCCCCAGGTGAGTCTTTTTCACCATGGCCATTGTTGACGAAAGGCTACTTTACTGATTCCGTATGCCCCCAGCACCGGCAAGACAGCCATCGCAATGGGTATGGCTCAGTCCCTTGGACCCGACGTCCCATTCACCTCCCTCGCATCCTCCGAAATCTTCTCCCTCGAAATGTCCAAGACCGAAGCCCTGACACAGGCCTTCCGAAAATCGATTGGCGTGCGCATCAAGGAGGAGAGCGAAATCATGGAGGGCGAGGTCGTTGAGATTCAGATCGACCGGAGCGTGACCGGCGGCGCCAAGCAGGGAAAGCTGACGATCAAGACAACTGACATGGAGGCCGTCTACGACATGGGCGCTAAGATGATTGATGCCATGACCAAGGAGCGCGTCATGGCCGGCGATATCATTTCCATCGACAAGTCTTCTGGCAAGATCACAAAGCTCGGCCGATCCTACGCGCGCTCGCGCGATTACGATGCCATGGGCGTCGACACCAAGTTTCTGCAATGCCCCGATGGTGAGCTGCAGAAGCGCAAGGAGGTGGTCCACACCGTCACGCTGCACGAGATCGATGTCATCAACTCGAGGACACAAGGTTTCTTGGCGCTGTTCTCCGGAGATACTGGAGAGATCCGCAGCGAGATCCGCGACCAGATCAACACCAAGGTCGGAGAGTGGAAGGAGGAGGGCAAGGCCGAGATTGTTCCTGGTGTTCTGTTCATCGACGAGGTTCACATGCTCGACATTGAGTGCTTCTCATACATCAACCGTGCGCTGGAAGACGATCTCGCGCCCATCGTCATCATGGCCAGCAACAGGGGCAACTCTCGTATCCGCGGAACGGACTACCGTAGCCCTCATGGCCTGCCCCTCGACTTCCTCGACCGTGTTGTGATCATCCACACCAACACATACAGCCAGGACGAGATCAAGCAGATTCTCACCATCAGAGCCCAAGAGGAGGAGGTCGACGTCTCGCCCGACGCCCTGGCGCTCCTTACCAAGATTGGACAGGAAGCAGGTCTGCGCTACGCCAGCAACCTCATCACGACGTCCCAGCTGATCTGCGCCAAGCGCAGAGCCAAGACTGTCGAGATCGCCGACGTCCAGAGGAGCTTCTCGCTCTTCTATGACCCAGCCCGCAGCGTCAAGTTCATCTCCGATTCGGAGAAGCGCTTGATCGGCAACGATGGTGCCGTCGACTTTACCGTCACGAATGGTCACGGCGATGCGATGGAGTTGAGCTGAGCGTGGTGAAAAGGTCTTTCAGTTGGGCGTTTCTTTTGGGCAGAAAATAAGGTGGCCACCCCTGGGACTGTGTGATAGATTATGTACCATAAAATGTTTTGTATGGTAGCATCAAGACGATGCCAGGAAACGGCAAGGCTCTTTGATTCATTTGTTTTCATTACATTTCGGTGTCCCTTGGGAGCGCCTTGATCCCAAAGGATTTGTCATACGAAAGTGGCGGCCCTGGTCCAGCCTTCGTCGCCTACTGGCCGAAACTCGACGCCTTCTCCAAAGTACCCGGCGTCCTGCCATGCCTTCATCGTCGGCCCATCATACGGCCCTTGCTTGTCCGCATCATCGCGCCCATCCGTCCACCGGAACTCCCACATTTTGCTAGAGAGGTCTTCACTGGCACCCTCCTTTGCCGGCTCGACCCACTGCTCGCCCGTCTCTCGCTGCCACTCACGGACGAGCGCCTCCCTTTCCTGGTCATAAATCTCGGCGTGATCTCGGCTCAGCAACTTGTCCGCCGCGTCCGTGATGGCCTCGATGGCCTCTTTCCTCTTTTTCTGATCGGGGGTGAGATCCTTTTCCTTGTCGACGTCCATGGCCTCCTCGGCGCCCTTGTTCTGCTTCTTGAGCTTCCACTTGGGTATCTTCTTCGGCTTAGGCTGCCCCTTGCCTAGCCTTGCCAGGGCCTCAAGCGGCGTCTCGCCCCTGTCCAACCTGACAATGAGCGCCCTGAGCAGGTCCGTTGTCAGAATATCGTCGTTTTCCATCCGTAGCCTCCGCGCCTCAGCCTCGCGCCTCTCGTGCGCTTCCGCCGCCTTTTTCAGATCCTTTTTGCTCAACCCTTCGAGCCACTTGTCGTGCACCGCATTCGGGTCTGCCGCTTTTCTAATGTAGTTTCCATCCTGGTCGAAAGCGCCCTCTTCTTGCTCTTGCTTCATGTTGAAGGCTTCGACCTTGGGAGCATTGCGCTTAAGACCGCCGAGGCCGACTTCCTCATCGATGCCTTCCTCCTGAATCGCCAGATCCCGGTCTGCCTCATCGTCGCTACTCTCCTCTTCGTCTAGACGGATTTGCCCTCCGCTCTTACTTTTCAATTCTTGGCCCTCAATTTGTTGGTCATCGAGAAAGCGCACGGCCTTGTCCTTTTCCGAGCGCTTGGTTCCCTCCTGCGCCACCTGCTCTTGCTCTTCATCGTCGTCTGCAGCGAACATATCGTCGTCCTCGTCATCCTCGTTGACCTTGCCCCCCTTCTGGCCCGCGCCATCGCTGTTCTTGGCGTCGTAGTTGTCAAGTTGATCAAAGAAGTTGGCCTCGCTACCTTTCTTGCCCTTGTACCGCTCGTCGGCTCGCGATTTGAAGTTGCGCTCGTTGTCCGAGTCGCTGTCGTAGCCGTCGAGATTCACGGCGCCGCGCTTGGTCGCACCGGCGCCAACGCCGATGACGTCGGCATCAAGAATGGCATCTTCTTCGGGAGCGTCGGGGGCCAGCGCGGAGGGGTTACGGACGTCGAACTTGAGCTTCTTTGAATCATGGCTGTCGTCTTCAGCGTCGTGGTGATGTGTTCGCGCGAATGTCTCGCCAGCCCGTTTAGGGCGCGCTGCTGAGTGTCTCGAAGACATCTTGGATTGGCTTTGCCTATGGTAAGTTATGGGAGGGGTGAGCGAGAAACGAGAGCCGGGTAAGGCTGGCTGAGCTTGTCTTTCAAAAGCTCCAAGGTGGGCTGGATGCAGCTCGAAGAGGTACCTTCAATTCCTGGAATGCACCAGCGCGTGGGTACCTGGATGCTCCGTACAAAGTGCATGGGCATTAAAGTACCGTCTGGGGTCTAGGCATGGGATTTTTTAGTGGAACCTTACCGAACCTCCAGCGGGTTTCGTCATTCATCAGTTGCCTTTCGGCCCCACGTAAACCGCGGGTCCTCCTTCATCACCCATCTCCAAAGGCAAAGGCACCTCTTTCCCACTCCCGTGCCAGCCCTCCTGCTTTGGTCCAAGAGCTTGCTACTCGAAAGAGCTTTTCCTACTTCAACAACGTGAAATTTTCAAAGGTTGCCTTTGCTCTCCTTCATACCAAGCACATACATACCCAGACCGCCCAAGATGGTAAGCTACCCTAGCGGTCCAGTGCACCTCCTCACCCCAAGCTAACGTGGAGCTCGTCAGTATCGCTTCGACCCCAACGAAGCAGATATGTATAACTTCGCCCGCGGCGGCCGGCGCCCCATCATTCAGCGATTCGATGAATACTACCGATGCTACCCCATGGTCATGGCCCCTGGCCCCGAGCGGCCCGACCTCAACTACGGATCCAAGATCTTCCTGCCTCCGTCCGCCCTGGACAAGGTCTCGAAGCTACATGTTCAGTGGCCGTTACTGATGGAGATTATAAATGGCGAGAAGGGAAAGCACTCGCACGCCGGTGTGCTCGAGTTCGTCGCGGAGGAGGGCAGAGCTTACCTGCCCCACTGGGTTCGTGATTCCCCCGACACAATAGTCGCTGTGCGAGTGGCGTTGCTCACATGAGACCAGATGATGCAAACTCTCTCACTCGATGTCGGCGACATGATCCAAATCAAGACTACCTCCCTCGAACTTGCCAAGCTGGTCAAGCTGCAGCCTCAATCGACCAACTTCCTGGACATCAGTGACCCCAAGGCGGTGCTGGAGAAGGCATTTAGGAACTTCGCTGCTCTCACCAAGGGCGACGTCTTCAACTTCGAGTACAACGACGAAATCTACCATGTGGCGGTCCTCGAGGTCAAGCCCGAGACAGAAAAGATGGGTGTTTGTATGATCGAGACGGATGTCGAGGTTGACTTCGCCGCGCCAGTCGGCTACGTCGAGCCAGAGAAGCAGCAGAGGGGAAGTGGAACCAGCACACCTAGAAGCGTGCGTGGCGGTCTCCCGGCCGGCGGTTTGCTCCACAGCCAAGGCTCCATGGCCCAGTCCATCAACTACAGCGCCATCGCCCCGTCAGCAACCACGAACATCTCCAGATTCTACGGTGAGGGACAGAAGCTTAGCAAGAAGGGCAGCAAGACGTCGACGCCAAAGCCTGCAACCCCCGTCGCTGGCGCTTCAGCCAACACAGCTGCTGTGCCCCTGCCACGCCGGACGAACGGACCCATGCCCCTCCGTCTGCCACCTAATAAGCTCTTCTTTGGCTATGAAATCAAGCCTGTCAAGACGGATGCCGACAAGGAGCGCGAGAAGGAAGAGGCCAACCGTCCACATTTTGCTGGTCAGGGACAAACCCTGCGAGGCAAGCGAAAGGGTGAGGCCGAGGAGAAGGAGAAGGCACCTGAGAAGAAGGGCGCCAACGAGGGACGCAGACTGGACGGTCGTGGTCCGAAGCCTCGCGGCATCGAGTGATCGGCTTCGGACAATGAACATCACATGTTTTGGGCGGACCAATGGCGTTCAGGGACAGGCTGGGTAGTCATTCAGGGCGCATAGTTGTAATTACGAGGGCCCCATCAGGGACAGTCGAATGATGGTTAGATTCCCGGATATGAAGAATGATCGCGACCTCATGCGAGTGTCTTTCGCGTGAAACATCTGAGGTCTTGCTTATGCTGGATTGGTCAGTGCCTCTCAACTGTCTATAAATTCTCGAATGAACGCCAATTATTCGAGGTTCACCGTCTACGCCCGTTGGATGCCTAACGTCGAAACCCTCGCCGCATACTTTCGTGCTCGGGCATAGCTGTCCGACGACGATCGCAACAAGGCCATACAGGCCTTCATCACCGAGACTCAAGTCGTGTGCGCAACAACCTCATTCGGCGCTGGAGCCGACCTGCACAGCGTTTCGCTTGTCATCCACTACGGGTTGCCGTTCGACCTCTTCATACGAACCCAGCACTTCGGCCGTGCTGCCCGCGACGGTGACTCCGCACGCGCCCTTGGAAATATATCATCACAGGATCACACCTTCGATATATCCGACGGCGACGACGACGAATGACTAAAAGGCACGACCGCTGATGGCTTGGCGGCGTGAAAGAAGGACGCCCTCAAGCGCTTTGCATCTCAAGGCCGAATGAGCCATATTGCCATCTCGATCCTCCTCAAAGAGCTAGTCAAGAGGAATGCGCAGTGTGGCATCTTCAGCACATATCAGTAATCCTCAAGCAACTGGGACACCGGCGAGCCCGACCGACTCCGTCGCATCCAGCGCCGCGTGGACATGTTTGGCGCACTGTTGTGCTAGAATACACACTGGGTCATCGCTCGCCATCACGTCCGCCATTCAGCCTCCAGCACCAGAGATGACGCCCTTCACGGACGGCTACCTGAACGCACCATGCCTTCGGATATTCATCGACCAATACAACGACGGCGGCGATGGCCATCTGCGCTGTGACGAGACTTTCGGCCGTGTCTACTACGATAGCCGGCGCTAGACAAGAGTCGAATTGCAGGGGATGCACAACACGATAACACGTCACTCTGCAATTCGGGACACCAAGTTCAGAATCTTTTTGCTTGAGAGCTCTATAGAGACGACTGTCAACTTGCTCCCATAGAGCCTCGCAACTCGCGCACGATATTTCGGGGGTATCAGGAACAACTCCTGGCCCCCTTCCTCATCCGTGTCATCCGTTTTACGCTTCCCGATATTCCATGCGATGAGCCCTGCTAGCCATCTTCCTTACTCCGTGCCATAAGAAAACACACACTTCAAAAGCCCTTTCTCTGTAGAATTCAACCGTTCGTCCGTCTCTCGTTCCCCTGCAGGCAGTTAGCCCTTTTTCCCGGGCCCTCTTGCGAGGTCCACGGTTCTTCCTCTCTATGCCGCCTCCAAAAACCGAGCCAAAAATGGGCGTGTTCATTCGGTGAGGCTGACCACAAAAGGAGAGGAAAACGGTATAAAATAGAGTGACGAAAGCCTAGGAAACAAACCAGAAAGCGGGAATGAATCGAAAAAAACAGCAGCGAGGAGCTGAGAGATGTTTTCTGTCCAATGACTGAATAGCGAAGAAGAAGAAAAGCCAGTTCTTGTCCACAACCGCCGACCGTTGATTTGTTGCCCAGAACGTGAGAGTAATATATGCAAATGTTCTTGTCTGCGACTTGAGTGTCTTCTTTTCTGCCGGTGGGAAAGCGAAGCGGGCGAGAAAAGCAATAGAAGTAGCAAGCGGTACATTCTCTTAGGTACTGTAGCAAAATGCCATCTCTCGTCTTAGAATTGGCTGGCGGCGGCGGCGATGCGGGCCTCGACGCGCTCCTAGATGGAATCGCCAAGCTTACGGTGCTGAGAGGGGCCTGCGTTGCTGGCGAATGCGTTGAAGTCCGTGGCAAAATGTCCGGCAGGAGCGGCAGTCATGCTATATTAGACGTCAGTACATGTTGTCCACGTGTATGTGAAGAATAGCATATATGGCTGTGCGCAATGGCCAGAAGCTTGCAACTGTCGCATATCCGGCTCCAGAGAAATGGCAATATCTTGATAGAATGACGAAATGGGAATGAGGGCTCTAGATGAAGGGAGGGAAGACAAAATGAGACACATGACATACCTGCGATCGCGGCCACGGCCAAAGTATCCATCATCGCCCTCGACCTTGACTCCATCCATGATAGAGAGACCCTCAAGGCGCTGGGAGGCCTGGACGTTCTCGGTATCGTTAGTGAGGTCGATTTGCTGACCGTTGAGGCCAACGGCCGCGCCATGGTTAAAAATCTTGGTGCGCTTCATCTTGGGCTTGATGTCCTCGAGCTCGAACTCGTCATCGTCCTGGCCGTCGTCGACAGCATCGGCGCCAGAAGCCATGTCATGAGCGGCCTGGTTGCCTCGGCGGCCGCGAGCTCCCGGGACACGAGCACCAGAACCGGGGGCAGCACGCTTGCGGGAAGTGGAAGGGGTGGACGGAGCACTGGCCAAGTCCGGGGTAGCAGCGTTGCCGGCGGCGACGCCCTCGACGCGCTTGCCATAGTTCTTGACGATAGTCTTGGACCAGTGCTGGCTATAAACGAAAACGCAGTTAGTCTCATGTCTGGCCTGAAGGCGTGAAAGTAATGAGATTCTAGACGGTAGTGATCATGCTAAAGGGAAGGAAGGAAGCTTACTTGAGAGCGGGAATGGTGAATTGGTAGCCCATACCAGTCATCTCCTGGTGAATGGCAACCCAGTTGGCCTTGGGAATCTTGCCACCATTGGAGACTTTGATGAAGGTCCAGATCAAATCCTTCTCGGCGGTGTCAGTCCAAGTGTTTGGGGCCATGATGATTGCTGATGAAGTTGAGTGACTGTGAGGCGGTTAGTAGGAATGAGATGCGTTCCAGCCAAATATGATTCGGATACAGAAAGAGATTCAGTGGTTGTCCTGAGATGTAAGCGCAACTAGAGAGAGGCAAAATTAATGGGGTATAAAGGCAAGAGCGGTGCAGAATAGAGATGTGAAGTGAGCTAAAGGAACAGCAGAGCCTTTTGATGACGATAAAACGTGGAAGACGTTGAAATTGTGGAAGAGGCTAGGAAGTATTAAATGAGTTGGTTTGAAAGTGGTAATTTGAGGTAGTACAAGAGCGGTAATGTAACAGATGAAATCAAAGTGAAGGGCGATGAAGAAGTCTGAGGCATTCCATGACAGTAAATACCAATCTGATATAGCGTGATTCCTTTCTCGCTCAAAATAGTCATCATAACTAGATAGGGGAGATATCAAAAGGACACGTACCTGTGTGCTGTATATAGCGAGGCTATTGATGTTGGCCCTCAAACTGCTGAGAGACTCGATTGCAGACTGAGTGATTGAAGAGAAAGAATGCGGGTTATAGAAGAAGAAATTGTGGAGGGGGAGTGGCAGAGGAAGATGGTTTATATAGCTTAGCCTTGGGTGAAAGGTCTTTGAAGCTGGTGAGGGTTAGGAGGAAAGAGGGTGGTAGGCTTGAACAAGGCGGGCACTCGCCTCAAGGGATTTCTGGCCAAACTGTCGAGAGGTATTGTGAGGCTGGCGAAGGGACTTGGGGTGGACACAGTATTCACCCGGTCATGTACCTCATCGAGCCAGTTGCAACCCAACTGGCAAGAGGGATTCAGGGGATGTTGTTATGTTAATACATATTAGAGAACATACCCCTATATCCTACACACCTATCAGAATGAAGATGAGATAACGAAGAGTAAACCCTCCACTAAAGGGTACATGGTTAACGCAACTAGTGGTCTTCAGTGAGATGAAGGACTAAGTATGCTGAGCTTAGACAGGATGTGCACATACTTTAATAGTTTCTAATAGAACTAGAGAGAATGATGAAGCTATTTACTCACTTTGAGAGGCTAACATTTCTAGTAGGTGTGCTAGCCCCAAGGAGTGCCTAGTAGCAGTTGGGAGAGCAAGCATGTTTGTATCTAGGTTCACTAGGAACCACAAAGCTCAGTATCTATACCGAGAGACTCTTCACAGTACCATCTTCTGGCATATTGAACTAGTATTCTAGCCACTGTCATGATAGAAGCCATCTTTTATCCCCAAGAGCCAGTGAGGCAAAATTTGAAAAGCTTTGTGGACTTGCAACAGCTGGGCATCAATTGCGTCAAACCTCTGTAGGAATTGATGGAAGGTTTGGCATCGGCCATAATAGAAAGATGTTGAATCATAAGACAAAAGGGTCCATTTTGGTCAACGTCAGTCGCTACATAGTACAGACCCACAAGAGAGAAGACCACGAGTTGGAGAAAGCAAGCCAAGCTTCTTGATTTCAGTAGAACTTTTCCGTAACCTTAGGCAACCAATGGCCTATCATGACTGACGAAGCATGAGAAAGAGGCAAGATTTGTACCGATGCCAAAGATGTGCACAATTCAAGTCTGTCGTCCCGACCATCATCAATCCAAGCCTCCAAGCCTCCAAGTCATCAGCCAGAAAATCAAGCGTCCTCCAAGATGTGCAGCGGTTATATGGTCGGATTGATGCATTTAGCCAGAGACGCGCAAGTCGAGCTTAGACCTCGGCATCATTGTGATCGAAGCGGTCGCCAGCCATGTCTTCAACGTTGAGGAAGTCGTCGGCCTGCTCCTTCATGCTGTGTGGGCCTTGTCAGCATAACTCACGAACTCAATCAAGGTGTTGCTTGCCTAGGCTTCTTGGGAGTGCGAGGCTTCTTGGGGACAGGAGTCTCCTGCTCCTCCTCATCTTCGGCCTCACTCTCGTTCTTGGTCTTCTTGACAGGAGTCTTCCGCTTGCGCGGAGTGGCGGCCTTTTTGGCGACCTTCTTGGTGGGAGTGGCGCTGGCCTCACCGCTGTCTCCAGGGGTCTGCTCCTTGCGCTGCAACTTCTGAATGTGCTGTCTGTCGTAAAGATTAGCATTTAGATGCAAAAATGTAAACATGTTCAAACTGGCAACGGTGACGATGAAATGTATGAGAAAGGTGTGAAGACAATATGTTTGGGAGGAAGAAAGTACATGGCGGCGCTTGCGGTGTAGGTGTAGCCCTTTTCATGGACTGCAGCCAAAGCACGATCCCAATCCTCCTTAGAAGGCTTGGTGACGGTCAGAAAGGCAACCAGCAGATCGGATCGGGCCTTGTCATCCCAAACAGTAGCTGGGGCCATCGCGAATAATGTTTGTATGAATGCTGGCGATGTAGGGGAATATGCGAAGAAGTTATAGCAGAATGCGTGGTAACCTGCTGTGAGAAGTGTTGCGTAGTGAAAGTTGGAAGAGGGAAAAGAAAGAGCGAGACGGGAGCGACAGTCAGTTTTATTGGAAAGAGGAAGGCGGGCGTTGCTGGAGGAAGTAGGTGCCTTGTAGGTGAAACCGCAAGGAAGGGAAATGAAGAAAAAGGAAGGCACACTTGAGAGCAGAAACTGTGTAGTTGTAGCCGTAAGTGTGGAGCTCCTGGATGATGGCAGAGTACTGTTCGGCGCTCGGGGTCAGGGTCTTGACCATGGCGACCAGAATCTGCTGGTCGTCCTCAGGAGTCCACTTCATAGTTACGCGAGACATCGTTTTCGTGGTGAAAATGAAGAGTGCTTGTGATATGATGTTGCTGTGGTTTACAATCATGTGGAGTGGTTGGAGGTGAGGTGAGAGCAGAGGTGAAAACAGATGAGAGATGGAAAGTTGGAGGCGAGGAGAAGAATATAAACGCCAAAGGAATGTGCGAAGCAAGCAAGAAATTTGCAAATGAGGACAGGAAATGTTATGGAAACTGAAGAAAACAGCAGGCAGCCTCGCAGAAGGAGCGATGCGCTAGAAAATAGTCTCAGACTCGCATGTGGCGAGAGTGCGCCGCAGGAAGAACCAGAAGGGAAACTCAAGGAAATGTTGTAGACTTACCGAATGGCATCCCAGGTGACATCCTCGAAGCCGTCGCTATGCATCTTCTGCTCGATCGCGTCCTTGACCTCTTTGCTGAGGTTGCCCTTGAGCTGGCCGTACAAGGCGAGCATTAAACTGTGGAGGAACGTCGGGTTGTTCCACTTGCTGACGGCCTGCTTCTCAGACATCTTGCCGGTATTGTTGCGATGAATTTCTCGAAGGTGATGTTATTGTGAAAGGAGTCTCTGATGGTGACGGGTGGCAACGGGTATTTTGCGAGTGTTGACTAATGGCAAGGAAGGAAGTTGGTGATGAGGAAACTCTTCATGGGGTAGATATATCGTTTGGCCCGAGGAAAAGAAGAAGCCGTTGGTAAGGGGGGGCATAAGGAGCCGGGACGGAGGGTCACGGAGGGTCACAGAAGCCTAGTGGCTGTGGCTGTCTCGGAGTTGCCAGGCTGATACCTGACGGGAGTTGCCCAGCCTACCTAGTCTATGTGAATGGTAGCAGAGTCTGGACGGCAGCAGAAGACAGGATAGTACGTTGGATGGAAATACAGATTGGCAGATGCAGAACGTTGAAGACCTATCTTAGGTTTCATGGAACCTTCTGAGAACCTGCTGGCTGGCTCAAGGACGATGGTAGAATATTGGCACGAGGATTCGCAAAAGCGGTTTGTTTAGGTTCCGGGCTCAGGTAGAAAGAAATCACGGATGCCTTCAAAGAAATAAACATCATGTGGTGGCTAGCAAACTCTGATGTGTTTCTTCTCCTGTGGAAGACTTCCAACCTCGACGGAGGCATTCGGTCAATGCCAGCCCGAGACAGGTTCTTTCTACGCTATACGCTGGATGATGACTGATGAATGAAAGGAAACAATGAAATACCCAATCGACCCAAACTCCAGGCACCTAGTCGTGTTCATTACCCTCGCTCCTGATGCCGCTTTCGCTTTGATGCACAACGCCTTGACCGGATAAAACTGGTTCTAGGTAGCAATACTAATCTGCCTGACCCCGTTGATCTGAAGGCAAGTCTTGAGCCATACAACTGCCACTGCCTGAGCTCTGGACCATGCTATCAGCCATCTCAAGGGCCAGGTTTCTATCCTATGTCTCGCCATTATAGGTGAAGCTGTGCGGGTCCGTCCCCGTTAGACCAGCTGTTGGATATTCAGAAGCATAGCCATCGACAGAAGGAGCCTCACTGTGGGCGGCCAAAGCTAATACGGCTTCATCATCAACAAGGGAAGGATCGTGAGGGGGGTTGTCGAGCTTGATTCTCTTAGCATCGTGGCCGTCCTGCTCGTCATCGTTGTCTTCCTTAAGGGATATGTCGAGAGGGTCCTCCTTGAGAGGGAGATCCAAAGATTCCGGCAAAGCACCGAGGTCATCGGATATTACAGATGGTTGTTGATGTGATTGATCGTTTTGAATGGACTGACCATGGTCGGGCTGGTGGTCTAACTGATGGGGATCGGGCTGATGGAGGTCGGGCTGATGATCATGCTGGTGGTCGGGTTGATGTTCAGGTTGGGTAGATTGGTCGGCTTGAAGTCCTTGGTCAGGTCCAAGCTGACCGGGGTGGCCTGGCTGAATGACTTGGCCGGGTTGAATGACTTGGCCGGGTTGAACGACTTCGCCGGGCTGGACGACTTCGCCGGGCTGGACGACTTGACCGGGCTGAGCGACTTGGCTGGGCTGGTTAGAAAGAGCAGGAAGCTGCATTGGGGCAGGCTGTTGAGGCTGTTTCTTGGGCCTTCCGCGACCTGGTCCAGGACGACGGGTAATCGGATTTGTGGTGGGATCAAGCTTCCGAGGGTTGTCCGGGCTGCCTCCGTTGGTCTCAGCTTTGTGTTGGGCACGGCGAAGACCTTGGAAGTGTTGCCTGTGAAGTGTCAGTCGCCATCGAGATGGTGCAGTAGAGCCTCAACTCCATGATGAGTTGACAGAAGATATGAGACGAAACCAAATGATTGCGCAACACGCTGATGATGGAGACAGACAGAAAGGTGTCAAAAATTGGTTGACTAATACATAGCGTGAAACACAAGTTGACATAAAAGATACTCGAAGACAGCGCGCAGGCAAAGGGCCCAAAGTTTTTCACCGTCGACGTCTTTCGGCTTTCACGAAAGATGCTTCATGGGGGCGTCCCCGGAACATGATGAGCGGAAGGAACAAGAGGCATACGAGAGAGATGGGGAGAAATGGCATCGATGGCGGGAGAAAGCCGATAAAGATAGCCAGTGAGGGCAATTACATCCATTTGGCACCTCCGTTTGTAATTCTTGCAACATGACCGGCGGTTTAGACAGCCGATAAGAGGGCCAGAGAAGGCTGAAAATGAAAAGGACAGTACGGAAGAACGCAAAGGGGGGCAAGAAATGCCTCGGCTGCCCATAACTCGGTTTTGGTGCAGTTCATTGTGGGCGGGCGGAAAAGTGAGAGACAGTGATATCAATTGCAGACTTACCGACAGCCCTCGTTTGTAAAGCCATAGCCCAGGGTGCGCATGTGGTTGCCGATGGTGGTCCATTCTGAGCCGCTGATGACGCCAATGTTCTTGACGGAGAGGATGGTGAAGAAAAGGTCCTTGTCGGCCCTGTCGTTCCAATTTTTGTTCATGGCGACAGCGACGGAGGGGGTGGATGGTTCGCGACGATGATAATCGCGACTTATACGATTGAAAGTGGATGAGCTGGTAGTTGTCTATCGCGGTGGAAGACGAGAGAAATTGGTAGTGTGCTGACGACTGCGCCGAAGGTGTTCGTCCCTCGAGTCTCCATTCGAGGGGAAACACCGTAGAAAATGTGGTTCCGGATCGGTTCAACATTTCACCGAGAAAGAGCTTGCCTTACATGCACGCGCTCGCCTAGTTTCTTGGACCTCCCGACGGAGTAAATATGAGAAATACGCTTGAAAGCAATGTGTTGAAGTACTCCTCGGACTCTTTGGAGTATAAACATGGTTATCAACCTGTTATTTGCCTCTACGTTTCGAGGTTCAGAGACGCTGGTGGGACCGTGACGGGCCCATTCACTCCATCGTCCACCGGTCCGCCCGACGTTTAACCGTGTAGCAGCACTGAGGACAATTCCCGCTAAGCTACCTCTAGGTACGTACATCGTACAGAGTAGACGTTCGCTGGCCCAGCGCCAATGCAGTCGCATCATTGACAGGGGAAACACTCAGTTCGCTCCAATCCGGTTTCAACCTGTTATTCTCAACACTGCACAGTTGCATTCTGTGCGAAAGTAACCATTAAAGCTATCGAAGATATCATCTTGCAACCTTTTTACTCATTTTGTATGCTCAGCTAGTAAAGGGAGGGTCTGTGTCGTATGGATCCTTGAGACATGAAAGACTTTAGCCTGCGAGACAACGTTGCGTTCAAGAGCCTAGGCGATTGTAAGACATTGGGCGGGCGGCCATCTCTCGGGCGCTCGTGCTGGTCCAAGGGAGATCAACTTTAGGACATACTCGATGGTGCAATCCGCTCGTATGCGCCTCAAGCCGTGTTGCAGATGTTGACTAGAGCTAGCGACATACTTGAGTTTGACGGGATTAACACAGACTCGAATGACCAGGCCGAAAGCATGATCTCGTTTATCCCCTTTTCCTCGACCTCTTATGCCACGAGATGTGACCTGCTTAAAGAGGTTGCCAATTAGGAAGCTCATCCCAAATCCGTCGGAGGCCCCTTCACCCCTTCACCCAGGTCCTCTCAACGCTGCTTTTTTCAGCGTCCGGCGCAACTCTCAACCGGCTATGGTCGGTGTGGAGATCGGATGCGACTAGGCCTCAGGCAGCCATCGCGTAGGGAGTCGCCGGCGGGTCATGTGCACGGTGCATCCAGTGACCGAGACGGTTGGACCCATCACGTGGTTTCGTGGCAACCTGGCGAAAACTTGGTCGCACAGTGCCCCGCTCAGAGTTCGCGAGAACGCGTCTCCCAACCACCTCACGGCATCCCACCAACTTCATCGCGTGTTGCCCAGGACACCAACGCAACCGATTCGCAATACAATTACCCGTCTCACGGCTTCAATGTACATCATCTGATTTCTATGCAATTTGGTCCCATATTCATACGGCTTTTGCTCGTCAAACGGCTATCTCGACCATCGACTACCAGGCTGTTCCATTATCTCGATTGACCCGACAAATGTCCCGGCCTAGACACGAGATTGAAATTACGACACAATGATTGACTGAAGCACGAATCCAGGGGGTATCATATCGGGCCAAAAGGCCCAAACTCTGTTTGTCATTTATCGCCGTACCTTGTATCTCAGCAGTCCGGCGTCGCAAGCCTCAACAATCCTTCCCTAGCATGACACCCTTCAGGCACAAGGCCAGCTCATACATGTCGCAATACATGTCTACCTACGCGTCTGCAGGCGCTTTTTTCGTCGTCATAATGGTATTCGTCAACCAGAGACAGTCCAAGTTTGTTTGACGACTCGTTGCGGGAGGGCCGCCAATGAATAGTGCGAACCGGATGCCGCAACACGCCCCAACCACCTCCATTTCCGACGCTACACTACTCGAGAGGTGAGTCACACACCCCATACCACGCTTCTGTCTCATGCCATCCATTAAGATCCTTGCTCCGCTTCCAAGTGGTGCGCTGGTCGTTCCTGGATCTTGCATTTGGGGCGGTCTGTTTGACCGACAAGGGGGTAAAAATCTTACCCCAGTATCACGAAAGCTGTGCGCGTCAATTGACGAGTCAATTCTGCCTACGTGCGAGTGCAAATCACAGTTATCATTGCATGCCAGTGGACACGCTAGCCTGCCCGAACCTTCATTCGTCGGGTAGAGTCAAGTCGACTCCATCTCGTCGGCTGAGTGCAGGGGAGGGATCTGCAAAAGACGAAGAAAAAAGTCGAGAAGAAAAAAAAGCTAGCGGAATCGGAAACCACTTTACGCGAATAAGAGAGATGACACGGCCCCGCGCCGCGACACACCCACGCTGCCTCGACTCTACCCCTCCAACATTGCATCAGTGCTCGGCTAAGCTGCTATCAAAACCTCAAACTGTCCATCCCGTTCATGGATGATGCCATGCACATGCAGCTCTAGCTACTTACTCCCACACCACCACCTTACGACCGCTCCACTCCCTCCACAAACGTCACGCCCCCCTCCTCAAGGCCTTGCGTCCCCGTCAAAGCCTGGTCGTAACTCCAGGCAACAAGGGACTATTTTGATTCCTTGTGTCTCAACCAAGGGGGCTTGCCACTTTCACACCTCGATAAAATATCGGCCCAAGCGCTGCGGTGTCTTCCCTGAAAGCATCTTCGTTCGCCTTTCTTTTTCTTCATACTGTACTGATTAAGCTCCGCTGCGCTCCTCCCACCCACAAGCGCTGCCACGGCTTGCCCCATCAAGTTCGCTCCCGGGGGGGACAGCATCAAGCCGACTTGCATATCCCATTCCCTTTAGCTCCGGAGTCCAAGGTCCTCCAAAGTACCTATAACTACCGTTGATGTCCCGGGGTGGTGTGCTGACTTCTGGCGAATCCCTCCTTGTCTGCCTCTTTTGTCCGCCTCGCCTTCATTGACCTCCCACACCGAAGGGTGACTGACATCGCACCCAGTGGTTGTACCATTTCCACATCGCAGCCTGCTGACTTGGATGCCATATATCTGGCTCTCGCCTTGCCTCACCGATCTTCACAGTGACTCATTTCCTTCACTTCACCTCCACACCTGCCTGTCGTGTGCTGGTTGACCGGGTCGAGCAAAAGCTTCTGCAGCCATCACTGTGCACTTCAAATTGCTCCCCTCCCTCGAGCTCACTGGCCTCATTATCGACTTTCATCTCATAGCGTGGGCAGCTCGAGGTGGCAGACCTATCGACACCTCCAACATGTCTTCCAACACAGATAACCAGATGACGAGGTTTCTCTTCGCCATCCTGAAACAGAAAAACTTGAAAGACGTGAGTAATGCAGATGACAACCCATCCCCCTCGACCCTTGGCTCACCTTGTGTTGTCCAGATTGACTGGAACGCCGTTGCCCATGATCCGATACTGGCACAGCCCATCACCAACGGGCATGCTGCTCGCATGAGATACTCCCGTTTCCGCTCTGCGATGCTGGGCCTTGAGCCCCAGAAGCGCAACAGAGCCACCGTAGCAAATAAGAATCGGGTCACGAAAAACAAAAAGGAGCAGAAGCCGCCCAAAAAGGAGGAGGATTCCCATGACGAACGGGTCAAGCCCGAACCAGGGACGCTCGAGTCGATACGCCACCACGCCGAAGCCCGTCCTAGGTCTCCTGTCAGAGTCAAACAGGAACACCACAAAACTTCCTACCGGCAACAGTTTACACCAACGTCCATGGCGTCTCCCACCGCCACGGAATGCCAGCCCACCTTCCAGCCGAGAATGCTCACTCCCTGCAGCGACGACATGTTCTCGGCACCGCAAAACTTACAGTTCAGCCCGTCCACTACCCTCATGGGCGCACACCCGACCTTCGATCTCCCCCAAGCCATGTCCTGTGCCCACGATCAAGACCACCACCAGCACAACCACGACCACAACGCCTGGGCCCCTAGTCCAATCTACTCAGCCTTTGACGCCGCCTACGACATTGAGGGGTTTGGAGTCGGTGTCTTGTGCGATCACCAACATGTTCAAGGGCATAATGACGATATGCACGGGTCGCCTGCCCTTGGCTCCCTGATGCCGGAACACATGCATATCAAGAACGAGCACTGGGACGCTCAGTTCCACTCTTAATACGCGGACAGTATCTAGTGACTAAGTCCGTGCTAGCAAATTGAGAGGGTCATCTTATACGAAGTCGGGTTCAGGTTGAGGGTGGGCATGGTTGTCTCACATCACAGTCGCTGGCTTTCTTTCTCTCTCGCACACTCACTTTTCTTGCCTCGTGCTGGCCACTCCACTCCCGCCTCCCCTAGCCAAAGTTTTGGTTCGCCAGATGTATTAATGATGTTACGCACACTTAACTGGCGTTTGGTTCTTTCTTTCTTTCTTCTTTTTTGACTACGGTTTAAAATGTGATGCTTTCCCCTGTAATAATTTGGGGCAGCGATTCTTTAGAAAAGAAATTCGAAGAGATGAAACCATACAATTGATGGTTCTTATGATAAACCCCTGATTCCTGCTTCGTTACTACTTGTGCGCCCTGTAGATATATAGAGGAGCATCCAGTGCCATAGCGATGACTGGTCCGCACATTTGAAGGTTCCTCCCCAAGTTGTGTGACATCTTGCGCGCTTCTTGGAGGTCGAGTAGAAGGCGGGGGTGGAGGTATTGTACTGTCCTCTCATACCAACTCACATACTAACTATGCCTCTCTAGCATCTCAACCTGCCAGCCCATATGCCAGCGAAGGCATCTGCCGTGGTGCAGGTGGTTTTTATAAAGCCCAGGGATAGCCGCAGCGGCCATCTGGGCCTCGCCGTCTTCTCGGCCTCTTGGTCTTCCTGTTCCCGACGGAGTCTTCCGGAGCGGCGTGGAGGGTATATGTACATCTGGCAGCCCTGTGACCAGATTCAGATATCATAAGCCCGAACATTTGGTTCCCGTGTGTTAATAGGTATGAAAGATGGCTCTTTGGCTTTCCTGCCGTCCGGGTTTAAAATTTTTGTGATTTTGTGTTCCCTGATTTTTTGAAGTCGTTGGTCTCTGTACGTTTTGTGGCCTTAACTAATGGCTATGACGAACTAATCGAGCCAGTATTGAATGAGTTACGAGACAGTTCTCAATGGCAAAAGCTCATATTAGTTTAGATGCTTGGTCTATTGCAAGGCCCTTTGTAAGTTTTTACAGGGCAGGTGTCGATTGCTACTTGTTCAGGGTGATTGGCAAATGGACTGGAGCGGAAAGTTCATTGCATATATTGGAAACGTTTCAAACGATCTGAACATGATATGGGGCTATTTAAGACTTCAATAGCGTTGGACATGTTCATGGCTGTCCTCAGTCTGGTTCGAGGTCTTGAGGGTTTCCAGAAAGCCCCACCAAGACCATAAGATGAGGACATACTACTCAAACAGTTGAAGTCGGACTGCCTCGTGACGAGGAACTTGTGGCTAGGTAGCATCTTCATAGCTATGGGATCTTCATGTTGAAAGGAGCTAAGCATGGCGCAGCTCCCCGTACTGACCGAATAGGTTCGATACTGCTTGGGGTTATTCCTTCTCATATCTTCACTTTTTGTGTTCCTATAGCCTCTCAATGCCGAATTCATCGTGTTGTTCATATATGGGGACCTGAGTATTGATATATGTTGGATTAGGAGGTTGACTTGGAGCACAACAGAGAAGACCATCCTGGCTGACTTCGCCACTGAGCCTAACAATACACACGTAACAACATGAAAAAACCCCAGGCAAAGGGATTTCTCGCACCATGGCAATCCAAAACAGCAGCCGCGACCGATCAAGAAGTGATGTTAGTTGATGCTTGTATGGTTATAAGGCTCCTAGCCATCCGAGTTTAACTTTTGAAACGGAGAGAATAAGCATTACGGTCAGAACAGAACCAGACCAATCCATTCTGTCATATAATGCTAAATTAACACCTCTTTGTTTGAATTTTCCTTCCAAATAAGAATACACAATACCACTCAAGCTTGTTGATGCTGTCTCGGTTAGAGTTCCCGGTTCTGAAACAGCTTTTTATGCACATGGAAACAGCCCGGGGCCTTATTATTCCTGGAGAGACCACGTCTCAAGTGTTGTCCGGGTTCTGACTATTCAGTACAGTCCCTGGATCGAGGGCTCATTCTAATGAAATCGTTGATATTGCACTTAGAAGTTACAAGACATTCGATCGAACATTGACTGAGGAGTCAGCCATTTATCGTTTCCGGCATCGTATGATATCCCGTTGATGTACTGTCACCACGGAATTCTACAAGCCTATGCAAAGAAGGTTCAACTCGTCCCGTAGCTCTCATTTGGTCCACATATCCCGGGTCATTGAGGCTAGGAGATATGTGTCCCCAGACCAAGCTTTGCACCTCAGTAGGCGTGTTGTCAAAATAAGCCCGGGCTGCTGGAACCGGGCAGGCGGGTCTCCCCCGGGGCCCCGCGCAGCCGGAACGGGGCCAGTGGAGCACCGGCGGCCCGGGCAGCGTGTCTGGGGCACGGACGCTCCCACGTTGGCGCCGGCATTTCGATGGGAACAGGTGTGCCATGCTGCACCTTGTGCATACAGCTATGTATGGGCTCACACCGATGCGCGGGCTCAACATTGAACCAAGATCTGGAAAGATGTTGGTCAAGGCATCGCTCGCCCTTGGGAGACCAGGGATGATTGCGGAACGGTGCGTGATGGTTAGCCTCAGACACTGCGAAAGACGGCAAACCTGGCAGACCGGGTTTGAATACGAGCTCGCATGTCCATACATACCGACTCGTGCTTCGTTGGCGCTGCATAGGCGTCCTGCATCTTAAACCACACCGACTGTGACATTGCAAACCCCTCCACCAAACCCCGCCACAACCTTCGCGGGAAAGCCCTTCTCCTCCCCACAATGCTTCCAGAAAGCCTAGGTGAGACATCAAATACCACCCGACTTACATCACGTCGCCGTTCTCGGGCATGAACGCTACCTAACTAGCCAGCAGACTACTTGCCGCGTGTCTTTCAGGGACGAAGGCATGACGGAACAAACGTCCGTCCATCCCAGCCCCCTTCCCTGTTCCGACATTTGCAGACTTGCATCTCCCGAAGTGCAAGGCGCACGCACAGGATCACGTGCCCGTCAACGGCTGGCGGCGGGAAGGGCAGGTGGTTAACGGTCTCACCAACGGAAAGGCAGGAAAGCAAAGAGTCATTTAACGATCCCCTCTCCATCGTGGCACGAGTTGTTGCAGGCGAAATTCACCTTGTTTTTTTCACCTCGCTTTCGCCACAAGGGACGGCTCCAACCGCCGGCCCCCAGCCAAACGAACCCGCTCACACAGGTTGTGCGAGGGCACATGACCATGGGATATGCATCATGTCGCTCGTTGCGCTCACCGCCGCGCTCCCAGGCGCTTCCGACCGGCTCCTCCTCCTCCTATGATCTATAATTTTTATTTTTCAACCTTACGTCTTCTGCTTGCTGCCAAAGATCCCGGAAAACACGATTTCGTTCGCACCGAGTCGTGCATGTTTATGCCCCCCCTAGCCATAACGCCCAATGCCCTTCCCGACTTGACAATCGATAGTTCTCCATGGAGATCCCATACCATGGAGTCTGCCGAGACAGGCATCGTAATACGGAAGCTATGGTGATATGAAGGTCGAACTCCGAATCCCCCCGCCAGTTATGTAAGTCAGTCAAGCCTCAGACGCCACCAATGGCACCTGAACCCCCCCTTCTCTCACATCAAACCAACGCCCGCTCACCCCGATCCGTCTCCCCTCCCGTCGCGCAGCTATGACATTTTCATTGTCCGTCCGCCTCTGCAGTCCAACAGGCCGCCCTCCCCCGCCCCCCTTCCGCATGGCCCCGCGCGCATGAGGAGCTGGCCCTAGCGTGCCCGTTACCTGTGGTTGATTGCCTCTGCGGTCATGGCTCGTGCCGGCCGTAAACGGGGGTGGAGGGACCGGGGTGGCCAACAAGTCACAAATAGCGCCGTCCGAATCACACGCACCTAGACCTCCTTGGGTGGCACGGCGGCTGCCGATTCCCTCTATCCTAGGGGTCGTGTAGTGCCCCACGGCCAAGGAGGTCGGCGCAACACGGACATTGTGATTGTTCATCTACTCACGTCACCGACAGCAACCGTAAATGAATGCCTGGTTGTGCAATGGAGAGGCAGAAAGCGCTGGGGGGGGGGGGGGTTATCAGATCTTGGCCCATTTTCCGGAAAGCCAGGTGCAAAAGTCGAGGCCAAGATATGGGTGCAACTACGGAGTACGTTGTAGACGGGAAGAGTCGAGCAAGGATCCCATTAGTGATGATCTCTGCAGATTAGAGGCTGTAGTCAGAATTAATCGGACGGATTGATTAGGAAAGCAAAATGAAGCCAAGCCGGGGTCTTATTCAACATCCTGCCCCTGCGACCCTTCGGATAGGTGCCTAGATCGGACTCTACGTGCGCGATGTCACGGTCTTGCAGTTTCTGAATCTTTTTACCATCCGTTTGGGGCGGTTGAGAATGAAAGAGAGTTAGAGAGAGAAAGCCAGTTCAAGCTGCCACCCCACCACCGCTGACCAAGAAGGACGACAGGACAGGGGTAAGCGAGAGCTAGACAGGTCCCTTGACGGCGCAAGTTCCGTGATGCTGCAGGATGGTGTGCAACTTACCTTACTACAACGCCTCGAGTCTTCCAATCGAAGCCCAAAGATGGACTTTTCCTCACAACCATCTGGTGATGGTCGAGCAGGCAACCTTCACTCCGTTCGTAAACAGAGAGGCACAGGCACAGGCCAGGGCCGCATCGACTCACTGTCACGGGACGCGGGCTTCCCGATAGGTAAAGAGAATCTAGCGACTTGCTTCTGTCACAAACGCGGAAAATGTGTTACCCTTCCGAGGTTCCGGGGGAACGATTTCACGTGGCCCTCCCTCTCCCAGCAACTATTCGATTAGAAGGGTCTCCAATCAGGAAATGGAGGCGCTCGTGAGGGCCAGTTATCGACGGTTCTGCAGCCATTCTATATGCGAGGGACGGCTGACGGCCAATGAAGACGGCAAAGCGGCACAGCAGCCTCCCATTCGTTGCACAGCAATCTCTGTAACCCCAGTACGGCACAAGGCATTCTCGACTGACGC